TCCGTCATTTATTTATATCAATCAAATATATGTACTTGAACACTTTAACTATTTCTCTCTCCTCATCCATGTGTCCATCCCTCTTTCCAATATTTATCTCTCATTCTCTCCTTTCCCCCCTCGTCCTAAATTTATATATATCATATGATTTAGATAACTACATTTAAAATAAGAAGTATTTCGAAAATAAAAAATAGGAACACAAAAAATATGAGCTAACATAGATTGAATATCATGTACCTATAAGGTTAACTCTCTCTACCATTTCTCTTTTCTCTCCTTTTTCTCCCCCCCTCTCTCTCTCTCTCTCTCTCTCTCTCTATTTCTCTCCCTCACACTTTCTCTCTCCATCGACATGTCCCTAAAGCATCTATATGTCCCTGAAAGCTTTAACTCAATTTCTCTCTGTCTCCCCCTTTCTCCAAATTCATCACCCATTTCCCCTTTTTATTCTTCAATATTTTTTTGTCATGTCATAATTTTTCTTATTATGATTTTGTTTTTCCTTTTTTTCGGCCTTCTTCTTCGTCATTTCTTTCTTCATTATCATCGACGTCAATTTTCTTATTCTTTCTCTTTTCTTTTCTCTTCTTCATCGTCTACAACTTCTATTTCATTTCTCTCTTCTGATTTGTCTTCTTCTTCTTCTTCCTCTTTTGTTTTGTTCTACTCTTCTTCCTATTATTTATCTTTTGGTTTAGTTCTTCTTCGTATTTTTCTTATTATTTTTCAGTTTTTATTCGTCTTCTTCTTCAATCTCCAATTTTAAGGATTTTGCCTACTTTCTCGGCCCCAATTTATTCATCTTATTTTTCCTCGTATTTTCCTTTTTCTGCTTCATCATCTTTGTATTTTCTCAGTTCTTCTTCTTTTTAAATTTTTATCAGCCTTCTTTATTCTCTACTTCTTATTGCTCTTTGGTCTTCATCAAACTCTTCTTCTTCTGTTTTTTCTTGATTTCTTTCTCATCCTCACCTACTTCATTTTCTCATTTCTTCTTCTTTTATTTTGTTTTCTTCCGGTTTTCTTCTTTAACTAAAACATCCTTTGTTATATCTTTATTCTTCTTCACTATTTCGTGTTCTCATATGCTTTTTATATTCTCAATGGTTTTATTCAAATTCATCTTTTTTTTTAGTTTTTATCATTAACTACATCTTCTTCTTTATACTTATACTTCTAAGTTATAAGAATTATAGGTGAATAAAAGTAAAAACAATATATATGATTTATTAGGAAAACTATTTGTATGTCTTTTTTAACAATAAATAACAATTATAAATGGATTAAAATAAGAACAATATATAAATTATTAATAGCAAAAACTAATTAGGAATCTGTTTAATTGTTTATTTTTATTGATGGTAACTAAATTTAGAAAGTACATTAGGGAAAACAATTAAAATCCAAACACAACAAAAAATCAAAGAAAATTGTTAAAATAAGATAATTAAAGAAAATTAATCAAAGACAATGCAAGGAATTGAAGAAACTTATACTAAAAAACATTGAATGGATCTCCAAAGATAAAAAGGATTCATCATAGAAGATGCACGTAACAAAGCAGTGTACATCATAAGAAGAAAGGAGTGGGAACCCATTGACTTTCCTTATAGATAGCTTCGACATACTCGGTATCATCGTGCATTAAACTCAAAGCATAACATGCATCTTTGAAAGTACGGTGGACAACACCGTTAATTGTTCTTATATCCATCTAAAAACATGGATCGCGAACGACATGCAATGAAACCCTCAAGTAGTAGGCTTCGCCAGCGTTAGAGTTACAGTTGGCTATAATACTCGGTCTGGAGTTACCGCAAAGACGGGGGTGTATTAATGTTTTTATGATCCCAACCCCAATGGATCGGAAATTCAAAATACATATACGATATGGCTTCAGGATAGTCCTAATTACACTTTAACGAACCTGTATATTTATCGTTGTAAACATCGCAGAAAAATGTTCATCTTCGTAAAAACGATTTGAGATGGAGGCAGATGTTACGGAAAATCTGAGGATCACGGAGGGAAAGATTGCTGGTAGCTATAGAAAATTCATAAAATTTTTGAAGGAAAGAACTATTAGGCAATGGATTTACATAAGACGAAAGTCTAGAAGCAGAAAAAGACATTTAAAGCACAAACTAAAATAAACAAACATGAATTTTTATTTACCTGACAATTTTATTGTAAAGCGGGAGATAAAATATTCAATTAGTGAAGTATGAACTATAAGAGTAGGTTGTCATTATGGAAATGCATAAATAATATATATATATATATATATATATATATATATCGATTTTTTTTAAAAAGACATGGATTTATTTTTTAAAAAGTTGCTAAACCTTAGAAGACGGACATTGTATGTAAGAAAACATGAAGACCGAGAGGAGTATATATAGCACGATAGATACGCTAGGGTTTAGATTAGTACTGACTTTGATATTGATGGCCCATAACCAAAATCAGTGGCTATGACCAAAATCGAGATTAGTGGCCCATAAATAAAATCAATGGCCCATAATTGAGAAAAAAGACACATCACGGGTATTTCCATGTAAGATTAATGATTGACCTATCATAACAAATTAAAACGCCATATAATATTTTTTAATAATGACACATATGACAATTGCTGTGGAGACGGCACATCAGATGTTATGCGGGGAGGCAGAGAGAAATTGAGTTAAAGCTTTCAGGGACATATAGATGCTTCAGGGACATGTCGATGGAGAGAGAGAGTGTGAGGGATAGAAATAGAGAGAGAGAGAGAGAGAGAGAGAGAGAGAGAGAGAGAGAGAGAGAGAGAGAGAGAGAGAGTGAGAGAGAGAGAGAAAAAGGGGATAAAGAGATAAAGACAGAGAGAGAAAGAGAAATGGTAGAGAGAGTTAACCTTATAAGTACATGATATTCAGTCTATGTTAGCTCATATTTTTTGTGTTCCTATTTTTTTATTTTCGAAATACTTCTTATTTTAAATGTAGTTATTTAAATCATATGATATATATAAATTTAGGACGACGGGAAAGGAGAGAATGAGAGATAAATATTGAAAGAGGGATGGACACATGGATGAGGAGAGAGATATAGTTAAAGTTTTCAAGTACATATATTTGATTGATATAAATAAATGAAGGAAAATAAGAAGAAAATAAAGTCGGAGAAGAGAACGAAGAAGACAAAGGTGATGAAGAAGAAGAAGAAGAAGAAAAATAGGAAGAAGATGAGGAAAACAGAAAACAAGAAGAAGATGTGACAAAAAAACTTAAAGAATAAGAAGTAACAAAAGAGATATAAAATGAAGAGGTGAAAGAAAAAGATATAAAAGAAAATGAAAGAAAACTAAGAAGAAAACGTGAGAGAAGAAGGAGAGATAAAGATGGAAGACGATGAAAAAAAAATAATAAAAACTAAAAGATAAAAAAGAAGAAGAAGAAAAACAATTATGTAAAGACGAAAAACTCGTTTTTGTCTTAATTCAATTGATTTGTGAGTTTAATAGTAAATATATTTTTTGTTAATTTTATATGGTGTTTCTTTTTTGGATTTGCTTTATTTTATTATGTATATATTAAATAATTGTTTTTAATTATTTTTAGTTTTAGTTTATAACATTGAAATCTCTATGCCCACACAACAACAAATTAACAATGATATAAAACCCAAAAAATAAAATAGAAAATTAAAGAAGGCGAGAAAAGAAAAATAATCACTATAGAAATCACAAAAAGGAAATATGGGAGACTATGCCACAGAAACAAAATTCACCGGCTTACTAAAGTACGAAACCGATTTACTTTCAGAATGAGCGAAGAGTTGACCTTCGAGAAGGGTGAGTTAATTGTTGTAGGTGAAAAACATATGTAGGCTAACGATATATATAGTGTAGGATAAATGTTTTAGGGTTTTTTTTTTTAATTTTTTTCGGTGGCCCATTTTACAAATTCGGTGAATTAAACAAAATCAGTGACCCATTAACTAATAGTATAGATGACCCATTAAAATCATATTAACCATAGTGACACGTAGGATTAATGATAATCCAATTAGAATTAAGAAAAATGACATATATATATGACACATAAGCAAATCGTTCTGGTGTTAACACGTAAGAATTTTGACTTCGCAAATAATAGTATAGATTGGCCTAAGTAGAAAACAAATCGAACGTAACAGTCATATTTTTTTTGGGGTGAAATCCAAACAAAAAAAGAGTTTTGACTGTAGATAAACTGGCCCAATGGGCTATTTCAGAGTTGTATACGGGTCAACTTGTTACATTTTCGAACCTTCGGGGGGAAAAAGCATTGCAAGTTCGATAAAAACACCACGAAGTGCGGTTGTCAAAAAGGCAAATATTGAAGGGAGTACCAAAACAAAAAAATAAAAAACCTGCCGTTTCACACTTGTGGGCACCTACAAGACGACAACTTCTTTTTTTCGACACGTGTCTCAATTGCATTGATACACCGACCGCGTTCCTAACTCAAATCTCTCTCCTTCCGTTTCTCTCCTTCCTTCCTGTTTCTCTCCTCGAAAAGGATCCTGCAACTTTCAAAAACCCTAGATACACAAAAAGAGATTGGATTCCAATTTCTCTCCGGCGATTTTATGAGAGTGAAATTCGGCTCACGGTGAGAATCTCGATCCTCGAATCGACTTGATCGGAGATTTCCTTCAGTTTGTTTTCTCACCTAATTCGATCAATCTTTTGTTGTTGATAACGGATAATAATTCTCGATTTTAGAATCGGATTAATCTTTTCTTTTTATCCTCTTTGATTATTTAATTGTGTTTCTTTGGTAGCCTCGATGGAATTTTGTTAGGTTTATATTTTTTTTTCCTTTCTTTTTGCTGTAAAAATCGAGTTCTTCCACAATTTGAATTCGCTTCTGAAACATTTGTATACCAAAATTACTTTAAAATCTCTCAAAAGTTGGATTTTTTTTTTTTTGTGTGTTTCTACAGTATACGGAAAAGTACATGTTTTCAGAAAACAATATATTCTTCACGGATTTTCTTTTCTCTTGCAATGATTTAACTTCCAGTATATACATGGACGTATAAATCAGATTGTCTGTGGTTGAAACTTACAGGTAAAACTACTCTTGAGCTGAAAGATGAACACACAGGAGTCGAGAACAACTCGAGGAAACCGACGGAGGAAAGCTGTGATTGATCTGAATGCGGAACCCGGTGATCAAGAAGGGACCTCCGGTTCTGTAAGTGCTCCTACGGTGCCTACTGGTAACCTTCAGGGTGTGTCTGTACCTTCTCAACCTGTCCCTACCATGATTGATGTCGATGCTATTGAAGATGATGTTATTGAATCATCCGCAAGTGCTTTTGCTGAAGTATGCTCCCCCTTATTTACCATTTTATCTCCCCATTTTGAAAGTGTGATGGATAGGCAAATGATTTTTGTTTCAAATTTGATACCAGGCTAAAAGCAAATCGACAGGTGCACGTAGGAGGAATTTGATGGTTGATTTGGTTTCAGGTTAGTTTTATCTATGGTTATGGGATATGAATTTGAGCTTTATACTCTTTGTGTTTGTTACTGAATTTGAGCTCGCTGATTAGGATTGTTTTGTACACATATTTTTTCTTACTTGGACGGGTAAGTGCAGGTGGTGTGACTAGATTGCCATTCAATGTAAGACAAAAACGCAGAAGGATTCCTCCTAATCAACCTGTGATCGACTGTGAGCTTGCACCTATAAACACAAGCTCAAAGGCTCCAGCTCCTCCACCACCACCACCACCACCAGAGGAGCCAAAATTCACTTGTCCAATTTGTATGTGCCCGTTTACTGAGGAGATGTCAACTAAGTGCGGTCACATCTTCTGCAAGGGATGTATAAAGATGGCGATTTCCCGCCAGGGCAAATGTCCTACTTGTAGGAAAAAGGTTACTGCTAAAGAGCTCATTCGAGTATTCCTTCCAACCACCAGATGAATCAACATCTCCAGCCACCATGTAAGTCTTTAACTAATTGATAGTTTTTTCCATCTTCGATACATACAAATTATAACTAGTTTTGATTTATTGAAAAGGAAATTGGTTTGTCGCAGGTCTAATCTTTATCCTCAATCAAATTCGCTTTGGAACATTGAAAGGACTTCCATTACTTGGCATTTTAGTTTGAATATTTCACTTTGTTGGAAGAGAAGTATACTTTGTTATTTAGAACATCTCCAATGTATCATTTCATTTTTAACTCCAGAGTAATTGCTAAATGATAATAGATTTCTCTCTAATTTATTTCTCATTTTCTAAAAGAAAATTCTAAGTATGGTCATCTTTTTATTTTATTATTAACTGCTGTTAATATACTTTATCTATAAAATTTACAAATTGACATTAACTTATTAGTTGTTGTTGTATTACAAAGCGGATTGATTGGTTTCTCTCCAATGTTGGATTCAAGAACCGGATTAGGAGAGTCAAACCGGGATATAACACCAGTTGTGTATTTTCTCAGCACACGCACACAGGCTATCTTTTTGGTTCCTATCTAGACCTCGGATGAACTAATCCTTTTATCCAAACACATCTCCTCCGTCTCCGATCAAATCATCGGCGGCAATTCCTGCCCTTTTTGGACTCTCGTTCTCGAACTTTCTGTGAAAAACCGATTTGTTCACCGGAAGAAAAATTTCTCTAATGGGGACAGCCGTCGCAGGTAGCGACGTGGAGGTTGGATTTGCGAAGCTTCAAGGAGAGGATTTTGAGTACTACATGCAAACATACTCCATTATGCTCGGCCGCAATTCTAAGAAATCCACCGTCGATGTCGACCTCTCTTCCTTAGGCGGTGGAATGAACATCTCCCGAAACCACGCTCGGATCTTCTACGATTTCACGCGCCGCCGATTCGCCCTAGAGGTCCTCGGAAAAAACGGCTGCCTCGTCGAAGGCGTCCTTCATCTCCCGGGAAACCCTACCGTGAAGCTCGATTCGCAAGACCTTCTCCAGATCGGAGACAAGGAGTTTTACTTTTTGCTTCCTGTACGGAGCATTCTAGGCGGTCCGATGGGACCCAGGCACGTCGTCCCAGGGCATACTAGCGCCGGAGCAGTCGTGCCTTACCATCAATACCATTCCGGGCCGGGTTCCGGGTCAGGAAAGAAAGGCGGGCGGGGAAGAGAATACTTTGAAGAGTATGATGATGATGATGATGAAGAAGATGACGATGATGATGATAATAATATCAGGAGCAGTGGGAAGAAATCAAGGAGAGATGTATATGGCGGGTCTGCACCTCCTTCCGTTGGTAAAAATGAGACTTTTAACTAATTTCTAGCTTAATCTCTGTTCCCTTTAGGTTTCAGCATTACTCTATGATTCCATACTCAAAAAAGATTTTTGATATCATTGAGATGGTCGTGACTGTATATCATATGAAGCCAACATGCTTATTCGATCAGATTGTGTTAAGAGTTTGATCGATAAATCACCACTCAAGATGACAAAACCTACCAGACAACTGAGTGATTGTATATTTTGGATTATTTTGCTGCTGATTTTCATAATTGGTGTTGGATTGCATCGCTGACATATTTGCTGTACCATGTTATCCAGTTTCAGGGGTTTGTATTTTCTGGCTAAATGTTCGTTCTCGTTGGGATTACTTGTTATTGATTCAGACCTGTGCTAAGATAAAGTTAAATTTTTTATTTTTTAATTGGGAGAGTATATCCACTTGATGACTGCAGAGAGGAAGGGAGAAGGAAGAACTAGGGTAGATCGGGAAGCTGATGATCAGCAAGTTTTGAAGCTTGAGGAAAAAGATGTTGTGTCATCTGTTGCCACTGTTCTTTCTGATTTATGTGGTCCAGGAGAGTGGATGCCTATGGAGAAGCTTCATTCTGTGGTTAGTATCTCACATTAAATACCATCTCTTCTTTTGGATATAGATGTTTGTACGAGTGTTTCTATAGATTTAAATTCGGGAAACATACTTTTTTTTAGCACTAGAAACATCTTCTGTCAGAGTGTGAAAAGAAAGAAGAAAAACTAGTCTGAATAGAAGTTTTGTGAGGATTCATTTGGCTCTGTTCAGTTTTCTCAGGATTTGCAGTAATTAGTTAGAGAAACGAGTAGAAGCCAAACACACTAAGTGTTTGATCGCTAGTGTGTTTGAACGCTGTAAATTTGTCTACTGTTAACATTTTGGTTGTGAATCCTGCTTTCTTGTACTGAACCTTTTCTCTGTGGCTTTAAAGTTTTGGAATTTCGATGGGAGATTGATTGTGGTGATGATGCATGATGACTTGTGTAACTGTGGCAGATACTAGAGAATTATGGGAACGTATGGCATCACAGTCGTGTAAGGAGATACCTGACGCCTGAGGAGTGGGCGATTCCAGAAGCACAGGGTAAAGCATGGTACGGACTCCTGATGCTGCTGAGAAAATACCCAGAGCACTTCGTTATCAACACGAGGTCAAAGGGCAGGGTCACTCTTGAGTTTGTCTCCCTTGTCTCCCTTCTCTCGTGAAACAAAACCACATCCCAAGATGATAGAATCCTTTCTTTGTTAGTGCAGGAAAAATGTTTTTAAGGAAGTTCCCTTACTCCTTTTATGTAAAGTGTTAGAGATTTGGAAGGTATTTTCTCCTCTATGAGTCATTGGTCTTTTCTCTTTTGGTTTAGAATTAACAGAAATGAGTTTTTCTTTTGTTCCGTCTCTGATGAGCGTAAAGGACGTGTAGTTGACCAACGAGAGAAAATAATCAAATTTAAAAAAATTATGAGAAGAGAAGAGAGTAAGAAGAATAGTAAACTTTTGTCCCGGACGAAAACGGCACGCAGTTCTGGGTACCCTGTAGATTTCCCTCTTTTCTATTTGAAAAAAAAAATAAAAATGTTTATCGTGTTCCAACTTCAAACAGTTCAGAAACAGAAGCAACCAAGACGTGCGCTGTGCGCATATACATTAAAATGTATAACCTCCATCCACATAATTTCCAATAGATCGTCGAATTATAAACTTGTCTTACATTAATATATCTGAGAAATATATAATAAACTATCAATGTCAACGAGAGATGTCTGGTCTCCGTCCCAAAAAATCAATTATCATTAGATTATCCGATTTTTACCAACTTCACCACAAAAGCCGAACCCGGTTTAGTAAGAGTTGTTGAAGCTTGCGACATATTCATTGCCTCTACGGTTAAAAGACCTTCCTCCTCCTCCTCCTCCTCTCCTGTAATTGTTGCCATATCCATAACTTCCTCCTCCCTTTCCTCCCACGTTTCTATTACCGTATTCGTTTCCACCTCCTCCCACGTTTCTGTTACCGTATCCATTTCCACTTCCTCTGTTGTTACCTGTTACTCAAGCAAACAAACAAATCATCACCCTCTTCTTTTACATTATCATTATCAGACTTTTGCTACTCACCTCTTGCTGTAGATCGCTTCTCCTCCACGAATGCTTTCTGTCCACAGATCCTCAGAGGTGAAGCCTGTATCATGTAGATGTTAGTTAATACCCCATTTTAAAAGATAGGGATTCTCATTGCCCTACATTTGATATTTTCAGTGACTAGGACTGGTTCCTGTGAGCTCAAAAATGGATTTTTTTTTATGATGCTAAACAAGAAAGAGAAAAACTATATTCTAAGTCACAGAATATGTTACCTCTATTGCTTTCTGGGCGGCGTCTGCCTCTTTAAACTCAACAAAACCATAAGGATAACCAAGGCCCTACCATTCATACAGTTAACTATCAGTGTTTCAGGGAAAAAAATAAACAAATAGGCTTTCTTCGTCCCAGCAAAAGGGATTCAAACTGCATATGCTGAAATCTTATGTAGATTGGTCAATCTTACCCTTTGGTGTACAACTTGAATCCCACCATTGCTAATAGCTCCAAATTGCTTGAATGCATTCTCAAGTATGTCAATGGTGGCATTTGTGGGAAGATGTTTCACATGAATAGATGTACCTTCAGCTACCGCTGATTAATAGACAAAAGAGTGTCAAAACCATGTCATAAAATGGACTTAGAAAAAATGAACCGCCAAATATAAAATTGTGGGTCAGCTTTTCTATGAACTCTTACCTTCAAACCCCTGATTGTGTCCATTTTCAGTAGCATCGACAACCTCAGGAACTGCATCAGATTCTATCACTGGAGAAGGATCTGAAGACGCTTGATGATCTTGGTCTTTGAGTATCTGCTCTGGAGAAGGATCTGAAGACGCTTGATGTTCTTGTTCTTTGGGGATCTGCTTTGGGGACAGTGAAGAGCTAGCTGTAACTCCAGATTTATCCTTCGCAACCTTCAATTATCACCAAAGTCATTGGTTATGAAAGAGAACTCCATAAGTTATAGGCCTACAAAAAAAGGAAACACATTCAAGTATGGATCCTCTCGAGTGTCTACTTACCACAGAGGCATACGATTTCTTGGGTCCATAATCTGGGTCAGGAAATTTTAGTGAATCACCAACAACTTCTTTGCAAGTTAACTCAAGATCTGAAACTTCTTCGTTGACGACCTCAGGTACCAAAACATTCTCCTCACAAACATCATTCACTGGAACACATGCAACTTGCTCAGAACCCTGAATGCCTACAGAAGCTGTATTTACATTAAAAAAAAAGGACAGGTTTATGATGTGCGTCAGAGGAAGTTAGAAAAGTGATGGAGAATGAGTATAAGCTTCACCTACCAGTAATAGGACTGATCCTATCAGAGTCTTCCCCATCTATGGCCTCGGGTTCATTGGCAAATCTGAGGATGTCATTAAGAACAAAGTACCCATTTTCTTGCGGAGCAAGAAAAAAAGTTTGGGTGAAATTCTTTTTAAGCCTCTCGTTTAGAGTGAAGAAGCCAGTGACCACAAGAAGAAACCCTCCATTGTAAGACTCTTGGGTATCATAACTGGTTATCTCAGCCGATTTGAAATCTCCACAAGACAGTGTCTTAAGCTCCTCACGTATACCCTGCTCAAGAATAGGCATCAATGATACAAGTTTTAGCAAGTTACTTAGACTGACATCCAATTCCAGCCAATCAATTGACACCACTCCATCCCAACCTCATGTTATTTACACAAGTAAAATGGAAAACACTGACATGATGGAAAAAGAATAATCATAACTCAACCAAACCAAGCAGCTAAATTTTTACAATACAAGACTTACTTGTAATGTGGAGAAGTCGCGCATTACTCCATCTTGATTAACACGCCCAATCTTACTGATCTCTTGATAGAATCGGAACAGATGCTCAGGCATGTTGTACAAAATCTCGTAGTACTGCATGACAAATGCTCTCCCAACCTAAATTTACCAACCCAAAACAGCTCCTAATCACACAAAAAGGGACAAACAACAACACACAAAAAAAAAAATCACAGTAAAACTTGTGAAAAGAGAGAAAAACCCCATGACTGGGACATACAGCGAGTGGGTCAACAACAGGAGCAGGTACTACTCGTCCAGCAGAATCCATGACCTCCGGAGATTAAGTAATGCCTTGGAAATTCATAAAATAGCTATTAGAATTAATCTCATCACAGAACAACCCAAAAGACAATCCTTGAAACCACACAAGACTATTTTCAACATCTTAATGTACCTCATGAACTATACACTACACACAGAGATAACCTCTAATAAAAAATTACAATTAGCAACAAAGGAACTCAAAGGCCAAAGAATCTGTATCACATTTCGCACTAACTGGGGAAAGAGAGTGTGTCTCTGAAACACTGTAGATCACATTTAGCGAAACATCGTCACTCAAAAAAAAAACAAATGAAGGCGAAATCGTGGGAAACGACGAGTCACCTGAAATTAGAGAGAGAGAGTGGTGGAGAAGGAGTGAGAGAGAAGTTTGAGTAGTGAATAGGAGCTTCGATCTAGTCCCAACCAGTGAGCAATGGCGGGTCCTATCTAGGGTTTGATCGCACGAGAAGGAGAGAGGCCAAGTGTACGGAACGCGAAAAGGCAACGGAAGGGGCTTTAGTGGGTTTTATATAGAACGGAGGAGGAGGAAAATCTTTTGACTCACGTGCCAACAGAGTCCGTTCCGCTTCCTCCACCTTTGCATATTTTTTCCCCACACGAACTTTTAATTAACAAGATTAACTTAATCTTTTAGTGATTTGGGCTTATTTGATTGCACAAAGACCAATGCATCTTATATAATCCATATGGACCAACATTCCCCTGATAACTATTATTAAGTTCATATTATATTTATGGATTTGTGTGCTTTAGAGAGAGCTAATGAATGATTATAATTTAGTAATCGCTTAGGTTTATCAAAAGTAACCAAATGAAAATGGAGGGAATGATGCAGCGTTCTATCATTTGGCGTATCCGAAGAAACTTCTTTTTTTTTTTGGGTCCAATGCAAAAGTTCCTTGGACATCATTTATTTCGTCAAATTTGAACTTCTATATTTAATACGCGCATTATGCTTCTTTGTTCTAACTTTTGGATTAGAGTTTGGCAAATCTATTGAACAATAATTCGGGATCACTAATAACCTTTTTAAGGGTTGTATCACAGATCAATCACCAGTGCCGTTACGTTTGTTTGTGATTTTTTGGCGAGTCAAGTTCTATTGAAGTTGAAGGTTACTCCTCAGATTTATGAAAACATTTCTTAGTTTTCTCATTTTGGGATCAGGACCTCTTCGTATTATACCTATTTGCTGTGTGACTTCCTATGTCACACTGTTTTGAGGAAGATAAAAAAGGCTTTACGTATTGGGCCAACTCTGGGCCGAACCTTAGTTTAAATTAAATAAAGTAGCGATGTGATAGATCACGCGACCAAAAGATTTGACAGATAACAGAAAAGGTTGAAACTTTGAAAGCCTATGAGATTATTAAGCTTCTCTTTCTTTTAATGAGAGATTAAGCTTCTCTTGCTTACCTTTCCCGGAGATCGGAGATAATGGCTGCTAATTTCTGGAATTCGTCTCACTAGTAACATTCTTCATCCCATGAATAATTACTTCTTCTTCTTCTCCTATGCAGCTTTAATTTCAATTCTTTCGATCTTTTTTTTTTAATTGGTTGCGTTGTTCGAGCAGCAAACAGCTTTTGGACCCAGAAGAAGTCGATGTAGTTCATGCTCTCGACAAAGAACGTGGAATTTCCATTGAGGATTTTAAGCTCATCAAGTTCCATATGTCCAATCGTATGGAGTTTTTCTTCTCTTCTTTTGCAATTGATTTTCTTACATCCGTGCCTCTTAATTTTTTGGTCCCTCGATTGTTTTTTTTTTGTTCACGGGGTTGTCTCTTTCTTCACAATTGAGCAAAGACTTTTTTTTTTCCTGCTATTTTGCGTCGATTAGGTTAGAAAGAAAGTGTTTTGTAGGCTTGTCTGCTGTTGAGTTTATGCCTATTTGTTTCTTCCTTATTGTTGTTTCAGATATTATGAAATTGGCTCAGCACATTAAAGTGAGACAAAGGTTGGTTTTCATTTTGGGAATCCAATTTGCTGATCAGGGATTCGAGTGTTTTTTTTTTTTTCTTTTTTTGCATTTTTCTGTGGAAATAACCAACTATTATCTGTGTAACCTGGAATTTTTTGTATGAATCGTTGCCTTTTCTCTACTTATGTAGGGTTGTGGCTACTGCAATTACGTATATGAGACGGGTTTATAGCAGGTATGCACTGTAATTTCTCTTTGATCTTGTCAAAGTGCATCTTGTGTTTGATTTTTTTTGCCTCTAATATCTTTCTTTGACATACATGATACTGTCTCAGAAAGAGCATGGTAGAGTTTGAGCCCCGCCTTGTTGCTCTTACATGCTTGTACCTGGCATCTAAAGCTGAAGAAAGCATAGTTCAGGCCAGGAATCTTGTTTTTTACATCAAAAGATTGTGTAATATCTTCTACTGTGTGTTTCCTATTTTGACTTTCTATTGTGCTAAATTTATATGAAAGATCCCCTTTTTCAATATGCATTTTTGACATATCAACAACGATTCTTGTATCCTTGCAGATCCCGACGAGTACAAATATGAATTAAAAGATATATTAGGAATGGAGATGAAGGTCTTAGAAGCACTGAACTATTATCTGGTTGTGTTTCACCCTTACCGGTCATTATCTGAGTATGTGCTTGTCTCCCTTATCTGCCTTTTACAAGCATATAATTTGAACATGTTTTTGTCTTGTTTTCTGAATTTGCTAGCAGAGATGAGATGGTTGGAAGTGTAAATGATAATACATGTAAAAACTTGCATGTATTTTTTTTTCTGTCATATTTCCAGTGTAATTTTTGGACCGATTCTATATTCCTTGAGTGAGAGTTGAGAGTTTTGTATGCCTTTGTTGGTATTTAAACCAATATATATCCCTACCCTGGAATTGCATTCATTGTAGACATATAATCAACATTCTTTTCAAGAACTCGTTCTTTTGATTTCTCAGGTTTTTGCAAGATGCTGCAATAAACGATGTAAATATGAACCAGCTTACATGGTAAAGTCCTGTTTGAGAAATTTTGCTTAGAAATCTTTTCCTAGTTCCAATACTAAGATCTAAGATCTCTAACCTATGTAAAGATCATCTAAAAACACCGAGTTTATTGTTTTGTTTTTTCCGTGTTTCAGGGGAATTGTCAACGATACCTATAAGATGGACCTCATTCTTGTACACCCTCCCTATCGCATAGCGCTAGCGTGCATATACATTGCAAGTATCCACAGAGAGAAAGATATAACGGCATGGTTTGAAGATCTTCATGAGGACATGAACTTGGTCAGTTATACTTCCAAAAGACCCTACAAACATGTTCTAGCTTTTGCTTTTATTCAAGTTATAATGTCCAGCTAAAAGCTGTTCTTTTGTTTGGTTTTAGTTACCGTTGTTGTTGAAACCTTACTGGATTAGTGTTAAAACTTGAGGCAATGTGTTGCAGGTGAAGAACATTGCCATGGAGATTCTGGACTTCTATGAGAATTGCAGAACTATCACTGAGGAAAGAGTGAATTCCGCCTTCAGCAAATTGTCTTTGAAGCCGTAGCAGCTGGGAATTGCCTTTCATCTCCAAGATTTATCTGATGCTCTCTGTCTCTCTCACAGAAAAAAAAAAAAAAAAGATCAGAGACTTTCTCAATTGCACATCTTAGCTTCGTGGCAGAATTGTAACATTAATGTTAATTCTATCAAACATAATCTTAATGTTATATGACAATTAGTTTCCCATCTTTATGATACGTGATAATGGTTAGGGATAGTTAGGGTGTTTTAGTTGATAAATTATTGTGTTTTTGAATTAGATTTTAATATTTTCCTTTCTATGTTAGCGTGTTTTCCTTTTTGCATTAGGGTTATAATTTAAGTTGTATCAAGATTTATATAAAAGTTTTTATTGATTAATAAAAATACAGCTTCCAACAATTAACCTTAATTTCTAAAAGAGATTAGGGTTAAGAGGAAAAAAATTTAAAGTTTTAATTTCTTCTTATATCATGGCGTCTAATTATTCGGTCCGATTACTCAAGCTAAAACTAAATCTTTGACTCATATCACTTTATCCTTCTTTTTTATTTCTAATCAACACCTTTCTTTGAAGCAAAAGGTCATATTGATGAAGATGAGAAAAATAATTAGTAGGAGAAAGAGAAACATGACAAGATGTCAGAGACGATGCTTCAGATGTAGAAATGAGATTAGACCTGATCCTACAAGTCAGACCCGGGGATGTAAAATTGAAACGGCATATGGTTTATTCTTGAATTTATAATCAGAATAGATTATACAACAATGAAGTCTATATATTGAATTACTATGACTAAGATTCAAGATGAGCAAACAGGCCAAGTTGTTTCAGAACCAACTCTGAAACCATTGTTTTAAAGCAATTGGGACAGTAAAATTATCTTCAATAATAAGACTTTTTTTCAATAAAAAGTCGAAAAAAACATCTTCAATAAAAGGTTAAGATAATGCGGTTGTTTAAGACACTGAAAAGAAGACAATTAACTATAACAAAAATTTCTTAAACTACTGGAATTATATGCTATGATTCCTATCCTCGACCGCATTATAACCTGACCTTTTATCCGAAATGAAAGAGGCCAACTTTACGTGACCTATTAGAGCATCAGAGAAACCCATTTGGGTCTTTTGTTGAATTGTTTATTAATAAACTAGTTTAAAAACTTAAATAAGAGACTAAAGTGTTTTGATGTCTGCAATGGTAGAAACCGAAAGATTCAGCGTAGATTGCAACAAGATTACGAGACCATTAATTCCTAATTTCGAAGCTCAATCAGTACTCGGTGAATTTGAAGTACAGATTAACGAAGGAGAAGCGCAAACCATAGAAGCGACGAGGTGAGGTAGGAAGATTCCCTAATCGGCGGAGCTGGAAGCGCAAAGGCGGCGGCGGGACGGAGAAATGCGAGTGAAAAGACGGAACTGAGGATAAAATGCGGCCAACTCAGTGCAAGTTAACAGTGGTTGGAGAACAGTACGAATTGTGAATTGCTGAGTTTTTCCCCGGCAGCGATGAAGAAGACGACGGCGAAGCGACACACATTGACCACCAGCCATTAACACCATTTTTCGTAGCACATAATTTGAAGAATCAAATCGATTGGAGAAAAATCAACAAAACTCGATCAAAGAAGTAAATAAATTGTTCGACTTGCATGCCGCAATTGTTTGATCAAAACTGGATCATAGAAGAAAATTTTGTGCCAAGGAAAGAATGAAGAAAAAAACGATTAACATTTTTCCCCCAGCATTTTTAACCTGGTTGACACCTGGCACGAGAAACGTTTCTTCTGGTCGCCAAATAAGAAACGTTTTTAACAAAAAAAACTTAACTTTCATTAAATTTATTAATAAAAATTTATAAGAGACCTAGCTAAATACCCCGATAATGATGGTCTTAGATTCTTATGCTCATTATCTCTACCACAAAATTAAAAAGAAAAATAAAGGAAAAGGAAAGCTTTTTTTTTTTTTTTTTTTTTAATTTGTTGTTGTTGATTTTGAAGGAAAGCCATCGTCTTGTATTTGAAGTTGAGGGATCAAAGAAAAAGGAAAAAAACTATGGCTTCCAATTTCTGGACATCGTCGCACTAGTAAAAGTTTCAACTTTCAATCAATATTACAGATCTTTTTAAGAGGAATTGTTCGATTTCTGTTTTTCTCTGATTCCTTACATCCTTTTTTTTTCTTTCTGGGTTTCTTCGTACAGCAAGGAGCTTAAGGACCCAGAAGAGATTAATGTTGTTCATCCTCTTGATGCTCAGAGAGGAATCTCTGTCGAAGATTTCAGGCTCATTAAGCTTCATATGTCTAATTGTATGTTTCGATTATGTACTTAGGTTTTCATCTCATCCGTCTTCAAACTTGTTTATGTCCAGATTTTTCCATGGATTAATCATCTATATATGTTCTTCTGCTTTTGAGGTTTCAGTAGTCTAAAGATCAGTTTCTCGTGGCAGTCTTCATTAATTGGCTAGTTCATTAGTCTCACTTTTTGCTGTATGGATCGTCATTTTCACATTCTTGTTCGTTTCAGATATATCGAAACTGGCACAACACATTAAGATTAGGCAAAGGTGAAGTCTTTTTGATAATATCATCACTGTTGTTGTTGTTTATGAGATATGAAATGTGCAACCATCCTTTGAACAATGCTGACTGATTTAGTACATCTTTTTTTCTTTATAATATGATTCAGAGTTGTTGCAACTGCGGTAACCTATATGCGACGTGTTTACACAAGGTATGGCTTCTCTAGTTTTCGATGATCTTGTGTAGCACGAGGCTCGGTCACTGATTTATGTCTACTTTTGTTGACAGAAAGAGTTTGACAGAATATGAGCCTCGGCTTGTTGCTCCCACCTGCTTGTATTTGGCTTGCAAGGCAGAGGAGAGTGTGGTGCATGCCAAAATTCTTGTCTTCTACATTAAAAAATTGTGTAATTCCTTTTTTACTTTCTGCTTCAAAAGCTTTCTTGATTTGCTCGAGCTTTTGTCTGAGTTTCTGATGAAGTCGAATGCTTTGACTCTGCAGATGCTGATGAAAAGTTTAGATATGAGATTAAAGATATTCTGGAAATGGAGATGAAGATCTTGGAAGCATTGAACTTCTATCTTGTTGTATTTCACCCGTACCGATCTCTCCCTGAGTAAGTCTTTTGTATAACTTTGCTGGGCATCTTTCCAAATCAAACAAACCCACAAAAAATCTTTTGCTACTATATACTATGGATTTTCTTTGGATTGATTTTTCTTGCTTATCACAGGTTCTTGCAGGATTCTGGAATCAGTGACACAAGTATGACCCATTTAACATGGTAAGTATCCAAAACTTTTGTCCTTTAAAAAGCTTGGGTGATGAAGTGTTGTAATCAAGAAGTCATTTGCATTCCGTGTTAGAACAGTTACCAGCATCTGACAAAATCTTTAAATTTGATCACAATCAAACAGGTTTATGATTTGCAAGCAAAAGTAAAAATGCTCTCTTGATGCTAAAGTTTTTGTGGAAACTATAGGGGACTTGTCAACGACACTTACAGGATGGACCTCATCCTTACACATCCGCCTTACCTCATTTCACTCGCTTGCATTTACATTGCTTCTGTTTACAAAGAGAAAGACATAAGGACATGGTTTGAAGAGCTTTCTGTGGACATGAACATAGTAAGCTTTGTTGTTCACTAGAACCTGAAATGCTTTCAACTGCAAATTATTTGGGCCATTTATTTCCAAGTATCAGGTCTTGTTTAATCATATTCATCGGTGTGTTGTGAACATTGGCAGGTGAAGAATATCGCAATGGAGGTATTGGATTTCTATGAAAACCACAGAATGTTCACGGAAGAGAGAGTCCACGCTGCCTTCAACAAACTTGCTACTACAAACCCATAAAAGTTTTGACGGGAATCTTAGTCGACTTGTGTTTATTTGTTTTGTTCACCCTGAGAAATTTTATGTTTTGGGAGAAGTTTCTGACATGAGATCATTTCGTTTATTGTACATTAGTTTTGCTCTGTCTTGTTAAACTATGACTTGGCTATGCATAGTAAACGCTTTCGCCGGAAAACTCACATGAAAAAACTTTAAACTTATTTTGTCAAAAACGAGTTCGAACAGGGCTAAACTACGATTTGGCAAATCCACTATAAAACAGATGCAATTACAAGCTTTCTCTCTCTACAATGAACAAGAAAAGTCTCGGAAGAAGAAGAAAATGAAGTCATGAAGAAGATGAGCGTAACTGCTCGACTCTTGCTATGTTATATAACAGAGCAACAACTCCAACAAACTCTTCAACTGACATTAAACCAGCCAAACCGGCTTCAAAATAGCAACCCACTAAAATAGTCTTTTATTCGTTTGAACCAAAATTAACCGCGACTTAATGTTTTGCGCTAACCGTGACTCAATTTGCAATCTTTACTGCTTAGCCCGCTCACTCGTAAGCTTTCCTCGTGTCGTGAGCTACATTGCTAAACCGGTTACAAGAAGGATAATTTCGCTTTTGAGCTGAACCGAGAAATCTTCTAGCTTAACGAGAAGCTTTCTTATATCAACCGAAGAAGATGAACCAATAAACTACTAACTCATTATCCCCTCATAACGGTGTAGAGGTGTAAAAGATTCACTAAAGATTATGAAAAAATCTTTCCTGTCTGAATCCAAAGAATTTTTCTGTCCGCCGATGTGAGAGAGAGAGTTTTCGAACTAGGGTTGGGTAATAAAATTGGAAAAAGGCATGGAGAGGGACAAGGAAAGGTCCTCGCCGCCATTACATTCAAAAAGGGTCACTTTCTTTTTGCTGATAGTGATGGGTTAACCTCTCAGATCCGTCCAAAGAGTATGTGTCGGAAAATTTTATAAACACTATTCCCAATCCTTTACTAATTTAACGAATCCACACATTCCTGAATGGATCAACGTTAACCCACCACACCCACTCGCCCTCTCTCTCTCTCGTACACCTTCCGAGTATTATCCAAAGACAGAGAATTTCTTGATTCGGTTTTCAGTTTTTTCTTTCTCAGTGGAGATTCTTTGTAATTAGAGTTTTAGTGGGTATTGCTATTCTCTGCTGGTTTTGACGATTTTCGATCACTTTCTAAATCTGGGCTTCCTGAATAAGAAGAAACCAGTTTGTACACATTATCAAAATCGGTTTGCTTTTGTTTTTTTTTTGTTTCTTTGAATCCGAAGAGCTTCGATTCAGATTTGAGTGGTGTTTTGATTAAAGATCTGGGATTGGTATTAGTTGTCAATGAGCGCATTAGATGAAAGGCATTTAAATGTGGAGGTGGAGAATGGGATTAAAAATGGTTGCTTTGCGCTTGCTTTCGAGCAGCAACCAGAGACCATAGCGATACAAGAAGCTGTGAAAGTTCTATTGCAAGGTCTTGGTGAGGATATCACTCGTGAAGGCATAAGAAAAACACCTTTTCGTGTTGCCAAGGCTCTTCGAGAAGGAACCAGAGGTATATGTGTGCTTTTGAATCTGATTTTTCTTATTTGGTTTAGATTTTCTTCTAGTGTCTTAAACTGATGAAAATTAAGGGAGGTTTTTTTTTTTTTTGGGTATAATTGAGTAGCTTGTCATTGAGTTAGTTTTCTATGCATCTCCCACGACTTTTTAATTATCTGATGTTAATGGTGTGTTCTTATCTCAGGTTATAAACAGAAGGTTAAGGACTTTGTGCAGAGTGCTCTGTTTCCAGAGACAGGATTGGATGATGGGCAAGCAGGAGGAGTGGGAGGTCTTGTTGTTGTCCGAGACCTCGATCATTACTCTTACTGTGAATCTTGCTTGCTTCCTTTTCAAGTCAAGTGTCATATAGGATATGTACCTTCGGGCCAAAGAGTTCTTGGACTAAGTAAGTTCTCTAGAGTCACCGATGTTTTCGCAAAGCGGCTCCAAAAGCCTCAGCGTTTAGCTGATGATATATGTTCAGCTCTCCAACATTCGGTCAAACCTTCTGGAGTCGCTGTTGTTCTCCAATGCTCACATATCCTCTTCCCGAGTCTAGACATAGACTTTCCCGACTCGAGCAACAATGGTTTTGTGGAGTTAAATGTTACCTCGGGTTTAGGGGATTTTGAGGATGAAAGGTCGGATCTTTGGTGTGAATTTCTGAGTCTTTTGAAGTTCAAAGGCGTAAAACTGCATAGAAACGGCTCTGTGAAAGACTGGTGCCCGATCGTTGTTGAAAACTCATCCAAAGTTTTACCTGCAGACTCGGAAATGGTTTCTGCTGTAGTCTCCATCTTGAAATCTTTAGGAGAAGATCCCTCAAGAAAAGAACTCATTGCCACTCCCACCGGATTCTTGAAATGGATGATGAACTTCCAGAACGCTAACTTGGAGATGAAACTCAACAGATTTGACTGCAAAGTCATGGAGAGAAGACTTAGTTGTGAGACGAATATCCGGTTTTGGTCCATGTGTGAGCATCACTTGCTTCCTTTTTATGGAGTTGTGCATATTGGCTACTTCTGTGCTGATGGTTCCAAACTCATTGGAAGGTCACTAGTAGAGTCGATTGTACAGTTTTACGGGTTTAAGCTCCAAGTGCAAGAAAGGATGACTCGGCAAATCGCAGAGACATTGTCGCCACAAGTCGGGGGCGATATAATCGTGGTGGCAGAAGCTGGACATACTTGTATGATCTCTAGGGGAATTGAGAAGTTTGGAAGTAGCACTGCTACAGTTGCGGTTTTAGGTCGGTTTTCGAGTGACCTTTCTGCAAGAACCAAGTTCCTAGAGAGTATTCAGAAAACAGAGTAGAAGAGGCATATTGTCTCTCATACGATTAAAAATCTTTTAGAATGGTTCTGACTTGTTTTGTTCCTTTTTCTACCATTGTTTTGTGTTCTGTTTTCTCATGCCGAACATTTTTTTTGTTCTGCCTTTGAAGTACATATTGTGGCTTTGTTCTGATCATCTTTTTTCAGTGGAAGTAATATTGTGCTATACATGATTTCCATCTTTAAAATTCGTCTAGTCGCGCTGAAAGAAAGAGCAATGGTGGCCTAATCAATCACCCAATGTTGTAAGAAAAACAAATAGTGTGATAAACCAGTTTGTGCCTATGTACAGTCACAATTGGTTCTCTTTTTCTCCTCATGGGTTGTGTCGTAGGAACATAAGAAAATATATAGTCACAGCTAAAATGGAACAACATATGGAAGAGCTGAAATATCGGCAGATTCTATTCTGAAAGCTTGGTTCCAGACATGCAAGGATTCACCAGAATCAGGAGAAGTTGTTCTTGACTTTTTTAACTTGACACCCAACGGACCTCCATACAGCCATTCTTGGTCATCTTCACCCTCCGGAATCAGCTCCCTTTTCGGTACATTGAGTATATGATTCAGATACTTAAGGTCCGGATGAGGCGGCTTTGCAGATGCTTCATTATTTTCTTTGACTTTCACTTTCATTGTTGCAGCCAAAGGATTCGGTGGACAGACTTTTTGTCTTTCTCCAGAGACAACAAAACCGTTGATATTAACTTCCTTGGCTTCTGGCTTGCAAGTCGTTTCTTGCACCTCAGAAGCAGGTATTGGAGTAGTTCGTCGTGCACTTAACGTTCTTCCATTTTTCACAGATGCTACAGATGCTGAGTGCCTCTGTAACTTGTTTGGTGTGGTTCCATTCTCTGCACAAGTATTAAAGACTAGTGTTAAACAAACATTTTATCAGTAAGAAAATACAATGTAAACCAACAAGATCTTGCAAGATTAGTCAAAATAACAGCCACACTACTCAGAAACGAAAAGATTTAAATAATCTTTTTAAGGTCAGAAAACATACCATGATTGGATAAAACTATAAGGTGCTTTTAAGTACCAAACCATATATCATACTATGGTTAATAGGGCAACTACACACCTATATCCCTCCTCATTCACCAGACAGGGAATAACTCACCATACAAGAATCCATTGGTCTCAAGATCCTTCCGTTTGCCAAGATTTCCCTCAGCAATAAAGTTCTTGACGCTCGCCCGCAAAAGGTCAGGCGGTTTGCGATTCCTTATATCCTCCAGAGCGTCATTCCCCGTCTCCTCTAGTTTCGGTTTTTCCTGATGAGTTTTCTTAATCGACTCCGTTTTTTCCTCTTTCTTCCCTTTGTATCTGTCTTTATCATTTGCTTCATTTTTCTTCACCCCTTCTTTATCCCTTGGTTTATCACTCTTGGTCGCATTCTCCTTGCAGTGGCTCTTCTCAGGTGAATCCGTTTTCCTTGCCTGGTCTCTTTTCTCCACTGGTTTATCCATAGCCTCACCTCTTTTCTGATCTGCACCAAAGTTCTTCTGGGTACTGATTCTCTTATCGTCATTTTCCTTATGGTTAGTTCCTTGAATAGGGCAGAAACTGCTGTTCTCAAATGCTTTTCCTGTTACTCCTTTTTGGTTAGTAATCTTTTGTGCACTCTGACTTCCTGTTGCTTCCTCTTCATATCTGATCCTTCTTGCCAAGTCCTGTACATACTTCGACTCTCCGTTACTATTATTCTGCACGGTGTTTGTTACAAATGTCTTTATGTGCCCCGCTTTTTTCAGCACTTCATCTTGATTCTCTTCCAAAGGTTTGCTTTTTTCTTTATCCTTTTCCTTGTCTTTCCGATCTTTATGTTTCTCTTTTTTCTCCTTTCTTTCCTTATGTTTGTCTTTGCTTCTATCTTTACTTTTTTTCTCTTTACCCTCTTTCTTTTCTTTGTCCTTATCCTTCTTGTGTTTCTTTTCCTTGTACTTCTCCTACAATTCACATCCCATGAAGAAAAACATATATGAGCATTTCAGCTGATAGTTCCACATAAGACTGTACATCGCAGAAATATCAACATAGGATACAAGAGCATGTCAGCAGAAAGTTTTCATTTTCCACAGGGGAATTGCACAAGATTTACCATGCTCTGGTAGGTAGGACTTCCACAAGCCATATGAACATATATAAGGTTACGAGGTAGAAACAGTGAAAAAATTGGATATGCATTGGTCACAGTTCCTTTTTTTTTTATTCTCATTTACGGAAGATATCTTTTAGTAGGTAACTAGTATGATCGGTCTACAGTAAGCTACTACCAGTAAGTCCAAGATCTTCACTACTCTTTCTGAATACCATTTACTGCAGCGTCTCAAGAAAGCTATGCAATCAACTACATCAATGCAAACGAATATCATCCTCACTATCTCCTAAATGGGTAGAGAGTCTGAAAAGGCATGACTGGGGTCTTCAGGCCTAATAAGCAGACCCTTGTGAAAATAATCAATGAGATAAAAATCTAACATAGAAAACAGAATGACCATGATTCAAAGTAGAGTAAGTTCCAAGAGTTAACATATGAACCTTTATAAGAGGGTCTGTTTCGTCAGTTGTAATCTTCTTCTCATATCCTGGAGGAGGAAATGGGAAGCAGCGAGACATGGCACTTGTCCGTGCGAACTGTAAAGTGGTATACTTTCACCACAGTCCAAACTAATTTTTTAGCTCCTTTATGCCAGCACTTGACCAGATCAGAATCTATGATCCAGTACACCATTCCAGCTCGAACTTTAACTTTCTGTCTCCCGCAAAAATCACCTCCAAGAAATCAATTCCAAGTCCACATGTACATTATGTCTCACAACTTAGCAAAATTATACTTCGGGAGCCCTGATACGGGTCACTTTGGGTTGATCAAGAGTTGTAATCTTCCAAGATTTATAGCTTGCCACCAGAAATCGAGATCAGAACCACTTTGACAAGCTTCCGTAACAGCCGTTAACAAGGTTTTGGATATAAGACTCTAATGAGGCATCTCTTTATTAGCTTAATTAATCAATATATCAGCTTCGTGGCAGGTGCCAACAAGAAGAAACCCAATTGGGGAAGTACTGACTCGCTCATCAACAGATACACTGAGTCATTTCTCTGCTGCACACTTCAAGGGCTCAGCTTACTAGTCTAGGGTCGATTCCAAGGGCGATCCAATCAAAACCCTGAAAAATCAATTGAAAGTAAAATGTCAAGTGAAATCACCAGCTTCCAAAAATACAAAATAAACTCGAAGCTATGGCACCAATTCTCCATGTGGGAAGTAGTACGGAAGCTGAAAACATCGAGAGAAACCCAATAGCGAAGCGAGATTCAGCTAAGAATCGGCGGATCCAAAATTCAAAAGTTTGGTCAAAAATTCACTCTATAATCTAAGATTTTCAGTTAAGTAACAGAAGAAATTGCTAGAAAACAGCTTCGGTTTACGAAAATCAGAAACAAGAAAACGTGCAAATGGAAGATCTCAGAGGAGAGAGAGAGAGGGAAGGAATTAAATTGAAGGAAATGAGAAATATCTTCTCTCATCTCACTATCAATCTACATGTGTTGGCATATGGGTTGTATATACCTTCTCTTTCTGTATATAATCTGTAAAGGTTCTTCTCTGATATTTTTATTTGTATTATCAAAAAAAGTTTCTACGGATTAATTTTGATGGGAAGAAGAAACTCTCTCTCTCTCTCTTCTTTCTCTCAAAACCCCAGCCAAGGAATGAGAAAATTTTGGACAGAGAATGGCAAATGGGAATTTATCAAGGCAGAGAAAGAAGATAGACACGTGTCACTCATGTGCTTACTTTTGGACATTCTCCTAACGCAAAGGCCTTTTTGGGCCATTTCTCAATTTGGGCTTAGCCTGATATTGACTATGTATTATACTCAAAATTCTTTAATCTTTCTAGTTTTTCCAAATTAATGTTATACTGTACAGAGAATTCACTGAAGATTACCCAACACATGATAGGAAGATAGGACATACAGAAACTAAAGACATGATAAAACCAATCTCTCTATAAGCCATCATTATACACATAGTAACGAAAACTTTGGACAAAAATAATTTCCATAGCCATTGACCCGGAAGAAACCTTTTTTTGTCTCCCTATACATATAATGCAGTGTGCACCCAAAAAGATATTCGAGCTTCCTTTTCTTCTTCAAGCAAACTGGTTCATTTCAGACACTGCTATTTTCTTCTTCTTCAGCATTCTCATTCTCCTTGAGCTTGAACGCGCCATCTACATACTCCTCCGTATCCCACAGAAACGTACCAAACGCCACAGCCTCAAGAAGCAGCCTCTTCAGGCTAGAAAACGATGTCACAATGCTCTCTTTGTTTTCCTCGGGACCGAAAAGAGCTAGGCTCTGCTTCTCTATCAGGTTCTTGGCTTCACGTGACCTCGGCTTTGCGCATCTCTGCAATATCTTTGGGTCGAACCCGGATATGTAATGTCTCAGTTGCTTAGTGAGGCTTCCGTGGTTTTCTGATAGCGAGCATTCGAGTTGGTACCTGAGCGAAGCAGATTTCAAAAAGTATCCATACAAGATCGAAGCTGTGTATACTTTACTTAGCTGATGCGTATCTATCTCGGCTGTAGCCAAATTGTCAGTCAAAGTAGAATTCGCTCTTAAGCTGATGACTGCGTTACTGTGTTCTTTGATGAGTTCAAGGACGTCGTAGCTATGGATTGATTCGAGTTCCCAGTCTTTCGAAGGCCAGATCTCGAGTCTTTTATTGTAGATGCAAGTGGGGAGCTTTGGAACAAGAGGCACTCTTATCTCGGAGAATTTGTACAAGATCAACATGTACATTATGTCTTCAACTGCAGTTTGGCAATTGCTCTCCTTGAGTTGCGCTATCCTTCTGGAAACCATGTTTAGAGTCAAATCAGAGAATAAGAATTCATAGAAAATTGAAGAAACAATTTGAATATAGAATGAACAGAACTGCAGATGTAAGCTAAAATCAAATGAAATTGTTTGAATCTTATGCTAAGCCAATCACAATCATCCACGGAATCACCATATATGCACTGATTTATGTAGATTGATGTGTGTTTGTGTATTCGAAATTGAATCGTATGATTGAGGAAGGTGAAAGGTTAAAGAACCTGTGGAGAGACGCTTCAACGGATCCAGAACTGAGGAACATCCTCGATAAAGCGGATTCTTTATCATCGGCGAGCTGCTTGAGCAAATCAGCGACGGCGAAGTGGAAGAGCTGCCGCTTTTTGAGCAAGACGCAGCTTAGAAACCGTCCCTGAGCCGAAAGCGGCGCGAAAGGCGCGTCGACGCTCGCTCCAGCGCCCGCCGCCGCCGCAACAACCACCATCGAATCGTACCGGACCTTACGCCGCGAGGGAAGGAGAACACAATTGCCGCCGCATCGTCTCACGGAATTGCGGCGCGACGGGAGAAACGGTAGGGATCCCTGGTGGGAGAGAGAGCTATCCATGAAACGAAAACAGAGAAAGCAAAACGTGATTTGGGAGATTTTCGGATTGAGAAGAGATTACAGAGCCGAAGATTGAAGAGTCAGTGAGAGCAGATTGGATAAGGCAATAGAATGGTAAAATCTCTAATCTTATAGAAATGTATTTGTGACTTTGATTCGATGGGCTTCTCTATTGCATGCATTTGTGTGGTTTATTGCTGTCTCAGCAAGTTGACTATTGAAGAAGACAGGGATGTTGATTTGGGGTACAAAAATCTCGTGGTGTAATGGATAAGATGGGCTAGGACCTGTAAAACAAAAAAGCCCATCATACATAGGCCCATATTTACGATCCAATAAGATTACGCGATCTTTTCTGAGAAATAACGAAACAGGTAGACACTATAGAGAAGAGAAGCTCCAGAGTGAGGAAGGCGATTTTGGCGAGCAAGATGTTTCTGCGTTACTCCCTTTGTTTGATCTTCTTCTCTCTCATTCTACTCCAAGGTTCTGATTCCAATTATTATCTGTTTCGATCATCTTCTTTCTCTATTGTTTTTTCCTTCTCATTATCGGTTGGCTTACAATTGCTAGATCATGTTCTCTTTGCTTCAACATAATTCGCTGTATGGGATCTGTTTATTTTCTTGTCTTTAGGCTTTGCCAAGAAGACGGGAGACGTTTCAGAGTTGCAGATCGGGGTCAAGGTAAATTTTATTATTTGCGGATCAGCAATTGAGCAATCTAGTGTATTGTTTAGCTCGACAGTAGATTCTAGCTTCGAATTCCCGGTTACTTTGTTTCGGGAACAAAATTTTAGCTGTAAGATTGATTTCGGACCCCATCATTGTAGTGTTTCGTTACGTATTCATTGTTTTCATTGGCTTACTATAAATGTGAAGCTAAAATTGGGAGTTTCTAGCCATTGGTTTTGGTCGATCTTAACAACATTTTTTCTTCTTGTCTAATGGTTTTGATAGTGTTGTGTTCTGTTGTTGTTTCTTCTTCTGAAAGGTATTCGAATAGTATTTACAAGTAAAAGGAAAAACAAATGAAGGGTATTTAACCATTTAGTTAGAGGATCTCTTCAACAAAACTCCACGATTATAAGTTGTAATCCTTGATTCAAAGATAATAAAGAGATTTTGATTCTTGATTCTTATCATCTTTCCTTGTTTTTCTTTATGGGCAGTATAAGCCAAAAACGTGTGAAATTAAGGCTCACAAAGGTGATAGGATCAAGGTGCACTACAGGGTAAGCTTGATCAGATCTTACGACATAATCAGATTCATCATTGTCCTGAAAAACTACTTGCGTAGGATGTTCTGTTACAAAGTATGGTGTTATTTGCTGTTGTTGTTTAACGTAGTGTTATGTGGCAGGGGAAACTTACTGATGGAACTGTATTCGATTCAAGCTTTGAAAGGGGTGACCCGTTCGAGTTTGAATTAGGAAGTGGTCAGGTTATCAAAGGTGGTTCTGGCTTTTGACTTTTGAGTCTTTCCTTGTGCTCCCTTCTCTTAATTCCTCCAATAGTAATGTACTTGTTTTGTTGCAGGTTGGGATCAAGGTTTGCTAGGTGCGTGTGTAGGAGAGAAGAGGAAGTTAAAGATACCTGCAAAACTTGGATATGGGGAACAAGGCTCTCCGCCCACCATCCCCGGTATTATACATACATTTCGAAAAGCTTCTTAAATGTGCATTCGATGTTGTTACGTCTGTGAAGAAGAATAGGGGTTTCCGACTTTATAACTAAAAAACAATCTTGCAAACTTTCAGGTGGTGCAACGCTGATATTTGACACAGAGCTTATTGCGGTAAATGAAAAACCAACGGGTGGAGAAGAAGACGGATATGAAGATGACGAGCTATGATGATTCGACTTTCCATTATCCAACGCTTTTCTCTAGATGAAACGAAGTAAACGGTCTATGGGGCGTTTGTTTGTTTTAATGTTTGGATACTTTAGCTTCGCTTTATAAAGTAAAGACTGCGAAGGATTGTTGTGGCGACATTTAACATTTTCCTTGTACTACGTTGTCGTTTTGGCTCTGCTTTTGGAGTTGTTTTTTTTTTTTTTTTTTGTCAACCTGCTTTTGGAGTTGTTAACAAATGAAACTTCGCCAAATGCTTCAAACTAAATTAAGTATATTTTAAAAAAAATCGTGAATCCGTTCAAAAACAAAAGAAATTTCTTTATTTTAAAAGTGAGACCCCGCTAAAAAAAAGGAAAAATCACGCAACGGTATCTGGAAACATCGGGACACATCTTTGGGTGTGTGTATTCAGGTTTCAACGCTAATGGCTCTTGACTATAAAATAAAAACCAGAATTCTCCAGAACCCTCCGGTCACTCTTCACTCTCACACTATAAATCTCTTCACGTTTTCCCAACGATTTCTTGTGAAAATCTCAAAGCTTTTACACACTCTCTAGACATCTCTTTTAATTTGACATCTCTCTTTATCTTTCAATCTGATCAGAAATGGAAGACGATTTCGATATGCAGCTTCCGGCAGAGGAGCCCGAGGAGATGGATTTGGATCTCGCGGACGATGCTGAATCGGATCCTATAATGAAAGTCGGCGAGGAGAAGGAGATCGGTAAATTAGGATTGAAGAAGAAGCTAGTCAAGGAAGGTGAAAAATGGGATACGCCTGAAAACGGTGACGAAGTTGAAGGTACTTTTAAAGAACACTTTAGTTTCCTTCCTTTTCTCGATTCTGCCGATATTATACGTGCTCAGATTCTAAGATTCCGACTGTCTTATGCAGTGCATTACACGGGAACATTGTTAGACGGGACCAAGTTCGATTCAAGCCGTGACAGAGGAACTCCCTTCAAATTTACTCTCGGCCAAGGTAATTTGTGCACTGTGGAAGGATTTCGCTATCTTCTGATGCTAGGTTAAGCTTGTTGTAGGATTCTCTGTTCTAATTGGGAAATTTGTTCCGTGAAATTGCACGTCCGGTTTGAATCTGTAGATACTGATTGGGAAATTTTGCATCGGAACAAACTACACTCGAATATTGAGATAGTTACTGTTCGTCAATTGATGCTATTTGGCCTGAAATTGTTCACAGCTTACTTGTTTGGTTGTGGCGACTCTCCCGAGTACTGAATTTCTATGGTTTGGTTTGGTCAGGACATGTGATAAAAGGATGGGACATAGGGATCAAGACAATGAAGAAAGGCGAGAACGCCATTTTCACCATCCCTCCCGAGCTGGCGTATGGTGAAACCGGTTCACCACCAACCATTCCTCCAAATGCTACTCTTCAGTTTGATGTGGAGCTGCTATCGTGGAGGAGTGTAAAGGATATATGCGGTGATGGTGGTTTGTTCAAGAAAATTATAGTCGAAGGGGAAAAATGGGAGAAGCCAAAGGACCTTGATGAAGTGTTCGGTGCGTCTCTTCTTTTGTTAGTTTCCTTGCTTTGGAGCATAGTTATTGATATTGATTCTCATGGATTCAATGGTTTGATACTGCTACAGTCAAGTATGAAGCTCGGCTTGAGGATGGCACCATTGTTGGAAGGTCTGATGGGGCAGAGTTCACTGTCAAGGAGGGTTAGTGTTTTATTTTCCTTTCAAAGGGATATTGTTTGTTGTTGAAGATTATGCATATAACAAGGGTCTAATGTATTTTTGCGGAACAGGTCATTTCTGTCCTGCGCTTGCTAAGGCAGTCAAAACCATGAAAAGAGGAGAGAAGGTTCTCCTAACTGTGAAGCCACAATGTGAGTTCTTTTACTTCTTGTTCGTATTTCAGTTCATTAGCGGAAATGCAAATGTAAATAGATCTGGCCTGAATTATGTATGTGACCGATGCAGATGGCTTTGGGGAAATTGGAAGACCAGCAGATGCTGGTTCTCATGCTGCAATCCCACCCAATGCAACCCTTCAGATTGACCTTCAGTTGGTTTCTTGGAAGACTGTGCTGGAAGTAACTGATGACAAGAAGGTTATTAAGAAAATACTGAAGGAAGGAGAGGGATATGATCGTCCCAACGAAGGAGCACTTGTCAAACGTTGGTATTTTTAAGGATTGGATTTCATTTATGCGAAAGCAAATTACTTGATCTGACGACCAGGTTTATGCTCTTTCGTTGCAGTGAAGTTGATCGGTAGACTTCAAAATGGAATTGTGTTCTTGAAGAAAGGTCATGCAGAAGACGATGAGCCATTCGAGTTCAAGACCGATGAAGGTATAAACATAGAAGCTGGAATATCGTTTTCTATTCTGGGTGTTGTGATGATATTTAAGCAAATAAAGCGTTGGCGTTTTCTGCAGAACAAGTAATTGAAGGACTTGAAAGAGGTGTGATGAGCATGAAGAAGGGTGAGGTGGCACTAATCACCATTTGTCCGGAATATGCTTTTGGTTCCTCTGAATCAAAGCAGGAGCTGGCTTTAATACCTCCAAGCTCAACTGTATGCTTTGAGGTGGAGCTGGTATCCTTCATCAAGGTGAGATCATTCGTTTTCTGGGTGTGACCTCGTGCTTTATGAAGAAACTTATCTATGTACTAAAAATAAACCATCTTCTTTTAAATTGGTATAGGAGAAAGAGTCTTGGGACATGAACACACAGGAAAAGATAGAAGCTGCTGGCAAGAAGAAGGAAGAGGGGAACGCATTGTTCAAGGCTGGAAAATACACAAGAGCTTCAAAGAGATACAAGAGGGTATGGATTTGAACCTTGTGCCTCCATGATGTTTGTAAGAAATTCATGTGTGGCTTTGAATTTAACATCATGTTCGGGTTGCAGGGTGTAGAGTACATAGAATATGACTCAACTTTCGATGAAGAGGAGAAAAAGAAAGCACAAGCTCTAAAGATTTCATGTAATCTGAACAATGCTGCTTGCAAGCTGAAACTGAAAGATTACAAGGAGGCGGCAAAATTTTCCACAAAGGTAAAATAAAAGATCTTGAGTTTCTGTGATTCCCGATGTACTCCGACCATAGGGCTTCGAAGTAGTGAATGTAACGATTGTGAATAGGTGTTGGAGATGGATGGTGGGAACGTGAAAGCGTTGTATAGGAGAGCACATGCATACATGGAGATGGCTGATCTTGACTTGGCTGAGCTTGATATCAAGAAAGCTCTTGAAATCGATCCTGACAACAAGTGCGTGGTTTTTTACTGGTCCTTTCATACTTCAATTTTTTTTCGGCTGCGATGAGTTATAATTTATAAAACAATGTCTGCAGGGAAGTGAAGATGGAATATAAGAAATTGAAGGAGAAGGTGAAGGAATACAACAAGAAAGATGCCAAGTTTTACAGTAACATGCTGGCTAAGATGCTTGAGCCACACGTAAGTAATTTTGAAAAAGACAGTTAATAGGAAAAGGCCTTTATGGAACTGATAATGACACTTGTTTGTATCAAATGTGATGGCGCAGAAAGAAGCACGGAAGGAAGCACAGGCGATGAGTATTGATACCAAGGCATGATTTGGAACACTTAGACGCATTGATCCCGAAAAGTAAATACAGAATTTTGTTTGTTTCCTTTCGCTACAATCTTGGGATGTAACATTTTCAGACGATATTGCCCAATGGTCGTGTTCTCTTTCTAGTACCTACTTTGAACTACTGTTGAAGCAAAACAGACTTGTAATAAAACAAGGATTCACTCTTTTAATTACTTTCGGCTTGTAATAAAGCATGCACAGTTTGTGACATTTCAACAACAGGACTAGGCATGGCTTTAAATATCTCTGACATTCTCTCTTTGAATTAGATCGTTGCGACTTTAAGTTAGTTTACACTCAGACAACCATTTTCTCAGTCTGGCTCTACCTGCTGTCCACAAAACCTCAGCTAATAACACCACTTGTGTTGCAGCCAGAAAAAAAACTCAGAACCCAACCTAAGTGCTATGTATCATCTATCCCATAGAGACATTGTAAGGAATTGTTTCACCGCAAGTGACTGCTAAGTTCTTCATCTTCATTCAGGTGGTGTGCTTTTCAAAGTAAGAAAGGCTTTAGAATACTAGCTTACCTGTTCCCCGATCAGGTCTACACCAACCACAACGAAAGTGATTCCTTGGAACAAGAAAGAGGAAGTAGAAATGAATCCCTTGAGCTGGACAGTAAGTTTCTTGCTCAGGTTGCCAGCAGAATCAACGCGAGTGCCAAAATTGTTCTACATTCGTTACATTGTTTTATTTCTACATTTATAATATAAACCTTTTTGTTATTAAAATATATATGATGGTTTGATAGTTCTGATGGTTTTGACCTAGCTATAGGGTAATTGATTGACTACCTACTAAATCAGTGTACACATACAACAACACAAAAAAAACATTTAGGGATCCCATGATTTTTTTTTTTTTTTTTGGTTCAAGGAGGATCCCATATTTATTTCTATAATTCACTAAAAACAAGCCGGGTCAAGCATTTCAACGAGACGGTTTAATTTCAGAACATTTTCTAGGTAGTGCTTGCGCCATCAAGGCAGAGGAGACATAAGCCTGGTTTTCGGAGATATTGTAGAGATGTATCTTATGCAGCTAGTCATCAAATCTAAGCATTGGTGGTGTTCTCTGATTACCAAGTTCTAACCAATCATCTTATAACCGGAAACTCTTCTACTTAGCTTAAAGGTATAATGTGTGATATATGTATAATGTCATTGCAGTTACTTTGAATATATCTTTTTTATTTTTTCTAATTATCAAAATTGTAGAAAATTTTCCAATAGATTAGAAAAGTAATAATAGCTTAAAATGTATTATCAAATGGATAGTGAAATGTTCTAAAAGAAAAGGATAAGCTTTGTTCGACATAACTAAGTGATTTGCCACTAAGCAACCTTTTCTAGGGATAAAAAGCATGTCACATGAAGACTGTCATTAACAATTTCTTTAAATGTCATTAAATTTCCGAGTGAGATGCATGCAACTACTGCTCAATAATAAAATCATAAAATCTATAACCACCCACATTCAAAGCATCTTTTTTTTTTCTAGCTATCAAAGTAGTATAGATTAAAGTATTAGTTAAGCCAATTAATTCACCCTACCTATAACCATGTCAAATAATTCAATCCGTAATTTTAAATTACAATTAAAGCTGCAACGAAGACTAATAAAACCAGAAAGGTTTATTAATTAGATTAGAAATTTTAATTAACAACTTTTCAATTATGAACTTCAAAGTAGTTGGTCATTAATTAATCTAATCCATTATTCTGTGTGCTAAGTCCACGAATCAGAGTCCATAGACTCCATGCCCATGTGATTGCTAATTTTTTAATTCTCTTTCACACTTTATAGAATTCATTAGTTAATCGTCGTAATCCAAAAATGATTATACTCTTCTTTTTTGTTTAACATTGATGATTGTACTTTTATGATCATTTTCACTCTGTTTCAAGATAATTCATTTTAAGGTTTTTGCATACTACGTGTTGTTGACCCCAAAATGAATTACTGTCAGCTAATTATGTATAAAGTCATTTTACTTAATCGTTTTGTTTTTCCAATTTTTCTCTTTAGTTGAAAAACTTGAAATGTTCTTCATCCTTTTTTTAATAAGAAAACTTGAAATGTTTGTAAAATGTAAACGAACATTGTTTCGTTGAAATGACATCAATATGAGCAGCTTGCTCTTTAGTTCCAGTAATCAAGCTAGATTGTAATACTCAAACTATTAAATACAATCATTTCCAGAAAATTGAATGAGTGTGTACGTGGTTGATTAATCAATCTAGAGTCTACTAGAGACCAGAATTTTAAATCTGATTAGTACCTAACGCCTACTGGAATATTGAATAAATATTCGATGGCGAATTTTAACCAAAAACAAAATAATATTCAGCTATAGAAAGATAACATGAAAATCATTGAAGTAATTATTGATTAGAGAATTATATTTGGTTGATCAAATCCTTGATTGGTTGTGGATTTCACTCGTTAAAGAAAACAAAAGAGGAACAGAAGCTTCTGCGTTTTCTCGATAGATCTCTGGAAATTACAAGCGAGCCATTTAACTTTTAGAAATCACAACTTAACCCAATATAAATTTAATTTTAAATTCCTCCTCAATTACAAAGAAATAAGTTATATCTGGAGATAAAGACATAACAGGTCACACAGCTGGCTAACATTAGCAAAAATCAAATCAAAAGAATCTAGGAATGAAAGTAATGTTGATCAATTTAGAGGTAACAAAATATAGATTTCAAGTTCCGCTAATTTGATTAGTCATCTTTTTGTTTGTCAACATTTAGATTAATCACTAAAACAAGTTTATCTTAGATAGTAGTCCATCATTACGAATTTGATTAATCACCCAAAGGTTGCTTTTTGTTTCATGATATATGTCGGAAAGTTCTTTGTCGCAAAGTATAGCATTAACTTATAAATTTAGCAATTTTCAGGTAAGATTACCTATTTATTGTAAACTAGAGCACTCGGTTTTAATTTATCAAAAATACAAATATCAATTATGTGGAATAGTTTAGAAATAAAAAAGTTGTGGAATAGTTTTGCACATAATCCAAGAAAGGTTAGTATCGCCTATCACTTACTCTAATTGAAATAACTAAATACAAATGGTGAGTTTTATTGTTTAGCCTAATTTGGTGTAGATTAATTATCTTGGATTGTAGTGGAGGTAATGAACTTACAATGATATTACATTAGAAAAACGAAAAGAATCCAACAGTACAATTGAACCCTAATGAGGAATTTGAAAATGATATAATATCATTAACAGAGGGTAAAAAAAAAAAAAAAAGATTAAGAAATAGGTTACTATCATATATGTGTATATATATATATGGAGATGAGAATATGTATAAATCATAGATATTGGTATATTTATGTACACCCATCAATCCTTTTTTTCTTATTTTCTTCCTTGAGGCCTTGAAATAAACTGGTTGATCAAAGCTCAATTTTCATGTTTTGAGATTCATGGTTGGGATTATGTGCCACTCCCATCCCTACAATGCTCTGTAAATCTTCTTCGCTAAACATATGATACTGAAAAAATACACATAAATTTATTTCATAATCATCTGACTATATATAAAAATGGAATTAAGGAAGAGAACTAAAAGAATAATAAACCTGAGAAATGGAGTCAGTGAATTGGGTAAGTGTTGGTAAGTGAGTGAAGCTTCTGGCTAAGGTAGAGGTTTCCAGTGAATTCATAGAGGATTGGAGCATCATATTACTGGAAGAAATATTAGGATGTAACTGTGAATTATTATTATAATTATTGAGTTGCTGATGATGATTTGAAGATTCACACTGGATCCCTTCTTCATGTAACCGGTTGCTACTTGATGGAATCATCTGGTGAAATTCAAAATTATAAAAACAAAAAGGTGAGATTACACTTTTTTCCGATAGAAAATATACAAACTTCCTTTCTAAAAAGAAATTCAAAAAAGCTTGAAAAGTATTTGAGATAACGACAAACACAAAAAGAAAAAAGGATTAAAAACAATGATCACTTTCGAATTATCATTATTAATGGTTGCTAATTGATGTTAATGTTTAAGGTGACTTACAACATCCTTTGACACAAGAGTGTCCATGTTAAATTCCAGCCTGGTGTCGTTCACTGATGATAACTTCATTGACAAGAACTGCCATTATTAAAACGAAAAACATTAGAAAATTATTGCAAATAATTAAATTAAAACGGTGATTAATGAAACAAATTAATTGGATTTAATTAGATGAAGAAACCAAAAAATAATATACCTCAACTTGTCTTTGCAATGATTGTACATAGTTTATAATTTCGTCCAGCATCAGTGCCTTCCCAGTAACCTTTCATCGTATAAACAAAAAGAAAAACAAAGACATTAATTTCTTAATAATGCTAATCAACAACTGATTTATTGAACACAAAACAAAAATTGGAGTTCAAAACTAAAGTTAATCAGTGACTAATAAAACAATTAAAAAAAAGTTATCACCTTATTGCATCCAGGCACAAGATCTTGAAGCAGCTTCATCCTTTCTCCTATTTTCTCCCTCCGAACCTAAACCCACATTAAAAAAACTAATCAAATTCTAATTATCATAGTTATGATTAACTAATTACTGACAAATAATCAAACGAAAAATGTAGGAGACCAAAAAAGAATATTAGATTAATTTACCCGTTCGGCGAGACTGTGACTGTCGGTGGCTTGGCCTCGTCGAGCTCGAACATGGATGTAATCTTTAGGAGGTTCAGGTGGTTTTGTGCTATTGCTTTTGTTCCCTTCTTCTTCTTCATCTTTATCTTCTTCTTCTTCCTCTCTTCTCCTTTTCCCTCCTTTTTCTTCTGAAATTTTGATTCCTTTTCCATTCCAATCTTGCTTCCTTTCCGCCGTCTGAGAAATTGTAAAATATACACAAAGTCAATCACTTTTTATTTACTTAATTTAAAAAAGCAAACTTTCTAGAGAACTTGGTTCCTCGAAAAATGTTGAAGTCTTTGAATTTTGAAAATCTGAGGAAAAAATAGAAACTTTGCGGGAAAATTAAGAAATATTCCGGGAAAATCAAAAATTAAATGTACTTTTGAGAAAGTGGGAGATGGGGATGCGGTGGAAAGGGGATTTTCCTTGGGTTTCCCTTTAGACGCAGACTTTCTCTTCCGGGAAAATTCGCCGGGGAGTTTCGGATTTGATTCGCCGGCGGGAATCATCGGTCTGGAGACAGCAGATGCGAATTCCGGCGAAACAAGTGCTTTGAGTGCTGGTGTGCTGGAGACACGTGTCAGCTTCCCGGAGCTGACGATGTTTCCGTTGTTAATAGGGAGACCGGAATTAGTTCTTCCGTTGAAACTCCGGCTACCAAAGCAAGAGAATCTCGCTGCCCTCTCCGCAAATCCCGGATCCCCTGAGAATTCCGTCAACGGCGTAGTTCTGCTCATCATCGGCGGCGGCGGAGAGCTCATCGGAGTTGCGTAGCACGAGGCGGAGCGAGATTCCTGCCCATTATTGTTTCCCATCGGAGCTCCGTAGATCTCACCGGAGCTATTTCCGATGTTGCCAAGCTTCCCGATGAGTTCTCTGATCATGAATCCGTCACCGCCTCCGCCGGAGAAATTGGAATTCGACGGCGTCGGAGAAGAGACGAGGGAGCTCAGAGCAGAGTCAAAGAAGCTCTGTTGTTGTTGTTGTTCCGTTGACTTTTCCCAGGGAAAGCAATCCTGCGGCGGCGACGAATTTCGAGAAAGATTTGGATCCATTAACGCCCAGTTAAGCGTCGGCGATGAAGAGGACGGTGGTTCAAAATGCACCGCCATCTCCGGCGGTGGCGGAAGCTCTGTGTTCATAAACAGCTCGTTCTCCATTCTCTCGATTTTTCTTAAGAATGAATCAAAAGTCAGAATCTAACAAATTCTAGCAAGATCCCAAATTACGCAGGAAAAAAAAACTATCCTTATTTACGCAGAAATAGGCAAAAATAGTCTAAATTCACATATCATTCTTTAACAAGAGGATGTTTGGAGTGTGACGAAGGAGAAGAAGAGCGTAAATGGTAGGGAAATGCTCAAAATGGTCTAAACGGGGTTTTTATAGTTGTATAATACAACAATAAGCTGTGTTTTATTATCACTAATCATATACTGTACGTCATAGATAATTAATTTATAATTTTTAAAAAGAATAGTAAATCAATAGTAGTATCATTTTGAGTGTCGCACCGTAACGGGCGGAGATTAGGAGTTGTTGCCGGGCCTTTGACGTTGAGCGATATTGCTAATAAATATGTGATTGTTTTACAATATCGACGTAAAACAAATTCAACATGAACGTCTCAAATGTTATATTTTTATTTGGCATATAATTCTTATAAATCTCAAATGAAAGAAAGTCTACTAAAATGGGGGTTTTCGAGAGCCAGTAAGGTAAAATTTCATACTCTTGACGCTTTCTTTTATCGATCGACCAATGATGGATCATCGTCGATCTCTTCTGGTTCTAGCTGTAGGGTTTACTATTTGCCTTGATAATTTGTTTTAATGGTGTTTACGAAGAACGTCCTTTGTACATAAACCTCTATTTTTGATGAAATCTTCTCAGTTTAGCCAAAATAAAAGTTAAACCACCAACCGGATAAGTTGTATTATTTTACTTAGTGCTTCCTCGATCATTCCTCTCTTGCATCTTTGGACATACTGTATTTACAAGTTTTTAGTTTTGACCGTTGTTCTTGTTCATTTCACCCAACCAAACAACTGTTGTATTCTTTTGAATAATGTACTTTTTGCAACTAAGCTTTGACTATATACAATAACTATTCATATACTGGTCATTTATTTGCAAAAAATGATGAATGATAAAATCGTGAATAAAACTTGATTCATTTATCTCATTTTTTTTTGAACAAAATAAATAACATGGATCTCACGTGGCTTTTTTTACAAATATCAAGTTACTTAATCCAGTGACTCGTTAATTTATTTGATATCACATCATTTGTTAATTTCATGCGCTAAAAACATAGTAGTATCATTTATTCACGATTTTATTACCGTTTGGTTTTTTTTTTCAGCTTTTGCCTTCTCTATAACAAAGTAGCCTAACTTCAATAAATCCTTGGTATTTCTCTGATCTGCTGTTAAGTCAACATTTTTAAGGTATTTATTTTTGGGTTTAAACGCTTTGATCGATCAGATCTAGTTGCACAAAACAATTGATTTGCATGACCTATTCATATCTTTGAATTTTGATTATATTGTATGTATATCCACACGACATTCTTCTCTATAGCTGTTAATGGGGAAATTAAGACTGTCCGTTATCTTTATACACACTTGTAATAGCAATTAAAGTTCTTAATTAAGCCACTGTAAAACAGATCGTATTGACTTTATCATCCAGTGTGTTCATTTGTGCTTTGCTGATCATATTTCTCTCACTAAGTTTAGTTTCTTTTTAAGATAAACCAAGTCATTTATGATTTAACTTATATAAATCGAACAATCATTGGAGTCAACAAGTGGGCTTGAAAGTCACAAGAAATGAAACAAGTTGTATCATTTTACTTACTGGTCGATCGACAAAAGTAACTTCGGTATTCGCGTATTAGTTTATCACATCTATTTCTTTGATACACTAAACAATTTTTCTTCCTAATTAATACACTAAAGTAATCAGATTAAAACTATATTTTTGTTTAATATTTTACATTGAAAAAAAAAATGATACTCTTTGTAAGATAAAGATAAAGTTCACTCCTTGTGAATTGGGAAAAGTATTCAGTAAAATATGAAGATGATAGTTTTATAAATTACTATATAACTGATCGATGTAATGACAACAAAAATGTTCCGATGTAAGAAAATCAACTTGAAGGAGCTCTTGCCGGTTAGTCAACTATCGTATTAAATTCCACAGCCTAGCCGGTTATCACGGGTTTGGTCGGGTTAAGTAATGAGACCGACCTTGTATTTAAATGTTTAGATGACATTGTCTCTCTATATTAATTAACAAAATGGGGAAAAAAAAATATTAATTAACAAACATTGAGTAGGCTCATCTTGGATTCATTCTATATAGTAAAATATGGATGACGAGAGTTTTGTAGTCCAGACTCCAGCGTTCCTACATTTGGATGGCTCTCTAGTCTCTAGCGAATTCTTAAGTTCGACTCAGACTTTTTATGTAGATATGGGTTTCAAATGAGTTAGTGGGACCGACGTTCCTACAAAATATTAAAGATATTTATAAACAATTTCTGTATGATCCACGTACCAACATGTTTTAATTCTTTATAATCCCATAGTTTTAACTAATAAGTTTATTTTTTAAAAGTTTGTGCATATAGTCAAAACATTGTTTATTAACGAAAACAAAAACAAAAAGATTGTTCGTCCTTACATATGTCTGCATATACATGTGAAAGATCATGAATATATGTTTACAGATGAATAGCTTAAACTTGGTGTTTATTTGAAAATAAAATTGAGAAATAAATATGTTAGACAAAAATCATGAATATATATATGTTTACAAATGAATGGCTTAAATGTAAGATCACGACAGAAAATAAAGTAGATACGTATAACCAACACTTCGTTTAAGTTATAGATCATTTCACATATACGAATTACGTATCCTATGCCCTCTGTATTTAACCAATAATATACTCTTGGCCTGGAATGAAATGACGTAATTGGTTCTCTACTATACAAATTTATTTGAGAAAAAAAAATTAAAGAAATTTCAAATCTTCCGCGGTCATGATATGCAGTGAGAAATCTAATGTCAAAATCGAAAAGAAATAATAATCTCTTCTTATTAAGTTGATGTTCTGATGAATATTGTATATTAATAATAAATTTGCGATAGAAAATAGAAAAGAAATTAAGAAAGATTCGTCAATGTCATATGTACTAAATCTGTTATTTACAAAAAGACATTCTTTGTGAAGCAATTATTTATCAGAAAATGCATCTAATATCATCATTCATCAACATATGTTTAGTTGGGTAAACTTCATTATCATATCGTAAATACGTGTTAAATATGGTGAAAAACGTCTTGGTAAGATGAGGTGTGTAAGTTTGTGTGTATATATACATAATACATGTATACTCATGTCCAACTTGGGCGCAGATACATCCCCTTTAGTCATAGTTTATGGTAGTTCGATCCCATATTATTAAATGGATAAAAATATTAAAATGAAAGTAAATAACTGTGCTGCTGCTAATTACAGATAGCAGCTACGCTTGTATATGCTTATATAGGTTAGAAGTTAACAAGAAGAACAAGTAACACAAATAAATATATAAATTTTCTTTTTATGAAATTAATTTTATGGTTAAGTTGGATATGCATGTATGAATGCAATTGTTTACATCTAGGAAACACATTGATGGAATATTTGCCTAACGACTCAAAGTTGATAAGATTGAGGGAATTAGCTAAGGTTTGGTAAAGTAAAGTTTGAAACTTGTATAGGGTAAGGTTTTCGGTCACCATTTCTATTGCGAGCTTTTTTCTTTATATAACCTCAAAATTTTGAGCCAAGATCCGGATCCAAGATTAGACGATTAATAATAACATGACACGACGTAAACTATTTCTTCTAAAGAAGTTAAGCCTAAAGTGTAATAATAGCATTTTTTTTTTTTTGCACTAATCAGTAATCACTATGTCACTACATAATTTGGTCTACTGTTAACTTGTTTTTATATGGAGTAATGTGGTAGAAAAGTTACTCCAAATGCTAGTTATTATATATTTATATTATTGCACGATAGAATTGTTAGAAATATAGTTTTTTTTTAGTCAAAACCATGACTTCATCACCAGCTTATGAAATAATAAGCTGGTCCAACCAAAGTGTAAGAAATTGACGACACAATGTATAAATGTATCCATAAAAAAATGGTTTAATGTTTGCAAACATCGACTTACTGATTGCTGCATGTTTTGTTCCTAGTTTGTGATATATTTATGTTCCTAATTTGCTACATTCTCAAAGGATTCCGCTCGCTATTTTTATGAAATCATTTGATTCCTCAGTAAAACTAAAATTTTATAGTTATCCCAAAAATTCAATGCATGAGGTTTCAAATTCACTGCAACATTGATCATCGATCTCAGATAAAATGAATTCACAAAAAAAAAAAAAATCGAGTATTACTTGAACACTTCTTTTAAAAAGAAGATGTGTTTTTTTATTTATTCAAATACCCAAGTACGACGCGGGAATTTAGCAAGTTCATGTTTTTCTAGGCGGGTTTTCCTTATCCTAAAACCAATAAGCTCATCAAATGGAGTTTTTAAGCTATCATAAAGATACCTAAACTCATAAAAAAGATTATCAGCGCGCGTAACCATATAATGGAGGCGTCCTCGAATACGTGCACCAGCAAGAGGGCGAGCACAGATGACTCTTGATTGGTCATATTAAGTCTTTAGACGGAGTAGATAATTTGGGGTATAAACTAACGATGAAATCCCGGCTTATCAATTCTTGAATCTCATCTTCAAAACCAATATACTCCATACGTTGTGTCTTGAAGTTCAAGTAAACACAGACAGTAGATTGCCAAATCCTTACACGCAGCCCTTCCTTCCAAGCACCGACCATATGTAGTCTTCTTGTACTCCACTCGTGGCCGCGACAGAAGTTTTTTACTTTTGTCTCTGAAAACACTGACGTCAAATCTGTAGTCGAGAGACCATTCTCCTCCTCTCGCCTTATCTTTTAGCACCCACAAACCTACACACTCCTCGGAAGAAAAATCCACCATCGCTAAGGTCCCTTGTAGATCAGTGAGGTGGAAGAGCTGCACAAGACCCCCGTGGATGAGAGCCGGGTGAGAAAACCACTCGAATGTCTCCATCTCAAGATTGAAACACAGGACCATGTGCTTGGTCCAATTTTCATTTTCCACCAAGGATTCATAAGCATAACGACCACACGAACAAACCGCTTGGGATCCCTAAAATATTTTGCAAGAAATAAAAAAACTACATACAATATATCATGAAAATTCTTTAGAAAGAAATTTAGTCAGAGAATTTAGTCTAAGACTCATACATATATATATATATATATATTTTCATTTACGGTATAAATATACTTATAAGAGAGAACCATCATCAACACAAACTACAAGGCTACTCACCTTGCTTATAGTGGCCGTCCAGTAAACATATCCGTGAATGGTGACGGTGGAAGAAGAAAAAGAAACATGGCCAAAAGGAAGAGCAGAGGAGGAGAAGGAGGAGGAGATGTCTAAGCTCCTCCAGTTATAGTCTGTTTCCCGCAGGGAAAAGACTTGGGCCACAAGCTTGAGCTCGGGTGTCTCCCAAACACTGATGATCTTGTGAGTTTTGCCTTTGAGATCATATCCAAATCCTAGAGGCTGTTTGCATGCGTTGTCATGCTCCTGACATGGTATCTTCATAGCCTCCTTCCCGACAGGGTTGAAGACATATGTGTCGGAACCACATCTCGTAAGAATTAGTCCATTGGAGCTTATAGGGGGAATATCATTTAAGGGTCTTTCCATGCAAGGATAATTCCAAAGGCTTCGATCTTCCACCTTCAACACCACATTATTTGCTTCATGATGATCACTATCCTCCTTCATCAGGCTCGTCTTACACATCCACAACTTGAAAAACACAGCTTCACTCTGGAATCCATAAGCGAGCAGCGATGGAGGTTCATCGTAAGCACAAACCACGCAACGACTGTCAATCATGCTAAGGAAGGTCTTGGAGACACATCGGCATATCAATGCTTCTTTCCCCGGTATTTTCTTTAGAATCTCCATCAGAATCTCTGCCGGTAGTTCCTCTATTACGCTTCTTTTTATACCAAGACCCTTCTCTTTTTCTCCCCATATCACCCGATACATTAGCTTTGTTATCATCTTGGATCTTCTCTCTATATCACTTGCGCCAACACCAATGGTTACGTTCTTATATTTGTGGAATGGGGAGGAGGAAAACTGATTCCCTCTAATTAGGGAACGGAGAAAATCTCTCTTACATTGTTGTCGTTCCCATTCAAAAGCTAGACTTAGTCCAAAATAAAATGAAGCAAAGACTTAGGAAGTGTTATTCAATCATGGTTTTTAATAAAATTTAAATCCAACTATAATCCACTATTAGTCAATTAATGATTCTAAATAATGTTTTAAAATCAAATGTTATTGGTTTTTTTTATTGTAAATCATATTTAAGAGGTTTTAAAATTTGGTGTTATTCAATAAAGATTTCAAATCTTTCATTAAAATCCAGTGTTATTCAAAACGAAATAATTTTTAAAATCTTTGTACATTAAGTCATTTCAAATTAGTTTTAATAGAGTTTTATGAGTAAATTATTAGAATCAAAATCCAGTGTATATTGCAGAGATTTTAGAATCTAAACAAATGAATCCATCAAACTGATATCAATTTTTAAATCTAGAAGATTATAAAATATAGAAAATTCATTTTAAATTCATGATTGAATAACATCCCCTTAGTCTCTTTTACACCTTTTTTTCTTTTTTTTTTCAGTTTAATTTTTTAATCGCTTTTATAATCGCTTACTTGTAATATTGGATCTGTCGGTATTAATTAAATGGGCGTCAAATTATAAGAGTCGGGCTTACAAAGCCTGCTGATATTAGAGCATGTACATCGCGGGGTCGTCGAAAGAAGCGGGCACGAGTTCATAGGAATTAATGGGTTAAAAAAAAAGATTTAAAGCCTGAATTCGACGAATCGGTTCATCCGGACGACCCTGATGAACCCGCCTCTTGTCGACGTGGCGTGTCGGGAGTGGTCGAGAGATTGAGGTAATTTTCGGGAAGGGAAAAAAATGGAGGGCCAAAAATCTCATTTTCTTCCTCGAGTTTTTTTCCTTTCCCTCTTTCCCTTCTCCAGGCGATTTTCGCGATTCTCTGACCCATCCATCGAAACCGGAAAATTTTCCCGATGAATCGCTCTTCCGAGGATTGCGCAACCGTTCATATTGTCAAGATAAGCTTCCGGACTGATATTTCAGTTGATTTCGTTTCGAATCGTTTGGGTTTCAAGAAATTAGGGTTTTCGAATTTTTTGGGGAAAAATTTTTGTTGTTAAAAATCGGTGTTTTCTGGGTTTAATAGGGTAGATTACGATTCTTGTGACCTATTTAATACCCGAGAATAGATTATGCGGCTTGTATTTGCAAGATTGGAAACAAAATTTATTTCCAGATGAACCCCTTCTCGGATTCGCTACTGAAACCCCTATAAATACCCGAGTTCTTCCCACAATTAAAAAAAAATTTAATTTCTGATGAACCCCATTAAAGGGTTCAGCAATGTACATGCTATTATATCTTTTACGTGCGGATGAGTATCTATTAAATAAATAAAAAATGGATCCGGATCGCTTAGGTTTTTGAAACGTTTTTTGAGCCAATAATGCGAGTCTTTTTTCTTTTCTTTTTTTTTTTTCATCAGAATGCGAGTCTTTTTATTGCTACTTTATTAATGGTTGGCGAATTTTTTAAATTGGTTTAGTTACGAGAAAATACTTTCAGTCCAGTGCTTTACAATAAGAAATACTTTCAGTCCAGTGCTTTACAAGAAGATACTGTGGTTGTCAAATCTCAAAATTCTCTTTTTAATTAATTAATTGTTATGGGAAGTCTAAATTTAATATCTAAGTCTAACCATGCCTAAAGTGAATTATTTCTGAAACATTAAATAGTGATTAATTATCTTTTCAGAAAATGTTTAACAACAATATAGCAACTGATGGCCTTGGCGGACGACCAAAGTGTTTTCGTAGGGGAATAAGTGATAAGCCAAGACAATGATTTGGTGGTAATATGGGAAAAAGTGGGTGATGTCTATTTTATTCTTTGTTAATTAACTAATTCCAAATAACAAGTAAATATATTAAATAACCGGACAGACGAATGCTGATTTCTGCTTTCTTATAGAAACTTCACCAAATGCGCTAGTTATAATTGTATTTTGACGTATAATTTATGACATTTTTTCTACTGTTTGTATAATTTATACTTTTTCTGTTCAGAATTATTTAATGTTTTAGAAGATTTTTTTTGTTCAGAATTATTTGATGTTCTCACTTTTTAATGCTAAATTGAATAAATTTTTATAGTTTTTGACCTTTTATATTCTGTATATTGTCTTTTTATTGGCTGAATGATATTTAAATGGATTATAAATAATTTTTTTAGTATAAGAAAAATTAAAATTAAATGAATCTTTAAATTGTGTATAAAAACTTTAAACATCAAATAATTCTGAATAGAAAGAATGTATTAAAAAGAGGTTTTTTCATAGCGCATAAATTTAAATAGTACGAGAAGCACCACGTGAAGATGTCCTTGGGAAGTTCAAAAATTTGACTTTCTATATATAAATAAATAAAAAAGTCTCATTTGAATGTTATAAATAACAAGGCTCATTCTTGACCCCAAAAAAAGGGCTCATCTTTTTCACATCCACATGAGGTTTTAAGTACTCCCCCCCCCCCCAACGACGGTTGATCCAAGAGCTTATGGTCGGTTTTCCACATTAGTTGGCCGGTGTTGGTTTAATCCTCTATTCCGGTACTACTGTCACTCATACATGAAATTCCATAATATTATCGGGTGATAATGGAAGAAAAGTATGTGACTCCAATTTCCTTATATGTTTCGCGATCTGAACATATTCTTACCAATAGTCGTTTATAAGATTCAGTAAATTAAATTTAGTTTATTAATTGTTGCATAGTAATGAAATACTCCTATTGATAATCCAAACCAAAACCTCTGATGTTTTTGGTTTGGTACAAAAACCAATCCGGTCTGCTTGCAAGTTAAAAACTACTATAATCACGTTGCATTTGCAACACCGCTTTCTAGGAATTAGTCACATAGTTGATAATCACGGATTTTTTATTAAATACGATTGTGTTCTGTGTTTGCATATGTCTGATATAAGACATTATACATAAATGAAGCATATCTATGGTACTAACTTTACAATCTGCCCTATAGAAGTATATACGTACAAAAATTCCATGTTTATATATAGAAGTATCTATGTACAAATTTTAATCATATGGTTTTTCATGTATTATAATTAACTTGGTCGAGATTTCTCTACATGTTAGTCACAAACTCGATAACTTGTTTATAAGAAAGTATACTATTTGCGCATCTTAGTTAATTGTAGAATAAATCTAGGTTTACTATTACGGAAATAAGACTTCAACATTGTTTATTACTTTTATAATAAAAAAAACATTTTTTAATACCAGAAAACATTACTAGAAAACATATAAGTAAAAAGTACTCTCACTTGGATAAATTAATGAAAATATATACAATTTGAAACACATGGGTTCCCAAAACCAAAGCTTTGAACAATATTGGACTTGGCACCTTTCGTTGTTTCGTGTCTTTATTTAGACAATCCCCAAGCAAAATTAACATTCAAAAACGGTTAAACGCATTTTCCCTCTTGTTTTCTTTACTACTGTTTATAAACTACCATGTAAATTTTTCATACTAGCTTTGACCTTGAGCTCTTTTTCTTCTTCTTGGATTTTTTTGTCTCTCTTTATAATCTCCCCTCTCTTCTCCCTCATATACACAATTCTCCTCTTTATCTTGTTCACTCACACACACACACGGGGATAGTTATACAGAAGAAAGAAAAAAAAGGAACAAGCTAGAAATGGTGGCCCTGAGGGCTTTTTGCTATCTTCTAATATTTTTCGTCTTGCAATTTAAAGTCTCCAATGCAAACTTAAATAAACAAGGTATATGTATGTGTTTGGGTATGAGTACCTTTATTATTTGAAAATATGAATTATTTAAGGTATATAATTACGCTCACCAAAATAAATTTCTCTATAGCTCCACTGGCGGCAAATAATGGTGGTCTTGGAGCAATCACTAGTACTCCAATTGACAACAAGGTACGTAGTATAGTAAACGATTCTCAATCCATTATTTAGAAATTAGACATCGAACTTTAAGATATTAGTTCCATTCAATATTATATATATATTAGGCTATTGATAATGTAAGCGAAAACCGAAAGACGTTGAAGCATGGAACTGTGAATGTCGAGGCAAATGAAAAGAATGGTTTAGAGATACAGAGCAAAGAAACAGTGAGAAAAAGAAAGAACATGACGAGACTCACCAAAACGGTGAGTTTAACGGCCGATTACAGTGCCCTAGGTCATCATCCTCCTAGGCATAATTAATTGGAATACTTATCATACTTTTTGTTTTCTTTCTGTTACATGAAATACGAGCCTCTCTTTCGCAAAGAGGCTTCAATTTTGGTGATCACTACAAAGCCTGTGGAATTCAACAATATATTATGATTAAGTGATCAAGACCTAATCACTAGATAGATTAACAACGAGTAATGAGAACCAGTTGTCTGTTGCTTACATATGTAGACCAGTGCAAGAAGCTGAACCAGTTTCCAATGATCGATACGAGCCAAAGTCCTATGAGAGCCTTTGTTTCAGAAAAATAAAGAAAAAAATGTTCATAAATCATTTCAGACTTCAGAGACTGACTTCAGAGACTGCTATAAACAGGACTTGAGACGCTAAACAAGCACCATTGCGAAGTTCTTGATGTCTCTCTCTAAACCTTAAGGTTGCAAAAGCACAGTTAAGCTCAAAGGTCAATGCAGAAGCAGCTTGGAGTAATTAAATGGCTTCTCAGGGATGTAGATCTCCACTATCTTCTCTGGAGAACTATTAATTTCAGCTTTTTTTACATCTCGTTTTTTTAGGTGAAATCATAACCTCTGGGGTTTTTTTTTTTTTGCAATCTTTTTTTTTTCTTGGTAACTTCTTGGATCACAAACTTTTTTAAACTGAAATTGGATCTGGAATCAAATACTCAAAGTTGCTTTGTCAGATCTTAAATCATAAACCTCTGGGGTTTTATTTGTTTGCTATTTTTTGGTTGATAACTTCTTGGATCACAAACTTCTTAAACTTTTTAAACTGAAATTTGATCTGGAATACAGTAAAACTTCTATAAATTAATAATATCAGGATCATAATATTTTATTAATTTATCGTAATATTAATTTATTTATAAATTAATAATTATTAATTTATAGAGAAATATTATTTTTCGCCCGTCTTCTTCTTAAAATTTATTTGAAATGATGTTATATTTAAGAACGTAAACTCATATGCTTATAAAATGACATGCATAAACTTAAAATTATGATTAAAATATAGCAATCGCAGTAGAATAGTTATTTCTATTTGTTAATTGTGGACTGAATTATCTATATAAAAGTATAAATGTTCATTAGTACAAAATTTAGAAAAAAATATGGCTACTATGTTTAATGTTAGTTCTGAAATTGAAGACAATACTATAATATACTTTGAAAACAGTTACGAGTAAAAAATCAATTATAACATCTAAATTTTTTTCACAAATTTGTAAGGAGTTAAAAAAAAAATATTAAAAGTTATTAATGTTAATAATTAAAGAGATGAACTTAAATAATAACAAAAAACATATTAATCATATTTTAGTATATTATATCTTACATATATATATATATAATTTTTTATAATTATTAATTTATGTTTATGTTGAGACCATAGATTTACATAGAAGTTTCAAAAAAATTATTAACTTATTATCTTATCGAATTTGATGGATTTTTACAGTGTCCCGACTCGGGACCAGAAAAATTTATTAATTTATACTGATTATTAATTTATCGAATATTAATTTATAGAGATTCTATATATATCAAATATATACGCACATAGTTGCTTTGTTAGATCTTAATTCCTTACTTTTATAAAAAAAAGATAAGTTGGCGTTATCCAAAATAGATTAGGAGTTATCTCTAATTATTTTACACACATCATCATGTTCAATATAAACTAATCCTTATCCTAATAGGATTTCCTAAGAAATTACTAGCTCACGATTTCTAATAAGTAAACCTATGCCCATAAATCCATCTGTCTCAATCCCGTCTAATTGGAAACCCATAGCTCTTGTTAGTAAAGAAAGAAAGATGATTAGTTTTAAATTTTATTAATTTCGTCAAATTTATAAATTCCTTATTTCTTTTGAATCAGGATTTTGGAAAAAAAGTTTCCAAATACAAGTTTATAAGGAAAATATCAAAAGCAAGTTTCTGAGAGAAATCAAAGTCGTCTTTTGCTCCAGGAACAAAGCCTAAGAAAAGAAAAGTGTAGGAGAGATATGGAGGATCAAAAGCAATTTAAGTTGGAGATAGGTAACTTCTCGGAGAAGGAATCTGTGATATCATCACCAAAGTTCTTAAGCGGCGGCTGCGAATGGTAAGTATTTATTATATACATGTATGTGTGTGTGTGTTTTGATTCTTGACTCATCCGGTAGATACATTCAATAAACGACTTCTGTCGATATGATTAGTTAGATGTACAACTAAAAACGGGCTTTTCTATCATTCTTCTCAGGTACGTTAACGTTTTTCCCAAAGGAGTTTGCATTAATGATCAGTCCATGTATCTGTACCTCTGCGTTGGAAACCCTAAATCATTGCGACCTGGATGGAAAATACGAGCTAGTTTTTCCTTCGCTGTGTTGAATCAATCACTCGAAGAGCTCTATAGACTAGATGGTAATGAACTTATCTTCCTAATTGTAGAAGAAAATTTTACTGATAATTTCTTTTTAAAAAAAATAAATCAAGCTTTCTGGTTTTTTTTTTTTTTGTTTTGCAGAACGGTGCCGATTGTTCAGCGCTCACATACTAGCATGGGGTCGTTCTGTGCCTCGTGAGAAGCTTCAAGAAAAAGGGTTTTTGGAGAAGAATAAACTCATCATAAAAACCCAAGTAAAAGTAGTTGAAGTTGTTAATGAAGGAGATGTAAGTGGGAATGATCTTTTAGATCGTGTCCGATATATGGGTTCAAAGGTATGATTATAGGGATGCTTCTTGCTGTTTTTGATTCACACTTCTAGGATTTGATCTTTAGTTAAGGTAATTACATCTTTTCTCTTGTTAACAGGCGTATTCAGTGGTAAAGCTTTTCAAAAGGCACCCGGACATTGCAAGGAGTTTCAGACCAAGAAAGCAACTGGTGAAGACAGCATGCATAAACGACTTCCTCGGTTTCATGCAGATACTGGGTGAGCCTCCATATAGCTTATCCCAGACTGAGCTAAGCAACACTCTCAGGAATTTGATCGAGCTAGCAGAAGCGGGATTCACGCTAGACTGGATAAAGGAAGAGCATGATAAGATCCAAGAACGTGAGTCCAAGACTATGATAGCTGCACTGAATAAGGGGGGCAAGGCTATTATTAGACACTGGCTCAAGGGTGTTGTTCCCTCTTGGAAAGTAAGACTGGGGTTTGCTGATGTTTGTAAGGTTAAAAAAGACTAAATAATATGTATAGGTAAAGTTTAAAAAGACTAAACAAATCTATATTTTATTACACAGTTTCATTTGTCCAGAGTTTCATGGATTATTAGATGGAAAGATCGAACCGTTATAATTTATAAAGAATAATCTCGGCAAGTGCTGCTTTGCTAATGTAACTGTTTTTTTTTTTAATTTAGTTTATACGAAACAAATATATCACTGCCACATAATAATATAGTAAAACAGAGAGATACAATAAAAATAGGATTCTAAATATTCATAGAATTTTTTTTTTATCATAAACTATATTATGTGGCAGTGTTTTGTTTCTGTTTCGTATAAACTAAATAGGAAAAAACGTATTTTATAAACAAATCACTGGAGTTTTGTATTTCATAAACAATGATAAAAAAAATTCCTTATGGAAGGAAAGTGTAACGTAAACGCAAAATCTCCGTTTGGAATGGTTCTTACCATGTATAACAACTACTAAAATGTGGATCCTCATATTAGTTAGTAACTACATGAAATCAACAGAAGCAGCAAATAAAGTGTCGTCATTTCATTTCTATATAAGAGATAACTTCCATAGAATGTGTATTCAATTTATATGTGAAAAAGAAAATCCAATAAGGTCAGATGGTAAAAAAAAAAAGCATATATTTCATCATGCTAATAAGAGATGATGAGTTGAACAAGATCTTTTGGAGAACATATTTGCATCTTTTGATTTGCAAAACCTGTGATATTTGGTAATAATTAATAACTCATTCGCAAAGAGTATGTGATCTTCTTCCTAGTGAATCATTGCATATGTTCTTCCAATGTCTCTGCACAATCTGAGAAAGTGTTTATCCTTATCCAGTGTTTCTCTCAAGTCCAGATACACATCCTTTGCAGTTACGGCGCCTGCAGATATCATCATCATCATCATCATCATGATTTTCTGGATAGTCGAGAGATTCAATACCAGATTCGGTGCCATTGCTGATGAGCATGGATTCAGGGATTCAAGATCATCGCCAAGACCGTAGGAAACGAGGTTGTTTCTCTATTTCCTTCATCTTATAGTATACGTTTTCTTTATGTTCCAACTGAATATAGTTAACCTTGTCGTTTGGGGGACATCTATAAAATTGTTAACATATATAGTTTTGACGCAAATAATACAAGCACATACCTCTTGTTTCAAAGTATATACATGTTTTTTTACAAGATTTCAAAGTATATACATATCAAATACAAATGGGAGTATTTCTAGTAAGCCAAAAATAAAAATAAAAATGAATTATTTCACCAAATTTTACCATGTAAATAATATTTGATGATGTATTGTTGTTTTTTGCGTAGGTGGATGAGGAAACAGGTTACGTGCCAGTGATATGCGCCCTCGCACGATGCAAACATAAAGACATAGAGGCGGTCTGGGAGGCGGTTAAGTACGCGAAGAGGCCTAACATACTCATATTCATATCTACCAGTGACATTCACATCAAATATAAGTTGAAAAAGACTAAAGAAGAAGTCATCGAGATGGCCGCTAGTAGTATTAGGTTCGCTAGGTCCAATGACGTCCAAATCGGTTGCGAAGATGCCGGCAGGTCCATATCTTACCCCAAAACCTTTCTATATATCTCGATTGTTTTTTTTTATTTGCGTCCGTTTGGTTATGTCACACAATATTTTTGTTTGACGAGAGTCTCTATTACTCTCTTTTTGACGTCCTCTATAACAACATTAGTTAAAGGTCAATTTTATAGGTGTCACTTTCATGTTAATTATCACAATTGGTCAATTACAAATGTATCTTTAATGAATAAAACAGATTTTGGCTATTGAATATTTTGTTTTTCTATTTGAAATAAAAATCTAAAATTTAGTACTCACTCTTTTTTTACAGCAATCTAAGATTATACATGTAGATAAAACACACAAAATTATCAAATAACTATGTCATAATCTATAGCGCGTTTAGCTGTTGTTGGATAATGTTATGGATTAATGTGACTAATGACCTCTCCATATTATTCATCATGTCATATATAGATTCTTATACTACTAGTGTGTGATTAAAGCTAAGCAGGTCGGAGAAAGATTTTCTATGCAAGATTCTAGGAGAAGCGATAAAAGCGGGCGTGACCACGGGGAACATTGCGGACACGGTAGGGATCAACATGCCGGAAGAATACGGAGAACTTGTGAGATGCCTCAAAGCAAACACTCCTGGAATCGATGATGTTATCTTCAGCGTTCACTGTCACAACGACCTTGGTAATGCTACCGCCAACGCAATCGCCGTACCATTTTTTTTTTTTAACTCTCATTTATTTCATTTATATACAAATATCTATTGAATATACAAATAGAACAATGAATTTACATGATCTATATAGGGTGTATGCGCGGGAGCAAGACAATTTGACGTAACGGTCAACGGAATAGGCGAAAGAAGTGGAAATGCGCCACTTGAAGAGGTATTAGATTATCATCACCAAAAGGCCCTCTTTATTGGAGTTGGTTTAGTTGAATCAGTTTCCTTTAGCTGGTTTACAACATATATACAATTGAGAACGAGTAAACCGATCTAAACCAATATATAAAATTAATTTAGTATTGAAAAGCAGCTAAAGGAAACTAAACCAATAGTAAGACATGTGTAATCATCAATATGAGTATTTCTTTGATATGTATAGGTCGTGATGGCTTTGAAATGTCGAGGAGCAGACGTGATGGATGGTGTTTACACTAGAATAGGTTTGGGCACATTATCCGAACCCGAATAAGTTATCTGAACCCGACCCGAAAATGAGAAACCGAACCCGAATCGAAACTGATAAAATATCCGAACAGTTTTTAAATTTTTAAATTCGAAAAACCGAAACCGAACCAAACCGAACCGAAAATCCGAATGGATATCCGAAATATCCGAAATACAATTATATACCCAAAATACTAACTACAATTAGATTTAATAACCTAAAATTACAATTATAAATCCAAAATATGAATTATTTTTATTCTGAAAATGATAAAAAATCCAAAATAATTTAAACATACTAAGTTTTTAGTTATATTTTTAAAATTTTGCCAAATTTTATTTGAATTTAACTAATTTTATTTAAATTTAATTATTTTTATTTAATTTTATTATTTTTTGGATATCCAAACCTGAACCGAACCCGATCGAATATAACCGAACTCGAACCGAAATTCCAAAAATATCCGAATGGGTTTTCAATCTAAAAACCGAAAATCCTAAAAATCGAATTATCCGAACCGAATCCGAATGGATATCCGAACGCCCAGACCTACACTAGAATAGACACACGCCAAATTATGGCTACCAGCAAGATCGGTAACTTTTTATGTATACATATGGAGAAACGATCATGCTAGATTTTTTTTTTTTTTTTTTTTGGCCTTTATAATAGTTGACTATAGTAGATGTAAATTCTTGAGCAGGTCCAAGAATATACAGGCTTGTATGTTCAACCACATAAGCCTATAGTTGGAGCCAACTGTTTTGTTCATGAGAGCGGCGTTCATCAGGTTCCATATATTTATGACATACGAAAATAAATATGAGAATGATTTGTATTTAATGATGATTGTTCAAACATTTTTCAGGATGGAATATTGAAAAATCGGAGTACATATGAGATCTTATCACCAGAACATATTGGGGTTGTCAAATCTCAAAATTCTGGAATTGTTCTTGGAAAGCTTAGGTAATTGTTCCATTGAGTGATATTTTCTTGGTTTTAATCAAATTTACGTACGTGTACCATTATTAACTTTATTTGAAAAACTATGGGAAAATGTAGTGGACGCCATGCGGTGAAAGATCGGCTGAAAGAGGTATCCTTTTTGTGATTTAGTAATTTCTTTACTCGTTTCGTTATACAATGATCATATATGTGTATTTTTTCGAATAAGAGATCAATTTTATGTTAAAATACTTGGGTGTTTTATTTCTCTATTTTATTTTTATTTTTTGGTTAAAGGTGTTTATTTTATTTACCATTCTCAGTTGGGATATGAAATCGATGATGAAAAATTGAACGACACCTTCTCACAGTTCAGGGATTTAACCAAGAAGAAAAAGGTCTCTTTTTTTTCATTTTCTATTTTGTTTATTCTGATAAAAAGGCCCTATGGTTTGTATATTCTCGTGCACACATGCGTTGTGATTTAACATAAACTATATTTTAACTCCGTGCGACGAAATGTTTTATTTTTTATTTCTAATATAAGTTGCATTTATCTTTTTTGTTTAGATATAATTTATTTTTGTTATTTATTTTCTTAAATCAAAACATTGTTATCATATTTTAATTTTAAACAGTAAAATTTGTATATTAGTAGAATAAGAGTATACGTTAATTAAGTATACATTGATCTAATATTAATTATAAATTTTGTTATTATGTGAATTTAGATTTACACATAAACAATCTATATATCTATGAATTTGCTAATCCATCCGTTTAGTTTAGTTGTCTTAAATCATTTTTAATATCTTACATGTTTTGACAAACTAACCCGTATAAGACTATAATTATAATTGTATAACCCTATAAATATTTACTAATATGGAATATTTGGACCAAGTGATTATGAAAAAATATAATAAGATATTTATTTACTATTTGTGCTATTAAAAATGTATATATATATATATAAACGGGCTAACCTGTTAGTTTAATTGTCTCAAATCATCTTAATATCTTACATGTTTTAATAAATTATCTCATGAACCTTAAATATATATATATATAACTCTAATCAGCTCGATCATATTATTGTATAATATAAATATTTGATATTTTAGACCAATTGTTTATGATAAAATACGATAAGATATTTATTTACTATAAATTTTTATAAAATATTGTTTAAATTTAAAATTTTAAATTAAATCTCTCCTGTATTTAAGAAATTTTAAAGTATTAAAATTATTATCTAAATTTTCGTAATAAAATTTAATTATAATTTTTTTTTGAATTTTTTGAATTTAAATTAAATTGAATTCAAATTTTTGTAACTAAATTTAATTAAATGTTTAATAATTTGAAATTTAAATTAAAGATGACCTAGATTTTAGGAAATCTAAAAATATCTAAATTAATAACTAATTTTCAAAAATTAAATATAAAAACAAAATAAAATATTATAAAAAAAATCTTAGGAGTGTTTGGATGCAAGCACTAAATGTGCTTCTGTTTTAATAGAATATATATATTTAAGTAGTATATGAAAGAAGAATGTAAAATATATAATAAATTAAATTGATTATAAAATCTCACACTTACACTAAATGGTTTAATTTGTTCAGAGAATCACGGATGCTGATCTCAAGGCATTAGTAACCTGTGGTGATGAAATCTCGTCAGAGAAACTAAACGGCGCTAGCGGTAAAGAGACTAACGGCTATGTACCACTCCCTCAGATTTCCTCATAAGTTTTGCCATAACGGCTATGTATCAACAATCGGGTTCCATGGAAGCGCCGCTTCCTCTAAAAACTCTCCTTCCATTATTACTAATTTAAAATATTATTTTTTATCATCGAAATACTTAGTTCATGTTTGATGTTTCTTGAACATGAATGTTGGTTTGCAAATCGGTTTGGTTATATGGATATATGAATGCATTGATGAGAAAAGAAAAAAAATTAGTAAGAGAAGACCTAAAAGCTAGGTTCATAAAAATATGATCATGTGAGTGCCTAATACCAATACATATTACCGACGATTGCCATTCAAATATAGAAATATATAGATGATCAATAGTTTTTCACAATTTTTATAGAGATTTCTTGGTTTCATGAGTGAAGGCTCTATTTACATATTGAAGCTAGCTGGTGAGGATCAAGAAATATATTGGTTTCACATGAAGGCTACAAAGCACATACTTCACTTGCTTGTAGCCAGCTCGAGATCATAAGAAAGAATTTTTAGGATAATAAGTGATGAATGTGAGTTGCTTTGGTCTGTATTGCACATTCGTTTAATCGTTTGACTCAGAGATTTTAATAATCGACGCATTTTTATTTCATTTTCCATGTCTCAATGGTTACTGACACAGTATATTTGATAATTTGAGAATGCAGAATTCATTACCTCGTTTTATTATTGTTGCTTTCACATAAAAAGATATGCAGGAAAATTGAAACTATTCTTTCTTTAGGTCATTTGAAACCCGGTTATTTAAAAAATGCAACTGTGGAGCCAATCACACACTTACAAATTCCACTATTTTTTTCCCAAGCCGAGAGATTTTGTTCTAAGTCTTTGGAAAAAATAACAAAGCAAAAAGTGTCTGGAAAAAACCGGACTTATTTGAGGAAATTACAAGAAAGAAACAAAAAAAAAGCATAAGCAACCAGTGATGTTAGCTTTCTCTCCCCTGAAGATGAACTCTTGCTACGCTTTTGCGCTATAAACCCGAACTTTTTTTTTTTTTTTTGAAAAAATGTTAAATTATAAACCCTAACTTAATTAAAGAAGAAATAAAATGACGTAAAGATAAGCGTATCATGTTCGCTATCTTGCGCTCAAGTCCGTGTATTTAATAATATCTCCGAATATCACCCCTAATTCCTAGATAAGTAACTTGAATTCTCGTGATTGGTGACCAAAAACGTAGCACATTTTTGAAGAATTACCCCACCGTCGTTCACATTTCACGTTCATGTCCAAATAAATACTTAAAAGTAAAATATTAGAGGATCACCCCTAATTACCAAATAAGAAATATGACACCTCGTATTGATCAGAGAATTCGATTCCACAGGCTACACAACAGCTTTATTTATTTATTTATTTATTTATTTACGTTAACTGAGAATTATTTTACGATACAGAGGTGGATGTGGATTGTACAACAAATGACCAATTGTTCTTGCGTGAATGACAAACAACATTTGGTGTTGGAGAGCAATTGTCTCATAGCTTCGAGTTTAGACCGTTCTGAGTAAGCCGTTGCCTTAGAACTCTTCTCATAACCTTATTTGTGGCCGTCCTCGGTAAAGAAGGCAGAGTTACAACAAGATGATACCTGCAGAGGAAACACAAATAACATAGCTAACGGTTGGATTTTGCTTTTAAAACACACTAGTTATTATGAGCTTTTTCTTGTGTTGTGTTGTGTTTTAGTTATACCTTGAACAACGGATTAAGTTTCTTTTGTATCTCAGAGTTGAAGGACTTTTTCAATAGGATCAAGTCGTGATTCGGTAACTCTGAGCTCTTGAAGATTCATTGTGTCATCAGCACGTCCATGAGCCCTGTAGTATCCTTTTGAAGTCCGTTCAAATAAATCCCCGTGTCTTCGTAAAATCTGTCATAAGGCAGCCAAACCACAGAGACTCAAAACCAATGAAAACCTCTGTATAGATGTGGCAAGAATTGGATTACCTGTCCTTGGAAGGTGGGCATTCCTTTGAAGTAAACTTTGTAGTGATTTCCGTTCAGGAGAGTGCTAGAAGCTCCAAACATGTGAGGACAAAGAGCCAATTCGCCTACTCCTGATGCGCTTGGAGGCTGAAATGAGTGTAAGGAAAAACAAGGGACCACACTACAATTCAATCATTGATACCGTATAAACTTTCAGAAGAAACACTGCATCATCTATGATACCATATAGTTGCTTACAAGAGGATTGCCATCTTCACTAGTCCATGCCATCACATTTATGGCTCGCAATAGCATATTTGCTCTCATCGCCAAAACGAGATACAGAAGCTCTTTATTCCACTAAGATCAATCATATGACTATGCATCATAAAAATCTTCCATTTAAGCTCCACCATATGCACATCAGTCATCGACTTTCTCTATATGTATTTAACACGAGGCAAAGTAACTACTTTTATGGACCTAACAAGCCTCTGATTTGAACTATACAGATAAAAGTAACCAACAGATTGAAGAATATATATATATATAAATGGAAATGAGACTAGATATGAACTATACAGAAAAAGACTTTTGGGTTTCACACACTGTATCTTTTTTTTTTTTGACAACAGTCTCGCAATGTGTATCTAAAGTTTACAACTTGAATGAGTCTCTTGAAAAAGGGACTTAAGAAGGCTGAACAAGCTGTTCTTCAGGAAGACTGCACAACTGTTGTCGAACACGTGACGCCAGTTGAGATGCTTCCTTGTCCAGTTTCAGTGTGTATCTCCGCAAGCTCTGTCATCAAAAAACAATACAGCATCAAATCAGACAACTTTCATAAAACCTTTCAAAATCCTAATGTTTCGATTTTGATACCTCGGAAGTCCATAAGCAGTCGCGTTCCTTACGCGGGATTATGTGAATGTGTGTCTGAAATGCAAGGAGAAAACACACACAAGAAAAACTGTTTATAGAAACTTCCCTCATTAGGAAAGAAGAAGAAACAGAAATTTGGAGAATTCGGTATGTGCTTACGTGAAATATTACTTGTCCAGCTGCAGCGCCATTGTTAACCACTAAGTTAAACGAATCTGAGTTCAATAATGAATCTACCTTATTAACGTTCAAAGATTCCAGAAAGAATGGCAGATATTACTTAAGAATATGACAGCAATGGCAAAACCCGTCCAAATTCTATATATCATTTGCAAAACCAGATCACTACGTCCTCAAGATAAAAACAATGATCCTAGTTCACAAGCGAGTTAAAGTATCCAGTGGTTACAACTAGTGATGAGAATGATACGGTCTTGAACTAATAGTAATATAGGCTATGTGGTTCATCTATATAACAAGATGTCCAGAGAAATGGGGTTGGGATCATAGAAGATGTTGGGGTTTCTAAGGGCAAGTGCGAGGAGCTAACATTATCAAAAATAGGTTATTTGCAATTCCTGCACAGATATATACATAAAAAAAAAAAAAAAAAAATCTTATAATTTGATGGTATCAGAGATGGATGGAGAACAAAATGTGATGTTTGTAGAAATTTATAAAGCATACCACTGCCGGTAGATTTCAGGATGGCATTACTGATAAGAGGCACTTTGGAACACATGGCAGAAACTACCTGCATGCTCCTTGGAGGAGATCTATAATCAAAATCTCATACATTTTGACATAATATAGGCATAGCCACATACAAGAAGATAAAAATGAAACTCGTAACTAACTTATTCGGTTGATAGGATTTAAATCCATGAACAAATATAAAACATTAGAAGGAGGAACTTACTGAGGGAGGAGTTTCCTCTAAGGTTGGATAATGTAACTTTGGAATGATAAGAGAGTGCCTGAAAATGCCCGGATAAGAAAAGTTCATAGCTTTTAGACTTCAAGAGTAACACGAAAGCAAAACATACAAGATTCTAAACAAATTGCTCTAAGTAATCCAGGGCTTAAGTATAGTCTTAGTACATAGTCAAATCTTTGCTCACAGTAATTAACAGAGAAGGAGAGATTTGATTACCCGAGGCTAAGTGGAGACGTATCCAAAATACACAAGCACATATCATCCTCGTACAACTGCGTCAAAACGAGATTATAGTTAGTTATGTTATGTTCTGTTCTGTGTAAGTAGGAAGTGGAAGAAACAGAAACAGAAAGTTGAAACCTTTAGACATGGGGACTCGCCACGGATAATCTTGCAGAAAACGCAGTCGTTTTGGAGATTGGATGATTCCACCTTCTCTTCCGCGGCCGAACCGGAGCTACAATCGGAAGCCCTGAGAATCGAGTCCCGGGTCGGGTACGGAGCAGCTGGGTTGAGATGGGAACAGAGGATCGCGAGCCTTCTAGCTTCCATTAACTGAATTTGAACAATCAAATATACGATTCTTTTGATTTCAGCAAAATAATGAACAAGAATGAGTTTTTTTTTTTTGTTTAAATAAAAATTGAGGATGAAGATTGAGAGGAGAAGAGTGGGTCGTGTTTGGAGTGGTGTTTTTTTTTTTTTGTTGTTGTTTTATCTACAACCATCCATGTGATAGACTCTGTCTTTCTCTTTTCCTTCATTGTTTAAGACTCAGATAATCCCTAAATTTGGCATTTTTACATTTTAACAATTGGCAGCATTCACAAAGGTCCCTAATTAAAAATTTGAAACATTTTTTATATACCCACTTTTTTTTAAAATATTTTTTACCTTTTCAAAACATGATTTCACTACTACATTAATAATATTTATTTAACTTTCACGTTTTTGATAACTTATGCCGCTATATATTACGTCGTAGTCAAAATGTATAATTAATATTTTTGAAACGTCAATGATCTACCACAACCAAATTCTATTAAATAAAAGTGTTTTCGTTATTTGATCATTTAATTATTTTTGTTCTTCAGTTATTTATCTACCCTATCTCAGTCAAGTATATATATTCCATACGGTCAATAAAGTACTCCATAATCTCCTTTTTTATTTTTTTTGTCGATTTTTGAAACATTGTAAGCTCTACCGCCAATTTTATTTAGATCAAATTGAAGAAAATTATAGAAGAGCGTAACCAACAAAACAGAGAAAATGTGGGCTTGGGAATGATAATCATTTTATTCTATGTAACCCTTGTTATGCATCAACAGCTCTGAATCTTTGGGGTTGTTTGAAACCAATGGGCGCATCAATGTAAAAAACTCTCTCCAGAGTCCAGCCAGATCCATAAATCCATACCCTTCGGCCTCCTATATTCCATAAAATAATATTTGACATATATATATATATATATACATATCATTGTTTTAGCTTTACAGTAATCTCAATTCACCATATATAAGGCTTTTACAGTTTTACTCAATACATATTTCATTGTAGGAGATAAGCCAAAGACAAAAGCCCTCAGGAAATTAAAAGATATAATTAACTAGTTACATACATTTTTATTTTTTGGTTAAACAATCCGATCTGATCACCCATAGGAAACCTTGAAACAAATCAAATATTCTAGTCACTTTGAGGTCTCTTGAACATATAGCACATTTCTTGATGACCTTCTTGATCTGCAATAGAACTGATATTTTTCCTATAATAAGCTATTTTCGTATAAGACTGCGAGGAGATGCCCTAATTATGATCCTCAAAATCAGTGCTGTTTCGTCAGGCTCTAGAATTTCCGCTAAAGATGAAATCCAATGGTGGCTGAACTACTTGAGGACTCGGTCCCGTCTAGCTCGATGGACAAAAATATGTTTCTTCGAATTGGTTCGACTTTTTTTCATTTCGAAGACACGCAAACGCTACATTATTCCAAAGACACTGCTTCTTTCCCATATTTGTAATGATTCTTCATCCTCTTAGATAGTTTTTGGGATGTCCACGGTTATAAAAAAAAAAAAAAAAAAAAAAGATTGTTCATCCTCACTTGCTTAGAAGCAGAATGGTCTGAATCGCATGTTAATTACGCCTTATTTATTTACGCATATATGCCATCCTATCGTCCCCTTAAATATATACATTTGAACTTCTATTCCATGCATGCAATTACTCTTTTGTAAATCCAATATCTTATATATATAACACTCGTTTTTTCTTTTCTTTTTTGAACTACTAATTAGTTTTGGTTAGTACATCTTCCTACATCCGAAACCAAGACAAGTTTTTGATCATCCAGTGAAACAAGATTATGGGTCGGCCATTAAATACATTTAAACGTAATCTTGAGCAAAATCACATATGTAAAAGGTGATTTACACATAAGATGAAATAAAATAAATAACAACGGTCTCTAGCTAGTCTTTTGTATATTTCAAACAATAACAAACAACATATCCAAACCTAAATAGAATGTTCCATCAAATTTTCTTTTATCATAAACCAAAGATCCGAAATCAAACCCGAATCGAAATGTAGAACCATCGTCCCTTAATGGTAGGGATATTATTTATTACTCGTGAGACATTTTGTAAGTGAGAAGTGGTCGATATTGCGCCACTTAACGTTGACGTTTGAAAAAAAAATAAGAAGCAATAACATCAACGGTCAACAATTTCTGCTCCATTCATTTTGACCCCCACGTGATGCCATCTTGGAATCTTCCACGTACATTTTCCATTTTTTTTAAAATATCTTATCTATTTTGTCACGAAATGTAACAAAACACAAATGTCTTGTGAGAGGGTAAGTTGACCAAAATATATTTGATTGGTCACAAGTATTTGGCAAGTGTTTGGGATTCTTTAATTTTTTTTTTAGACGTAGAGTTATCTTTAAATCATCATATCTAAAGATCAATTCTAAGAGCTGAATGAAAATATAATCCGAAAGTCCAGAACTTCTAGATTTTATTGAAAAAAAATAAAAATATTGTATTTGACTGCAATAGAGAGACTTCATTGGTCTATGATTTTTGTATTTTACATTAAACAATAATTTTCCCACTTGCTGATGTGCGTTTTGACCGACTTCTAAAAAGATATCGCGTTCTAGAATAGATAACAACGTTTCAGTTTCTTCAACTCGTTCGTTATAAAATCAGACTCGGATCATGATCACACCTCAAAACCAAAGAATAAAGTTCTTGAAAAGAAAAACAAAAAAAAACAAAACAAAATGACGACATTAATAGTAAAGTGTCTCCTTCTATTGGCGTTTGTATGTAGCTGCAGAGCAGCAGATTCAATATGGCAACTCTGCAACAAAGATTCAAACTTCTCAAGCAGCAGCCATATCTCCAATAACATCGACACAATTCTCGCTACGCTTGTCTCAAAGACTCCTTCACAAGGCTTCACGACCACAACCTCCACAAGTTACAACAACAAGGAAAATGTGTACGGACTTGCTCAATGCAGAGGAGACATCAGCAAATCCGATTGCTCGAGCTGCATCCAAGACGCTGCCTTGAAAATCCGTGAAGTCTGTCCAAACCAATCCGACTCGAGAATCTTGTACGATTTCTGCTTCTTACGTTACAGCCAAGAGAATTTCATAGGGAAGCTCGACACAGGTGCTGGTCTTATATACTACAACGTCGCTAACGTGACCGAAACAGATCCCAAAACGTTCGATAACGAGCTCGGGGCACTCTTTGACAAGATTAGGTCTGAGGCGGTTTTGCCTAAGAGTAAAGGGTTAGGTAAAGGTAAGACAAAGCTAACACCTTTTGTGACATTAAATGGTTTGGTTCAGTGCACAAGGGACTTGAGCGAATTAGATTGCGCTCAGTGCTTTGCAACTGCGATGGGGAGCTTTATGACGACTTGTCATAACAAGAAGGGATGTCGTGTTTTGTATAGCAGTTGCTATGTCCGGTACGAGTTTTATCCGTTTTATTTTCCTCTTGATCCGGCTATGACCGGCCCTAGTGTTGGTACTGTTTCTTCCGTTAGGCTCTAAGGCTCTTACAAGAGCAAGCTTGATTCCAATTAAAGAGAATATACATATGATGTGTGCAAACCTTCTACAATAAATCAAGCTCTTCCCTTTTGTTGCTTTTTTAAACATGTAAACAGTTAAGTTGAAAAGTTATTTGTGTTCTGAAAGGTGAAAACCAAAAAAAAAAAAAAAAGTTATTGGTGTTCTAGATTCCTATCATGTGTACAAACAATCATTGGATGCTATATACATTATTTGTTCTGAAGGAACAAATACTAAAAATAGATTAAATAAGTGTTTATTTATGTTACAAAATTGTTAGACAAATTATCAAATGAGCTTGTTAAAACGTGGGTTACCTTATTGTTTTAAAGGTTACAAATTGATAATCTCCGGAAGAGAAAAGGATGAAAAAATGAGCTCATCTCAATAATTTTTTTCTATTGTTTTGTCAACTTGAGCTTATCTCAATTAACTGTGCTACAGAAGAACTATAGTCTATACAATGAGCAAAACTTGGAGTTACAAAATTACGAGCAAATTTGTGAAAATATTAGCTTATGTAAAATCACTGGAATTATAAAATGATCAACCACTCTTACGTAGTAGTAAAATCCTAGTTGGAATTTACTATAACCAATAGAGAGATTCTTAATTGGGTAATTTCACACCAAACCGAATATATTGGTTTATACCGGTTCTGTACACCATATACCCAAATAGGTCGTCTCAGCTTTCTTTCACTTGCGACGGCTCTCACTTAACCAGCTGCCGGAAAATACAGCTATGCTCTTCGTCGCTAGACGGCTCGGTTCCAACTTGCCGTCGCTCCAGAACAGTGCTTCCCTTCTCCGGTTCTTTAGAACGGAGGCAGGTCAGCCGAGACGGCGAAACAAGTCCCCCTCTTTGCCGCTCAAGAAGAAGGAAGAGAAATCGGAGTGGTGGATCGTCGACGGAGAGATGCACGAGATCGGCGATCACGTACCTCTCCGTGAGCGTTTCACTATCCCCAGAGATAACATCCCTAACAGACGCCGCAAGCAGCTCCGTGAGCAGTTCATGCGCCGCACTCGCCTCGTCCTTAAGGAATCGGTCAGTCCTTAGCTATCACTTTCACAAATTTTAGGGTTTTTACGATTTTCCTACTTGCATTGCGACTGAGAATGGTACTCAAAAACGAGTTGGAATTGGTATTCTCCCGATAATCTCGTTTTTGATTTTGAGAGTTCTGTTTTTTTTTTTTTTTCCAAACGATAGGAGCATGAGCCATGGTGCAAAAAATACATGGAATTGTATAACGAGCTTAGAGAAAACTGGGAGAAGCTTTACTGGGATGAAGGGTACTCGAAGAAAATTGCAAGGGATCATGCAAATTACGAGTCTGCTGAGGAAGACGATGAAGATTTTAATCCATACAGGTTTTCTCTTTACCATGTTGTGTATAACATGTACTGTGCTTATTCGCCAATTTTATGTGTATATATTGATGGATTTGGTTTACTTGGCATTACAGGAACAGGCGGCCTTATAATGATCAAACAAAGGTAATTGAATTTATGTTACTGACTTACAGTTTGAGAATTCGTGTCGTTTTTTTTCTTCTTGTAATCTGATATTTTTTGGCATTTGATTGCTGTGACAATCTAATATGACAGCAGGAGCAGGGTTTTAATAGAGCAACACAAGGTGATGATAACTGGGAGAAAGTCAATCAAATCCGGGACAAATTTGAATATGACAGAGAAAGAAGAATGCGGGAAAAAGGTGAGTTTTGTGTTCCAGGTTCTTCCCTTTATTCATGCATGAACAAATGTTGAGCTATAGTATGATTTTTTGCGAGTAGTGTGAAACAAACGATGTTGCATCAGTTTGCACTTGGGACAAGGTTTAAGGTCGAGCATATATATTATTATATGTGGAGAAATTGCTTAGTATTTTCAGCCTTCAGCTACTGGAGACTGGAGAGGTGATATGAAATTAGATAGGATATCTTTTGTCGTTTTACCATCTGCGTTAGAGGTGTGCTATGTTGTGCTCGAGATGCATAGCATAACTATCAGTGGTTGTTCTCTCTGTCATTTCGTGTCTCTGATTTCTATAGACCGATATGCATCTGATATTCTTTTGAATACATTATCTTTCTTACATATTTCGTTGCTTCCGGGTTTCTCAGTTTTGTAAACTCTCTTATGTTGCAGCTTTTGCACCAATGAATGACTCACCGGATTCTAGAGACTCGAATTGGAATGCACAGAGACAGCCATTTGATGCTGAGAGATACACTCGGGATTGAATTCATGTTCGCATAGATTTCAGGTTTTTTTCGCACTATCAAATTCAATGTCTCACAGAAATGTAGATCTTAGCATAAGAAATTCATAGATCCATAGCGAATAGCTCATGAACTGCAATCCCCTTTTCCACCAAGAGTGTTTTGATATCTGATGTTTCACTATAATTAATTATGGTGTTCATCTTCATCTATTTAAGATCGATTTGGAAAAGCCGAAAAGGTTACCCCCTAGCCGTAATATAAGTTATTACATTAGTATTACAAAGTTTGAAACGAAAGAAGAAAAGCAGAGAAAAAGCTCAAATAACTTAAAGAGAAGATAAGCAAATGGAAATGGGTGCTCATAGAAACCACGAAACGTAGTCAGAAACAATACAATAAGGGGCAGTAAGTAAAATCAATAGACATCTCAGAAACAGAGAAAAAGTAGAAAAGCAATCTGTGTAAATAGACAATCTTGAAGAAGCAATCAATCCACTAGATAAAGACGGAGTCAAAACCCTTCAGTATACAATCATAGAGCAAGTGAATTGGCTAACTTGAAAGAAAAAAATAAATTAAGAGAGATCGTTTGTGCTATGTACTTGTTGGTGAGGACCTATGATGAGGCTTGGCGAGCACGAACAAGTGCATTGAGTTCCCTCACTTGGCTTCTTAATCGCTCTGGGTTGCAGAAAAAGTCAACAAATACCCGCCTTTGAAGTTCCACGTCCTTTGAGTGATGCTTCACAATCTGCAGCAACAATAGTAGTTTATTTATTAAAAAAAAGGAGATGTGGTTTTTTACAAATTTTCTATTCCACTATGACACAGATATCTCTATGTGTGGGAGAGGAATTAAAATTAGGAGATGAAGACTCGCCTCCCTTTTCTCGCGGTGCTCAAGCGTTACCTCCTCCACTGCTGTAGAGAGTTTGGAGTTGATTTTCCCCATTTCATCAAGTTCTTTCATCAGCGGCTATTGGTACATTGGAGAAACAACATGAGTTAAACTTCCAGGTCTTGGTTTTAGATTAAGGACTAATTTTGGTAACTGAGAACTAAGATTTTTTTTACCCATGGTGTCAATATGGGTTGCGCTGTAGTTGAAGACGCAAAGAGTAGTTGCTGCAGGTTCTGAATAAGCGTACACCTGCGAAACGGAGATAGGCAATAGTGATATGTATAAGCATCGTAGATACTTGAGGAATGCTATGAGGATTCTGGGTGAATGGTGACTCACAGCTCGTTAATGCATCTATTTCTGTCATCTGGAAGGGAATTCTCGAGGTCAGACTGAAGAGATGACAGATCCGATTGAAGAGCAACTATTTGCTGAATGATGGCTGGAGCTGAGACATAAGTTGATAACCCGGCTTGAGCATCTATAACAGGAAGAGTTGAAGATCATCAGCCTAAATTAAGTTGAGAAATATCAGACAAAAGGGAATAACTGTGTAAAACGATAGTGTTGACTACTTGAGTGAATGCTCAAGAGATCTCTAACTCCATGTAAAAAGCTGTCACGGTCATCCACTGCTCCCTGTTCTTGGACATCAGATGCAGCTTGGATCAGTGACAAACACCGTCCCTGTATATATAGTGCAAAGATAAATTAGTTTCATAATCCCATAATTGCAGGGAAGCATGAACTGTAACAATGGATGTGACCATACCACACGGCTTCTTGTGGCGGAGAGGTAACCTTGGAGTTCGGATTCGATTACTTTTAGCAGAGAGAATGCTCCAAGCATGTTTTTCTTTTCTAGCTGACATGCTAATTTCAAGAACTGGTGTCTTGCAAGCTGATTAACCAGGTGATTGATGAACTGCAACAAAATATTCGGAATATCAGAAACAGAATGACAAGTGATCTTGGTATCTCAAACATGGAAAACATGCAGTCTTGTGGCTAACATATCTTTGAAGAAATCTAATAAAAAGAAATACAGAGAAAACGTAAGGCCAACATACCACTTTCTGTTTACTAATATACAGTTCTTGACGCATGACCTTTAGATCATAGTCACCTGCAAGTTTATGATAAGTAAAATCACATGAGCGCCCAAAATGATCCAAAAGCTACAGGTAGAGAGCAGAGAGTTATAGCCGAATACCTTGCAAGATATAGGTGTCCTGGAGTTGAGCGAGCTCCCAACATAGTTCAGGAATAGTCTAAAAAAAAGAACAGGTTGAGCAAATATGTAGTTACTCAAAGAAGTGCCTACTCCTTAAATTTTGGAAACATGAAACGTCAAGAATTGGGTACATGAACAGACCTCTGATAAGAGTTTTTCTTCTTTCTGATAAAGGGTCGAGATTTCTTCAACTAAATCTGCATGCGTTCTCCTGCACAGGTAAAGAACATGATCACAGGAATAAAGTATGACAACTTAAGCTTATTGTCAATGTCTTGCTTCGATGTTTCATGCTTCTCTACCTTAGCGAATGTAGATCAAAATGAATATGAGCTTCAACTGATGTTACTTGAGATTTGAGTGTCAACAGAATAGCTTGTTGCTTAGCGTTCTCGACCTGGGCTTCAATCCATTGTCTCTCGCTTGTTCCAAATCTGTGAACAACAGGAAAATGCCTTTGAGAGTGAGAAAAGTAGTATGCGTGAAAATTCCAAAAATTGTTATGCAATAAGTGGTCTCCATTATATTTTAGTCTGGCCATGTAGCAAAAGAGAGCCTGCATGTATGCATTGCTTCTGGATTAAAATACCTTTTTAAATCTAGAGTAATGGTCAAAGTGAAAGCTAAAAGTTATAGTGCCGCCACATAATACATACATGGATCGAAGCCGCTGCAGTTCAGCTACACGTTGATGTTGTGACTTTTCCAAATCTGCTCCATTGTAAACGGACAAGTTATAGATGCACAATAGCTTCAAACAAGTAAGAATTTATGCACCAAAAGGGGGGTTTACATAACTGAACAAGGATATACACATTTCAGGCAAAACAATAGTATATGAAAGCAAAAATCACATTGTAGGAAAGCTACCTCGCAACATGTTTGATGTATCATCAAGACTAACCCATGAGCATTTCGATTTTCCTTCCTCAGCCACTAAACGGTATGGTCCCTGACATGATAGTAGATAAATTACATTAAACAGTGTACATCAACTAAGTTAACTTTTCTATAAGATGAAGAGAAATCGAAATCATCAGCAATGTATTCACCACGAATGCATTTTCTTACTGTGTCTAGCTGCTTAGCAAACCACTGATTTAGCTCCTTTGTGCAGGCTGAATCTCCAGCTAAGTAGGCATGAAAATCGGAGTATGCTAGGTAGATTCCAACCTCTGCACATACGAAGCAACCAATTAAGTTGGCTAATGACAATTTACAACGCTACATATTCCATGAAAATCATTAGTTCGAAAAATTGTTTGCTAACATAGCTGTCAAAACCCAAAATCTTTTTCTATCAAACAGAAGATGTCCACAGAAAATACAACTAGCTACCTCCGTGGAACTCTTAACACAGATAACTAATAGAAAAGTTCCATAAACGAAATTCTGGCTACAAATACAAACTAATCAATCTTTAAAACCAATTCATAAGCAACTATATGATGCAGCTAAAGTTCCTCACCCAAATTATGCTATTTGAAAGTATACTGCATTCAGGCCAATTACAAAATTCAGTTTCAAAGCAGATTTTCGGTAGTTCAGCAGATATGGAAACGTTAAACCAAAAGATATAGAAGGGATACGAAGGTCACCTTCGCCGGAATGATAATGAGCCAGCTCTTGAGAAGTGGAAGCCAATCTTCCTAGAACTCCATTCATCTAAATCACAGAAAAATGCCGAAAGGAAACATCACAAACTTATCAAAGAAAAAGAATTGCAAATCCCTCACACACTCGTATGTGGAGATATAACAAACCTGCAAATTTCGAGCAGATAAGCTGTCTTCTATCGCTGTTATCTGTCCAGTGACAGCAGAAGTTGCAGCAACTCGAGCACGTCTCCCTTGTATCAGAGCTGAAGATTGGCCAGTAAGTAAATCATATTGAGTTTGTAACCGCCTTAGCTGTCTCTGCAACTCCAAGGCTTCAGCTTTATGCGCCAAAGTTGCATCTCTATCGATTAAGAAGAAACTGTCAGCGGTACTGATGTAATGACTGGTATACATGACCAGGTCAACAAAATCTAGTGCACTTATGAACACCTCTGATGATATAAGAAGATCTCACACAACAAGAACCTGAATGTAGTCGTACTTGAAAATCCAAGTGAATTGAAACAACGTCTCCAGAATATTCTCACAAGGAATAACAAAACACATGTATATAAAACACCACAAGGTGAAAGAGACCTAAAGCACTCATCTAATTGATGACCTAAGGAGATAAGTGATATGAAACTAAACTTCTCCACAACATTACGCCAATTCTCACATGGAACAAAAAACATTCAACATTGCTCCATATGTCAATCACACGTAGTGTACAACATAATATACTTCGATCACTTAAGGAGATCTAACACACTAAGAAACCTGGACAGTTGTACTTGTTCCAAGTGACGTAAAACCAAGTCCTTGGCAATTTTTTCTCAAAAACCTTATAGCAGTACAAATTTCCCTAAAAGCATGAAACAGAAAATACAGAACCGCATGTGTGATATGAAGGTCTAACCTTACTTCTTTTATGCTTTCTTCTGCTCCAAAAACCGCTTCCTGGTTATTTCTCCGGGACGAAAATGCTGATATGCTATCATAGGCCTGGTCTAGATCCTCGCCCTGAATCCATGGAAAAAGAAATGCACCATGCGAAGGCAAGGAAATATCATCTTACGGCGGACGCACATAGGTTTGATGAACTCTCAAGGCCGAGAAAGAAAACATAAGCAGAATGGGACAAGGAGTTACCTCTAAGAGCTTCCCTTCTCTTTGAAATTGCTCATATCTAGATCCAGAAACAAAAAAAAACAACCCATTAACCACTGATATATGAACTAACTACCTAGGGAGAAGCGTCTTGCAGTATAACCACCAAAGTACACTACAAAGATTAGCTAGGATGAAGCTTTCCAATCACAAAATTCTTCAGGGCATATACAATTGCAAACCTTTATAATTGGTGGATTGAGTACATGCCAGAGAACACAGGGAATTTAATGGCAGATGAAGTTTATCTAATTTATTGTTAATATGTTCCACGAAACTAAAATGCAGAAAAGCATTGATCAATGAGAAATTAAGCTAGCTAGCAACGAGAATCGAAAGTATAAATTTATGCTAATTGAGACAAATATGAACTTCATCAAACTGGCATATACCTAAATTCAGAAAAACCAACACAAATTCAAACGAATCCGAAAGAAAAAAAACAACATCGGGAAAGTGAAACATTCGAGTTGTCGAAGCAGAAAGAATAAGAATGGAGAAAGAGAGCGGAAAAGAAAAACACACAGAGAGAGTTCGGCGAGGGAGAGGACATTGGAGGGGCGAAGAGAGGAACAGATCCAATCGAGGATAGGGCGAGCATCGTCGTACTGGAACGGCCACTCGAAGCTATCCGGGTCCAACTTTCCGGCGCCTTTGTAACCTAGCTCCGCCACTAGAGAGCACAGTCTCGCGCCGCTCATCTCCGATTTCCCTCTTCCGCCGGTCAGATCGCTCTTTTTTCTTCAGTGCCGGTGGTCTTGAGAATACGATGCCCGGAAATGAAATTTGAAACTCATTGTGCCTCTAACTCAATTTTTGAAAAGTTATGCGGAAACAAAAAAAAAACATTTGTTTACAATAATTGTCTTTCATCGTTAATCCGAAATTGCGAGCAACAAAGTTACATTTTCGTATATTTCTCATTGCTTATCTCTTTCTTATTTACTTATTGAACATTAATTTCTTGTTTTTGTTTTCGTTTTTGTAGTGATCATTTGGTATTTGTAAATTCAATCTCATATACATTACCGCGTACTTACCATATATTTTATTTTGCATTTACGGTTGAGTATGTTAGGTATCAAAATTCGAGCTATCAAAATATTAAAAGTAATATAAATAAAATTGTTTATGATGGTTCTGTATGTAAGAAGTTCATTTCATTTGTTAGGTTTTTAGTAATTAAGTAGAACTATTTATAATATTTTTTTCAGCACACTCGTTACAAATTTATAGAACTTTTTTATGATTTTCTTGTTTTTACTGCTACAAGAGCACTTAGTTCAAACTTCAACCCATCTTAACAACCATTTACACCTTAAATTCTGTAAAGTTTAGTATATTAAAACATCATATCCGCGCAACAAAGTAAAAAAGTGGAAGTTAATTTAATCAATCTAGTGGCGTGGTGTCTTTAACTGTGCTTTAGACTTAAGAGTGCTACGTTTTAACGCCTTCTTTCTTTCTTTCTTTCACTAATTTTAAAGCATGGGTCTTTTTCTTTAATTTCATTTGATTGCAATAATTCCCACCACCTTTGCTTCTTCTTCTTTTTTTGAATACCTACTTTTTTCCTTTATTTGAACGTGTGTTTTCTTTTGTATTCTTATTACAAAGATGGAGTACTAAAAAGAAGATAATTTTTTTATTAGGAAATTCATACTACGCTTCCTATAACCTGGATTTTAATAGTTGTCAGCTAAGAAGAACGACAAAGGTGTCATAATTCCCTTAAGAGTCACGCCCAACATTATGCTTATTATTGCTATATACTTTAACGTTACATATAGTCATTAAACTCTTCATTTTTTCCTCAACGATGAAACTAAAAATGTTATGCGACTGCTTTTATGAAAGGCGTAGTATAGAACACTATTGAGAAATCAGTAGAAAAAATGCTAAAGAAAAAAGAATTCAGACAGGGAAAAAACAAACCAAAAGGCTACCTCTCTCCAAGAAAATGAAGTGAAATTATGGCAATATAAGCCTACATTCTCCAAGATCCATCCTCATGAGGATATCTAAACCAATTATGAACAATGAAGGAGATGATTTATGGGATGGAGAACTCTTCTACAGGTCTAAACACCAAATACATGTTTGTAAAGTTTCTTTCTTGGATGTTTGAAACAAAATGGGTCTTTAAAATCTTGCTGTCGATGAATTTTCGACCTCAACGGTAACTCACAGTTTCTCGACGAGTAACCATCTTCTCCAACTGTTTGGGTGCATTTTGACAACTACCCCAATAGTTATTCATTTTTTTGGCTTTATTCCACGTCGGTAACTTTCTGGTCTATTTTTTAACATAATCAACCATAATTAGATTTGTGGATACTATTTTGTTTTTAAAAAAAAGATTCTACTATTTTGACCCTCGTTTTGAATTTAAATGTTCAGTTGACAAAAAGAATATCTCAATAACAAATAAAAACGGGAAGTATATACACTTCACAAGAAAACTGAATTGATGAACGGTTGAAATTAATTACCAAACTCTTTTTAGATTTGGCCACATATAGTTTAAAGTAGTTCCAATACAATCATATTTCAGTTATGGAGCTAGAATCAAAATCTCATCAGTAGATGCTAAATTACACCAATATTCCGCCAAATTGCAACCTTATCATTTAGATACATTATCCGATTTTTGTTAAACTCTAAATATAGTCCACTCTTTTTCAAATCACAAAAAGGAAAAAAAAGGGAGAAGTATAGCTCTGCCACAAGTCAAACTTTATGTAGATGAAGAAGCTAATCTAATCTAACTATTCAACAAATCTAATCTAATCTAATCTCTCACCAAATCAACCGTTACATTACTAAAACAGTAGAAAAATATAAAGAAGTTGCAAAACAAGTCTTAATTTTTTTTTTATATATAGTTTATGTAATACAACATGGCTCGCTTTTCCCAAAGCTACATAATAAGCTTATCCTTTAGAATTCATCTCCTTTTTTTCCTACGCATAAAATACATACATAATTTCACAAGCATACGGTTTTTTTTTCATATATTAAAATATTAGAACGAAAAGAAAAAAAGAAGAAAACAAAAACAAAAGTGTTGTCTGACTCAATCTCTCATGCTTGTGGCTTCAAAGAACCCGTGTTGGCAAAAAACACCTTGAAATGCACCCAAACCCTCCTCCTCTTTTCTGCATTTTCAATTATTACATTTATCAAATCTATCTTTCACCATTGATATCCTTAACAACAATACTCGAAGCGAATTCAAGATGACATTCTAACTAATAAATTAAAAAAAAAAACTAAAAGAGTAATTCTACCTTTGTGGATTTGACGGAGAGAAGTTGAGGGGACACTTTGTACAAGTCTTCGTCCACAGGTTTCGGAGCCTTCGTCCTCCGTCTCACCACCGGCGTTGGACAGCTTCTCGGCGCGTTTTCCTCACGCGACTCCATCTTGAAGTTGTGTTGGTCCTTGGAGACGGTTCTCTTCGGCTCCTGAGCCACCTTAGCCTGGAAACCATTTAAACAGGAACATATGAATTCACGGCGACGATAGAGTCGAGGGGAAGTGTTAAATCAAAGAAGGGAGGGATGAGAAAGAAGAAGTACACGGCGTCGAGGGAGGAGGATGACGGCCGGAGCGACGAGGTGGTGGTTGTCGTAAAGATCGCCGGCGAGATAAAGATCGCGATCTTGTGGGTAAGAAGCGTAATGGAGAATGGAAGAAGGCTGTTGAGTGGTTGCTGTGTCGAAGCACTGAGTGAATGGAACGGCGTCGTTCCAGTCCCAGCTCCCGAACGCCGGCACGTGTCCTCTCCTGTAGTACTCTCCTCCTCCGTATTCCTAATTGCAAAAAGAAATGAAAAGTTTAAAACTTTGTATACCCAAAAGAGGGAAGAAGAAGAAGAAGAAAATTAAGAGAAGGAGCTTGCTTACGTAGTCCATGGCTGTTGTGGCGAATGAGTTTGATGATGTAAGAAGAGATCTCTAAATAGAGAGTGAGAGAGAGAGAGATATTCCGGTTCTATTAAATGGCCAGATGGGTTTCTTATTACATTACTCAACACTGAGACAAAGTTGTCTTAAAGTCTACTTGTAGGAGAAAGAGAGAGAGAGAGTAGAGGGACTGTGTGTATTATGAGCAGAGAGAGAGTGTGTGTGTCTGAGAGAGAGTTTTTAAAAAAATTTAATAGGGTAAGTGAAAAATAAAAATAGCTACGCTTCTACTTCGTTGAACCATACTCTAAAATAAAACTTCTCTTCTTCTTATTCATTTCTTTTTTAAAAAACTTTTTTAACAACATTCTACTGTTTTTTTTTGTCCCATTTGGTTTTCAAATGCTTTTTATACAGGGAACTGTAGTCTTTACATTTTTTTTTTTTTAAAATGTTTTTATCCTTTTCTTTTAGTTTTGTTGGCTTTAGACTTTGTTTTTACTTTTTTTTTTTTCCGACTTTGTTTTTACTTACATGGGGTAAAAAGGAAAACAAACAAAAAAACCCACTTTTATTTTCGTGGTTGACAAACAGAAAAAGGACTTAGCATAACTTTCACTAAAACTAATAAATAAAAAAAGTTATTAATTCTAACAAGATTTATGCCTCTAAAACTCACCTATACATCTAATTTATTTACTCCCTCCGTTTCATAAAGAGTGTCGTTCTGATATTTTTTTTGTTTCAAAAAGAATGTCGTTTTAGAATTCTAATGTAATTTTTGACATAAAATACTATTTGTAACCTCAATAAATTCAGAAAATTAGTTATAAATATAATTCTAAAAGTTATTTTCTGCAAATTAATAAGGATATAAGAAACTTTTTATCTTATTTATTAATTTGTGTGAAAAATGTCAACACAACATTCTTTATAAAACGGAGGGAGTATTTCTTTATGGCCTAGACCAAAATATATATGTATACTCGCTCCTACATTTTTTTTTTTTGTGGAGCAGAGAACATTAATGATCTTTTCTCGGAATATCCAATTTGAAATATGAAATTTGTTTTTTAAGAGAGTGAAATTTTTAGAGACAAAAGAGTTAATAAAGGAGCTTTAGAGGGAAGGGGCCACATGCAACATTACCTCTGTAATGAAACTTTGTGCTATGTGCAGTGTGCAACCAACATTGCCACGATTCCAAGCAATCCCATTTATTATCTTTTGTCAATTTCTCCCCCTTTTTCCTTATAAAATTCCTTCTTTACAATAAATATGTCTGTAATTTTTTCAAATATATTTTTTAATCGATAGTTTTATATGAAAGGAGGGACAGGTGGGGTTAGGTCAACATTACTGAAACTGTTCATACTAGCATAATTAATTGCAACTGCTCATTGCAGCCTTTTGAAATTGAGAAAGCAGTTAAAAAAACATGTATCAACGGAATGGCTTTTCATTGATGTAACTAATTTATGGGTTAGTGAAGCTAATAATAGTAGAGAAAATCTGGTATAAATTCATTTAAATGGATATTAATTCTAATAATATTCATTGACGACTTTTATGTTGTTATTATATAAAAAGTCATCATTCATTAACCAATTTTACTATAATTAAATTATCTTGTTTTCCCCCACGAGTTTTTATCAGTTCCTATTTCCCGAATTTGCCAAAAAAATATTGTGGACTTGAAAAGCTAAACACCAAAGATTCAGAAAGAAAATGGATGAACATTTTGCATGGAAAGACAGTCGGTTAAGTTTTTGTGGGATCAGTTCTGACTTCTGAGAGGCGTTTTACTTGTAATTGGTCCACTAGTCCTTAACTGAACGGTACGCTTTGTGTTTCTGCGTTACATAATAATAACGGTACGCTCTTAAATGAACGTAATTTATATACAGGCACCATGAGATACGTCAGTCGATAACGTGGATTTTTTTTTTTGTTCTTTACTTTATTCTATATAGTTTGAAAATGAAAGCTGTTGAGAGACTGGTAAAGGGGAAAAAAACCCGAAAAATTATACATTATACTGGTAACGATTTCCATTATATGTATTTTTTTAATCATTTGTAACTGTAACATCATTAGAAAAAATTATCAGAGAAAACCATCTAACAGTTTATAGAATCGGGAATTAATCAAAACAATATAAATAATTATTCACTTTAAAAGCTACTAATTTTTTTCACAATGTTTTTGAATGGCTTTATCAAAATGTCTTCCGTAGTTTGTGTTGAACTATTTCACAAAATAAACTAAATGGGATACAATATTGCAATTTGAAACCCATAACACGTAGTTAGAATTTGGGACATAGACATCTGAAACTAGTAATTATTTTAAGATATCGTGTTGTTTGGGTCTTCAGCCTGTTGTTTATTTTGCTTCGCCTACTCTATAGCACTCTTTAAGTCTATTTATGTTTGGTAGAATTTCTATCATTAGTCCTTTCTATGTTTCTATCATTAACCCACCGGTTTTGTGTTCTTTTGCAGTCAATTCCATCTTTCTCCTACATTTATGCATCAATTATTTCAAAATGACAAATTCACCTTTCAAGTAAGACTCTACTAATTTCTCTTTCTTATTGCCAAAGTGCCTGTACAAAGTAAAATTTATTAATGTTTTGCATTAAGCATGTAAAACGAAACATTTTGTGAAAGAGAAACAAAATTCTCAACTCGGTTTATATAGCACTTAATTTGCGCTCCTCTGAATTGGTCGTGGGGCAAGTCGTTCTGTCTACGTTTCAATTCTCCATTCGTCAAGGAACATGTGATTTTCATATTAAACCGGTTTCTCAAATTTTTAAACTCTAGTTTCTATAAATGGAAAACAGAATCTAAACTCTAAGAAAATTTCAAGCTCCTAATTCTTATTTCGGTAGTTTTAAGAAACCCGGAAGCATTTGGTTAATTTAGATATGTAATTCTCTAAAATGGACAATGCTACATCTCGATAGTGTTAGGTTGTGGCTAGAGGTCACAAGTTTTAGTTGTTGACCTTGTGGTCAACACACAATATGACAATACTACTGTGCTTCTCTATGCAACCTAAAATCTATGTATATAGCTATCAGACTAATCCTAATAACGAAACACATTGTAAATACAAAATCTACAATGAAATATAATACTAATATAAATCATCGACACAACTAGGACTCAAATACTCATAGTCTAATACTAACATTAACCCTTAGCTGCTTGACGTATAAAACATGATAAATAATTGTTGTCAACAACAAAAAATGTCATGATAAATAATAACATCACAAAAGACTACGAAGAAAAACAAAAAAAAAAAACATGAAAAACATGAGAAAACAAAGTCGCGAAAATCTCGTTGTTACATCAAATCTATGAACGATATATTTGATTTTCTGACTTTTTCTCTTTTCTGCAATTGGCTCGGATACCTCTAAAATTGGTCATATTTTTCTCCAGATAAATCTTGGTCATTTGTTGTGTTTGTTTTTAGCATTTTTTGGCATAGGAATAATTTGCTTTTCATAATGCTCACAAATATTTCTTCGCTTGTAGAGTTGGGTGATATAGTGATCTGCATGCGCGACATAGGCGTGGTTGACGTCACAATGGAGGTCGTTGCTAATCTATACATTTAAAGCTACGAAACCATGTATTTACCAACGAACGAAGAAAACAATTCGTAGACCAAAGAATCGTCGTGGAACAAACTACAGGAACTGAAATTCTACACCCAACAACAAAAAAAAAAACAATTTTAAAAGAATAGTATCATTTAAAAAATAGTAGAGAAAAAGGAAATTGAGAATCTAGAGATCTGGATTCTCTCAACACAGAGAATGAAGGGAAAGTCTAAACGTCTACGAGCCTCTAAGGACCATGGTCAAATGCTATTTTTTGCAACTTCATATTTTATTTCTTTTTTTTTTCCTTAAACATTTGTAAGCAAGTCTGAAATGTGCAGTAAACTTTTTACGCTTCTTTTATTTCAAAAGTCTGGAGTCGATGGGTAAAGACCAAGGAGAGAGCTAACATGATATATTCTCTATTTTGTCCTATTGTATTTCTATTCTAACTGATGTTCTTACTTCTTTTGTAGCTAACTGTTGTTGACAATTAAAAAAAAGTTACTAGCTACCACTAACAGAGTTATAAATGCTAGCTAACAAATTTTTGCCTTTTCTTTTTCGGACATAAAGTAGCCACACGTATTGTTTTCATTTATCGATGATCTTTCAATTATAAACGGATTCTACAAAAAGTCCCGAGAGTTTGACATAGCCCCAAGAAAAACACAAGTCCTACTTGGGCTCAACTCAGGCCCGCTATTTTAGCAATGCTAATTACTTATGTTAAGACTTAAGACTTGTGGGCTGGAGATTGTGTAATGGATGATTGATAAAAAAAATAAAAATAAAAATAAAAATAAAAATAAAAAAGCGTACCATAAGAATCCCAAAAGTGAAGTAATCCCGTGACTGATGGAATAATCCCAATCTGGTTCACGGGTTTCTTCAAAGCTTATTATATATACATCTTCTCATGCACATTCACTTTGACACCACAACAACATATATACAAACAAATACACAAAAAAAAGGAAAAGAAGAGGATAAAATGGCGAGCAAGAAGGCGTCTTTCATGGTGATGATAGTGGTGGTGATGGCCATTTCAATGGAGAGCTCAGTGGCTATTGACCTCTGTGGCATGACCGAGACAGAGTTGAACGAGTGCAAACCAGCGGTGACCAAGGAGAGTCCAACGAGCCCATCACAGCTTTGCTGCGACGCTCTGAAACACGCTGACCTCAACTGTCTTTGTGGCTACAAGCACTCTCCATGGCTCGGCTCTTTTGGCATTGACCCCGAGCTAGCTGTTGGACTCCCCACCATATGTGGCCTAGCCAACGCCCCAACTTGTTAAAGCCTTTATTTTTGTTCCGATATCGTTTGTTTCCCTTGTTTTTATTTTTATTAGTTATCAACTATTTATAACATCTTTTTGCGTTTGGTATAATCGTGATTTCTGCTCAAAGGCGTTTTTATGGGGAACACCCAAAACGATGGTCAAAAATAAAATAAACCAATTAAATTTTCACAAGGCCCAAAACAACCCATACTAGAATTGTGTTAGACCACATAATGGCAATTTCGAAAATAGAACCAGCTAGCGACATGACAAAGAGAACACAAACCTAGGGGCTGATGGTTTCACTAGCCCCGACACAATATTAAATACTTAACCCACTAACCCCAAATCAAATTATTTGTTTATTCTTAATTACCTTTATCTAAACCATTCATTTCATTCTAGAATGAACGATTATATCCCAAATGGAGTAATTACGAATCAAGCAAAACGACAAAGAAAACACATCGACAACAGATACGGATTTACGAATTATACGACGAATCATACGACGACGGAAAATAGTTTTAAGAGAAGCGAAATCAACGAAGCATAATATCCGAGATATTTGATTTACTTTCACCAAAGTCATCGTCAAAAGGGTGAAATTAAACTGAACAAGTCATTAGCTAATCGATCCGGTTTACTGACATACCGGATTTGACAAAAGACAAAATAAAAGCCGAAAGGGAAAATAGGATAGTAGGAATTTTGTCCAGAAACCGACGAAAAATCAGATCCGACGACAGTTAGGCCTCTTTATTAGCGTCGTTATCGGTCTTCTTCGCCGGAGAAGAGAAGATCCAGGTGAAACCAAAGGGATCTGTCACTTTCCCCTTGACTCCACCGTCAGCTTCAACCTCCGATACGTCCTCCACTTTCACAGCTCCGGCGGCAACGGCTTTCGTAACAGCAGCTTCAACGTCATCCGTTTCGAGGATTGCAGACACAGTCCCAGTCTTCGCACTGATCAAACGAAAATAAAACCAACTCAATATTCTTCTCAAAATCCGCAAAATAAACATGTAGTGACAACAAATGGTGTTCATAGAAGCAGAAAAATCATTGTAAATACTCTCAGATACTCTCTCATTTCACAAGTTAAAATCCAGATCTAGAACGAAATCAAACGATAAAACAAAAAAAACCTAAAAAAGCGAGAAAACACGAAGATCCAGACGCCAAATATCGAGAGAGAGAGAGAGCTTACGCAGAACCAGAGTTAAGGGAGACGTCGCTGACAACGATGGTAGCACCAGCGAGCTTGAGCTCAGCAGAGAGAAGGTGAGGGATCTCCTGGTCAGCCTTACGCTTAGGGTAGAGAGAATGTCCGGTCTCGACAGCACCGAAGACGGACTTGTAGAAAGCAACGGCATCGCCGACCTTCTGAGCCTCCACGATCAGCTGGGGCTTGTACGCCGTGAAGACAACAGACTTCTCCGCCGCAGCGCCGTTAGTAGCAGCAACTTCTTCCTGAGTCATCGTTAAACAGAGAAAGGTAGAGAAAAACCTAAAGAAGGAGATAGCAAAAGAGCAAATGAGAGAGATTCGTTTAGCAAAGGGTGAAAAAGAAATGGAAATGGCGTGTGAAGAACAATCTAGAGACTGTGGTGGATATTTATTTTGGAAGCGGAGAAGCGGAATCGTTTTGTAACCTGACGAGGATTCAAAAGGATATAACAATTGCCCTCACGTCCGGGGATTACCCTTGCTTTTCCGTTTATTTACGAGTGCATGCCCCTACAATCCTTTCATTTACTACGTCCTTCCTACCCTGTAGAGCTCTCTGTCACGTCCGTTTGAAAAGTTAAAAATTATAATATTAAATTAAAAACCGAAGAACAAGCATTTGAATAAATAAATAAAGTTCAGATGCATATATTCTTGGCTTTTTATTTTATTTTATCTTATATAGGAAATAAGAGAATCTTTGTACACATGGAATCAAATTAGTTAGTTTGGTATCCTTATTCAACCAACGGCACATAGGACAAGTTACAATTTCTCCCATCCGTTCCAAATTTGTTAAAGATATGTTGTACGCTCTGGTTGAATAGACCTCGACTTCAAATTATACCAACCAAAGTTTGAAATTTAATGGATGTGCTAAGAGTATGAATACTTTTTGTTGTTGATAAGTATAGTTTATGAATGTTGGGCTGATGTATAACTAAATGAAGGAGATGCATTATATACTAGTCTACACAACATTTTTAAGGACATAATTATCTAAGTGCAAACCTTCTCTTGCTTGTAACAAGGAAGATACTAATACGCGATTTCTTCAAGAACTTGGAGCGTCTTCTGGTGAACCTATGCCACAGGGAGGAAAAACACAAATAGAAGCTTAATGAATGCAAAGAAAAGAGACCTTGTCTATAAAAGTTTGGTGATATTAAATGTAGCAACTCACCCATTCAAGATGTTGAGCCGTGATACCAGAGACATTACCCGAGTATATACTTCCTAGTACCTATCAAGATTGGATTAAAAACATCACACAAAATGGTCAATATTCTATTCCTATCAATTTGTTGGACAAGCTGATCTGTTAAAATATACCTTTGTGACAGTCTCTAGAAACATTCCTGGCCTTACTGGTAATGGTTTTCTTCCTGTAACGCTTCCCTGGATCGCATCAAGTAGGGCAAGTTAGAAACAAAGACTTTGTATTTGGTCCAGTGCCTACATTACAAAAAATAAAGTCTTCTCTTTTAACAGAAATTGTGTTAGTTGCTGATCATACTTACCCTTCCATTTAATCCACTCTGTCTTCTTCCTTGGGTAGAAGAAGCATCCTCTTCATTGCTAAGATCATCTGCACCTTCATCTCTCCCTTGCATTACATTCTTGATCATTTGCTGGACTGTCTTTCCAGGTTTGAGAGCTACCAATTTGGTTAAGAAATTCACCTGTTCGACGTTCATGCAACAAGTCATTGTATTTCAATGTTTAAATTATGTTCATAAAGACGGCGGCATAATGGACATAATAAACGTCACAGATACCTCTGATTCAGGCAGTGTAGTGAAACCTCGGTCATTTCTCTCATCAAGTATACCTCCTCCCATCATGTTTCGCGCTTCCTCTCTGATCAATACAAGCCTCGCTAGTAGTTTTCGATCCGGAACAGCTGGCCTCGTTTCCATAGTCTGCAACTTTTTTCTTAGTCTTGTTCACATTCGGAGATAAGGTACCTCTAATACGAATACATAACCTAACCAAACAGGCAAACACAATACCTCTAGCAAGTCATCAGCTTGATTAGCTATGTCATTCAGATTTGCTCCGGGTAAATGAAGTTTAGTACCGTCCTTACTTTCAAAAGCCCCACCACCTGCGGCTACCCTCCGCAAGAGCTCTTGTCTACTTTCCTTTTTAGGGGTTCTACATAGTAAACCAATCACTTGGACCTAAACAAATAGCAACGCTTAAGTAAAATCTAAAACATGAAAGAAGCTAGTGGAAAGCTATGATAGTAAGAAGAAACTGATGTAAATATTACTCACATGAGCAGGGCATTTTTTGGTGAGATGTGATAAGACAGTCTCCTTGACGACCTCTAGTAAGGACTTCCTCTGAACTTAAAACAAAAGTTAGTTAATTTCGTTGATCTTGTTCCCCATCTTACGTTACAGAACAAACAGAATGGCAAAGGTAACAACAATAGCATTAGAATCCAGTGAAAACATTACATTGCAAAGGCTATCCAGTTACAAACTCAGGTCACTTTGTATATATTCAGAGGCAAATTGCAGAATGGGTTACCTTATCGTCTTGGTCTTTGTCGGCAAGTTGAATCATGTAATCAAGGGCCATCATAAAACCTGACTCCATTTCATCAACCCTTTTCCCTATAACTCCTTGTGCCGCCAATTCTACAGCAACATTCTCAGATGCTTCATTCATCTTCATATCTTGCAACTACACATCAGGGGCATATTTACGCGTCAAGCCATTACAGACCCAAGAATTACAAAAACTAACGAATTACGATTCTATAAAGAATTTTCCCAGAAAAATACAAAGCCATTAAGTTGTTCGACGAAATGCCAAGCTTAGGGAAACGACTCAAAAGCAAAGCTCAGATGAAACATAACTCGATGAAAACGTAGAAATACATACGAGGGTTATCATTTCTTCGAGAACGGATGTGACTTGTTCGCCTCCTTTAAGCAGAGCCTCATACTCAGATGCATCTAACTTATCCTCGACGTTGGTTTTACTTTGATGTGTTCCGTATCTTTCGAAAAGCTCCTCATCGGAATATCCGCCTCCTACCTCGTACGGGGCGCAAAATTGAACTAGACTCTTCAATTTCTGGGTTTGCTTTGGACGGAACGAACAAAAGGAAAAAGGAAATGCGCCAATAGTCGATGGAATTAGAGGTTCTCTTTTCGAAGGTGATGTGAAGGAGGAAAAACGAAGATGAATAGATTGCAACATACTTTTTGTTCTCGTTTCGGATTTAAAATTTTGGAGGTTCTGGGTTTAAGCAAAGGAAGAAATGATGATGAGTACGAAGAAGAAGACGAGGATAAAAAGGATAAACACTAGTGATAAAAAAAAGCCAACGGAGAAAAACAAAAACGCCGTCTGTGGGGATCGAACCCACGGCCACGGGATTAAAAGTCACGCGCTCTACCACTGAGCTAAGACGGCTTGCGTGACCTTTGCTTGCTAATAACAGAAATAGACTATTCACTTTGAAACCAAACCACTTCGCGGACAATGAAGGATTGGTTATTGGTTTGATACACAAAATCAGGTTTCAATTATGGAAATCTTCAAAGGTGATCAGCAACCATGTGGATGAAGCATGGAGGGGTCCAAATGACATAATGGTGTTTTATCATTCGTATTAAGTTCATTGCCTACTTAAGAAAAAGTCGAGTGATCATATTAATAATGCCATATAGATTTCTAAACAGATATTGATGTTAATATTTTGATCAACTAATAACTTGAAAGGCTATTTATAAATCATGTTTAGAGTAATCAGTGTAACCCTGATATTCAAGGTAAGACATTTTATCAATATAATTTCATTTTCTTGAAGTGAGCAAGCCATAAAGCATGGCAAGGATTGCTTAATATTGCTCAATTATTACAAAATATCTCTTTCTTTCTCATTCACTATGTCTGGCACATGCTTTATTTCCAAATCTTCTTTTAGGTATAGCTTTATAGTACAATATTGCAATCAAATATTTTTTGCCATGCCTATGTATAACACACACGTTATCTTATAGCAGAGGTTTATATACAATTATTAGTGGTTATAGTAGCATAAGACCACCTAAAATTATATTTCGTAAGATAATCTGATCTTATCAAATTTAGCAAACAAAACCATAACTCATGTACTTCTGGCACGGTTCAATAGTAATTTATCAGCATGCTTTGATCAAAACTAACTGATCTCTTGTAAGAAAGTTGATCTATTATGGATCATAATCAGAAGACCTCATATACAGAATACAGTAAATCCATACTTTGATTGCGACACCAAAAATTAGATTCATTTTATCCAAAAGAAAAAGATTTGCGTATTGATGCAAAACCGGAAATTTGGAAATTTTACTTTCCGTCATCAATATAACAACGATATGCATTCTAAGAACACAAGTTACACAACAAGTTGTACTGTCATATTTTAGTTTCAGAATTCAAAAAGCATAGGGAAAATTATGAAGAATGTAAAAAACTATAGACTCATAAGAAATCTTGCAATATGACTGTTGTTGATATCGAAGTGCATATTATTGTACACTAGTGACAAATGGTATTTTGCATTCTTCGGAATATTTATTGTGATATACCCTATGCTTTTTGAAGCGCGAAACTAAAAAGCTGTGAAAAATACTGAAGTCAAGAAATTTTGAATTTAACGAACTGAGTTTGAACTTTTAAATGAAATCCACCTTAGGATGAATAAGACCAATTAAAAACGACCGTTACATTTGCCTCCAAATAGTAATTAGGCGTAACTTCATAATCCCGTGTTTACCCTCACGACATCACGAGGAGCTGTTGGAGGTAAGGGATATAAATGAAATTTCGACAATATCCCAAACGACAATATGGAGCCCACCGTGCGCAAGTGAGAAGGGCCCTCACAGGTCACAGTTTCTTGCCCACACAAATAAAAGGTGATTGTGAAATTTAAAACGAAAAAAGCTCAAAGGGGGCAATTTGGTCATAATTTTGAATTCTTTCTCTCTCCTTTCCACTGCCAGCTCTGCTAGCTTCTCTACTTGTTCACTTCTTCTTCTTCTTCTTCTTCTCCGTTTCACAGTCACAGAGGAAGTTAGAAGAGAACTGATATCACGCTCGCTTCAGAGATCGATCTGATCGGCTCGAAAAAGTAGAGAAATGTCAGGTTTCGTCGGGATTTTGGTATCGGATCCATGGCTGCAGAACCAATTCACGCAAGTGGAGCTCCGGAGTTTGAAATCTCACGTACGTACGTCCGATCCACTGCAACAGAAGAAATCTCCATAACGATTTTGGTTTTCATTTGATTTTCGATCTGATTCTGTGAAATTTCCAACTTGTGTATAGTTCACGAGCATGAGGAGGGAGAATGGGAAGCTCACTGTATCGGACCTCGCGTCAAGGATGGGGAGATCAAAGGTGGTCGGAGATCAGAATCTCAGCAATGAAGAAAGAACGTCTCTGATCCAAAGTTTCCATCCCAACTTGAATGATGAAGTCGATTTCGAGTTTTACTTGAGGGTCAGGACTCAGGATCGGATCTCTGAAAATTCTGCTTCCACTTTCTACAGATCTTTCTGTTGATAAATATTTATAGTGATTGAATTGCTAAAAAAATTATTTGTTGGAATCATAAATCTACAGATTTATCTTAACCTTCAAGCGCATGTGAACGCCATAATTGGAAGCGGCGTGAAGAACTCGTCTGCGTTTCTCAAGACAGCTACAACGACTTTGCTGCACACTATCAGCGATTCTGAGAAGTCCTCTTATGTCGCTCATATCAATAATTACCTCTCCGGAGATGAATTCCTAAACAAGTACCTCCCGATTAACCCTTCCTCTAATGATCTCTTCGAAGTTGCGAAAGATGGTGTTTTACTTTGGTAAGCTTTCTTCCTCTCACATATTATGTTTCATGAATGTTTTCTTTCTTCTCTTGATGATAAATGTTCTGGCTTTATCTCTGATGTAATGTAGTAAGCTTATAAATGTGGCGGTTCCTGGGACGATTGATGAAAGAGCTATTAATACTAAGAGTATGCTTAATCCATGGGAGAGAAACGAGAATCATACGCTTTGCCTTAACTCTGCCAAGGCCATTGGGTGTACTGTGGTTAACATTGGAACCCAAGATATCATTGAAGGAAGGGTATGTGAATCTGTAACTATCAGTCTCCTTCACATTTCCTGAAATTTTTGTAATGGTTTATGATTTAACACTTCTGTTTCTCGGATTTAGCGTCATCTTGTGCTCGGTGTGATTTCTCAAATCATCAAGGTGAGCCTCTAATGCTGCTACTGCTCTTTGCTTTACCTAAGAATATATGTAATTAATATTGTGACTGTTCTGTCTAGATACAATTGCTAGCGGACCTAAACTTGAAGAAAACTCCCCAGCTGGTGGAATTGGTCGATGATAGCAAGGTAAATACTATTCATTGTCTTGTTGAACAAAACATTGTAGGACGATCTTCTTTAAATATAATGACTTTGTTCCAAATTTTGGGATCAACAGGATGTGGAAGAGTTGATGAGTTTACCACCTGATAAGATCTTATTGAGATGGATGAATTTTCAGTTAAGAAAATCTGAATACAAGAAAACCGTCACAAACTTCTCCTCTGATGTAAAGGTATCCAATATCAAGTGATAAATTCTCCAATTGGTTGGGTTTATACAAAGTTTTCTAGTAAATGCTCCATAGAATCTTTTATAGTAAATAGATATGGCTTATGATATGGTTTTCTGCAGGATGCTGAAGCTTACACTCATCTATTAAATGTCCTCGCACCAGAGCACAAGAATTCATCAAATTTAGCAGTTAAAAACCCATTTGAGAGAGCAAATCTTGTTCTCGAACATGCAGACAGAATGGGATGCAGAAGATACTTGACCGCGAAGGATATTATTGAAGGTTCCCCGAATCTTAATCTTGCTTTTGTAGCACATATTTTCCAACACAGGTGAAAGAAACACTTAAATGTCAAATGTAGTTCATGTCCTAGGGAACATTTTAGTATGAAATTTAACAAATGAGAACTATGTTATTGTTTTCGCAGGAACGGGCTTTCAACCAAAACAAAACAGATATCTTTTCTCGATACTCTAGCCGATGACACTCAAATCTCAAGAGAAGAAAAAGCATTCCGGTTTTGGATCAACAGCTTTGATAGTTCCGTATACATAAACAACGTCTTTGAAGATCTCAGAGATGGGTTAGTATTTCAGCATTGAGTAAAAGAACTGATAATAGAGTGTGGGAATGCATATTAACACCGTGTTCTGGTTTTGACAACAGGTGGATATTGTTGCAGACACTCGACAAGGTGTCTCCAGGAATTGTAAATTGGAAACTAGCAAGCAAGCCTCCCATCAAATTGCCATTCAAGAAAGTAGAAAACTGTAATCAGGTTGTGAAATTAGGGAAACAGCTCAAGTTCTCTTTGGTTAACATTGCTGGAAATGACATTGTTCAAGGAAACAAGAAGCTCATACTAGGTAAATTCCCAATTCTATGATTATGTGTTTTGAATCACACACATCGTGAACTTTTAGTATAATGATGTCTTAAAAACCTCTTCCAGCATACTTATGGCAATTGATGAGATACAACATCCTGCAACTCCTTAAGAACTTGAGGTTCCATTCCAACGGCAAAGAAATAACAGACGTTGATATATTGGAGTGGGCAAATGCTAAAGTGAGAGAGAACGGAAGCCAAACCCGCATGTACAGTTTCAGGGTAAGTGCTCTTCTTCGTTAAGGCATTAATTAGTCCCATTCCTAACCGATGTGAGATATTAACATACACACAATCCATGTTAGTAACGAAAGATGTCTGATAATGATAGGACAAGAGCTTGTCCGATGGAATATTTTTCCTGGAGCTGTTGAGTTCAGTGCAGCCAAGAGCCGTAAACTGGAGTCTTGTTACAAACGGAGTTACTGGTAATTAACTGTTAACTAATATTCTTTTGTTTAAGTGTTTGAGAATTATTATTTAATAGAGACACTTGCTAATACATACATACAGATGAAGAGAAAAAGATGAATGCCACTTACGTGATTAGCATAGCCAGGAAGCTAGGTTGCTCCATATTTTTACTCCCAGAAGACATAACTGAGGTATTTTAAGGCCTCTCTCTTTTTCCCATAAATAATCTAATCGCTTAACAATATCAAAAGATTTGATATATTAAGTAAATAAATATATGAACAGGTGAACCAGAAGATGATTCTGACATTGACGGCGAGTATAATGCACTGGACTCTCAAACAACCTCTTCATCTTATTAAGCCTACCGGATCTCCCGATAGCCACAATGGAAGTCTACTCGACGATTCTACTTCTGATTCGTCTTTAGACTAAAATAATGTTCCATGGTGAAATTATTTTTTTCAGAAATTTATAAATGATGCTATAAACTATTCCTGTAGATCGTTTCTTTTCTGGGTGCAAAAACAATATTGGAATTATAAAAGTCACTGATTCCTCATTGAATGTGTATGTCCTAGATGTTCATTTACGGAATACAACAATTGACTGTGTATTTTCCAGTTAACCACTCTTAACACAAAATGTACAAAGTAAATAAAATTTCCATAAACATGAAAAAAAAAAAATTCCATAATAGTTTCAAATGTTGTACAAATAAGGTTCATAAGAGATACACTCATCATTGTTGTGACTAGCGAAAACTAACAAAAGGAATTTGCTAGATAAGTGTTTTTTAACCAACTAAACTAAAAATGTTTGGTATCATCATCAATAGGGTACTGTCAAAAGCAAATCCATATTTGTTCTTTGCTGAAGATGGAAATTTTTTGCAAACTGTAAATAATCTTATTGGGGGAAAAATATGATTACAGATGGACGATAATGTATATTATGCATATATTATGTATTATGATACAACGAGAAGAGAGACGTGACATAGATGCCAAAGTGCAAAACATAAAACAAAAAAATTCACAAAACATTCAATCACCTGCGATCGCTTCAACAAACGAATCTGGACATTCCAAACAAAACCTTCCCACACTTGTTCTTCCCATCTAACTTGCGCTCTCTCAATTTTCACTTCAAACAGAGTGAAAAAAGCAATTGGGGGAAGAAAGGAGCATCTGACCTCAAATGGAAGGTGTGTGTATGTCTGTATGTCTGTGTCTTCAAAAATCCATGAGCAGCTAAAAGTTTCTAACTTGTATACTGTAACACATCTTCATTACAACATTCATCAGCCCCTTTTGGCTACACAATGTTTCTCCCAACACTTTGATCTACTTCATAGAACTGTAGCATAGATGACTGAACCTGCACAAAACCCATTAAAAACATACACATTAGGCTTAACAAGTTTACTCATTTCCTACATATCCAATGAATCTGACAATTTCCAACACTATCCCATAATCAAGATTGCAGAAATGACCCTTTAAAAGCCACAAGATTCCGAATTCTAAAGAATGAAATAAGCTACAACAAAGAATCTATCGCAATGGTGACAAGTTCACCGAATCAACGGGAGAGGCAAGAGATTGAGAATCCATTACCTTATTCCCACGAAACTCAGCCTCGTTCTCAACAGCAACACAATCCCTCGGTGTCTCGAACAAAGACAAGGAGTACTGCTTGCGAACAACTCCGACATCGAAGTATATAAGTCCGGAGTTTGGTATGTCCACTCGGATCCCTTTAACCGGAAACCAAAGGAAGAGTTCCTGAGCCGAAATCCCCGATAAACCTCCGATGCTTCCGTAACCTATCGTCCCCGTAATGTTGGCCTCGTAATGCAGCTCGCTCTCGTACTTGGCCTTGCAGGATTGGTTCAGGAAAACCGAGAATTGTCCTGTCTCGACGTCAACGCTGAATTCTTTCACGCCTTTTGGTAATAGCCCCATCGGTAACGCGTGTGCTCGAAGGACCTCGTATATCGAATCATTCTCGGCGAAAACCACTGGAAAAGAGATCGCAGCGGCGGCTATAAGAACAAGCTGAAGAACCGCGAAATGAGCAACACGATTCATCGCTTTCTTTTTTTATAAAAAAAAATCTGCAGGGAGATTTTGAATATTCCTATCAATTCATGGAAATTGTAATCCGGATCTGTGTTGCTTCGCGATCAGGAAAAATTAAGATTAGGGTTTAAACGGTGGAGGAGAATAAGAAGAAGACATTTTGATGACAGCTTGAAACAGAGTGGATCAAAATTATTGAGGGCGAAAAATCGACGGAGCCGTGATCCTCTGCTTCTGTGTTCATACTGTAGAAAAACAAATCATCCAATCAAACGCTACCACGTGTACAGAGGATACTGTAATATGCCTTGGAATATGGGGGGTACATTTATGATCTGTCTGTCCTTAAGGATGATTGGGCCTAGACGCTGGAAAATTAATGGACCGTGTCACATGCGGAGAGAGTAAGGATCCAACACGCGCGTAAAGAGCGCGTGGATAACAAACGGGAAGCCTCTCTATCTTCGGCTTAAAGACCAAACGTGGAGGCGCGTGGTTTCCACTGCTCATTCACAGAGAGAGGCCATTATTAGCTTTACACTGACAAATGGATCCAAACAACGATCTTTTTCAACACAGTGGAACCGAAAAATAAAACCCAGCTAAGCTTTTCACCTGCATGTGCATCTCTCGAAAAGATTGTTTTGTCCCAAAGTAGTTTATAAACGTTAGTCAAAACTCTCTTTATTACTAATTCGATACAGTTGTTTTGTTTCTTTCTCTCTTTCCCCTTTTGTTTTTATATTTTTATTTGAGGAAATAATTCAGTTTGATCTAGAACACTGATCCTATACTAAAAGGTTGATAATACTATACTAAAAGGTTATCACTATAGGTAGTGTTCAAGTTCAGTTGTTTATGGATACTTTACATGCTAAGTGGTGATGTAATTAGGTCGGATTTTCTTGCCAAACAAGCTAGATCGTGAGGATGCGTGTTCGAATTCTTTGGCTCGACAATTCCCGAATGGCTTTCTTGAGTAGAAAGTTTTGTTCGGATTTTCTGTTGAGTTGGAAATTGTAGTCGATAGAAAAAAAAAAGTGGTGATGTAATTGATTGGTCTTCATGAAAGAGATGACAAAAGCTTAGACTATATCCCTTTTATAGTCCTGGTCCATATCTCTGCGTTCATCTATTATATAAAGACTGGGTTAAGTCTCACCAGCTTGACACCTAAGCACCTAAATTTTTGACACATCATCTCATTAAAACTTTTATAAAATACACAGACAATAATTATTTCACTCCGTAAAACTTTTCTTCTATCTCTCTCTTTCTTCACAAAAACAAACCATAAACCCCAAAATCTCTAATATAATTTTGAGGCTTTGAAATTTCGAAGATTTCACACAAAATGTTGAGAAGATCAGCTTTCTCCATCCTCGATAAACATCAGAACAACAAACCCATCGATCAATTCTCCTCTTCCACCTTCTACTTCAATGGCGGATGAAAACCCTAACCCCAAACCCGAGCGGCGTAATTGACTCAGGTAATTGAATATAAATGTCTTTTCTAGAGCAAAGACATTCAACCTCTTATTGTGCCCACTTGTAAATTCTTTATCGTTTTGGCAGATACAAGCTAAAGCAATTCCCCCATTGATGATGGGAAAAGATGTACTTGGAGGACCTATCCTGGAAAAACCTTAGCTTTTCTAATATCGGCTGCAGAGCTTCTCTACCATGTCCGGTTTACTCCTCGCAACGGAACCGGTGTTATCGTTATTTGCCCAACAAGAGAGCTAGCCATTCAGGTCCGTAACTTTTCCTTGGATTTTTATCGATCTAGCATTACATCATGCTTTGTGCTTTCTTATCAAGTACGTCTTTGATATTTCAGTCATATGGAGTGGCGAAAGAACTTCTATATCATTCGCAGACTGTGGGAAAGGTTATTGGCGGCGAGAACAGAAAGAAAGAAGCTGAAATTCTTGTGAAAGGTGTTAATTTGTTAGTAGCAACCCCTGGAAGACTTCTCGACCACCTTGAAAATACAAATGGATTTGTGTTCAAGAACTTGAAGGTACAAATCAGAAGTCTGATTTCAATTTTTGGGGTACTATTCTTATTGTCATGGTTTTGAGTTAATGCACATCTTATTCTGATAAAAAAATTGCAGTTTCTTGTGATGGATGAGGCTGATAGGATACTGGAACAAAACTTCGAAGAAGACATGAAGATGATCATTAAGCTGCTACCAAAGGTATTCTCGCTGCTTGCACTGGGGATTTACCAATAGTTGTCTTAAGTCTTTAACTTGAATCATAGAGAAGTATTCTTTTCATGTCCCCGTGTTGTTGATAATGATAAATCGTCATTTTTTTTTTCCTGCAGACAAGGCAGACGTTGTTGTTTACCGCCACACAGACTTCCAAGGTTTGTTTCGCAATCAGTATAGCTCCCACACTTTTTTCTTGAGTATAGTATTGCTTAATTAGGATTGGTGAAACCCACAGGTTGAGGATCTTGCTCGGGTGTCACTTTCGTCACCTGTTTATATTGTTGTCGATGAAGGACGAAAAGAGGTAGCGATTATCACAATTCTCTACTTATATTTTACTTGATTCCTCTAGACAGGTCTTTTTCATGTTTGTGGAAATTGGAAACTATAGGTTAGAAATGAAGACTTGGAGCAAAGTTATTTCGTTGTGCCAAGTGCGAAGCGTTTAGTTTTCTTACTTATCTTCTTGAAGAGATTTCACGGGAAAAAGAAAATCATGGTGTTTTTCTCGACGTGCAAATCCAGCAAGTTTCACGCCGAACTCTTTCGATACATCAAAATAGATTGCCTTGAAATTCGAAGAGGGATAGATCAGAGCAAAAAGACTTCAACATTTTTCCAGTTCATAAAGGTTGAAACTGGTGTCTTGTTGTGTACTAATGTCGCTGCCCGTGGTTTAAGTAGATCAAGCCAAAAGACAATGTATAAATGATGTAATATTAGAGCTTTGTGTAAAAATCAAAAGAATGTTATCTCTATTACACAAATCCGCGTGTACACGCGGGTCTTATCCTAGTAACTCATAAAGACACTGATCCGATTTTGTCGAGTCTTCACTATCCCAACATATATATACATAATACATTGCTATCTGCTCTCGCATTTCGTTTCTAGAAAAAGCAAACACACGATAAAATAGATAATTTCTGATTAGTTGTCAATTGTTATAAGTTTCGTCAAGGCGTCAATGGGCCTAGGCTATATAATCCAAGCTAAATAAGACAAAAGCATGCAAAATCTCAGATCAAGTAACATGCAGCAATTTAATTAATGTCTACATGTACTTTAATTCGTCTTTTAGATGAGTAGACTAATTTGGACAATGAACATATTTGTATCCATAAAGATAGATAATGCAAACGAGTATTTTTAAAATCAATATAAAAAAGGTTTTCCACTAACAGTATATATCACTAAACTATTAGAACATGATATTTTTCTTTTTGGGCAAGCGATAGATTTTATATAGATAGATAAACATGTGATTCAGTCACTATTCATAACTAAAGGTTGGGACAAGGATATATCAATAAATCTTGCCATAAAAGAAAGACAAGAAAGAAAGAAGGAAAAAGAAAGACAGAAATCAGAGTCGAACGATTTCGACATTATTTCCACGAGGATTTCTAGGAGGTTCCTTGAAGATCTCCAAGAGTATCTCCATCCGTCCAAGTCATTTCATTCTCTGTAAGATGTATCATGTACCCTCCTAATCCTACTTTTTTTCTTGTCTTCTTTTCTAGGAAGTGATTGTTCTTTTGGCTTAAAATCTAAGTAGATAAAAGGGTAATGAATTCCATATATTTCCATTACAGGTTTGTTCTCAAGGAGGCTGGAGGCATACATATGAGTAAATCAGATTTAGATCCTTTTCAATCAATACTTCATAACTTAATGATCCCACACTTGAATTCAAGAACGTACTACAGTCGCAAAGCTCTTTAACATAGTTTATTATACTTTTATAAATAAAAAACTTACTTTATACTTTAATTGAGCAGCTCATTTTATTCCTTAATATGAACAACTTGACAAAAGAAAATTTGAGCTACAAGTAAAGGCATAAAGGGTATTTATTAACGTTGGGGTCCGAAGAATTTTGACTATTAACTCTTAAAGCCTTAACATCTCCATCTGAAATGAATCAATAGAAAGAAAGAAAAAAAAAACAGAGTTGATCTATCTCGTTCTTGTGATCGAAATGAAAATAAAGATAATATTTACAAATTTTAAAACATTCGATCAGTAGTAGATTCAAATAAAAAAAGGTCTGGGGTTGATTTGAATATCTTATAAAATATCGTGGGCATTTTAATAGTTTCTCTGAAACTTTTATGAGAAAGTGGGACCCAACAGCAAGTATTGTGCTCTTTTGGCGCCTCGGGCTGTATTCACATTCTCATCTCCAAATCTCTGCACATGTTTTCTCCGACTTTCACTCACTGCAAATCGTAGGTTCGTAAGTGAGTGAGGGAGAGATCCGATGCGCTGCTCTCCACCGTACTCGCCGTGCACTTCTCTGTTCAAATCTCTGCTTGTTTTATTGTCGGCTAGTGGCTGCTGCTTCGCCGCCGACCCTTACATCTTCTTCGAATGGACCGTCTCTTACCTCACCGCTTCTCCTCTCGGCACTCGCCAACAGGTTTCTTCTCCTCTCCATCTTTCAATTCGACACTTCAATTCTGGTAACAATGTATTGATTCGTTCCAATTTTTTTTGTTGAGATCTCGTGTAGGTCATTGGGATAAATGGGCAATTCCCTGGCCCTGTTCTCAACGTGACTACGAATTGGAATGTTGTTATTAACGTGAAGAATAATCTTGATGAGCCGTTGCTTCTCACATGGTATTGTGGTGGTTGAATCTTGCTCAAATTTTATGATTTTGGTTCGGTAATTAAGTTATTTGTGTGGTGATTGTAGGAATGGAATCCAACATAGGAAAAACTCGTGGCAAGATGGTGTTTTGGGGACTAACTGTCCCATTCCTTCTGGTTGGAACTGGACTTATGAGTTTCAGGTCAAAGACCAGATTGGAAGTTTCTTTTATTTTCCTTCTACAAACTTCCAGAGAGCAGCTGGTGGGTATGGAGGGATCATTATCAACAATCGAGACATCATTCCACTTCCTTTTCCTTTGCCAGATGGAGATGTTACCCTCTTTATCAGTGATTGGTTCACTAAGAGCCATAAGGTTTACACAAAACCAATGTGTTTCTTTGCTTGTTTGCTTGTTGTCTCCCTTTTGCTTTTAACATCTTTTTTCTTATCAACATCACCTTTGGGGAATCAGAAGCTGAGGAAGGATGTTGAGAGTAAGATTGACTTTGGAGCTCCGGATGGCACTGTCATCAATGGATTTGGACCTTTTCCTTACACTCAGAAGCTCGCTTCAGATAATATTCCTTATGGGACTATAAACGTTGAACCAGGTATCTTTGAAAGACATCCCTAGAAGAGCATGATATATATATATTTCCCTTTCTTTGTTGAATCTTGATTTTGTTTCGTCATGATAGCCTAATGGCAAAATGTCTCTAACGTAGTTCAATTCTTCTCTTGTCTCTAACCACTTTCAAATCTTCATCTTTATCAGGAAGAACATACCGTTTCCGTGTTCATAACAGTGGCATTGCAACCAGCTTGAATTTCAGAATACAGAATCATAACCTACTTCTTGTTGAGACAGAAGGTTCATACACAGTTCAGCAGAATTATACGAATATGGATATTCATGTGGGTCAATCTTTCTCATTTCTGGTCACTATGGATCAATCTGGTAGTAACGACTACTACATTGTTGCCAGTCCAAGGTTTTCTAAATCATCTTCGTCCGTCAAAGCTACTGGAGTCGCTATCTTGCACTACTCTAATTCCCAAGGACCTGCTTTAGGTCCACTCCCTGATCCTCCTATTGAGTTGGACACATATTTCTCAATGAACCAAGCACGTTCCATAAGGTTGTTAACGACTATGTATAGTTATGTTTCATACTAGAAGATGTCTTGGCCAAAATGGTATTTTTTATGAAGCACGATTCAGAAATGGTTGTAACCCTTGTTTACTTGTATTGAAAACTGCAATTTTTACTCGTTGCTGATGGAAATGGTGTTTTGTAGGTTGAATGTCTCAGCTGGAGCTGCGCGTCCGAACCCTCAGGGATCTTTTAAATATGGCGAGATTACAGTAACTGATGTCTATGTGATTGTTAACCAGCCACCAGAGCTGATAGATGGGCGATTGCGTACTACTCTTAATGGTATATCATACTTACATCCTTCAACGCCACTGAAGCTTGCTCAGCAATACAACATCACAGGGGTATACAAGTTGGATTTCCCGAAAAGACCCATGAACAGGCATCCTAAGGTTGACACCTCTGTCATGAACGGCACGTACAAGGGCTTCATGGAAATCATATTTCAGAATAGTGACACCATGGTTAAGAGCTATCACTTGGATGGTTATGCATTTTTTGTTGTCGGGTAAGGTTGCGTTAGTAGTTATATCAGATCCATCTACTTGTGGAGACGTTGAAATATCAGAGAAGATGTGATTGTTAAAGAAAGAGTGATGTTTGTCTTGAAGGATGGACTTTGGTCTGTGGACCGAAAATAGCAGAAGCACATACAACAAGGGGGATGGGATTGCTCGATCTACGACGCAGGTTTTATCTCCTAACACCTCAAAACCAATATGTTACATTCGTTTCTATTTGATTCTAAATTGCTCCTGTGTTTGCAGGTGTTTCCTGGTGGATGGACAGCCGTTTTAGTTTACTTGGACAATGCTGGCATCTGGAACCTTCGAATAGACAATCTCGCCTCATGGTATCTGGGCCAAGAAGTATACTTAAATGTTGTCAATCCCGAGATTGACACATCTGAGAATTCCATTCCTGAAAACACCATATACTGTGGTCGGCTCTCACCGTTACAAAAGTAAGATTTTCAGAAATACAAATGCTCTCATATTTATTTCTAAAAGACTAAAAGTTGAAGGAAAAAAGAAATTGTAGAAATCGTAGGTCACATGTAGTTAACGGATATCAACTTGTTGCATTGACCAGTGTCTTGTGTTTTTTTGCAGGGATCAGGCACAGAGAGTCAATTTCTCAGGATCACCACGATCCATCCTCGCAACAAGCAGAAGGGTTCTTCTCCTTGCTCTTTTTGCAGTCTTAATTGGTGGTTTAGCCAGATGAGGAGACTGAGCATTCCAAGCCAGACTTGTAGGAAGCTGCCACTCCCACCATTTCAAAAGTTGATAATTGTGTTGGTGTAGTAGCTGTAGAAGCTTGAAGATTCAAGTGTTGTTGAAAATCACAGATGCTGTTTTGCTGTTGTAGAGATTATTCATCCATCCATCAAAATATATGTTATGCTGTAAGGCTTGCATTGTAATAGAATATTAATCTCAAGTTGTAGCTGATCGTGTTGGATGTAAAACAGCAATCGTGTTTGTAATACTAACACAATTCCTTATTCTACTGCCAAGAATTTGGTTAAGTTAAGCCACTTTGACAAACCGCTTCACTCAATTCAGTCCAAAATTTCCAAAACTTGGAAAAATTAACAAACTTTAGTGTATATGCACTCTGCGTTGGCTTTGCCGGTTTGACCACAAATGCGTCGCCAAAAGTCTCTTGAAAGTTTTGAAAACCTGAAACGATACTAGGAGCAGGCGTTGACCCAGAACCTCTGCCATGGTTTCCATCTCCATTCAATCACCCACTTTCTCAAAGTCCACATTTTTATCTCCCGCCACCCGGAAGACCCGACATGTAGCTTCTCCATCACTTCGTGTCACTGCTTCTCGCAGCTCTTTCGATGTTGTTGTTGTTGGTGGTGGGATCATCGGGTTGACCATAGCCCGCCAGCTACTTAATGGGTCGGATCTATCCGTTGCCGTTGTCGATAAGGCCGTCCCTTGCTCCGGCGCCACCGGTGCCGGTACTACTTCCAAATTGGATCTGACATAACTTTCCCGTTATCGCCTATTTCTGGAAATATGAAGCCTATAGAGTTTGCTTAGCATGAAGTTTGTGGTTTTTGGGATTCAGGACAGGGGTATATATGGATGACGCACAAGAAACCAGGCAGTGATATATGGGACTTGGCCATGAGAAGCCATCAACTCTGGCATAACCTTGCTCAGAGCTTATACGATCAAGGCCTTGATCCTCAAGAGATGCTCGGTTGGAAAAAGACAGGTTTTTTTTCTGATTCCCTTCTCCCGATTGTTCAAAATGTGGTGAATTTTGACGTCTTCTCTAAGTTTCTTTGTTTATGTGATTGACTTGGAATTATCTTTATGAGATGGCTCAAAAACTACAATATAAGACTGATCTTTATCTGCAGGAAGCTTGCTCATTGGAAAGACTTCTCAGGAATGTGTTGCCCTGAAACGAAAGGTTCATGAGCTATCTGAAGCTGGGTTGAGAGCTGAATATTTGTCTGGCCCTGATTTGTTTCTAAAGGAGCCTGCGGTCCTTGTGGATGATGATACTGGGGCTGCATTTCTTCCCGATGATTCGCAGTTGGATGCCCATCGTGCTGTTTCTTATATCGAGAAGGTTGCTAGATTTTCCTTGGATAGTTGAAACTTCAATGTCTAATCTGGCTCTTTTGTTTTGCCGTTTACTTAGTTTTCTTTGAATTATTCAGGGTAACAGAGCGTTTGCAACAGAAGGAAGATATGCAGAGTTCTATCATGAACCGGTTACAGGTTTAATAAGGTTGCTAATCTTTTTTGTACCTGAATTGGAACTCTTCTGAACCAGACAATAATAACTTACTCTCTAACTAGGGATCAAAATAACATAAATATTCATAACTGTGTAAGAGGAAACCAGGATTGATTTGTGTCTGGTTTGCTGTCACTTCAAACGACTGAGAAATATCCTGATTTTAACACCTTAAGTGGCTGAAACTCAAAAACAAGTTATTCCAAGTCTCTGTATATCTTCAATGCACACTAGTAATTGCTCTTTTGCCAGAGTTTTATTTGTATGTTGATAGTATCTTCTATTCAGGTCTGATGGGAGTAGCAAGGAGGTTGCAGGTGTTCAGACTTTGAAACGCAATTTGTATGGTACGAAGGCTACTATAGTAGCTGCTGGTTGCTGGAGTGGATCTCTGATGCATGAACTGCTTAAAGACTGCAACATTTCGGTGGAAGTTCCTGTGAAGCCAAGAAAGGTTCAACTCTCGAATGGTTGCTCATTCTTGCATTTTATATTCCCCGTAATCATTCTCTACCAGCAAAAAAAAGTTGGCATTTCAAATCTATATTTCGAAGTGTATCATCATCATGAGGTCTAGAAATTCTGACAAGCCGAGTTTTGTAGGATATTATCGTTTAAGACTCTGGAAATGGACTGCTTTTGGTATTTTTTGAGATGAAGTATCCAACTTTATTCCTTGCAGGGGCATCTGCTTGTGGTAGAGAATTTTGATTCGCTCCATTTAAACCATGGAATAATGGAGGCTGGTTACGTGGATCATCAAAGTGCTTCAGCTCCAGGTTTGGATGTCGAGGAACGGATGCTATCTATTTCCATGACAGCCACAATGGACACAACTGGAAACCTTATTCTCGGTAATCTATTTTTCATATATAAAAGAACTTCATCAATGTATCTATGTCCATCTCTTAAACTCCTGAACCAGTAAACGCACGATGTATCTCTCTTCTTCATCTAATCTCAGGGAGCAGCCGTGAGTTTGTAGGGTTCGATACTGAAGCTGATGAGACTATCATCCGCTGCATATGGGAGCGTGCAGCAGAGTTCTTGCCCAAGTTGCGTGATTTATCCCTTGAAGATTTTGTCCGTAACAGGAAAGTGAGAGTTGGGTTGCGCCCTTACAGTAAGCTTCTTGCTTTCTAATGCTCCCAAAAGTGGCTTGAGAACGGCCTTTGGAATGATCACAAAAAAACCTGAACTTGAATCTTTTTAACTGATCATATAGTGCCTGATGGGAAGCCAATGATAGGATCCGTGCCCGGATTACAAAACCTGTACTTGGCAGCTGGACATGAAGGAGGTGGACTTTCCATGGTAAGCAAAGATTCATCCTAATGCTCTTAAAACTTCTCTCAAGAACACGATCCTCATGATTCTCGGTTTCTTGAAATCTTCTAGGCTCTGGGAACAGCGGAAATGGTATCGGACATGGTATTGGGGAAACCATCTCAGGTTGATATTTCAGCGTTTGGGGTTATTAAAGAACTCTGTTTCTGAGAAAAATCCCAAATTGCTCTTGTATTGGGAAAATCTTCGCAGGTAGATATTTCAATTTTCAACGTTTTGGTTTTGACTACAAATTAATTTTGAGAGTAGTACAGAACAAAAAAAAAATTCTCCAATTCTCCAATGAGACATCAACGGAAGTTTTGTGTTTGTTTGTTCTTTTGTTGTGAACAATATACCTGAGCGAAATTTAAATATTGTATTCTACTAAGTTTCTTTTTTGGCTCCATTAAACAAACAACAGATTACTTAATCCACACATCGCACGGTAAATTCAAGCACACAACGTGAGATATCATATAACCCCATACACAAGGCGGCCGCACACAACGACGTTTACATAGTTTTAAGAAAATCAAATCAATTTAACAAATGCAAGACCATTATCCAAATTAGAGGATATATTATAAAGACCACTTTCTGCAGTTGTTGGTAACAGAAATGTTTTTTAAATTACTAGTTAATAGTTGACCAAAAAAAAAAAAAAATACTAGTCAATACCCTCCAAAAGGAAATTAATCACATTTTGTTTTCTTATATATAGTTTGCCCCAAACTGATTCTCTTAGAAAGCATAATAACGATCATTGAAATTGCTCCTTTCCAATTTTAACGAAGTAAGATAAATTGTAGGAGTACATTACAAAAGTGCTACCACATTTTTCAATTAATTAAGATTGTTAGATTTCAAAACAAACATACTAAACCGGCGGAGACATTGACACAGTATGGTTTTCAACCAGACTTTCTCAAGCATTCTACATGCATTCACTAATTCCTTGATATGGTTTATTACAATATTTTAATATACTCTACTTCATCCAAAATATCTCAACAACATTTAAACTACTTACACGCCTTTTGGGAATATATATTGTTATTCGAGTTTGACCCAAAAAGTGCGCATATGGTTTTCATATAGCACTGCCAAACTTTGAAAGCCGTTTTCACTATACAGCTATATACGCGATTAAAGATTGTTATGTAAGCAAACCACTATGCCGTAGGATCACAATTCTATTTAGGATATCAATGTGACAAGAGGCTACACAATATAATATCCACATGCTAGCTAGTAGATAAGACTTTGACAAAACTAGTAGACGTTTTATTGTATATCCTTCCAATTTCAAATTATTGGCTCGTATATATTATCATATATCACATTCCATATATTTAAACTATTGTCTCTAACATGATATTATAACAAGAAAAAGAAAATACAAGTAGTGATGGTAGTGTAATATCTCTTCTTCTTATTAATGTATGACCGTATATACCACCCATCAGTAGTCTTTTTGAAATTTAACTTTCAACTTGCCATACATATAAGGCCATAAGGGTGTTTATGGTCTGGCGTCCAAGCATTATTTTTATTTTTATTTTTTTATCTACTTGTAGTGGTTCGAATATCTTATCGTTGTTTTTACTTGTTCTTACAAATTAGCGTGTGTGACGTCTATAAATCGAAAATGTCAACCGTATAATCCCCTATATATATACATGTTTACTTCATCTTCTTAAACATATCCATATCCTTAAACCTTAAAACTTTCCATCAATTAAAAATAAACTCTCAAAAGATGGAAAAGTGTCTTCTTCTCTGCCTCCTTTTGTTTACCGCTTCTAGTTACGTCTCGGCTCAATACTATTCACCAAATACCCTAGCGTCAAGGGTGACCAAGAACCCAATCTTACCCATCTTCACCTTTACGCTCAACACAAACGAAGAGTTCTTCATCCACATCGCCGGACCATACCTCGTCCGCAGCTGCAATGACGGTCTTCCTCGTCCCACAGTCCCTTGCGGCTCCGCCACGTGTGCTCTCACTCGTAGATTCAACCCTCACCAGTGTCCTCCTACACAAAACACATTCATCAATAGAAGATGTGCTTGCCAAGCAACCGCCTTCGAGCCATTCCAACGTCGATGTAACTCTAACCAATACACCTATGGAGATTTCTCCATGTCTTCCTTAAACCCTAGATCTCCTTCGGTCACATTCAAGAACGTGAATTACCTATGTATCCCCCAGCCTTTCCTCCGCGACTTCCCTCCTGGAGTTTTGGGCCTCGCTGGGCTTGCACCCACGGCTCTCTCCACATGGAACCAGCTGACTCGACCTAGGCTCGGGCTCGAGAAGAAATTCGCCTTGTGTTTGCCTTCTGATGAAAACCCTTCGAACCAAGGTGCTATTTTCTTTGGTGGAGGACCGTACAAGCTAAGAAACGTTGATGCAAGATCCATGCTCTCTTACACTCGATTGATCAAGAACCCTAGAAGACTCAACAACTATTTCTTGAGGCTCAAGGGTATTTCTGTAAACGGGTATTTCTTGAGGCTTGCCCAAAACGCTTTTGATTTCGACGGCAAGGGTGATGGAGGCGTGACTCTGAGCACCGTAACCCCTTTCACTACGTTACGAAGCGATATCTACAAAGTCTTTATTGAAGCATTCTCAAAAGCCACATCAGATATTCCACGTGTCAATAGCACGACCCCCTTGGAGTTTTGTCTCAAGTCAACGAACCATTTCCAAGTGCCTAGCATCGATTTAAAATTCGCTGATGGGAAGATTTGGAAAGTGTCTGCCGCAAACTCGATGAAGAAAGTCAGTGATGACGTGGCTTGCTTGGCTTTCTTGAACGGAGGAGATGCGGCGGCGCAGGCGGTGGTGATCGGAATGCATCAGATGGAAAACACTTTGGTGGAGTTTGATGTTGGGAGATCTGCTTTTGGATTTAGCTGTTCTTTGGGTTTGGTCAACGCTTCGTGCGGTGACTTTCAAACACGGCTATGAGAAAGTCAAAGGAACTTGATGGTTGACATTCTCTTGTGATAGTGATTGATTATTGTTTTGTTAGTATTCTCGCTTCTTTGTTTTATGATTCTCCTGTCAAGTGTGGTTTTAAAATCTGTAAGTCAATAAAAAAAAATGGGTTAAATGAAAGACCATTAATTATTGCACCATATTCGTACGTTTCACTTTCAAGTGCAATTTGAGTTATATACAAATTTAGATTACAATAGTTTCACATTATAACTATATATTATGAATCGGATTGGGTCAAAACGAGAATTCCCGCAACTGCGACTTTACTTATGAGCGACCAAAAAACATCAACTATGACCTTATTTTCAGAAAAGTGAAAAGGTGAGTAGCTAAAACAACCCAAATTTGGACTCTGACAAAAATGGAATTTTTAACTATGACCTTATTTTCAGAAAAGTAAAAAGGTGTGTATGTTTTTAATTTTTTTCGTAATAACAAAAATTAATCTAAAATGAGATTAAATCACTTAGATATTTAGTCTTTTTTTTTTTTGTTACGTTATGCCTGTGTTGTTGACAGAAAATGATTACTCTTCAGAAAATAACAAAAAATGTTGAGTTCTTACTCTTCAAACCAAAAATCTTAAATAATGGAAATCATTATTATGTGGATATCTTGGCTTTGTTTTTCTTTTCTTGTATTTTATGTGTTTCAAATTCATTATTGAAAAGGATTTAAGAATCTGATGTAACTAATTAAAAAAAAACAAATTTCATCTCTTCACATATTAGAATATAATCTCTGCATAGCCATCAATATGGTTTCATGTTTCTTTGCATATCACAAAAATATATCACAGAAATATGGTATTTTTAGATTTTTCAAAGATTATGGAATACATTTGAAAAAATGTTCTATCAGTTTTAGTATCTACTAAAAAATATATTTATATTCATTGTATATTTGTCTAAGTGTATTTTGTATAGTCATCAATGGTTTCATGTGTCCTTTTCTGACATAAAATTATAATTGTATATATATGTAGAGAATGAAAGTTGAACACACACAATCTTAAATGTTTAACGATACATACTTGAAACCTCTATTGTTTTATCTTTTTCTGTTTGTTAACCAATTGTCATGGGCTGAAACTCCAACTAATCTCCAAACAAATGGTTTACCTGTGGAAACAACCTTTACATTTCCCGGTCCTTTGCCTAGTATGCTTCCGGACCATGGAGTGTTTGGTAAAGGAACCATAGACTTGGGAGGTCTTGAGGTTAAACAGTTATCAATCTCAAACTCAACAGCACAGAGAGTATGGAGAACATATGAAGGAGGACGAGACAACATGGGATTCAGCATCTTTGAACCTATAAATCTTCCTCCTAACTTCTTCAAACTTGGCTTCTATGCACAACCAAACAACCAGAAGCTTTTTGGTTGGATTCTTGTTGCAAGAGACGTATCTGGAAGTAATTTAAGACCACCAAGCGACTACATTGAAGCCGGGAACACGGCCTCGCTGAATATCAAACAAGACGGACCAGTATATCTTTGGCAGCCAGTATGTCTCAATGGATATCAAGCGGTTGGTCTGTTTATCACTACTTCCCCTCAAAAGCCTCCTCTAACACAAGAACATATAAGTTGTGTTCGATCAGAGTTTACGGAACAGAGTGAAGCCGATACATTGGTATGGGGAATAAAAGAAATGAGTGTTTTCAATCTGAGACCGATCAACAGAGGAATACAAGCAACAGGTGTGTACACCGGAACGTTCAGTTCTCAAATGCAGAATTCTGCTCCTCTTCCTTATCTATTTTGCTTAAAGAATACGAAGTTCGACATGTCTAGCATGCCAAGCCAAAACCAAACTAGAGTTTTGTTTCAAACGTATTCTCCTAAGATATATTACCATCCTGAAGAAGATTTTCTTCCTTCCTCAGTAGATTGGTTTTTCTCCAATGGTGCATTGCTTTACCAGAAAGGAAACGAATCAAACCCTGTCCCGGTTCAGCCAAACGGTTCAAACCTTCCACAAGGTGGTTCCAACGATGACTTATTCTGGTTAGATTATCCGGTCGACAAGAGCGCAAAGGAAAAGGTTAAGAGAGGAGATTTAGGGAACACCAAAGTGTATCTACACATCAAACCAATGTTTGGAGCCACTTTCACAGACATTGTAGTCTGGATATTCTGTCCTTTCAACGGCAATGCCCGCCTCAAGTTTTTGTTCATCAAGAGGCTGTCTCTAGGGGATATCGGCGAACATATTGGAGATTGGGAGCACATTACTCTGCGCATCAGCAACTTCAACGGCGAGTTATGGCGTGTCTACTTTTCTCAGCATAGTAAAGGAAGTTTAATGGAGGCATGTGAACTAGAGTTTGAAGGAAGTGAAAACAAACCAGTGATATACTCGTCGCTTCACGGTCACGCAATGTACTCAAAACCTGGACTTATGTTGCAAGGCAACGGGAAAAACGGAATAAGAAACGACATGGCGAGAAGTGACAAGGTTTTGGACTGTGGTTTAGGGTATGAGGTGATTGCAGGACTTGACGTGGTTGAGCCACCGTGGACTAACTATTTGAGGAAATGGGGACCTCATGTACGTTATGATATCGACAAGTCTCTTCAATCTTTTGCTAAGGTTTTGCCGGGATTTATACGGAAAAGTTTCCGGAAATTCATTAGGAAGATTCCTTTTGAAGTGCTTGGTGAAGATGGTCCGACTGGTCCCAAAGTCAAAGGGACTTGGACCGGTGATGAAATATATTGAGTTTTTTTTTTACTGTAGATTTTTGTATTAATCTATATCAGTATCAATATATTTATTTGCACCTAAAAAAATATCTATATATCAGTACACTTTACAAAAGAAAAAATGATGCAAAAGTAATAAATTTAATAATAATAATAATAATAATAATAATGTAAAAATAATATATCATTTGTTATATATTTGTTATGAAAAGTCATTCATAGTTAAGATAAAGAATCATTGGATCTTATGTAAAAAAAAAAACTCATAATCTAGTAAATCTACACCAATTTATTACTACTTAAACAAGATTATGAGAATTTGTTACCTTTTATTATTTTCTTAAAAAATTGTGTATCTTTGTTTCTTTTGATCTTTTTCATTTATTTGGAGTTTCAATTTTAAAGATGGTAAATGAGTAATTAAAAATGGGCTTTTCTTACGATTGACTTATAATTAGTTGACTAGTGAACCTTATTATTACACAAAAAAAACAACTGGCAGGACCGCAGGATAAGTAAAGATTGTTTGGGACGAAATTTCAAGTTTTCGTGAACTGTTGAGTGAGGAGTGTAGTTCTTCTTCAATGATTTTTTATATCTTCCTTCACTAATGAATTAATTCTTAGGCGTTCTACCTTCAATTAGTTATTGAAGAAGGTTATCGATGGAAGCAAGACGCAACATCTTATGTTCTCAACGAAATCGGAAAAGGGGTGGGCCAAGCCCAGGCAAGGCCCATGAATTACAAAGCTCAGAAGCAACCAAATCAATTAAACTGTTCAAGGATCAAGATCATCCGCTCGTTTAACATGTTCTTCTTTTTAAGGATTAATTAACTCAATTAGGTATGTAGTTAGCGTCAGTCCCGTGCTCTGCACCAGTTCTGTTTGTTATTGTGGTCGGTAAATAACCTATCCTTGTCCATGATAAAATAACCTAAATATTTCAATTTAAATTCCAGCAGCCCTCTTATTATCCATAGTGTCTATATCCCTTAAAATCTGATAAAATTCATATAAAGAACTTGTTCTTCTGCTGAGGTATATGGAGCCATTCGAGAAGTTTAACTTGTTCCTGAGAAGTATACATGAATGGGGTTATCTGAAAACTATTCGTATATTAAAATAATGAGTATTGTAAGCCAACCATGTGCCCATGTAGGGATCACTGAGAAAAGATCCAGAGGACGAGTTTGAATTGGATACTCAATTTAGCAAACGAAGAAATTGCACCAAAACATGGAATTAATGGTCTTGGGACAGAGTGCGTTTGCAACAAAATTTATTCAAAACTGAAAGATTTGCCACTAGATTAAGGGCCTGGATAATCATGAAGTTTTATCAGATCCAGGCGAGTGATAGTGGCGATTTCTATTTCGCAAGTTTGTTTTTTTTTATAAATTGACTGGATTGTGATAGTCTAATCCAACCAAAGAAGCTGACTTGCTTTTTTCACCCAAAAAAAAAAAGAGTAAACATGAAAGAAACAAAACCGTAAAATTCAAGCTGCAAAATTTTGAATGTTAAGGAAAAGGAGAGAGATGAGAGGCGTTGTTGAAGAAGAGAAATAGAAGAGTTTATATTGGGATTTGGAGGCGGCAGGGCAGAGATTAGGGTTTGTTTGTTTTCTTTTCTTTTTCTTCAGAAAATGGTTATGGGCTACTTAATTTTGTTAGCCCAACCCAAAATAAAGCCCAATTGTTTAAACATTGGAGTGGAACGAAACCATTTGGAAGACACTAGCCACACAGATTAATATCAGTGTGAAAAATAGATTACATCTACAAATTTATAAGCAAGGGTTGTGTCAAGAATCAGAGACCGTACCATGTAAGTTCATAACAACAACTGTGTAAGCTACAGATAGACTCATGTACAAGAACAGGAGCATCTACTTCACTTGTACTAGAGATGCTACAGGAATGGTAATGGCCTTTTTGCTCTGTGAATCAGTTCCTATTGTCTGTTACGTTGAGCCATTTGAACCGCATTATCGCCAATGGCGTCATCGAAGTGATAGATAAGACTTTTTATGGTCTCAGGGCTATCAATCCCCTTGTCAATGTAGCACAAAGAGGTTTATCAATCCAGATGTGGTGTTAGACACTAAGCTATATGATCAAGTTCTTAATTCAAGCAAACAAGAGTGGGTTTTGATTAATCTAGAGACAACTATAAACATAAACAAGTTTAAAGACTAATGACAATGACAAATGATATGATGTGAATATGATATGATGGAGGCATGAGATTCTAGACATGATAGATGGTCAGGGTGCTTTGGTGTTAAACTAGAAATGCTAATGACAATGATGAGACATGATTCAAGTGATTAAGAACTCTAATCTAGGTTAATCCTCTCATGAAGGTACTAACCCCTATACTAATCCATTTTCAAACCAAATTCCCATTTGTGAAATATGAATCAATATGCATTAACAAACAGCTCTTAATGATCATTCAAGCATTTAACAATACATCATCATGCAGAAAATTGCTTAAACCTCTAATACAACTCTTTCAGGAATTTCATCAAACACTTTTGGTGCATGAAATTCCCAGAATCTAGATCTCAAGTGATTATCAAGGATCTAGCATAGAGAACAGTTGTTTAGAGAAATGAATCAATGAATCTAGCCCTAAGCACTCCTAATCTAACACTTTAGCACCCTAACCTACATATCTAGAACCTCATTAAGGTGACTACTCACTAATCATACTAATCTCTCTTAAACCTTTGCAAGTTGAGAAGATTAGCATGATTAATGATGAGAAATGGAGATGGAGATGATAGATTCAAAAGAAAACAGCTTTAAACACCTAGATCTCTTTTAAACTCTCTTGATTAAACACTCCAATATAGATATTTCTCTTCTTAATGGAGTCTTTTCACCAAAGAGGCAAGAGACAAAGGGAATAAAACTTAGTTCTCCCCCAAAAAACCCTAAAAAGTATTTATACCTTCTTAAAAACGAACCGGGTCAGCCCGGAACAAACCGGGTCCTGACCCGGCTTTAATGGATAAAGTGGGAAAAGCTGCGGGTCGGTTCAGTATGTCCCAGGCCGCACACCTAAGTCGCAGTAGATGAAGACTTGTCTTGTGAGGCTTGAATCGCCTTGTCGGAGCCGCACGCCTATCTAGGAGTAAATTGCGAGTGTTTCTGCGGCATGGTCTCCTTCCTCTCCAACTCGCAGGGCTGAGCCGGTTTCTGGGGGATGTAGAAACTGTGCGGGTTGGTCTCTATTGCACTTAGGTCGCAGGCTCAAGTCGGAGTGAATTCCGAGTGATCGTGCGGCATAGATCCAGGCGCGGATGACTCGCATGCCTAAGTCGCACGATTGTGGACTTAGCATTTCTCTTGCTCGGGAGCTTCAGACCTCTTCCAGTGATAGTTTACCCGCACATTTCAACTCGCAGCATCAGCATTCAGGCGTTCATCTTCAGGCCTGCGGGTTAACCAAGTCGCAAGACCATCTCGCAGCATCCAGAGCAACTTAGATCACTTCGCATTCCGGAGAGTGTAACTCCTGTGATACTTGTCCGAATTGAATGATTTCGGTTGCAGAAGACAGAGGACTCATTTATCTCCAACTTTTGTGAAGGAAGTTTCAGTGCTTGGGAGGTGGAAGGCTTTCTGGAGGGCACATCTTTGCAGTGCATGTATACGACCAGAGAGAGGCGTCTAGACATGTGTCCATTCCGGAGGCCGTATCTTCCTGCTCATAGATCCGAATTGAATGCTCTTGGACGTTCTAAAAAGAAGACTCAAATGTCTCTGATTCTCATGAAGGACCCGGAAGCTGAATCGGCCTGGAAGTGCACCGTCCTTCGCATCCTTCAGAACTGATCTGCTCGGTCCGGAACACCTGCGAGATAGGGGTTTCTTCCGACGAGCTTATCTCTCTGCTCACGCGTCCGAATCCCACGATTCTACTTGCTATGAGACCGTGCTCCAATGCTCTCCAACTTCTATGAAGGACCCGCCATCTGAATCGGACCGGAAGGCTCCCCGGACAGGCGATTTCTGAGACACGTTCATACCCGGAGATTTTGGCCGATGCACTTCATACGCGGTACGTGTTTTGGTCGACAAAGTTCACCCGCGGTACATGGAAATGGCCGGTAAAACCTTCCTGGCCAGCGAGAATGGCCGATAATCTCCCAGGACCCAATTTTCCACTTTTTTCAAGCTTTGCTCACCATTCCACCTCCTGGATTCATCTTTTCAGCTCCATATTCACCTGATAGACACTCAAAACATGCAATAGACTCATTGGGACCTAATGCATCTCCTAAGTTCTAAAACAAACCCTAAGGACCTAAAATGCATGAAATAAAACATGATTTGGAATGATTTATGCAACCTAAATGATGCAAATTATGAACATATCACGAAGGGACTCGGATGAATAGTTCTTGCGAAGAGGATCCTGAAATGTATAAGTCGTCGCGAGAGGAATATGTTGACCGAGTTCACAAGATCTTCCCATCTATCTCTTAGCCAGAGAATGAGTAAGACTGCAAGGGCGAAAGCAAATGAAACTCCAGTGATCATAAACAAACCGCGGAATCTGTAAAGATTAACAGGATTTGATGTATCATCTGTTGTGTACGGAAGTTGATTCTCGAACCATCTTTTCTCCATATCGTTTAGCCTCTCGGTCGTCCTTAGATTCAAGATTTCCCTGGACACACGAGGCACCAACTCAGCGCCCTTCTGAAACATCTGAAACGTGCCAACATCTTTTGTCAGCAAGTAAAAAGGGAAAATTGAGGAGTATATAAGGAAACTGGTGAAGATGAACAAGGATACATACAAAGCCGAAACCATTGGTGGTACATTGTGTCTTGACCATGAGAAACTGTGCAGGCTTCTCTCCAAGGACGACATTGAGGTATGGCAACTCATCGACAATGAATGAGACAGTTTTGTTCAACAAGGCTTGAGCATAATCTTCAGAAGTATTGAGACCCTTGGCTTTCATTGCTCGGAGGCTGGAACGGGTTAGGGCATGATTTGCGATTAGGGAGCCCGAAAGGTGACCCACGAAGTCTTCATTGGAGTTGAATCGTATTTGTTGCACCGTCATCATAGAAGTCAATGTTGCTGTGTAACTTGTAGTCAATATGAGCACTGCAAATACCCAAACTGTGACTACAAATCTTGATAAGTTGTGTTTTAGCCTCTCCCCTGTCACAAAGAGCAAGCAGCAAAAGGTGAATAACTAGTTAAGCATCACTCCAATCTCTTCTGACCAAGATTGGCATATAAGAATGTGAAGAAGCTGCACTTACTGTGAGCATAAACAAGGGTAGAGAAGCCAAACCAAAGCATAACTCCAATCTGTTGTGACCAAGATCCCTGGAACTCAGTGTTCTCAGGTCTTTCTATCAACCAAACTATAATGCCCGTCAAGACAAAGAAAGCTGCACTCGTTAACCAAAGGTCTGGTGTTAGAGGTTGGAAGAACACCCACATACTTCTCTCCTTTGGTGCTACGATTCCAAGACCCATTTCGGTGAATGGCATCGTAAAATCAACATACGTCGATCTATTGGAAGTGATTGTAATATCTCCCACCGCTGCATCATATTTGTCTTTCTGTGGGATGCGACACGATATTTCAATGGAATGATTCAGTTTCCACACACTCAACATTAAAAGATACTTATAAACGTAAACTGAGCCATGCTTAGTACCTGGCTATACATTGCATATGCAAGGTTGTCGTAGTTACTTCCATTGCGCCAAGGTATGAACTCCAATTCATAGTTGAAAGGGTCAACGGACGCACGAAAGACTTCTATACAGAACCCGTCGGCAGTAGTAACATTTGTAACGTAATCAGTCACCACCTTCATCAGTCTTGGGAATCTGTTGCTCGATGTAACCAAAACCCTCAGCTTTTTTCTCTTGCTTTCTCCAAGATTGCGCCTTTGCGGACTTTGAGCAGACCCACCTGGCCAGATTATGGTCTCCAACGCAGAAGACAAATGTCTTCTATTGCTGAAACTACCATTAGCATTCCAGAATCCCACCCTTCTCTCACCTGATCCTATCAAATTCACAATCTCAAACTTGTCTGACAACAACTTGTTATCATCCAATTGGAAGTCACCACTCAAACCCTTAAACCTACACTCTGTGATTGCCTCAAGGAGAGTTGATGATGCATTTGACATACTTGCAACTTCCGCTGCTCTCGCCAGTGCCAAGGCTACATCGTGAGCCCATACGCCAGAGATGCTCATCCGAGTTATCTCAGAGCCAACAAATTCGTCTAAAGGCTGTGACTTTCTCAATCTCGAAGTGAAATTGTGAAGCTCTTTTGATACTGGAATGTAAGACTTGAAACCAACCACACCTTCCATCGCATCTTTTGCAAAATCGTCAGTGTTGTCATGGAAACTGTTCATGCTTTTGGCAGTGAGGATCCAAGCAAACCCTTCACCCATCATCCCTACTTTCTCTGCACATGAGAAGAGATGACCTGCAAGAAGCTCAGACAAGTGAACCACAAAGACCGTCGTTCCCAAATCCTTCAGATTTCGTAACCGATCCATCATCAATTCCTCATTTGAAGAGACTGTAAAACCAACCTTGGACTGTACTCGAACGCCGTTTTCATGGAAATAGTCCAGCAGGAGTTGCATACTCTCTCTCCAGTCATCGTCATCCTCGTAAACAAGAGCAACACTGTTCCAATCAAACCCATGGATGAAAGCTGAGATTCCCTTTGCCTCGGAGGAAGAATCATGTGTCGCTTGTATCAAATGGCTGTATTTTCTCAACGACGATGAAATCGGAGAGTTAAGTGAAATCACAGTAACTCTAGCTTTCTCCCCAATCTCCGCCAAAAGCTTTGCCTCGAGCAACGAATTCCCGCCAATAATCGCTTCGACTCCTACAGTTTGCAGCAGATCTACGGCTGTGTCTCATTCGCAAAAGAGAGAATACATCGAGTGTGAGTAAAACAAAAAGGAGACAGAGAAGAAGAGGATTAATGTAAAGATGGAAGAATGAAGTGTGTACCAGAAGCGAGAGCAAGGAGAGGCTCTCCGTGGGAGTTTCTGAGTGAGAGAGAGACTCTTGTTCTGTAATCACTGTTAATGGCGTAGAAATCGGAGAGCGCCATGGAAACAGAGCTCCCTACTATCTTCCCCTCCACGGAACCAAAATCCAATACCATTCCGACCCGGACGCTAACCCGTTCATGCTCGGACCCGGAGTCTTCTTCTACGTCGTCGTTTTGATTCAAAGCAGAACAGTTGGAGAGGAAAAGCAGAACAAGAAGAAATGGCAGCAAAATTGGGTTTTGAACCCCAATCCTCTCCATTAGTTTAAAAAAACTTTCCAATAGCAAAGGAGAAAACAAACGTCTGCTCAGATATACATATAACCGATTTATAGTCAAACCATGCCGTGTTTTGTTTTTCCTCTGTAAAACTTATTCTTCTTGATTATATTTCAAAATTCGTATAGTAGAAAAGTTCCAAAGTTTAGATTTTTTTTCAATGAGGACTAATGGACGATATGATTTTAAGAAGATAAAATTAGTCAACGGGTCATCAAAATAGAAATGAGGGATAGTTTTTTGTTTTTTACTTTGGATTACATTTCATATGTGGACTTCCGAGGTTGGCTACTCTTTTGTCACTCAACTGGGAATTCGAATATAATTTTTAGTTAATGTTTTGATATTAATCTGACTTCTTACGTAAACCTCTTTTGAATTGTCTTAACTTTGGTCGGCAAGAACAATTCAAGTACATAGAGGGGGATAAGATTAGACGATCAAATATATAATCTAGATGATGTAGAGGAAAATGATGAAGTCGTCTCATCTCAAAAGTAAACGATCTCATAGTCATATGATCGAACTTGGTCAACATCCTTTGTCGGTTTGTCCTTCCGTAAGTTTAGGTCGCAACTTCAGGCCGTCTTTCTATCACAAGAGCGGCTAGTTAGCTTATTTGACGGTTCAATGAATGATTTTGATCTTAGTAAGAACTCAATAACGCCCATAAAAAAGGAATGAATTGATCTAAGAGGAGATTATGTTTGCTAGATGCTAGGAGTAACAACCTAGTATCAAACTAAAAAGGATGTTTAGGATCTTATTAATACCAGTTAGAATAAGCTTTTTGTTGTGGATTTGGTGTGGACGGGTCTTGAAGAGTAGCTAATAATATGTAGTACAAATTTATATTTTCATGGTGTTAAGTGTAAGTGTTCACACTATCATTGTTGCCTTGTTGGGTCTTTTACAATGTAGAAGAAACTTTAATCCTCTAAGCTGATGCAGAAGAAACTTTGGTGCAAAAACCAGCCAAGTAATCCTCCATACAAGCTCTATAAGTATCCATGCCTGAAACCTTCTCAGCGATTTCCAAACCGATACTCAGCCATTTTTTAGCGGTATCAAGCTGTCCTAGCCTCACGGGCAATGCTGCTCGGTTCCAAGCTGTCATTGCAAGCCATTTCCCTTCGTCAGTCGGGTATTCCCCTTCCTTTAACCCAACCATGATTCTGTATGCTTGTTTATACATCTTTTGAATTGCTTCTTCATCCTCTGTATCGCCTTTGTGGACACTGGATATGGCGATCAGCTTCCTGATTATGAGAGCTATGGTTGGGTAATCTGGTGTAGCAGATGCGATCAGGGCGGATAGGCATTCGTTAAGAGCAAATGTTGACACCTCCGAATTCGACCGTGGGCTTTGAGAGGCGAAAATCCCGAGTTGGAGAAGATAGTTGTAGTTACAAGACTTGGAACCAGCAAACGTCTTTACCACAAGTAGCTGGAATGCTGAATTGTTGAGCCTTCCGTGTATGTCATAGGCAGTTAAGGTGTACATGAAGATGAGTTCTGGCTCCATGATACAATCTTTACCATCCGAGATCGAAGAAGACATAATCTGCAATTAAACAAACATCAGTGAACTGAAAGGTAAACTCAGCATGTAATGGTGAGCTACCATGTGACAAAGAGAAGGATATGACCTTTCCGGCTCTCACGAGCAACTCTGCAGCGAGTTTCACTTGGGTTTCAGTCAGTGAGCTCTTGTTTTCCTTCTCCAAGGCAATCATAGCGGTGACACTTAATATTAGAGACCTGCAAATCATCGCTGTGTTTTCTCCAGACTCACCAGTATCCATATAACTGTAAAATTCTGATGCCAGCCTACAAAATTCACCACATAGCTCATACTTCTTTGCATTCCCACATCTTGACCCAAGATTCCAGGAAGTCACAGCAAACCAGTTCTGTTCTCGCTTTCCAGTCTCCCCTGATCCAAAGAAACACTCTGTCCCAAGCTTAGATGCCCTGCTCTGTGCTTGCAACATAAAGTTAAGCGCTTCGGTTTCGTTGCCAATGTCTTGAGTCAGTATAGTGACTAAGGTACGGAAGACCACGACCTCTGTGGTTGGGATGGTTTTCCCTGAGATATAGAAGCTGAGAAACTTGGAAAGAGAAGCAACTGCAACTGGAAGCGCTTGGCAAGAAATAGCTTCATGCGCAGAGAGGGACAGATAATCTGGAGAAAAATCAAGGCAGGACGTCATTGCATCGATCTGACTGATGGCACAACTGTGATCCTTCTTTTGCAGGTAGATCTTGAACTGCAAGATTCAGAAGCAAAGTGAAGTTTCGTAAAAGGCTTTTTGTCAAACAATCTCCAGACATCTTTGGTTTGAGCATAAAATTGGCATGAGCTCAACCACTGAGGAGAAACAACATTTACCTTCAGAAAAGAGCACGCAATATTGGGCTCAAGCTGCAGAAGACATAAATTTAGTTAGTATATCAGAATTGAAAGATCCAACTAAGAGAACCGCAGGACATAGAACTTCCTCCTATAAATGTACCTTTTCAGCTTCTTCTATGTATTCATGAGCTCGATCTAGCTGAGAGAGCCCAAGGTAGCAAAGACACAAAACCCTGAAGCCTTTGGCCCTGAAAACTCTATTTTCTATATCATGCGGTATATAGAGCATCGATTTCTCAAACATCTCTGCGCTTGTCACGAAATCTTTAGCACGGAAATGATCTGAAGCACTGTAAACAGCAGGATATACTGATATTAGATCCCCGGGACATTCTCCCAGGAAAACAACAAAGAGAATTAACAATTGCTGTGATCAAACAGAAACGCTGTAGTATAATCACAAATGTAACCACAATGAGATGGAGGTTACACGAATGGCAAAAATATACCTGTTCCACAGAACAGAATGTATTGCCTTCCTCTCCTTAGTCACTGCTTCACCAGCAAAGAGAGCAACAACCCTTTCATCTGATACGAGCTGAGCCACAACATTCGCCCTAATCCTCGAACCACTATCTCCTCCCCTACTCTCTCCAAGGACCCTATGGGCCACTCTAAGCGCCGCCTTTGCGCTAACATGGCACCTTCCCAGCAGACCTAAGAACACACCTTTTGCAGTTTCTGCTCCAGCAGTCCCCACAACCTCGAAATATGCTTCCACAGCAGATACCCACACTGCCTCTGGAATGTCTTTGTTTCCCACCATACCTCTCAGCTCTTTCTCGGCCTCGTTATGCCTCCCAAGCCCTAGCCATGCCTTCATCGCCAGAACAGGTAATGAAGCGTGTTGATCTGCTCCATCACTGCCATTTCCTCCGCTGCCTCCATTCCTGAGAACCTTCACGCACTTGATCACACTCTCGTACTCTCCCTTTTGCAAGTGCACTGCTGATATGAAACGGAGAGTTTTGGTTCTCATGCTCGTGAACTCCATGGTGTCTTCCCGAGTTTTTGCCGTGCCAAGCCCCTTCTCACAAAGATCCAGCGCCTCATTCATGAGCCTGAGAGCATCGTTTAGACTGCAATCGTCGTCATCTCTGGACAAGGCGCTTTTACCAAACGCTAGGAATTGATTTGAGAGCGATTTGTAGTGATCCGGTGAGCCAAACAGCATATTCTTCGCCCGATTGAGCAGCGTTACAGCTAGATTCCTGTCAGAGATTTCCCAGGCAGTTCGAGATCGCGCTAGGTTTAGATCTAGAAACAGTTTCCTTTCTCCTGCATCGGATAATTTCGCGACATCAATTTTCGAGAGGATTTCGGTGGCTCGCTCGAAGCAATTGGAGGCGAGATCGTATTTTTTGAGACTGTGCCATACGAGACCGGTCCGATGGTAGAAGAGGGAGGACTTGATCGTCGGAGATGGGACTCCGGTGACGTCTCTGGCGAGAAATAGCATATCGGCAGCGACATGTCTGAGATTCGCAATGTTCTCGGCGGAAGGTGAAGAGGACTGGAGAGTGGCGGCATTGGAGAGATCAACACAGGCGTTCCACAGGCGAAAGCTGAGCTTCCATATGGTGAGCTTGAAGGAGTTACTGGGAAAAGGGGCGAGTTGACTCAGCCGAGTCAGGGATTGTCTAAGAGAAGTAGGGAGAGCTTGGGGTAGCGGCTGATTCTTAGAAATGCATTCAGATTGTTGGATGCAAAGCTCGATCTCGGAGAGAAGAGGATGGTGAGTGTGAGACTCGGTTTCCCGGTGAAGCAAGCGGAGGTCCGGCGTGGTGATCTCGGCGATTCTCATTTCGCTTCCTATTTGGCGGGAGATATCAGAGAGAGAGAGAGAGAGAATTAGGGATTAAAGGAAGAATGAAGATATTTCAAAATTCAAAAGATCCAACGAAATAAGGGTTTCCCGTAATTACCCAACTAACGGGCTTAGTATCGTAATTTACCTCTTGATGGATTATTTTGTTCTTTTTCTTATGGAGTGGGGGGGACAAGAAAGAGAATAATACAACATTGAAAATATAATAATTAACAGAAAATTCCGAGTATTTTTTTTGTTTTGCTTTTGTTTTGGGTAGGGTTGATCCTTAAAAATACTAAAATCATCCTTACACAACAACATCAAAGGGAAAGGACTAGTAGTAGGAGAGTAGGGGTTAAAGAGCTGCCACAAGTTAACACCATAGGAGAGAAAGAGAGTCACAGTCACATTCACCATCACCTTTTGTTTTAAGTCACTAGTGAAAGTAAGGAGGAGGAGGAGGAGGAGCCTGGTACTGATAGCAGTTCCCATAGAAGTTCCCGTGAGCAGGAGCGGGACTGAAGGTGTAAGTCTGAGGAGGAGGCGGAGGAGGAGCTTGTGCTGCCATGATTGGACCACTAAGGAATGGTCTATTGTCATACACATACTGTGGATACCTCTCAGGGATGACTCTACCATATCCTGTCTTGTTGTTGTTGTTGTTGTTGTTGTCAGTCACTCGGGGTTGAGCACCACGTGGTCGCTTTGGCTGAGGCTTTGTGGGTTCTGTTGCTCTCTTTTTATCTGCTTTGGCCTTCTCCAGCTGGAGAATCCGCTTGTGAAGTGGCTCAACTGGGTACTGCTCTTCCAGGTTATGCTCTTCGATACACTTTATCACAGATTTAAGCCCTGTGAGCTCCCTCTCATTGAACTCATCCTGCATTTTGTACACATATATCATTATTATATACCAAGGGTTTATGACAGCTAACTGAACAGAGCTCAGAGATGTTCCAGCGAGGTAAGATTTGCTCGGCCAAGGAGCCGGATGCTCGAGAGAAGGTACAGAGTTAAATACAAGATCAGACCACTCGTTCTAGGCAACGTGCATTAACAACACTCCTTCATTTTCTGTTACAAGTAATGTATAATGCAAGTTATCAAGTCAGGGAACACTTGCCTGAATAGCAGGAGATGCATTGCCCGGTCTACCTTGGGAGGAAGATCTCCTTGCCTCTGTCAAGTAAGATTTCAGTATTGCGACAGGTGGGAACTGTTCTGTGAGTTCAAACGCAAATGCCAAGTTAACCGCATCAATCTGTTTTCCACTGTTTGCGAGAACTTCAATCACACCTGGAAAAAAAGGAGCGGTGCAAATTAAAGATTAAGATCAATGGTGAAAGTGGAGAATTTGGATGTGCACTAAAAATGTAAAAACTTAGAAATCCATGTCATGTTTAGGTCCTTGACCAGAGACCATATCCCCCTACTCACTAAATACCAAATGTCAATCCTCCCATCAAAATGTCATAACATCTAAGATAATCAGCCGTGTCCTTAAATTTAGAGAACAAACCAGGCATTTTTTCTGATAATCCAAGAGAACGGCACAGCTCAGCTGCCTGACGGCGACGTGAAACCATGGGGATCAGCTTCAAGAGTTCATCCTCTTTAAAGTCCGAAACAATAGCAAAGGTGGCCAGCAGTTGCAGGAATGCATGAGCCTCCAAAGAATTACCATTGCAAGCATCCATGTCAAGAGTTTCCAGCAGTGGATTCCATCCTTCTGCAATTGTTTTTGCTCTATGCTTAACATTTTCTGAGAGAACAGCATCAAGGGAGTTGGCGTCCAGACTAGATAACAGGATGCTAAGGCATTCCAATAACATGATGCAGGTCCTGCGCATGCCCAAGAGGTTAGCGTCTTTCTTTCCATCAGCGGTTGGTGCCTCCATGGGGTAAAACCCTTCCAAAGAGTCCAACACTAAGCTGGCTGGATTTGCTGCAGCCTTGAGCGCCATAGGAATCTCCTCCTTTAGTGATGCAAGGTTCTTGCGGTTATCTGATACAAACTTATGGAGCCCTGTTGAGTCCATATCACCGCACAGTTTCAGTAACTGTGGATAAGCCTTCACTTCAAAATTTCCCATCACAGGTGAGATCTGAACATCTTGCACAGTACCATCCGGATTATCATCGGTAATACCATCAGCAGCAAAGGCATTGGGTGAATCTCCTCGAGCATTTTGTGCCCAACGTTCACCATCAGAAGTGATACTGATGGGAACGTTGTTGTACTTATCCAAAGCACTGTTGATAGCAAACATAGCTGCGTCTCTCTTCTTCTGAAGCCTTTCTAGCGATGCCTTCTCCTTGGCTTCAACAGCTGCCTTCTTTTTCTCCAATAGTTCTTGGGCTTTCTTTGTCTTGGTCTCATACTCTTTTTCTTGATCTTCAAGCTCATGAAACCTTCTCTTCAATGACCTCTCAAGCCCATGAAAATGCTCCTCAAGTTCCTTCCACTTCAGATTAAGTGTTACCGCACGCTGGCTTTCAAGTTCAGCAAACGCCTTCTGAAGCTGCTGAATCTTGGACGATGTAGAGTCCATGAGCGAAGCAACTGACCGGGTATCCTCCATCATGAAAGAGCTAAAGAAGGTGGAAATTTAAGAATGAAATAAAAAGTCTTGAACAAATGAAAAAACTAGCACGAAAACAAATGATAAAACATGAGTAGTATAAATAACAAAGAGAGGTCCCAACATCAGAGGGGCCAGCCAATCTCAATACTGCATAACAATCACACATGTCAAAACAACATAATATGCACTTTAAGAATAAAATATCCACACAGATAGGGAGCTATTAAAATTCAGAGAGGTTACCAATCCAAACAAGTCTAATCTCCAAGCTGCGAGTAGAGCTCCAAAATTTTCCAGTTCCCAAAAGACAAACAACTACAAATAAAAATCAGTTAAGACTAGTGAAATCTTCACTTGTACAAGAGATAAAAAAGGACCGGCTCAGTGAAAAAAACTGTCCAAGTCTCATACGAAAAAAAAAACTTGAAGAATACCGACGCCTACAATCGAGTAAAGACAAACGAACAAGAAACCCCATCAAGTTTAACCGATTCAAGAAAAATTCACATTTCTAGAGTTAGCCACTGAGAAAAAATCATCCTCAAGAGCTAAGCCGACGAACTTGAACAAAAACTAAGCTGAAAAAATATAAATATCGGCAAGCATAGAGATTAAGTGAATAAGATGACGAAATGGGAGAGCAGAAGCCTAGTTGATTCTGTGATCTCCCCACTCAATCCATCATCCAAGCGATCTTCGAGAGCAAAATTCAAAGTCTTAGCAGGAATTTTCCCCCTAAACTGAACGAATCAACAAACCCTAGCTACAGTGGATACAAAACGAACACGGGAGCAAACAAAGACAGTAGAGCTCTAGAGGAAACAAAACTTTACCCAGAAAAATCAGACGAAGTAAATCCTTAAAAGAAGAGATCGATCAGAAATCTTCAGGAAGCACCGGAAGATGGTAGATCCATCTTGAGCGATCGAGAATTTCGGGTAAGGCGAGAGAGAAGAGGAAAGTGAAATCCCTAAAGGCAGCGAGGAAGGAAAGAGGAAAGTTGAAGGGAGGCAAAAGCAGAATGATTTATAACAGACACTTTCTTCGTTGGCTTTTTTTTTTTTTTACTAATATATAAGTGGAGGCACGTGAGAGAAAGAGACAGAGAGAGAGAGAGAGTGGTGTGGTCATGGTCTAGTGTGGTGGCTCATTATCCACCATCCGGCTCGACAAGACGAACGGAGTGGTTCGAGTCATGAATTAGAATGTCCTTTTGATAAAAAAAGCTATGTCACGTGAGTTTGTCTAAAGCTGCCGGGAACTTGACTTCCTTGTAATTCACTCTTTACCCTTTATTTTTCTATTCCCATGAATTGGTATCTTCACCTTCTATGTTGTTTTTTTTATGTGTGTAATGATGGTTTAACTTAACAAGATAAAGATATTTTCTCTTAAAAGATTTTTGATGTTATTAAACATCTGTCAATCAACTTAGCTGACTTATTGCAATTTCATGTTGATAAGGTTCATGACCGGATAGGGTTTTTCCATGCTAATTAAGAGGTTGTCGGCTCTGCATCAATCATCATCATCGGAAGAAATAAGAAAGTTTTTTTACAAACTCGGTTTCACAAAAAAAAAAGTATTAGTTATTATTTATTAAGGCCATTTTTGTGTATAATTTCCTTGGTATAATGGTACTAATTAACGGATACTATATAGCGATAGTGACTAGATTAGAGCCCAAAATCATTCATTTTCAAAAAAAAACAAAAACAAAAATGATGCCACAAACATTGATTGAGTTTGGAGCCCTTCAAATGTCAAGAGTGCCGGGTCGTGAAGCTCCATTTCAAAGAAATGTCGACCAAAGAAAGGTGACAAAGATATGTTTTCATACACTAAATCAACCATATATTATCAGTTCGAGAGCATAAATTTAGATACTCTAGTATCTACTATTCCTATACTTATAATTTGCTTTTGAGACTTGCTGACTAATATAGTTAAAGTGCACCTCTCTGTTTTTTCCACAATATGTACTTTCAATTTCGAAGAACAAAATACAAACATAATATATAACATACAGTACAGATCATAGTAAATTGCTTTATTGGTTAATCATACAATTTATTTCACAACTAGTTTTGGTGGAAGCAATAGCAAATATGGAGAATTGTTTAATCGGAATAAAATGCTAAAGAATACAAAATGGAAGATAATTTGTCCATGGCTAACAGAAATGATAGTTGAAAAGTCAAAAAGGGAAAAGAAAGAAAGAAACAAATTTTAATAACGCGCAAAGACTGAATTTTTGGGTTTGGGTCATTGCGTTCTCATCGGATTTTCTTTGCCCCATTCTTCACGAAGTTTGAATCTTTCCAAAGTCTTGAGTCAACGACACACCAGACAGACGACTCCACTCTCTCCTTTTTCTTTTAATTTATATTTTGTAATCAAAGAGTCTCCTCTCATCATTCACGCTTTTCTTACTTCTTTCATAAAGACTGAGCAACCAACAGATGCGAATTTCTTCTTCTTCGTCTTCTATATTCTGCTCAACACACATGAACAGGAGCCGCACGACGAAGACCAAAGCTCCCGTTTTGTACTTCTGAGTTTCCTTGGTGAGTTCCTCACGATTATAGATTTTGTGAATTATCATCAAGTCAACTCATTTTTAAGATCGCTCATCTTCTTGTTTCTGTGGCGAATTTGTTGCTATTTATTTATTTCTGCTTTCTGTGATTTTGCTTCCAGGGCTTTTGATGCTTATCGGAGGGAACCCTAGATTTTTGTTCTGTTAGATTTTAGGAGCGATTTTACCAATTTGTGGATTTTGGGGGATATGGTGATGAGTAGGTTAGTTTTCGCAATTTTTCTGGGGAATTGTCTCTGGTTGCTTCTCCTGTCTAGCTCGATCGATGCAAATGAGGCCAACGTAAATTGCTTGAGGTCCATACTTAGCCAAGTTAAGGATCCGAATGGTTATTTATCGAGTTGGGTATTTAGAAACCAGACTGTTGGTTTTATCTGCAAGTTCACTGGTGTGACTTGCTGGCATGACGATGAGAATAGGGTTTTGAGCATCAAGCTCTCTGGTTTTGGTCTCACTGGAGAGTTTCCTCTTGGGATTAAGCAATGTTCTGATTTGACAGGTCTTGATCTTTCTAGAAACAACTTCTCTGGAACTTTACCAACCAACATTTCCTCCTTGATTCCACTTGTTACCACTCTGGACCTCTCCGGCAATAGATTCTCTGGTGAAATCCCTCCACTGATCTCAAACATTACCTTTTTGAACACTCTTATGCTTCAGCAAAACCAGTTCACTGGTCCTCTTCCTCCGCAGCTAGTGCTACTCGGACGGCTCACTAAGCTCTCTGTGGCTGACAATCGTCTCAGTGGTCCTATCCCAACTTTCAACGAAACCACCTTGAAAATTGGACCACAAGACTTTGCTAATAACCTGGATTTGTGTGGTAAGCCTCTGGAAAAATGCAAGGCTCCTTCTAGCCCTCGTACTAAGATTATTGTTATAGCGGGAGTTGCTGGATTGACTGTGGCCGCGTTAGTCGTTGGGATTGTTTTGTTCTTCTACTTCCGTAGAATGGCTGTTCTTCGGAAGAAGATGAGAAACGATCCTGAAGAAAACAGATGGGCAAAGATCTTGAAAGGACAGAAAGGCGTTAAGGTATAAAAAAACCTCCTTGATTACGCAATCTACTATTTTGATGTTATGTTCTGAATTTGTGATATATGTTTGGTGCTTTGTGAGCTTTCAGGTTTTCATGTTTAAGAAATCGGTTTCGAAGATGAAACTAAGCGATCTTATGAAGGCAACAGAGGATTTCAAGAAAGACAATATCATTGGAAAAGGAAGAACAGGAACTATGTACAAAGGAGTGCTTGAAGACGGAACTCCACTTATGATAAAGAGGTTGCAGGATTCTCAACGGTCTGAAAAAGAGCTTGATTCAGAGATGAAGACTTTGGGATCTGTAAAACACAGAAACTTGGTCCCTCTCTTAGGCTATTGTATTGCGAGTAAGGAGAGGCTTCTGATATACGAGTACATGCCAAAAGGTTACCTTTATGATCAGTTACATCCCGCAGATGAAGAAACCTCCAAGCCCATGGATTGGCCTTCGAGGCTGAAAATCGCGATAGGTGCAGCAAAAGGATTGGCATGGCTTCATCACAGCTGCAACCCGAGGATCATCCATCGCAACATAAGCTCGAAATGCATATTGTTGACTGCAGATTTCGAGCCCAAGATCTCGGATTTCGGTCTAGCTAGGCTGATGAACCCAATTGATACACATTTGAGCACATTCGTCAATGGGGAATTTGGGGATTTCGGTTATGTTGCTCCCGAGTATTCAAGAACCATGGTGGCAACTCCAAAAGGAGACGTCTACAGCTTCGGGGTTGTGCTTCTAGAGCTAGTAACAGGGCAAAAAGCAACGAGTGTGACAAGAGAATCTGAAGAAGGCGAGGAAGAAGAAGAAAGCTTCAAGGGTAACCTTGTGGAATGGATTACAAAGCTATCGAGTGAATCAAAGCTGCAAGAAGCGATTGACAGGTCCTTACTTGGGAAGGGAGTGGATGATGAGATCTTCAAAGTGCTGAAAGTAGCATGCAACTGCGTTCTACCGGAAGTAGCAAAGCAGCGGCCTACCATGTTTGAAGTGTACCAGTTTCTAAGGGCCATTGGAGAGAGCTACAACTTCACCACCGATGATGATATCTTAGTTCCTTCTGAATCAGGAGAAGCCGATTTCATCGAAGAGCTCATAGTTCGCTGATCAAGAGTGAAGTGTAAGACTTCTGAAACGAACGTCTTTTAGTCCTAGCTGTTCCAAGATATACATATCTATAAATATATATATATATATATGTATTGTTTTTTATTTTATTTTTGGTTTCTGCTCGTCGATGGTGTGATTGTAATATGAAATATTGTTAGATGCACTCTCTCTTATTACTACTACACTGAGCTTTGGTTGTTTCAGTACAGTCACTCGTTTGGTGTGTATCTTTGCTGTTTTTAAATTTTTTTGCAGCACTAACCATCGACTTGGTCGAAAATATTTACATTCGTAGCCCACTAGTAGTATTATTGTGGTTGAACACATTCATATATAAAAGAAAAAGAATGAAAGAAAGGTAAAAGCAAAAGAAAATGTTGGAAGAGAATCAGAGAGGAGAAATTGCTTTTTAAGTTAAGCCTATATAACACGAAAGTAATGTCAAAGTGGAATAGTCGAAGCTCCAAAGTAAAGGGAGCAAAATCAACCAATGGCTTTCCTTTGAATGATTCACCAGCTTCTCTTTCAGGCTTGCCCATTCTCAAAATCGAGAGAAAGCTTCTCGCTTCCTTCCTCCTCCAATTCAATTTTTATAAATTTGGGGAATCATGAATTCGAATTCCCCGAAATCCATCCCCGTAGTCTCCACCTTTGCCTCGCCGTTTGACGTAACTCCGGCGTCCTCCGTAACTGATTCAACCCGGAAGCCCCTGAGCTTGTGGCCCGGTATGTACCACTCGCCTGTCACCATCGCTCTCTGGGAGGCCAGGTCTAAGATCTTCGAGTCACTTCTCGACCCTCCCAAAGACGCGCCTCCTCAGAGCGAGCTCCTCACCAGGACGCCCTTGCATAGCCGAACCAAGATCTTCTACCCTTTCTCCACTGATTACATTCTCCGCGAGCAGTACAGGGATCCCTGGAACGAGGTCCGCATCGGAATTTTGCTTGAAGACCTTGATGCTTTAGCCGGCACTATCTCCGTCAAGGTATGTTTTTGAGGCTGTACATTTCGTTACCATGGTGTTGCTCCTTTCGCGATTTTCTTCACTGGGTTCGTGATTGATCGTATTTGGTGCCCATTTTTGTGAATCAAATAAAGATTTTGATGCATTTTTGGATGAATTTAGTATTTTTCTGCTTAGTATACGTTGGTTTGATGGTAGTTTGGTCACTTAGTTTTTTTTTCTTGGATTAGTGATCTTATCGTCAATTTGCTGTCATATACCACAATCTGAATATTAGTGTGCATTTGTGATTCAGCACTGTTCTGATGATGATAGCACAACGAGGCCACTGTTGCTGGTTACAGCTTCTGTTCATAAGATCGTTTTAAAGAAGCCTATTAGTGTCGACATTGATCTCAAGATTGTTGCTTCTGTCATTTGGGTTGGCCGCTCATCTATCGAGATTCAACTCGAAGTTATGCAACCCGAACCCGAGCTCGGTATGTCTACATATTGTCTATAAATTCCATTACAACCATTTCCTGAAACTAAAAAAACTTACTCTTGCTTCTGTTTTCTTGTTGTTCCTTTTAGAAGGCGTCAATGCTTCTTCAGACTCAGTTGCGCTAACTGCCAACTTTATTTTTGTGGCACGTGACTCTAAGACTGGTAAGGCTGCTCCTATCAACCGGCTTTCTCCAGAAACCGAGCTCGAGAAGCTTCTATTTGAGGAAGCCGAGGCTAGGAATAACTTGAGGAAGAAGAAGAGGGGAGGTGAGAGAAAGGAATTCGATCACAGGGAGTATAAGAAGCTTGAGGCTTTGTTGGCTGAAGGAAGGATCTTCTCTGACATGCCAGCTCTTGCAGACAGGAACAGCATTCTTCTGAAAGATACCCGTCTCGAGAATTCGCTAATATGCCAACCTCAGCAGAGGAACATCCATGGCAGGATCTTTGGAGGGTTTTTGATGCACAGAGCATTTGAGTTGGCCTTCTCCACAGCTTATACTTTTGCGGGTCTAGTGCCCTACTTCTTAGAAGTTGATCACGTCGATTTCCTAAGACCAGTCTGTATCCAAATAATCACTTATTACTATCCTCTTCTTGTTTCATGTTCTCCTTCTGTATATAACTAATTCTGAATGGACTTGTATGAAAACAGGTGGACGTCGGGGACTTCTTACGTTTCAAATCCTGTGTACTTTACACTCAACTGGATAAACTGGATTGTCCGCTCATCAGTATCGAAGTTGTTGCCCATGTTACAAGTCCGGAGATTCGTTCTAGTGAGGTAAAATCCTTACTTAACGATGGGAGATTTCTTAAAAGATCGTTTCAAGTTGAAACTTGGCACTGATTCCTTAGAAAAGATACATCTTCATGCCAGTCTCTCCAACCATATCACATTGTCAGCTTGAGGTCTCATTCTCTGTTGCATATGATATAGGTTTCAAATACATTCTACTTCAAGTTCACTGTACGGCCAGAGGCAAAGGCCAGAAACAATGGGTTTAAGCTTCGAAATGTAGTTCCTGCCACAGAGGAAGAAGCTCGTCATATCCTCGAGCGCATGGATGCAGAAGCTCTGAACTCAAGCAAACAAGTGTACTAGTGTAGACACAATTCTACGTGTTTGTGTTATAATTCATAGAAGACTTTGCTTATCAGCTCCTATCCTCTGACCAGAAATTTAACAAAAAATATAGAGACGCATTCCTACTGTATCTAAACGACTTGCTAATATAATCCAATATATGGCTTACTCATTGATTTGTGGATGTCAAACGGGAAACAAGTTACCCTATTGGGTGCTTATATTGTATATTTGTAGAAAACAAATGGATGAACGAAAGAAAGAAAGAATCAGACAAAAAGATTCAATGCTGAATAAGACAAGAAGTTGAGAACTACAAGAGGTAATTACCAGAAGAGAACACACAAAATCTAGGCTTCTGTCCCGGGAGAAGGATTTCAAGTAGAGAAATTACAATAAGAAATGTCTTAAAAATTAAAATCCATACATCTAACACTACTTCAAGTGGGACAGCGAATAACAAGATGTCAAGATCCCTTGATTTTATAGGCATCTCATTCTCGAGATTAACAGAAAAATGAAAGGCTTCCTCCTAATCAGCAAGTTTGTTGATCAACTTCATTACATTGAGAATCTTACGATGTGAACCGGTCTCCCACTTCGTTACATACGTTGTCTAGCATGGAAAGGAAGTCTCTCACAATCATGAAAACCCTCAATGTGTGACCTTCCTTGGAAGAATCTCCATCGAATTGCTCTGTGACCTCCTCCAATGCAGAGAGCGTCGAACTTTCTTGTGTTTTGATCTTCAGAATCTCCTCTGCAGCAGTTTCCAAGAATCGGGTCATCCTCGCCCTGAACTTCAGCCATTGATCTCCGCTAGATCCACTCTCCTTGCCCAGTCGCAGAATCTCCTCGATGTTCTTGATTCCTAGATAAAGCTCAGAGACGTCGTTTCTTAGAACACCATACTCAACGTCTGCCGATTTCTTGACATTGGCCAGTTCTAAATTCAGATTTCTGATGCCGTCTAAAGCTTTCACAGTGCCTTTTGATTTTATCATTTCCTGAACAACGAAATGCAAGAGACTGCTTCTTCCATCTAATCCCTTGACCTCAACGAGCTCGAGGAGCGTGTCAAGTTTGAAGCAATGAGCATCGCCGCGTTGGCTTGTTCCAACATTCATCTTGTTTCCTAGACTCAGTATAGCTACCAAAAGTCCTGAGAACATTCTATTATTACTTAGTTCTTCACAAGCAGCCTGCAAAAGTAGATAGGCTTATGAATACACAAGTTTACAACATCAAGCGCACATATATGTAGATCTGCTTATCTTCTGCATCAATATTTTACCTGTATAACACCGAATGATCTTTTGAGGCGATTGATCTTGCAGTGAAAATTAGCCAGTGAGAGCAACGCGTCAACCCGTTTGAACACGAAAGGCACATGAAGCAAGTCCTTAAGAAACCTCTCAGCTGGACCAAGCTTGACGATCACTGAATCATCCCTACAGCTCTTCAACTTCATCTCTTCTTCTTTACTAGGTGCCAATCTCGATAAACACTCAAGAAGTTCAGCTCCAAGTGCATCACAATCACCTGAATTGATAACTCAAGAATACAAATCAATAACACAACAAAAAGGAATGCCAATATATTTTTTTCCTAGAAATTAACATGTGATTACCTTCAAGAAGAGCTTTACAAATATCCTTTGTGGTTAAGTTAAGTCGCTGAAGCAGAGTAGTAATATTGTGAGCTTTTCTCGGATCTAAAACTTTGCTTTCTTGATTTTGGATCGGAAAATAATAGCTTAGACCTCTCTGTTTTATGTTTGGGTTTGAAGAGTTTGCAAGGAAAAGAGTCTCTACCATCTCTTTGTTCAATCTGCACACACACAGTCACAGAAACAAACTTCATTAAACTATTATCAAGAAAACAGACGCGAAGAGCGAAAAATGAAAGATCTAATCTTTCACTTTTCTTACTTGAAAGAGCTCGATCTAAGACAATCCCAAGCAGTTTTCTGACAAGAACTTGGTCGGAGTTTATCCCAATGGAGCTGGTTGGGAGGTAGCTCCGAGAAAGATGGCTTTTTTTCATCATGATGAACCACAAAAGACTGTGAAGGTGGGACAAGAGGAGGTGGCCTCGTCGGAGGAGGAGGAGCTGCTGCTTCTACATGGCTCTGTTGATTCAAAATTCTAGAAGAAGATTCACCAATGTTGATAACAAAATCTCTTCTTGATGAAATGGAATCAGAGGAGAGCAACACGGACTTCACATTCCGACTAAAGTCGTTCCAAATCGGCGGCGAACTATCCAGAAACTTCCGGAAAAACCCGTCGGGAGAAGTGGAAACTGAAGAGTAGAGAGAAGAAAGCGGCGTTCTTATGGTACCTCCTCTGTCCGGCGAGGTAGAGGCAGAGGAAATGCGAGGAAAGCCCAGATTTTGATTCCAGAAGCTAAACATTCTTAGAGAAGACGACCCATTTCCGTTGTTGTTCCTTACTCGAAGTCTCTCCGGCGACGGAGAGTGAAGGTTTTGCTCAGAAGAGACGTCTGAGAATCTAGGGTTTGAGCGTTCTTGAACCGGGGACATGGTGATGGAGAATGACCTAGCCGGAGAAACCCAACCAGAGGAGGAGCAAGAACGGGATGGACTTGAGTTTTCGGAACCAGCCAAAGAAGCAAGAGGTGAGAAGAACTCATCTTCTTCTTCTTCTTCGTTTTCCTCAGACTGAAAATCAGCTTCATAGTTGTGCTGGAAACTACGAGGAAGCAACGGAGGAAGCGGCCGTATCTCCGGCGACTCAGGCTTCAAAAAACTCGTTATAACACGGTCAGGTCCCTCAGCACCGAGGTTTAAAACCTCCAAGGTAGAGGCAGTAGCTGCTACAGAGAAGTTGTTGGTGGTAACGTGTCTTGGTTCATCATATCCATGGCTACTACTAGTACTACTACTGCTACAAGTAGTGTCCTTGAAATGACTGTTTTGACCTCGCCACCGGCCGTAGAGAAACAAGGCGACGCCGATGGCTGTGGCGGCGACGAGCACGGCGGAGATAGCCGGGACAAGGAGGGTAGGGGAAGTGGAATGTGGTTTAGGAGAGCGTGGAAGGACGAGGGCGGAGATGTTGGCCGGAAAAGTGGGGAAGACGGCGAAGGTGGTAGGAGGAGGCGGCGGAGGAGGAGCGGAGGACTCGAGAGGGAAGAAAGGAGGACTGATGGGGGAAAGAGGAGTAGGTAGAGCTGCAGCGTCGTCGTAGAGGTGGCGACGGCCGAGAGTGAGGGAGGATGCGCAGGATAGAGGGGAGGGTGCGCATGATAGCAGGAGGAAGAAGGAGAACCAACAAAAGGTCTGCATTTTCCTTCTGGGTTTCTGCAAAAGGTCTCTGTTTCACACACTACCAGAGGAAAACAAGTTAATGGCTCTCTATTATGGCCTGTCCTTGTGGACCTCTGTGTGACTGTATGAGAGTAATAACTAATATTACACTCTTTAACCATTTTACTTTTACCGAAATTGTAGCTACCCGTGATGGGTCAAATTTAATATTACAAAACATAGAGTTGAACTCCAAAGTTAGTAGTGTGAAAAAAGTGCATCGTGATATAAAATACCTCAACACCAAAAATCTAAAATATAATTTGTGTTATCACATAGTTTAATATTACATGTTGTCTGTCAAAGAATTTTGGTGTTGACGTCTACTAGCAAGTAAATCAATTTACAGTGAAATGCTGTTAAGTACACTGGAGATGTCACTGTGATACATTCCATTGATCTTCGAATGCTTAATTATCGTTCTTAATTCCGTGAAGCCTTTTTATGTTAAAAAAAGTTTACGGTTAAAATTTTCTTTTTTGATAGGACTTGGATACCGGGGTTGTTTGGTAGGTTATGGTAGTTATGGGTTACATGACAATATTTAATTTTGTACAAGGCTAGTATGTTTGCCTCTAGATAGTAAATCTAGAGTCCGTATTTACTTATAAATTTATTATATTAAAACAGAAGCATATTTAGTACTTGTTTCCAAATATTACTAATTTTTTTTAAGTGTTTAAAAATAATTTTAATAATTATTTATATTTAATTTCGAAAATTAATTATTAATTTAAATATTTTTAGAGTTCTTTAAATATAGGTAACTTAGATTTGATTTGATTTGATTAAAACTAATAAATCAGATATTAATTTAGATTTGATTTAAAGATTTTTATTTAAATAATTTCTATACTATTAAACATTTTTATCAAAAATATCTAGAATTTTTGAAAAAAAAAATTCACATATGAAAATAATGATCATATTTGAAATATAAAATATTTATAATGATGTAAATGATATGATATTTATGTTGTTTATATAATATATTTATAATAATATAATAGGTAAAATTCAATATAATTTAAATATTTAAAATATATTTTTTAAAATTTATAGAACTAAAAATATATATAAAAAATTGGGTTAAAAATATTTTGGTAACTAATATCACTAATTTTGAATTATACATGTATATCAAAAATATATTTTTCATACAAAATCAAAACATAAACAATTAAAAATTATTGCATACACTATAATGTGGTTTGAAAAACCAGTTGTACACTCTCTTCGTTGATTAAATTTTTAGAAAACTATAATGCTAAATAATATTGTTAATACATCTCAAACTTTTAACAAATAATTATATTATACAGTAATATGAACGGAAAAATTAGAATTATGTTTTTATAAAAGTTCATTTTGAATTAATATTAACGGATGGGTTAAAATTATATTTTTATAATCATAATTAATTTTAATACTATAAAAATATATCTAAACACAAAAATCAATATTTTCGCTTATTAAAAATATATTTATAAAAATAATTATATCTAAACTTAAAAACAAAAATTATATTACAAAATTCGTTAAACAATAAAAAATATTTCCGTGCGAATGCACGGATTAGAATCTAGTACAAATTTAAATTTGCTACATAAACTTGTATTCAAATATTATTTAGTGAATCCAGGAAAAGACTGTAATAATTACTTGAACTCTGAAGTTACCCGTCTTTCAAAAGAATCTTTTTTTGACTTTTTCTGCACCACCCCTCAATTTGCTCACTTTTTCATGGAAAACATCAAAGAGTTGTACAGTACTAATTGGCATTTTAACTATATATCCTTCTTTTTTTTTGCTCAAACTAACTATATATTCAAAAGCCCATTTCTTTTGTGAGCAGAAGCTCTTATCTTCAAGATTTTGGGTTTCATTCGTTACATTTGAACACAAAAAGGGGTTTTACTGGTTACCAATAAAACTGATTCAAATGAACACAAATTATCTATGAAAAATGCAACAACGAATTAAGACTTATTTTTATAACGGTTTGTTAACGATTTCAGTTTTTTATTTTTTTATTTCTTTTTCGAATGTTTTGAATTCTTTGAACAAAATATTTATAGTTAATCAATATTCTATTTTTTTATTTGATAATTGATTTACTCTTCAATTCATCAGTCACAAATTGGAGTCACTATCATCGAGCCAATCGATATAAATGAACTGCCCTCTCTTAAAAGGAATCACGAGATGAAGCTGTGGACAAAAGAATAGTTGGCTAAATAATAACCCACAAGTTACATACACTATACCGAGAGATCATGATTCAGTTTCATACCTCTTTTCTTAACTCACAAATTTCCTTGCTGCAACATTTCTCGTAGACCTTAGAGGATTTGCTATCTTTTCATTTGTACCATTGTCAATCAAGCTCTGATGAGTGATGGCTTCTTCATGAACATATGTTGTACCTATGGTGAATGTATCGAGTTTCACACTTTTTTTGACCTCTTGGTAGGATCTGCATACACGACACTGTAACAAAAGCAAGTAGAAACGATTGGGCTAATCATCTATTGAAATCCCTTTTGTCCTCTGAGTTGTGAATCATTTTTGTCTGGCTAGAAACCACTTCATCCATGTGGACAAACAATATCTTGCGATGTATTCCGGTAAATCCACCTGAAAACCCCATCTCAGATGAGAAGAACGCAATTAAGAAAACAAAAACTTAACAAACAAGAACACGAAACTCACACTGGTCCATGTTGCAGAAAAACCATCAGTAGATAGCAACCAACTTCGACTAATTTGATGCAGACCTAAAAGCTCATCATCAATGAGATCATCATCATTATCATCATCAATAGTTCTCTTCTTTTTCTTCTTTCTCTTCTTCTTCCCCTTCTTGTGCCTCTTTCTAGAAACACGGCTTCTACCATCAGAGTCAGATTCGCTTTCTTCAGAGAATCCGTTATGACTTAGCAACGAGTGGTCACTTGACCTGCGGAACTTAATTCCATTTTCTCTAAATAGAGACTCCCATGAGTCTACACTTTGACATTCCTCCGATAGTCTGAAGTGAATAGTCCAAGAAAGTAGCCCAAGTAATTTTATCGCCTCGGTGTATTTCATCTTTGAAAGCTCTCTCAAGAGTAGAGTAAAGCTGGTGCCGTTTTCCAAACCTCTCCAGACATCTGCCATGGTTTCTTTCAACATTCCTCCCTCATCATTGACGTTCTCATCAAGTACAAGCCGTAGTAGCTGTCGACCTTGGTTGATAATAGAATTCAGCAACAACAGCTCATCAATAGATTCTGTGTCAGCATATTTCGAAAGAACAACCTCGAGCCAACAAGACGAGTCACCAAAATCCCAAGATTCAGTTTTTGGACTGAAACAGTTGCCAAGCAATTCAAGAAATTGACACAAGTCAGGCTCTTCGAGAGTGATAAGGAGATGTTGGGTTAAGGAGGAGAAAGACTCCTCATTAAGAAAGTCCTCTACAGCATCCCACACATAACTCACATCCTCTTCGTACATGAGACGGATAAAGAGCTCTAGAAAAAACTTGGTGTCAAGGAACAGAATCTGACCATCTTTGAGTGACTCAGCAAACTCGTTGGATGACCAGAACTCAGGAACATTGTCGAGAAAATTCTCAATGGTTCGTTGGACGTCAAGATCAAGAAGGTAATGAGGCTTTGTAGCAACAACCGCAGGAGATTGCCCGTGTTTGCCTCGCCATTCAAGCTCTTCCCAGCAAATATCCCGGTTCGCAAATGCAAACTGAGCAAAAGCTCTTGCACCTCTTTTGTGATCAGACCCACCATCAACAGCAAAATCAGAAAACCACTCTAGTATACGCTTCGGATTCCCTGCACATTTCAAAAACTCAACTGAAGCATAATCTCAAGATAATGGAAAAAAACAAGATTTTTGAAGAGCACAAAATCAACCGGACTTCACCTGCAAAGAATTTCTCGAGTAAATAACTTCTTTTGGCTAACACAGATCCAAGTTTCCTCGGCCTCTTCTCAAACATCAATTGCAGGAGCTGAGATACAAGCTGCGTCTTTCTGGGATTTGATCTCAATAACCTCATAAAAATATTGACTTGCCTTCTCCGGGATATAGAGATACTAGAAAGAGCACTACAAAGCCAGAGTCTAACTTCTGATCGAGCTCCAATAGTCACCAATGATTGAATTTGAGAGCCCAATTTGTTTAGTAGAGTCAAAATCACGTTGAGGTTGCTTCTGTCGTCGGCATCACAGTTCCACTTGGGTTGAGACAAGAACAAGTTCACCATCTTGGTAGATATTCAGCTTGATCTAAATTTCAATACGATATGGGCTTGGTGAGAGAAAGCTGCAATTGAAGGTTCCAAGTTAAGGAATATAGATTATCTGAAGCTTCATGCGCGTAAGAGAGCAATGCCCAGAAATAAATTGCATTGAACCAGAGGGAAGAAGAAAGACAATTTCAAACAAAAATCAGAAACTTAAATCGATTTAGATATCGGAAACGAAACATTCATATCGAAAATCTCTACAGTAGGTTTTGAGATACGAATTTGAGGGTTTGGCAAAAAAGAAGAAGAGCACCGATATACTCCGTCGTCGGGACAGCGAGAACTGGAAACTGGAAAGGAGAAAATTCGGGCAATATGCATATTAGATGACCGAGCTGCTTCTGGTTCGCTATTTGTCCCAAACCAAACCGTTCTTTTGGATTGGTTCGAGCCGACCGGTTTCAATTTTTTTCGAAAAAGAAAATGTAACAATTGCGTTGGAGCGTGCAGGATTAAGTATGTGTAATGGGAGAGACCCTCATGGATCTCTTGCACATTTTTTTATAATAAAAATGGGTTATTTGGGTATTAGAGACCTAATGAAGAAACTTGTATTTTTAAAAGGTCGAATGGGAGAGATATTTGAGCAGGTGATGATGTCGCTCAACCGACCTGCTTCTTCTCTTCTCTTGATGTCCCTCCCCGTGCAGAGAATAAAAAGACAAGAAAAAACTAATGAGCACATTACAACAAACTTATAACTTCTAACCACAAACATGTGATTTGTAAACATGATCATTGACATTCAATTCTATATCAAAAGAACTACAACCAAGATCTCGGATGAAACTTGTAACATAACTTGTAAACATGATCATTAACATTCAATTCTATATCAAAAGAACTATAAACTACAAAACGATCCATGAAACTTGTAATAAGCAAAAAATTGGTAATGAACCCCAAGTAAACATAATCGGATGGAATCTCAATCAATCTCAATGACACTATCTACTACAAAATCTGTAAATTATCATGTCATAATCGATAGATTAAAAAAATCAAACCATAACAAGGAATAACCCTAAATCAGCCGATGTATATCATCAAAATCAATCATCAAACCCACAAACCTAAACAGAAGCCTAAATCAAACGAGATATAGAATCAAAAGCAACCATCGATTCTAATAACCCCTTTGATTAAACCAATTCAGCCATAACCCAGTAAAACCCCAAAAAAAATTTATAGATATTCTTCGATTTTACCTCCGCTGAGCAAATCCATCGCCAATCAGCTTCGATCTGATCCATCCACAGGCGTCAATTTCGCCGGCTCGGTCGGCAGCAGTCGCATCCGTCGGTAACAGTCGGAGCAGCCAGGAAGAGACACCGATTCGTCGTGGTTCGACGGAGAGAAGAGAGAAAGGAATTATCGGGAAAAAAAAAACCAGACAAAAAAAATGTTTTCTCCCTAATTTTATTATCCAATAATTTTGTTCCACGTGGCATTAGGAGACGTCTCTTGCAGGTTCTAATTAGAAGACGTCTCTCCCATTTGTTTTTCCTTGCTGATTTATTTAAATGCCAAAAAAACTCTTAAAAACGATGGGAGAGATCCCATTGCACATGGTCTTATATCGTAGTTTATATCGTAGTTGCTTGACGATGAAAAATTTCCTATTGAATTAACTTTCCTCATTAGATTTATCTCCAAGGAGATGTCATCAATGTTATATTTTCTTTTTGTCGTAGCATTCAATTATGTTAGGAATGATCTCATTGACCCGGTTTCAGAGAAGGCTTAGGTTTTAAATTAGATTAAAAACAAATGGTGGTCCGAAACTCCACACACGCTAAAAGACAAAACTTGTTTATGTTTAAAACACTACTAATAAAGATAAAATCCATAGACGATGATAAACCATAGATCTTTGATGAAGCTTTTAATTCTACTATGTTTACTCGTCGTCCTCGTCCTCATCATCATCCCCACCATCACCAACAGAGTTCAACGCCTTCACTCGCTGGATCAGACTAGCCTTCCTCTCGTCATAAGTCAGTTTCTTCGGGTTGTACCTCTTGTGCTCCTTAGGAGCCTCTTTGTCCGATTTCTTGACTGATGGATCAGCCCTAATTGCTGCGTGTACCTTCTTGTACATCTCTTCCATGTTTTCCGGTGCAAGATCCTTCTTCAAGTAGTCGCTGAAATGACTCTGGTATTTCTCTGGCTCATCCTCCATCAACAGCTGCACATAGTAGCACAATTGGACATTTGATAAGGATAATCTCACAAAACAATTAAGAAATCAGCTGTATCCACAAATGATGTTAAGACGAGTTACCCTCATGTAATCAGCGACGTGACCTCCATAAATGTATTTCCGGTGAATTTCAGCATCAAGGTTCTTTCCTTCCTTGTTAAACCCAGCAAACCGCTTGTCACTGTGTGGGATGTCAAGCCCACCATCCAAAGCACCCTATTTAAAGAAAACATATACCCCACTCTCTTCATCAACCCTCCACTATAACAAAACAACTAACTCATCTAAGATATGAAATCACTGTATCTAGATATCCGATTGTTTAAGTTGGGAAACTGAATTTTGACATATCGGTGAATAAATACCTTGAGGGCACCAAACACACGGTTTCCGGTTGTGGTCATGACAAGTCCAACGTCGAGAAGAGCACGGAATGGCCTTCTTGTTTCAGTTGGCTCGACAGAATAGTCTTCTCCAGTGGCCTGTATAATAAAAAATTACAAAAATGACGTCAGTTATTCATATTCCAGACAAGGTAGGGCAGACACAATATAATAGAAATTTATATCATATATGCACTCGTACCTCAGCATTGCCCTCGTACTCAGCATCCATCTCAAGCATCTTAAGGACACGGCGAGCCAAAAGAAGACCAGTACAATAAGCTGAAATCAAGCATAAAGAGATTCATAACCATACAAGTGACATTGTAAGAAATGAGAGATACTTATCAAGCAGTTAAAAAATGGTTAATTCTTTACCTGCAGCATAATTTGTAAGACCCGCTTTAAGACCGTAACGAGGCAGCTCATGCGCATAGGCAGATGCAAGAACATTGTCACCAGTGATAGTGGCAGACACTATTTGAACAATTATGTCTTTGTTGGTCTATTGCAGGCAAAAAAAAATCAAGACTTAAATCGAGTCCCAAAATAAAACAGAATTGACATGGATGATAAGCAATGCAGAGAAGTCAACAATACTTACAAATCTCACGACATAACGAAACTTTGGGCTGTTATACTTGTTCTTGTCTTGATTGATCAGACGGATCCTTGCACGATAATCGGTCTTGCCCTCTGAAAAAAACAAACGCATGAGATAATCATATATTTTTCTTGATAAGGAACATAACAGAAACAAAGTAACATACGTAGTATAGTCTTATATAACATACCACGCCTTCTCCTGAACTTCACTTGATATCTCTTGAAGTAAGGCTGCTTCTTTTGGGGTTTCACGAACACCTAAAATAGAGCAGTGGAAAACAATAAGGATCAATTCAAAGCCAATGTGGGTCTGTTTAAAGTTGATAAATTACTAATCAGTAGAACGTTAACCAAGTGCCATTGTGTTAATACTCAAACAAGTTGGTATGCAGGTCTATGAATACAGATTTGCTAGAGGTGATAATCAATCTATGAACTAGCTCAAAATAAACATATGTCTGAATGTCTACATTTTTTATTGAACATGTTGATAAAATGGAGAAAACAAAGGAAAATTGCAACAACTAATCAGATGAAACTCGTATAGGTCCAGAGAAAACTTGAAGAGTAGGATGACAAACAAAGGAAGGAGGAGTACTCACCATAGCTGGATGATCACTGGCCGCCGAAAATCGTTTCGAGCCTAGGCGAGAAGAGACGAAAAAAAAAGCGATATAAAAATACTAAAACCCTAGTGTATCCTCTGATGTAAATCAACGGTCAGGATTCGCTTACGGTAGGATGCTAGGTTTACTTGGGATAATATCAAACTAACTGGACGGTGACGCAGCACGAACTAAAAAAAACAGATACATCTTGATAAAAGTAAGTTTGGGCCGAAAAAAAGTGAAAAATAACTGTCATAAAAAATTAAGTTTTTCACCAATAAAAATTACGCTAGCTCATGAAAAGCCCAATTTGATAACAAATAAAATAATGTCTAGCTCACGAAAAGCTCAATTTGCCACATTCATTAAAAAAACTGTTAATGCATATGATTAAGAGATCTCTGTGATCAAAGAATATCAAAACTTCTCTTACCAACATTTGGCAAAAAGAATATCAAAATTACTTATCAAAAAAAAAAAAAAATTCAACATTACTTTTAGATAGCTAGACACTGGTGAAAACATATTGTTTGGCTAGATAGCAAATGCATAAGAGTATGATGGTATGATGGTAATGTGCTCCTTCCCACGACGAAAAAAAACGTTCTATAGTTAGAGCTTGAGATCCTTGGAATCAGCCAATCCTCGACACTGTTCGGTTCTGTTATCAGTTGGCAACTTTGGTGGAGGTAATGTGTTGTTTGCTGAATCCAGTACCTGTAAATGGTTTTGTCCAGCTCAACAAACGTCACAAGGGCGTATACAAAATAATACACACATTCTAAGAAAATGAAAGAAAGTGATGTCGGTTTCACCTTTTGAGGCGGTTTACCCCACACATCTCCGCCATAATACATCACCGGTCTTTCTGTAACGTTAGACAAATATATCAAGGCTTTATCAAGCTTTATATATAAAACAAATTTCCTTGAAAGAGTCTTAAAAACTCACCAGACAAGTCAACACCCTAGGGTCATTGTACTGATGCATTGCAGCTGCCCAACCTACAATCAGAATAGTAAAGTGTTTGAACAATGTGACACGCACACAGACAGCATACTAACTCTCCCAAGTCTCTTAAGGTCCCAAACCACACCCAGTTACTCAAACACCTTCCCCACATCTCAAGCCCCTTCTATATATGTTGATCCCACTCACAGTTCACATGCTCATGTGTCAAAAGTATTCAATGTTACTTATTCTGTTCGATCATAATGTTTATACTAGCAGACAGTGAGAATGAGGAGGAAGCCACATCATATTGATTAAAAGACTTTAATTTGGAATACGTACGATCACTCAGAAGCTGAGAAGCTTCACTCGTAGAGCAACCCTCTAGAGATATAATCCTTGGAGAAGAGTTTTCCCTGTGAAAACCAGCCGCATCAGGCTGACTTCTCTCGCCCTCGTTGCTATTGGAGCTTCCTGTTCGATCAAATTTTACCCTTACTTTAGCCAAGAAAACAACCACACACACACAAATGACTTATAACAATATCATTACAAGAAAAAAGTGATTGGAGCTTCTATTAGAATGAGACCTCCGGATTTTCTAATAAAAAAAAAGTGACTGCGACATTTAAAATTACAGGTTGAGCAATTGAATCATTATATTTCAAACGGTTCTTGAGATCATCAATTAGACACAAAGCATCAGTTTACAGAGTTCCCATGCTAGCAAGTGGACCAGTGTCTCTCTACAATGAGATAAGCTTTCTTCCTCTAAATTCGCTAGTAACTATATCTGAACCCCAAATTAATCAATAGAAGCAAATAAAGAGAGAAGCAACGAACCTCTTGATCTCCTCCGGTTCGAAGAACGGTTCCTACGAGGCAGAGAAGAAAATCTCAAAGGAAGCCGAGAAAAACAAAGAAATCATTCGAAAACAAAGGAGGGATTACTAATTACTACCTTTGGTTAGGTGGAGTGTATCGATTGGGTGCGGAGCTTGGATCCATCGTAGAGGAATAAAGGTTCTGCAACTCCCGTGGAGATCTGTGTCAACTTCTTTCTATATATTCTGCGCCGAGCTCGTAGAAAAGGGTCTTTTATAATCCTTCACGCGCTAATCCTTGTAAATTTATTATTCACAGCTTTGTAGAAATTTTTTTTTTTTTTTCATGTATAAAAAGAGGATAATATAGAGTAGTCATATTTTGTAACCGAAAAAATATTCTTTTCGGGATCCAGTTCGATTCCTAGTGACCGAAAAAACCTTCAGGATATCTACAGTGTTTTATTGTTTATTTAACTTCTTAGATTTAGCTTTTTAAAATTTAATAAATTAATTGGCCAATACTCTTCTTCAATTATACTTGGTCAAAACTTTCTATATTTTCTGCGCCGAGCTCGTACAAAAGGGTCTTCTATAATCCTTCACGCGCTAATCCTTCCGCGAGTGTTTGTAAATTTATTATTCACAGCTTTGTATAAAAAGTTTCTTTTTTATTTTTGTGTGTCTATGTATAAAAAGAGGATAATATTTGTAACTGAAAAAATATTCTCTTTTGGGATACAGTTCGATTCCTAGTGACCGAAAAAACCTTCAAGATATCTACGGTGTTTTATTGTTTATTTAACTTCCTAGATTTAGCTTTTTCAAAAATTCAATAAATTAATTGGCCAATACTCTTCTTCAATTATACGAAAAGTGTATACGTAGTAGCACTTAGTCAAAACTAGCCGTTGCCATTCTTTCTATTTTCGAAACAGCCGCTCCTTCTGAATCTGCTTCTCATTTCTGATCTCTCTCTCTCACTCTCACTCTCACTCTCACTCTCAGCTGCCTAAGCCTCTCAATGGCGACCTGTATCAGAAAAGGATCACCAAATTCGGAGCCAAAGCTTCAACCTCGCGCCAGATCTCCTCTTTCCGAGAATCTCTCTCCAGCTACCTTCCCACGATCTCCTCTCTCGCTCATCTCTCCTCAGAGCTTGCCTCAATTGAAGTGGAACTCGGGTCTATCATCGCCTACCCTCTTATCTCCCACTACTCTTGATGATGATGTTTCCGAAGAGGAAAACAAAGATGACGATGAAATGAGTATTTCGTCGGTCTCAGACGCCGGAGGAGGAAACGAATTATTCTCCGATTACGATCTGGAAGACGACGAGGAAGAGGCCATGAAGGTTTCGAGACGCTACGATGAAGAAGAAGTTTTTGGGCTTAAATCCAGCTCGAAATTGAACAGAGGATTGTTGAAGGATAAGAATCTGAGAATTGAAGTTCCATTTGGGAACAGAAGAGTCACAGACGGAGAATTGGATCTCCGAAAACTCGCCTTGAAGAATTCAACTCCGGGTAGCTATCTCCGAGAGGAACCGCCGCATACTCTGAGCTCCAAGGTACGCGCAAAGTGGCAGTGAGCTATGAAATGTAATTTGTTCATCTGAGAAAATGAAACATTTTTATCCTTACAAGATATGTAAGCTAAATATTGGAATTAATTTTTGTCTTAGGGTTCGGTGTATTGGGACACAGAAGATATGGGAACCCCAAGTGCACCACCTATTATGGAAATTGGACAAGAAGATAATACCTTGGAGATAGAAAATGAAGTTGAGCAGACTGAGCATGAGATTTGTAGAGAAGCAGGAGTTGAGACTAATCAAGAAAACAGCACTTCTCATTTGTATAGAGATGCGGAATTTGGGGGAAGGTATTCTCGATTTCATCGAGCTTTTCTATTTTGTTCTTGGACCGGTCTTGATGTGTTTTAGCCACGGTGTATTGTGCAGTGTGAGGGACACTAAAACTGGGGAAGATGCACAAATCCAGGAAACCAGCTCCGATGACATACATTGCCATAGTATCAGGTTAGCTACTTAATTTTCTTCACATTTTATAATAAAAGATTTTAATTAAAAGAGTAAAGTTGAACTATATTATGCCTTACAAAATTGTCAATTTTCCGTCGGCAGTGGTCAATATGCTTGGCAAAGTCTTTTGGCATATGATGCTTGCGTAAGACTATGTTTGTATGCATGGTCAAAGGGGTCTTCTGAGGCACCTGAGTTTCTGCGTGATGAGTGTCGTCTTCTTCGAGGTGCATTTGGGTAGGACATGTGTTACTCAATGGTTTCTGAGATATAATATTTGTCTTATTTTGAGTTACTGAAACCAGTCTTTTCCATATGTGTTGTTATAGTTTGCATAAGTTTCTGTTGCAACCTCGGGGTGTAAGATCGACTGAAGAAAACAAAAATGTGAAACCAGAGCAAAAGACATCCTTAAAGACTAAAAGCGTGGTCAGAAAGTTGAGGGTGGAAGGTAAACTATTCTTTTTCTCATGAGCTAAAAGTTGGGTCCAAAAATATAGTTTTGAAGCTGTATGGCATAAATCATATAATACCTCTTCAATTGTGATTGTTTTAGTAAAGAGACTTCGAGTGATACCACAGCGCAAACTTAGAGGCACAGATTCTCTACGGAGTCTGATGAATTTGCCAATGGGGGCAGAGTATTGCAGACAAGTTTCAGCACTTGTGAAGAATGGGATGAGTTCTATCAAACTGGCTACTCTTTCAGCAGTTTCAGAAGGTTTGTTTTTATTACAAACTAAACATTTGTTCGACCATTTCCATGATATTTTGTTGTGAATGGGATGAGTTCTATCAAACTGGCTACTCTTTCAGCAGTTTCAGAAGGTTTGTTTTTATTACAAACTAAACATTTGTTCAACCATTTCCATGATATTTTGTTGTGAATGTGATTTGTCCAGGCCGGTTCATTTGTGCTTAATATTGGCCCATCTATCACTGGTTGGACAGAGAATAAAGGAGATGACTTGACTTTTTCTTGTGATTCTACATGCAGAACAATTCTCCTGCTACCTTCAAATGAAGAGCACAGCAGAAGAAGGTCAAAATGAACAAGGATCTTCTGTTTGTTTGCAACCAGGAACTGGAAGTTACCATGTCTTGTAAGCCCTTTTCTTTCTCTTAAATGTTTGTTATGGAGCTGGGACTGGGATAGATTTTTAAAAAATATGTATGCAAGTGGTTGGTTGAGAAAATATTGAATATACCTATAACTAAGCCAAACTGTTTGAATAAATTAAAAGATTCCTGGAAAGTTCAAGAATTAGTAATTCAGTTTTCAGAGTACTCACAACTCCTCCTTCAGCTTTCCTGAGCCAGAAGGCGACGCTCTTCTAATAGAAGTTCAAGATAAGAAGAAATCAGTTCAAGGAAAAGTAACGATTCCTATGGCATCCTTAAATGATAATCCGGTAAATATGCCATTAGTGTGCCCTCCCCGAGTTAGATCTTCTGAGAATATGTTATAGTGCTTTGGAAAGTTAGATATATTGAAGAAAACTCTATATTTTTTCAGAATGAAAATGTTAGATGGTGGCCAATATACCATGGCGAACAAGACTGTGTTGGCAAGATCCAGCTCTTTATTGGTAGCACGACCACATCCGATGAAGACTATCACATAAAGGTCTGTTTTTTCTCCAACAATCATCAGATTATCTATGTTTTAATTTGTGAGATAATTTCTCACTTAGGTTTTTCATTTTTGTCTGCTACAGAGTGCACCTGTTGTGGAGACACTAGCATACGATTTGCTACTAGAAGCTGCTACGCGTGCCCAAAAGTTTAATCCTCAAAACTTAGGACTGAATGAATCTTGGAAATGGCTGTTAAGCGAATTTGCAGATTATTATGGAGTTTCCGATTCATATACCAAGTTGAGGTACTCATAAAAATATTTGGTTACTACTGCCTTGTATCTATTATCTCAAGGTCTATTATCTCAAATATATTGCACCGAATAATGCAGATATCTCTCACATGTAATGACTGTGGCAACTCCAACAAAAAATTGCCTACTACTTGTGCATGAGTTACTTTTGCCCATCATGAGGGCTCGAAGTGATAGGAGTTTGACAAGACAGGAGGTAATTCCCTTTCTTTTTTTCTTTTTTTTCTTTTTTAGCAAATCAAAATATCTGATGTCATCTCATCAAAATCAGTGTCTTGTCGAGTTGTCACACTTTAGTCTGAAATCTGTTTATGGGATTATCATCATGACTCCATGGGGCTACTTATTGACGACATGTTCTACTCTTGCAGAAAAGTATCTTGATGGATTGTGAAACAGAGATAGAAAAACTCTTGGCAAATGTTTTCGAGAACTACAAGTCCCTAGATGAAAACTGCCCTTCAGGGTTGGCAGACATAGATGGTCCGGTGCAAGAGTCGGCTTCAACAGCACTTTCTCCAGCTGTACAGGTTTTTAGCCTCCTTCATGATATATTGTCCCTTGAAGCACAAGAAATTTTGAAGAATTACCTTCAGGTAGGCCACTTTTGGTTTTCTTGATTTTGTAATATATCAAGACTATGATGTTCACGATTTTCTTGATGGAAAACCTACTGCAGACGGCAGCAAAAAAGAGGTGTCGGAAGCACATGGTTGAAACCGATGAGTATGTTTCCTGCAGCTCTGAAGGTTTTCTTTTAGATTCCGTCACAATCTCTACTGCCTACCTGAAAATGAAGAATCTTTGTCTAAACATAAGCAACGAAATAGAGACTGATATAAAGATCACCAATGAACATGTACTCCCAAGGTAAAAAGATCCAATTCAATCACAAAAGTTACATCATTTATCTGGTTATCATTTTAGATCATTTCCGAGTCTTGATATTGATTAAGTCTTATTTTCTCATACCTTGTTTATCATTTAAGCTCAATCGACCTATCAAATATAGCTTCCGCAGTATACAGCACTCAGCTATGTAACCGGCTCAGGGCATTTCTGTCAGCAGTACCACCATCCTGCCCATTGCCTCATGTCAATGAGCTTCTTATAGCAGTTTCCGATTTTGAAAGAAACCTACATTCGTGGGGCATCAGGTTTGACATTAGCTTTTTGGAATCAAAATATGGTGGTTACTCGTTGATTCTCTTTAACCGTTTGTTTTATGTTTATTCAGTCCAGTACAGGGTGGTGTAGACTCTAGGGGGTTATTCCACAACTACATAATGGTTTGGATACATGATATGGAACTTAGGCTACTTGACCGATGCAGAGCGGAAAAGGTATCATCCTGATCATTTTTCGGTTGATCCTTCAAATAACAAAGCCTATCATTTGACTGTAATAAGCCTCGGATGGCTTTTTTTGTCAGGTTCCCTGGTCTGGTGTAATAACAAACCACTCAACATCACCGTTTGCTGAGGACATGTATGAGAGAATAAAAGATTCTCTTGTAGAATATGAAGTGGTGATTAGTCGATGGCCACAATACACATTGATTTTGGAAAATGTAAGCTACTAACTTATACGAGTGATGTTAAGTTTTCAGCTTACTGTATTAATTATCAAGACTAACTTGGGTTCACTCTTTTTTGTCATGTACTCTTTTGGAAGACTACTTCCACTGTAGAGAGAGCCATTGTTAAATCGCTGGAGAAACAATACAATGACATACTTACTCCTTTAAAAGACAGCATTCCAAAGAGGCTAAATATGCATGTCCAGAAGCTGACAAGAAGGCAATCATCAGCTCTCTACTCTGTTCCAACTCAAGTAAGAGCCACCCACAGACCGTGTTTAATAGAAGTATTTACAATTTTGACTTATTTTGATCTGTGCTTAACATCATCATCTCTTGTTGAATGCAGCTGGGAACTTTCGTCAATACCATAAAGAGAATTCTTGATGTTCTTCATCACAGAGTTGAGGATATCTTGAGACAATGGGCATCGTGTCTTCCTGTCGTTGAAGACAAGAAGATACTCTTTGGGGAGCAAATGAATGTAATCACGGTCTTGCTCAGGACAAAATACAGAAACTACATGCAAGCCGCGGTTGATAAACTTGTTAGCAATGTAAGTTCTACAACTCCTCGTATCTGCTGTATTTCAATCCATGCATGTTCTAACAATCTATGTATGTGGATGTTTCAGACGCAAACAAACAAAAGCACAAGGCTGAAGAGAATCTTAGAGGAGATAAAAGAAAATGAGAGAGAAGTCGAAGTCCGTGAACGTATGAAGATGCTATGCTCACAGATCACTGACTCAATCTCAAATCTGCACGATGTCTTCACAAGTCAGATATTTGTGGCATCGTGCCGCCTTTTCTGGGATAGAATGGCACAGGTGATTCTCATACATCACATATATGTACATACAGACTCTGTCATATAAATGATTCTTTTTGATGCTGAGATCTTTTATGGTTTTGTTCACATCCCAGGTGGTCTTGAAGTTTCTGGAGGGAAGAAAGGAGAATGAAGTAGGATACAAAGGCTCTTACTATGCTCTTGGGGTAAAGAAATTATAAAATTCTGGCACTACACCATAAAACAGACAATGTGTTTTAGGGGGTTGAAATTGACCTGTTATAAAATGTTTTGCAGATAATTGAGGACACGTTTGCATCAGAGATGCAGAGGTTGCAAGGGAACTTGCTACAGGAGAAGGATATGGAGGCTCCTCGTTCGGTGATTGAAGCACGTTCCATTCTCTCTAGAGACACTACCAATCACTCTTCTTACTTCTATGTCTAGTCAGTCCTATATATTTACTCCCAACTTTAACTCTATTCGATTCATTTGTTTTGACATATCGTATATATGTATAAATTTACATTGCAGACCGTAATATACAATGTGTATTCCATTGATCCTAGCTGATATCTTTTTTGACAAACAATGTGTTTTATTAATAAATGAGATGGCCACAACGTAACCAACACTGTGAAGTTAACAAAAAGAAGATACAAAAAACACTGTGTAGTCCATTTTCGTATTGACAACCTTCGCAGTCTCTTGAAAATCTGCAAAAGTTTGTTTTATTTCTCACACAAAAAGTGAAAACATTAACGATTACCAAGTCGACAATAAAATTAGAATAAATTGAATTTACCACTCTTTTTTTTTTCTCCAACGCTAATGGAGTGCAAAGGCACGGAGACAAAAAAACATCTTCCTCAGTACGCTTCTCGTCTTCAACACTTATTAAAACTGAGAATACACTGTTCACTGGACGATTTCAAAGTTCACAGGCGAAAAGAGCCGAGACTGTTGAGAAACTGTAGAAGCAGTAGAGTATCAACATGAGAACGAAGTCGTTTCTGATTAGGTCTTCGCGCAAGTCTCTCGATCCCTACCCATCCCCTGCATCGCTCCCGGTAACGCTATTTCTTCCTTCGTTTCTCGGAATTATCTCCTTTAGAATCGAAAAATTAGAGGTTATGATTTCCTGATACAGCGACGTGACTGATTTTGACTCGTCTGGTACAATCTAAGCTTGGTAGTTTCGTTAGCTCTACCGGTTGCTGAAGTTAAACTGAGAAAGCGTATGATTCGCGAATTTTTGCTATTTGATGAATTCGAACGATTTGGTTCATTATGGTTGAATAATTCTTCCTTGTTGATCTCTCCTGCTAGCTTCAGTTGCACTTGTTTGTGAACTTGTAGTTTTTGATGTAATTTGTTTAGTTGTAGAGCTTGAATTTAGAGTTTTAGTGTGAACTTAAGTTGATGTATTATGCACTATTTTTTCATAATTTCCTCTCACAGGATGAAGCTAATGAAATATTTGGCTCTGGACTGAGCACCACACACTGTGATCCGCAGTGTGATAGTGGTGATGCCGATGTTGAGATTGTTCCTGATACTTTCGATGAAAGAGATGTACCACACAAGAAGCGGCATTGTCTTGGGAAAAGTGAGACTGATAGAGGAGGATCAGAGACGCTGAACTTCGATGCTTGTATAGTATGTGACATCTCAGACAAGTGGGTGTCCCGTTGTTGTGGGATTGACTGTATTCTTTCATTTCACGGGGAATGTTTGAATGCTGAGATGGGTAGTAGTGATGATCCTGCAAATTCATATTGCCCGTATTGCTGGTTCAAGTTTCTAGTTTCGAAACAAAAAGCAATGAGAGAGAAGGCGGTTGGGGCGGAAAAGGAAGTCTCCAAGTATCTAGGTAAAGAAAAGCAGAGATGAGGCAAAGGAGAATGTTCCCAAACATGAAGAGGATACATCATACAACCTTTTACGGTGGTGAAACTGGTAACCAGGATCATTCAATAGACAGTACAGACGTTGTAAGTGATGAAGAGTTACAAGGAGAGAAGGATGACTGTTCATCAAAAGAGGAACAAGTGCAAGTTGAGATGGATTCTGATAAATCAAGTGGTGAGAAGATACAATTTACTGAGGAAAGCGATCAACCAGAAGAGGATAAAGGGAAGTTAGAAGCGCATACTGATAAGTCAGGAGACATGAAAGAAGATAGAGTGATAGACGAGGTTGAAGCATCAGGAGGCGAAGAGAGAGTAGATACAGAAAAGTTTCAAGACGCCGAGGATGACAAGGATGATGAAACCGCGAAAGGTCAAGACCAGATCCAGCAGAATGAGAAGCGAACAAGAAGAAGACGGTTAATATTGAAAGATATTGACAGTGAGATCTCATCAAATGAATCAACTAGTGAATGGAATGGGGAAGATGTAACAGAGCAGAGTACTTCATCGGCTCAGATAGTAAACTCCCCTTCAAGGAAGATGAAGAACCAGCAGAGAAAACATAACGGAACAACCAAAGTGGCTAAGCCAAATAGAGTGAGGTTTGTTCCTTTTCATTGAGTTACGTGTACATGAAGAGAGTATTATCTCATTTCCACATTAAATGTAGAGAGTTGCCTCATGGATTTGCAGAAACATTTCGTTCTTCAAGAAAGATCAGAGAAGAAGGCTATTTTGGACGTCCGAAGAAGAAGAAATGTTGAAGGTTTGATAAATACTAACTGTTCTTTTCCTCATGAATAGTATAAAAATTGTTGTTTGACATATGTTGGCTCAGGTGGGAGTGGAGAAATTTGCACCAGAAGCAAAAAAAAACATGCCATGGAAGAAAATACTGGAAATGGGAGAGAAGGTGTTCCACGAAACACGCACTCCATCTGATCTCAAGGACAAATGGAGGAACATGAATGGGAGACATTAGGGCAAAATAAGAACAAGACAGCACTGGTATGTACACCCAACAATTAGTGAATCATATAGGAGTTTTAAGTCAGATAGGTGAAGAAGAGATGTGACTTGAGTTGTCTAGACAAAAGTAGCTCAGTTATTAGTAAGGCATTCTAGTCCTATGTTCTTGAATGACACCTTTTTCCGACAGACTGACGTTTATACAAATGCTAGTGTGCCAGATTTTGAAGAAAGTTAAATTTAGAACCCACCTCTTTCATTATTTGCATATGCTGAGAGGGAATGCTTAATTTGTTAAAGTTGGTTTTCTTTTCTGTTTGTGCCGCTAATCATGGTTCTCGAAAGAATGCGTCTTTTGGCAAAGGCAAGTAAAAAAAGTAATAGATGTAGAGATGGGGCTTAAAAGCCATTACGAGAACTTATTAAATAGGGGTATACATCATCAAAGTATGTCTTTGCCTGTTTTCATAGGTAGAAACTAGAAAGAGATATAAAGAAGGGAGCAATATGTGTGTGGTTTAGATGAGAGTGCCGGTTGGGATTAAGGCGTCCTTGATAACGGTTACAATTCCGCTCTTTATGAAATATCCTTCAGTTTCTCTTGCTGCCTCTTGCACATTGTCGCTGTTTATGATCTGTGTCAAGTTCAGACCAAACCCTTTTTAGGACTAGATCAAGTGTGAACAAAGTAGATACGTTTAAAGGAGCTTGGAAAGTGTGTTCCTGTTATAAAACCTAACCTTGACATTGTCACCGATACGTGCGTTTTTGTCGATGATGGCTCTTTTGATGTGCGAGCTTTTCCCAATACCTATGGGTACACTCCCTTTCGCCGTTAGGAGGCTCTTTTCCGAAGCAGTCTAGGCAAAACACAATAATAGAAGAAGCTATAGTCATAAAAACGTTGATGATATTATCATAATAGTTTATCAAGTGGGTTGCAAGACAGATGCGGCTTCTGTATTTACCTCGTAATAGTCAGCTCCCATTAATAACGAATCTTCGATAATAGCACCTTCTGATATGCAGGAACGGAGTCCAACCACGGAGTGATGAATTTTGCAGTTCTGCATCCGAGATTCATAAGATTTTGGTGATTCAGTGTGTTGTAAAGCATGTCGAAGAGGAGCTATTTGATTTTACCTTGATAACGCATCCCTCTCCGATGACACTGTCCGTGACATCAGCATCAAGCATCTTAGACGGTGGTAAATAACGTGGCTGCGTGTAGATCGGAGCGGAGCGATCATAGAAACTGCATCAAGAATTCAGAAAAGTTAAGATATCATTCAGATACAATAGAGTGTGTATAGTAACGTGGTTGCTCTACCTAAAATCAGGAACTGGTTTTTTGGTTATTCCAAGATTTGCGTTATAGAATGCTTCAATAGTACCGATGTCTTCCCAGTAGCCATCATATAGGTAAGCTTGCACCTGCAAAACGTCATCAAAGTTAGCTGGTTTTTGCAACTGCATAGCTAAAGCTGTTGAAACGGAGAGCAAACAAAAGGGCAACCTATACTTTGTTTAACAATCAGAATACAAACTACATTGTTAAAAACATGAATATCAGAGTTAAGTAGATGTTTGAGGATACATATAAATGAGTAATAGACAAAGCACTCACCCTCAGTCCAAGGGAAGTGGCACCAGGAATGACTTCGCTTCCAAAGTCATTAGCTCCAGGAAACGTGTTCCGCAGTAATTCTAGCATTACATCTTTGCTAACAACATAAATACCCATACTAGCAATATAAGGCATTTCCTTGGCTCTCTTATCATCAAGACCTAGAATTGTTGTATCAACCTATAAGCCAGAAAATCAAAAGTTTATCAATAAGGTGGTTGCAAGCCTTTAATAATGATGAACCAGAGAACTAGCGTTAGCTTTTGTGTTTTTTTTAACCTTCATGGCCTTTAGTTGCTCCCCCTTTGGCTTTTCAGCAAACTCAACTATGCGTCCTTCCTCATCAATCTTCATCAGCCCAAAAGCAGTGGCTCGTTCCTCGTCCATTGGTAGTGCAGCTACTGTGATATCAGCATCAGTCTCCCTGTGTGCTTGAATGAACTTCTCATAGTCCATTCGATACAAATGATCCCCAGCAAGAATCAGATACTCAAGAACATTGTGCTCCTCGAACAACCACAAGTATTGCCTCACCGCGTCAGCTGTCCCCTGCACAGGAACATATTTAAAAGGTTTCACAACATCAGTAACACAACGGTCCTGCAGTGGTTACCTGGAACCAGTTGGGGTTTTCCGGACTTTGTTGAGCGGCAAGGACTTCAACAAAACCTTCATTCTTGTAACCTCCCATGTTAGTCGCATAAGCTCGTGAAAGATGGCGATTTAGAGACGCGGAATTGAACTGTGTAAGGACATAGATTTTGTTTATGTTGCTGTTGAGACAGTTGCTCACAGGAATATCAATGAGCCTATAGTTTGCACCAAGAGGAACAGCTGGTTTCGCTCGCTTTTTGGTAAGAGGATAGAGACGAGTCCCAGCACCACCTCCTAAGATGATCCCCAACACACTCTGCCATGTAAACAATACACCATTACAAATATTTAGCTAGTTTCTAAGGTTTTATTCAAGTGACAAGATCATATCGATTACGCATTATGTGGATAATCACACTCAAAACCACTAATTCCTGTTATAGTAGCATTCCTCAAAGCTTGAACAGTGTTCTTCCTCACTCAAGCAGATATAAGACAATCAGATCAGGAATACGAGTAAAGCGATACTCACCCTGCTCGCATCAGGATCGAGACAAGTCTGCGAATTCTGAGAATCGGAGACCGCCTTAGGAGACACGATCATCGGATTCCTCACTCGGCCACGAGCAACGGATTCGCGACGACGAGACACGGTGGCTCTGAGAGAAAGCTTCTCGTCGGATAAACCTACAGAAGACGAGAAAGAAAGAGTCCTCGCCGGAACCGCCTCCGTGACTATCCGGGTGGAATCGGAACACGAAGCAGCAGGTACCTTTAGAGCTCCGATTGCAGCCATAGACGCCATTATAGTCTCTCTCTCTCTCTATCTATCTGAGTTTCTGCGGATTGATTTCGCTTACGATCAAATCTCACTATTAGCTACAGGATCAAAGGCTAAATAGCAGAATTGGAGTGGGAGTTTTGGACTCTGCTCTGTCTTGATATTGTGGGAAAGTAGAAAGATGTAATTATTTATTTCTTTTTTTTAGTTTGCGATGGGGTCTCGGGAACACCGTTAGCTTTTTCGGCTAATTCCTTAACTTGATGTTACGTTAAAGCCCCTTTAATGGGCGTTACGTTCTTTTTTGGCGGGTCAAGACAACAAGGGTGCTTCGGGATTTGTTTTATACAGTATATTCCCAGTTTTCAAAACTCCAAAGAAGGGAAAGACGCAATTATTTGAGAGCAGGAGGCAGAACATGATTGGTTGGGAAATATGAATTCGATTGATAGGTTCAAATAAGACGGACGGTGTGGAATCAGTGTACTATTAGGCTATTAGCAAATGGTTATTATTGGTTAAGCTTCAATGGTTTGGAGCCTGGAGGCTAGAGATTATAAGTTGGTTAAGAAGAAATTAGCTTCACGTAAACTTTTTTAAATCATCTTTTGAGAATAAATCAAAAAACAAAAAATTGGGCTCGAATACAAAATACTTACGGAAGTCCTGGAGAATTTTGCAGATACCCTTGAACCAAGTGTAAACGAACGAAACATATTCAAACTAGAGCGTAACGGGCCTTAGCAGACAATGTGGGCTAATCTTGGGTCGGGTTCCTCACTCACCCGCCAATCAATCAGTTGGAGAAACCATTGAGAGAGCACTGAGCAAAGCTTTAGACGGGTTTTAGCTTCTGCTTCTTTGCTTCTTTCTCCCCCAAACTCCGAAAAAAATGAAGCTCGTCAGGTAATTTTCTTCTCCTGTTATGAAATTCATTCCATTCTTTGAACCTGACCTTGCTTTGTTTTGGACGGATTAGGTTTTTGATGAAGCTGAACAACGAAACTGTATCGATCGAGCTGAAGAACGGTACTGTTGTCCATGGCACCATCACTGGTACGCTTAGGCTCTATTTTCCTTTTCGATTCGCCGTTTATAGGTCTTTTGATACTGCGATTCGTTTCGCTTTTGGTTCAATTCTTAGTTAAACTACGTTATTCGCAATCCAATGGCCTAGTTATGTGTAAAGTTCCATAGTTTAAGAGATTAAGAAGAGTATTGTTTTGATGTTCCCTGCAGGTGTTGATGTGAGCATGAATACGCACCTGAAGACTGTTAAAATGACTCTGAAGGGGAAGAACCCTGTGACTCTCGATCATCTAAGCTTGAGGGGTAACAATATCCGCTACTACATTCTTCCCGATAGCTTGAACCTTGAGACTTTACTTGTAGAGGACACTCCAAGGGTTAAGCCCAAGAAGGCTGCTGCTACTGGTAATAACTTTTACACATCTGATTGATTTTTTTGTTTCTTCTTCTTCATTCATTCATCTTGATCTGCTTTTCTCTTATGGCCTTTACCAGGGAAGTCTGTTGGACGTGGCCGAGGACGCGGTCGTGGACGTGGTCGTGGAAGAGGTCGTTAGATGTATTTTCTTTTTGCATATAACCTTTGCTGGCTACTACTTATCTACTGGGAAAAAAAAAGTTAAAGGTCAGTGATATTGTTTTGTAGAAGAAAAAGAACCCTTGCTTTGTCCTTATTAGGAGAATTTACCAAGTTATGCTTCTAACAATTTATGCAATGAAAGAAACACTTTGTTGGCCAAATGCTATGATGTTACTAGGCAATGCATAAAGAGTTTCATGTTATAAGAGCATGTAGGTGTAGCAGTAATTTGATTTGGCCTCGGAGTTTTATTCATGTGACAAAATACTCAACTTATTGATTCTTTAGTCTTTACATTGGCCATCAATGGTCACAAACTGTGCTCTCTTCTTCATCAATCTTCCTCTGCAAACACATTTCACATGATTGTGCAATTGGGTTCGTGATTGTAAACAGGTTCCCCTATATAACTGTGGGGATGGCTCGGATAAGGAAAAGAGGAAGGCACACCGTATCCCTGAGGCCATGGATAACTCGGCATGTCTTTTTTCTCCGGAGGTTTCTTATCATCTGGCTTCTTGTCTCCATCTTTCTTATCACCATCCTTTTTGTCACCTTCTTTCTTATCACTATCTTTCTTGTCACCTTCTTTCTTCTCACCTTCTTTCTTCTCACCGTCTTTTTTCCCTGCATCCTTTTTGTCCCCTTCCTTCTTCTCATCTGGTTTCTTCTTCTCGTCTGGTTTCTTTGGAGGTTCGACTTTTCTTACGCTTACAAGCTCTGCAAATGCTACTTTCTTCCTGAGTTGTCTGGTGAGGGCGATCATATCAACTTCATCGCCGGTTACCTCTATCTGGTTCCTGTGATCGCCTTTTATTTCCACTGCTGTCACGCCTAGAAACCATTGCATAAATCGTTAGGATCCAACATAGGCTGGTAATCGTTTTGTGAGAAGGTCTTCTTACCTTTAAACTGAACTGCTTTTGTCATTGCTTTTGCTCGAGTTTTATCATCAGTCATAGTCACTCTTATCAGGATCTTTTGCTGCATTTGAAATGATAATCTTATAACGTCAGTCAAAGAAACCATATAAACATACATACACACATATTGCTTGTTGTTGAGTACATATATATACTTGCCTTCATCTTCTTCTTTGCTTGAGAAATTGCTCTGAATGTTTTCCCTTGAATTTCTGGGTCTGGTGGAGAATACAAGTCTTAAGATGTGTTTTCTATGGTGTATTTTCGTCTGATCAATGAGTTGTTGTCGATAGTTAGGATTTCGTTTTCAATTCGTTATTAACAAAAGCATATAAAACCTGTAGTCTTCTTTCTTTTTGTTTCTTTAGAGCTAATTGGTTATTCGTAAAAGCCTATACACGATTCTTTGTATAAAGTATTTTAGATTTTTCTACTTTGTTAACTGGAGACGAAGGAACAAGGAAGGGGATCCATAGATTTTGTGAGAGATTTTAGAATACAATTCTTTGTTAATCGGATCCATGGATTTTGTAAAAGCTAATTTGAAGATCCTTGGGTTGTAATTTTAAATCTTTTATTGTTGAGAAAAACAATTGCATCTAAAGATTGATTTGAAAAAAATTTGATTTATAAAAAAATGTACAACATGTTCGGTAAAAGTAAAAGATAGTTTAGAAATAGTAGAACTTTTTATAACTCTTATCAACACAACCTCGAGAAGAAGAAAAAAATGAGAACCTCTTAGCAACACACTCATTGTTTTCTCAAAGAAAGAATATCTATTCAATTTTGTTGAACTTGATAAAATAATAAAACATCTGCCAAAGATGTAGCATACGAGAAAATTAAATAAAATACTCTTCTCTTGAAATAGAAAACATTATCTTCTGTAAATATATATGAGAAGATTATCTTTCTAAATGTAGACAAAATTGTGGGGCATGTTTATTGCTTTCAACTTGCTTCCCTCTATATTCATCTAACTAATAAAATAAATAAACGACAGAAAAATAGTATAGTAAGCAATTAATTATTGGACATTTGACTTGCATTGCGTAAGCTCTTAACCTTCAAAGTTGCCAGTTGGAACCAAGTTTCCGATTTTTATAAGTTTTCAAGTTTCGATTATAGAACATGTCATGACAAGTGACTTAATTTAAGCTATCACCATGTTATCAATCGTCGCAAATGGAAGTGTCTCACAAATTTGTGACGAATCTATAGGGAAGGGAATATGAAGCTTTTATACACATCACAAGTTATGATGGATTTGTGACTTCAAATTACGCCATAAATTGCGACTCTGATGGGTTGTAATTTTTTAGTTTATGTATATGTTTTGATCGGCGGTACGACTTTCAAAGATGGTGGTCAGCTTTTGTGACGACGATTAATGGTATTGTGTATGAATAATTTATCAACGAATGATATACGACAATACAACGTAAAAAAAAAACATGTTCACACGAACCAAGATTATAGTAAAACAGAGACCAAACAAATTAGTCAGACAAAAGAAACAAGAGAAATTTAGTCAAAGAATATGTAATAAAAGATAAAACAAAAAGATGATTGATTATAAATTATTTCAATAGCTATTATCGAAAATGATTATAAATTAAAAATATATATTTATATAGTTCGAGCTACTATGAAATTTGGTTCTAATTCGGATTGAAGAATTGCGGTTTGATTCGATTTAATGCCATACTCCTAAAACCGTGGAAGTTTTGAGAAGCTAAATAAGGGAATCATTTATTGGATACATAAGGGTATGTTTACACACGTTATTTGAACTTCACGAAGCCATTTTTATCAATTTTGCCAATATTAAGATGTCAAATATAGACTCCTTCTTTATCGTTGTTCCATCAAATAACCTCTTCCGTTCCCTCTCTCCTTTGCTCTTTCTCTTTGCCAAAACGCAAAAGATCTCTCTCTATCTATGTCCAACTGAATCAAACAACAAACTGTATCTTTTGTCAATCTAATAATCCTATGGAAAAAGCATCAACGAGCTTAGCCTAAGCCATTTTTTCCGATAGAAAACATTTTGGCCAAATTCTTACGCTAGAATACATAATTGGTGGAGAATTTTTGCTATCGTTGAGCAAAAGTATTTGTCATTTGATTTTTTTCTTAGAAGAGAATATTAGGCGGTATTGATTATTCTCTAATAAAGGATATGTTATCTTTTCGAATCCCATCAATCGGGAGCCAACCCACGGCATTTGCAGCTAAAATAACAGACAACACAAAGACCGTGGCACAACTTAAATCCGCTGCGACCCCAACGCCTCATAGCACAGTCACGTGCGGTTACCAAGCTCACGTGGCAGGTTTCTTCCGAAACGTCACCGTTTTATGGTCCAAGAATCTCATGAACCATTCCCTCACCGTCATGGTCTCGAGTTTAGACAACGACATGAACTATTGTTGCAAGATCGATCTCGTGAAGCCATGGCAGTTCTGGAGCAAAAGAGGCTCAAAGTCATTCGACGTCGAGGGTAACTTTGTGGAGGTCTTTTGGGATCTCCGGTCGGCTAAACTGTCTGGAAACGGTAGCCCCGAGCCGGTGTCAGACTATTACGTGGCGGTGGTTTCAGACGAAGAGGTTGTTCTGTTGCTTGGAGACCTAAAGCAGAAAGCTTACAAGCGGACAAAGTCAAGACCCGCGTTGGTGGAAGCGTTCATATATTTCAAGAAAGAGAGCATTTTTGGCAAGAAGACGTTTTCGACTAGAGCAAGATTCGACGAGCAGAGAAAAGATCATGAAGTGGTGGTGGAGAGCTCAAACGGTGGAGTGTCGACGAGGGAGGAAAAAGATCCTGAGATGTGGATAAGCGTGGACGGGATCGTTGTTGTGCACGTGAAGAATCTGCAGTGGAAGTTTAGAGGGAATCAAATGGTGTTGGTTGATAGAACTCCGGTGATGGTTTACTACGATGTGCATGATTGGTTGTTTGGAAGTTCAGAGTCGACGGCGAGCTCAGGGCTGTTTGTGTTTAAGCCTGTGGCGGTTGGAGCTATGGTGGATGATGGATTTAGCGATGCAGAGGAAGGAGACAGTAATGGAGGAGGGAGTAGCCCGTTGAGTCGGTATAATTCGGCTTCGAGTGGTTATGGACCATTGCATGACTTTTGTTTGTTTCTTTATGCTTGGAAGCTTGAGTGAGAAAAATATATTAATACCATAGCAATTTCTTAGTGCTTTCTAATTTGAATCTATCTTCTGATTAGTTATTTGGTGACCATGATAGATGTTGCATGTGTCGAAAACCGGACTAATCTTCAAGGTTGGTAGAGAGTTGGATATATGTGTCAGATGTACAAAAGCCAAGAGGAATCACAACGATGATTATTTTTAGTTTTTTTTTCAGTTTAGAGCATATATATACACTTCGTTATCTTATGTCATTAAGTACAAAGATTTGAACTGAACTGTAATTGCATTAACATGATGTAAGTTGAAAGTGAATCCTTCAAATGTAGCTCAGTCAGAAAACAAATTAAATCCTTTAAAACGTCACAGTTTGAAAACTTTGGCATATCTGATTTTGTTGTCAGATAACTTACTGTGACAACTAATCAAGGCCCAGCCGGTAGATAGCAACTAATCGATGGCTAAGGAGTTAGGACCATTGGATATAAGGAAGCCTTCTAAAGATATATAATCTTCCTCTGATCCTCTCTAGTGGAATGGCATTGCAGTAACAATTTTTTTTTCCATTGGACATGAGATTGACCTTTTCCAAATGTTTTGTCACATTTTCTTTTAAAATCGTACAAACATAACACCACTACCTTAGTTTTTAATAATTGCACAAATTCAATAACAAAATGATTCAAAATCCATTAAAATAAAATCTAAAACTTAAAGTGGCAAGAGGTAACCAAAACATAGTACTTTAATTTAGTTTGTAATTAATTTTGAGTGTCTTCACACAATTTTTTTTTGTTATTTTATAGAATTTTAAATTTGGTGTACTAGGTTTGGGACAAAAAAACTAAATGTTCTGTTATTTTAATATTTGCTAATATAAAATAACTTTTTAATATATGTAGAAAATTATAAAAGAGTGAATTTAATGAATAACAGTTTTGTGAAACATAGAAAGTAGTAACAAAGTAGCTTTGTTAGTGGGATGACTAACAATCCAAAAATTGAAGGGTTTATTGTTATTTTTGGAATGATTCAGCGGGTTAGAAGTTTGTTATATAAAAACCAAAAATCGAAGGTTTTAGTTAAATCTAGGAACATGAAATTTGAATGTTTTTCTTTTTCTGGACTCGAAAAATATCAAACTAACTAGTATTACGAATTCATAAATGAGAGTACACATGCGTCGACAAAAAAAAAAATGACTACACATGCACAATAAATAATCTATTGGTAAAAAGGGAAGGACCGAAAGAGCATGACAATTATTTAAAAATTGGATACCGACTGTGTGTCAGTGTTGCAGATATATTAAAAAAAAAACTTTTTGTGTAGACGTGTATTTAACTTGCCCGATATTTTATTTTGGTCTTCAGTTCCCTTTTTTTTCCACTATCAAAAATAAAACAAAATATCTCCTCTTTTAGGCAAAAAGATATTTGTTCATGTGTGTGTGTGTGCGAGAAACAAAACAGAGAGATATTTTGGTTTTGTAAGGTCAAAGCAAACACTGCGTTGTGTGATTAGTTGATTACGCTTTGGAATTCCATAAAGAGCACTAAAGGTTCACGTACGTGTACCTACGACATCGCAAGTATAGCTTTTTAGTACATGCCAGCGCGTGGCACAACACTCCTAAAATATCTGTGGGGTCCCTGAGAAATGAGACTTTTTGCACTTTTCCCCCAAATTTTTCTAGAATTTATAAGCTTATGTCACATGCCTACATGTCCCTTTGAGGACAACCCACCCATTGTCTATCTCTTCACCCTTTTTCACACGAAAGAAGGCAGAACAGAAATCTCTTCTCAAGCTTCTTCATTTTGAAAACATTGTTGTTTCTGCTTCAGAAGATACTCGACGATCTCTATTATACGTAAGCTCTTTTATCTTAAAATCCTTGTGTTCTTACTTGAGTGAGGCTTCATCGATTTCTCAATCCTTTTGGCTGATCCCGAAATGGATCTATGTTGCCCCTTCTTTCTGATTCTCTCTAATATGTGATTTCTATATTGATTGGTTGCAAAATTGAGTTTTTTCTTCATTATCAGAATATCTATCACTGCGTTGATCTGAAATTTGAAGCTTGAGCTAGTCTTCTGTGATTTTTTTGTTGCTCTGTTCTCTCGTTTGATTTGTTTTGCTCTCTAGCAGGCTCATACATACTTTGTTTGCTTTTGTTCTTCCTGTTTATAGAAAATACAACCTTTCAAAAAGAAATGTCCAAAAGATTGGATCTTTCTTCTACTTCTGGACTTGCTTATGATACCAATTTTGCAGCTTTTCTCCTCTAATATCAAGACCATATCTAACTCTCTAACAGTGAGGTTTTTAATTCTTGGTCAGTGAAAGGAGCTTGCTTTCTCCAGCCAGTGTGACGGTTGAGCCAAACATCGGTTTGGCTTCAGTTGAAAAATGGGTTACATGTGTGACTTCTGTGGTGAACAAAGATCAATGGTGTATTGCCGGTCTGATGCAGCGTGTTTGTGCCTCTCATGTGACCGTAATGTTCATTCGGCTAATGCTTTATCCAAACGTCATTCACGGACTTTGATATGTGAGCGGTGCAATGCACAGCCAGCATCTGTTCGGTGTACCGATGAGAGGGTCTCTCTATGTCAAAACTGTGATTGGTCAGGCCACAACGGCAATAGCTCACATCATAAAAGGCAAACCATCAATTGTTATTCTGGTTGCCCATCAAGTGACCAACTTGCCTCGATTTGGTCTTTCTGTTTGGATTTGGATTTCTCTTCTGCTCGACAATCTGCGTGTGAGCAAGAAATGGGTTTAATGACAATAGATGAGGCAGGGCCAGGAGAAAAATCAGGCGTAGAAAATATAGATGTAGATCAGCCTGGAACCAGTTCTGCTGCTCAAGGTATGGATCGCTCTAGTGTTCCAGAAAATTCACCATTGGCTAAGGTAATTTACATGAGTTTTCTTCATATTGTGGTAGAATCTTGAAAAGCAACTGTTATCTAAATCTTTCTTTTTATTGTTCTGGTTTGCAGGAGCTTGGAGTATCTGAAGATGACTTCTGTGGCAATCTCATTATGGATGAAGTGGACTTGGCTTTTGAGAAATACGAAGAACTCTTTGGTACAGCCTACAACTCTTCAAAAGATCTCTTCGAACATGGTGGAATTGGAAGTCTTTTCGAGAAACATGAGGTTCTTTCAACGTTCTTCTTCTACCACACTAGTATCACTAGAGAGGAGGATGAATTCTTCTGTGATTCTAAAGCTCTCTGTATTTTTTCTCAATGCAGGGCTCAATCCAAGGAAACGCAATGCAGCAGCCAGCCGGAAGCAATGCTGCATCTGGAGATGGAGATTCGTTCATGAGTTGTAGAACAGAGCCAATAATTTGCTACTCATCAAAGCCAGCTCATTCGAATATATCCTTCTCTGGTGTCACGGGAGAAAGTAATGCTGGAGATTTCCAAGATTGTGGGGCGTCATCGATGCAGCAACTTGCAAAAGAGCCACCACCATGGTGCCCTCCAACGTCACAAGAGATTAAGGCTTCCTCACAAGCAACAACACGTAACAACGCTGTTATGCGTTACAAGGAAAAGAAGAAGGCTCGCAAGTAAGTATAAAGTACCTGGAAATGGAATTTAACTCATCATCAGTGGAGGTTATTATTGCTAATGTTGAACACATTTTGTATAAATAGGTTTGACAAGCGAGTGAGGTATGTCTCTAGGAAAGAAAGAGCTGATGTGAGACGGCGTGTGAAAGGAAGGTTTGTGAAGTCAGGTGAAGCTTATGATTACGATCCGCTGGGCCCAGCAAGAAGCTACTGAGGATGCCACAAACCCAAAACAAAGAAGAACTACAAAGTGGAGATATCAGACGAAGATCCTCAGAAGCTTCATTCTTCATCTACAGACGAAGAACTTCTGGGCAGTTTAGGATCCTCAGAAGCTTCATTCTTGCGTAGAGGGCTCATGCTTCTGCCTTCTTTTGCATAAAGTTGTTATCTTCATCTGTCATTTGCTCTTAACCATATGAGTGACAGTAGAGCTTTTCAACAGATTGACGAGCAGGATCCTTAAAATTTTGTTCTATTGTAGCCAAGGCAAGACCACGAATGTATATTTCTTCATATATTTATATGTAAATTCACGTATGCTTTTCTAATCCGTCAATCACGTGGAAGATTTAGAGTACCTGAGAGGCCATGTTATATTTACTTACTGTATTGGTTAATGATACTAGAAGAATCATAACCCCATTTTCCAAAGCCAACCAGAAGAAATCATAACCTCATTTTCTATAAATATTTTGATATAACATTATCTTGTTTTCAAATTCCTTTTGCACTATCAAAAAACTAAATTCATTCATATTCATCAAACAAAATGCATGGTACAAAAAAAGTTTGCCCGTACTACCCACTACTAGTAGCTCAGTCTTCATAACTTTCATCTCCTGACATTGCGGCAAAATCATCTCCCTCGCTTGTTTCCTGCAGAAATTCAATTTCGAGTTTCAGGCAAAGAGTGTATGTAAGAAAGGTGGTTCCAGAACTATGGATCAGAATGAATGATACCTGTTTTTTGTCCCAGTCCTTAAGCTTTGGGTTTGCTAACATGTAATTATCACGTAGAGGAGCCCAAGCAGGAGCTTCGTCTTCATGAGAATTCGAAGAGTTTTGGGCCTGCACCATCCAACAGAACTCACTAGTATATTACCAAGAGTACACTTATAGCTGATGAAGGTGATTTGTTCTGTTTATACTAACTTGCTTATACGTTTATCAAAAGGTAAAGGGTTTTAAAACACTCAAAATTATCAAGATAAAGCATATTCGAGAGTAACTGAGGGAGATGTAGACAATGCCAAACCTTGGAGTCTGTTTTTGAAGTTTTCCCTAACTCTGAGAAGAATGCTTCTTTTCTTCGCTTTTTTAACACTGATGGATGTTCCAACAGAACCAAAAACCAGAGTTAGAAGGCAAAATATGACAGTAGACACAGAAAGATTCATGCCAAGGCTCAATATCTAAAACCTCTACCTTTAGCGTCTTTTGACCTTGAAGCATTCAAACCCTTCTGAGCATGTTGAGCCTTGTTTACCTGTTTGAGAAAGAAAAAAAGTTTGAATCAGAGGAATCAAACTCAGAGAATAAACAACCGAAAAATGATATAGAAACAAACTTACAGCATTGAAAAGCTTGACCACTGTGATTCCAGGAGTTCATGAAGGAAACTGAGTCAGTATTAAAAGAAAAAACACCAAACAATCCGAAAGAGAGAGTTAACTGAATTCAGCATTGGAGGTACCATACCTCCTTTGGTGGCAACACCTATAAGAATCTTTTCATGGGAATCCAAATAGCTTGCAGGTTTAACATGTCCTTTCTCAGCAACCTTAAGGCATTGTCGCAGTAATTCATCATCAAAAGCACAAATACACAGGAAAAAAGAACGGTGAGGGAATGCAACCAAAAATCATACCAAATGTTTTGCCTTTCTGGCCTGACCCTTGGCCTTCTTTTCAGCTTCCTCTTCAGCTAGCTTCTGAGCTATAAGATGCTTATGTGCTGATAAAACTGGACCCTGTTACACAAACCCAACACTGTTTTTTATACTTTTCTTATCTGAAATTAGGATTAAGGTTTCTAGGGTAGATAGAATGAGAGCTCACCAAGGTATCATCTCCTTTGGTCTTCTTCATGATTGCCTTGAAAGCGGTTCTGAAGGCGTTGCATCCATCAGTGGCAAACCTGGTGATTCCAGATTGAATCTCTCCATGGTCTTCCCCATCGGAATTATCCTCCGGATCCGAGCCTTCTTCATCTTCAATTTCATCGTAATTTGGCCCCATGTTAGCATCAGAGAATATCTTCTCGCGAATAGTTACTTCTGGCGGCTTCGTCGATTCATCTTCGTCGTCTTCATCGGAATTGTAGTCTCGCGCTCTCTTTTGAAAGATCTTTTTGTCCTTCATGGTGAGCTTAAACCTGTCAGATGAAGGAGGTCGTGTCTTTAGCTTCTTCTTCTTCGACTTTCCACCATTCTTTGTGCCGACTCTCCTCTTTCTAGTGCCTCTCTCTGCCACCGCCATGTGACCTTCCTCTCCGGTAGACATTTTTAGTTGATTCTTCGATTTTGACGGCGGCTCTGCGAACTTTCAAGGCAGGAGTTTGGCAGAGGAGAACGGAGAAAAATAGGGTTTTGTATTCCTTTTTAAAAACAATTATTTATTTTCTGGAAATATAATTTAAATATGTTATAAATTTAGAAATGTTAATTTTTTTTCCGCATTTAGAAAAGTTAATTTAAAAATAAGGATTTCAAGTAGAGATCACATAGCCGTCGTGTTGCTCGTCATCGTAGTTATCGTCGCTGATTCACCAAACAAAACGCTCTGTTTTACAGGACTCTCCTTTCTCGTTACTCTCTCTTTCTCTCTCTCTCTGTTCCAGTTATATTGAGAACGAGTCACTTTTTATTGCTCCCTCCATTCTTCGCTCTCTCTCTCTCTGAAATTGAAGAATCAGGTAAACGATCCCTTAGATCTCTCTGCCTTTCTCGTGGATGTTAATTCGCTATCCAAATGATTATATGGATCTGGCTCTTTGATGAGATGGGTCCCTTGTTGGCTTTTACTGCTTTGAAAGTTTAATCTTTCGGCGCCATTTTTGTAGATCATTGATGGCCCTTACAGCAGATTTCGTTAATCCCAGAGGTATTTCTTTATCAAAACTCTTCCCTTCCTGATCTATGTGGCATTTTTCTGGGAAGAATGTTTATACATGAATGTTGGAAACAGATGTTTGCATCGTGGGTGTTGCACGCACTCCAATGGGTGGCTTTCTCGGATCTCTCTCATCTTTACCTGCCACAAAGCTTGGATCCATAGCTATTGCAGGTATGATTCCTTAGAAAAAACAGATCCTTTCTCTGTGTAAGCTTATACTTGATCTGCCTTTGCATTTACTGCCACAGCTGCTCTCAAGAGAGCAAATGTTGACCCGTCTCTCGTCCAAGAAGTTATCTTTGGCAATGTTCTTAGTGCAAATTTGGGTCAGGCTCCTGCTCGTCAGGCTGCTCTAGGTGCAGGAATCCCCAACTCCGTTATCTGTACCACAGTCAATAAGGTTTGTGCATCAGGCATGAAAGGTGAGAACTTGACCATTTGGGCTCTGGCTTTTTTAGAATTTTGACCTTTTTACGATGAGGGAGACAACATTTTCCGGGTTTTTTTTGTGTGGTATCAGCGGTAATGGTTGCTGCTCAAAGTATCCAACTTGGGATCAATGACGTAGTCGTGGCGGGTGGCATGGAAAGCATGTCTAACACACCAAAGTATCTGGCAGAAGCAAGGTAAAATGATGTGGTTATGCAATCATTTGGTCTTTATACTCTTATGCATATCAATTTCTTAGTTTCTTATTCAATCTTTGAAGCAGGAAAGGATCTCGATTCGGTCATGATTCTCTAGTGGATGGAATGCTAAAAGATGGATTATGGGATGTCTATAACGACTGTGGGATGGGAAGTTGTGCAGAATTATGCGCTGAGAAATTTCAGATCACGAGGGAGCAGCAGGTATGTCCTTCAATGTTCTTGAATGAACAACCACGGTGCTTGTTGCGTAGTTGTCTCTTATTATTCGTAGATCTTGCATAGACCCTTTTTGTATAATTTCACTGTCTTATTTCTTGTTCTTGATGCCTTACTCCGAAACTGTGACATGCAATAATTGGTCATTAGGTTTCATTGATTAGTTGGTTTGTGTCCTACTGATGAAAATACAGGATGACTACGCCGTTCAGAGTTTTGAGCGTGGTATTGCTGCCCAAGAAGCTGGCGCCTTCACATGGGAGATCGTCCCGGTTAGTTTGTTTTTGTATCGTTTGTTAATGGGATATACTTGGTGAATACAGTAAGTTTAAATTGGTTATACAGGTTGAAGTTTCTGGAGGAAGGGGTAGGCCGTCAACTATTGTTGACAAGGACGAAGGTCTTGGGAAGGTGATTTATGTACCCTTTTGGTTATACATTATGCTTTCATTCCCTGATATATGTTCTCCAGTGAACATGAACTTGTGATTTATGTGCCCTAAGGTAAACAATAGAGTGTTTTTGCGACTACTTATTGTGAAGTTTTATCCATGTTCATGTATGCCAGATTGCCAGTCATAATTTTCTGTCATTTGATTCCTTTACTGTATCCATAAAAAGGAACTGATAATTAGATAACTCCAATAACTAAATTAGTATGATTTGCTACATGTATGATGCCTCAATATCTCAGTTTGATGCTGCAAAATTGAGGAAACTCCGTCCGAGTTTCAAGGAGAATGGAGGCACTGTAACAGCTGGAAATGCGTCCAGCATAAGGTCCTTTTCTTAACCATATGAAGTGGATCTTGTTTAGGCTTGCAGCTTCTCTTTCTCTTAAGTAAAGTTTGTCTCCCTTTGACAGTGATGGTGCAGCTGCCCTTGTCCTAGTGAGTGGAGAGAAGGCTCTTCAGCTAGGACTTCAAGTATTCGCAAAAATTAAAGGTTATGGTGATGCAGCTCAGGTAAATTACTGATACTATTACTCTCCCTTCGTAAGTACAACATTTTAGATATCGTAGTGTAGTCTCTAAGTGAGACCCCAACCCTGCAGGAACCAGAGTTTTTCACTACTGCCCCTGCTCTCGCAATTCCAAAAGCCATTGCACATGCTGGTTTGGAATCTTCTCAAGTTGATTATTATGAGATCAATGAAGCGTTTGCCGTAAGAAAATCAGTCTTATTCTGCTAAAGAATAGAGAAACATATTGGTGTAATGGCTAATGTTTTTACTGAACTAACTTTATGCGCAGGTTGTAGCACTTGCAAATCAAAAACTACTTGGGATTACTCCGGTTAGTCTTTGACATCATCTGAGCCTTTTAGATCGTCACCTTCTCATCATCTTAACCACCAAGTGGTTTCATTAACATGGGTTTTGTTTTTCTTTGCCTTCACAGGAAAAGGTGAACGTAAATGGAGGAGCTGTCTCCTTAGGACATCCTCTAGGCTGCAGTGGGGCCCGTATTCTAATCACATTGCTCGGGATACTAAGGAAGAGAAACGGCAAGTACGGTGTGGGAGGAGTGTGCAACGGAGGAGGAGGTGCTTCTGCTCTTGTTCTTGAACTCGTTTGATGCATAATGAATCCAGGTAACTCTCATTCTGAGTAGCGTTCATAGATCGAAGACAGGGAATGCGAAAAGAACTGTGTAAAACTCATGATTTCTTCCCACGTGTCTTTTCTTTTTCAGGTTGGTGAAGTAAGTAGACGTATCTATTCTCTCTTCCAACTTCCAAGAGTCGGTAATTGCACTTCAAGTTTCTCAATAAAAGGGAGTGATCAGTTGAGGTTGCAAGTCTTTTTAATTGTTATGAATTCGGCTCTGTTTCTTGCTTGGTAGCAGACAGTTCTAAATTACGAACCCGATTTATCGTAGTAGTTAATGGTTTGTCCCGATGTACTGTTTGGAAATTGATTGAAACGTCAGAACGTACGTTTACGTAAGAAAACGAGTATCATCATGTATTGCTACTAGAAAGATAGGAAGAGAGCGAGTCACTTTGTATAGCATAATAAGCACTCAAAAAATAGAGATATGCTTTGACAATTGTTAGGTAAAATTAATTGCATTAATTTATATGTATGCCAAGCAAAAATAGTTGGACATTTCTGTGAAGGAACATGTCTGCACATTTAAGTGGCACTTAAAGAAAGAAGGAGACTTAGATGGAGAAACAATGAAGCTTTTCTCTATACAAAAAGTTTATACTTTATATACTCGAAACTCACTCTGAGACGTCTCTTCCAAAAAGTGCGCTGATTCCCTTCCCAGGATCGCTTTGTTTAACCAGAGATTCACCTACTAAAACCTGCAACAGAAAAAAGAAAAAAAAAATCACAAGGTGAACCATTAGCACTTTGAGCAATGCATCTTGAATTATAAAGTTTGTGAAAGCTTACTGCTTTGACGCCGGCTTCTTGTACAAATGCGATGTCTTCAGGAGTGAATAACCCAGATTCTCCAACCACCTACCGTGTAAAGACAAGTTGAGGATAAAAAGAAAACTGTAAGTGAGGGTGTGTGTAAGATTGTAAGGGGAAGAGAAACATGGGATGTGAATACTGCTTACGAGGATGTCTTTTTGACGGATCAGTTCGCCACGCTCTCCTTCGAGTAGCTTCTTTGTGATGCCAATATCTACCTCAAATGTTTCTGCAAAGACAGGGTGATAAAACGGATCAAGAAGGCTTGTACCCCTAGCTTTAAAGGAGATATGTCTAGTTCAAGATTTTACCAAGGTTACGGTTATTGATTCCAATTAGCTCAACTCCTTCGATTGCAAGAACACGATCCATCTCCCTTTCATCGTGAACCTAGTGACAAGTAGTAACCAGGTGAATCAGAGAAACATTGATTGGATTAAGAAGAGGCAGAAGCATTAGTTGAGGCATTTATGAATGGAGTTCCCTGAGTAAACACATACAAACCTCCACAAGTGTAGCCATCCCAAGTATTTTGCAAATCTTAATCATGTATTTTATGTCAAGGTCAGGTAACACGGAAGCGATCAACAAAATTGCGTCTGCGCCCTTGCTTCTACCATAGTATATCTGCCATGCCTCTACGATGAACTCTTTGCATAGCAAAGGGCACTGCATAGTTTTATGACAAGACATCAGAACTCTGCATGTCACAATCGTATGACAAAGTATCCGAACAGAAATATACAGAGAAACCGGAAAAAGAAAAAAGAAAAAAGACAAAGCAATAACCTTAACACCAGCGTCTCTTATAGCTTGCAGGTTCTCAAAGCTTCCCTATATGAATCATGGCAAAGAACACTAAGCTACTACGTACTTGAAGGAATGGTAAACAAAATATACAAATATTTAGTTGGTCGCAAAGAACATCTTCTTCACGGTATTACCTTGAAGTATTTCTCATCTGTCAAAACACTAAGACATGCTGCTCCGCCCTTCTCATAAGCTTGCGCGATTGCAACCTAAGATTTTTCAAAAGTAATTCTTTCAATTCTGAAACTTATTCACGTGACAGAATGGGAGAAAAAGGTGTGAATTCTTACAGGGTCAAAATCCTCTCTCAGGATTCCTCTGCTTGGAGAAGCTTTCTTTACCTCAGCTATTAAACCAGGTAGACCAGTTCTTTGATGAGCAGATCTGAGAGCACCAATGAAGTCTCTAGGAGGAGAAACATTTTCGAGAGCCTTCTTCAGGGTATAGAGAGGCTTTCTCTCCTTCATCTGTAAATGTGGCCAACTTTTGAATCAGAGCAACTCAATGCAAAAATGGAGATGAAAGAAAGAAAGAAATTACCTGAGCAACTTCTTTATCCTTGTGCCATACGATCTCTTCCAAGATGTTGCGAGGCGTGTTCCCCTCGTTCTGGAGCCGGAACTCAAAAGGTCCCACGTAATGCAATGGAGGTCCAGTGGGTGGTCTTCTCCTTATCCTTATACCTTGACTCTCAACTACTTCATTCTGGTACATGTTTACTTCTTGCTCAGTGATCTTGAGATCACTCACTCTACCCTCCAACGCCGAAGAAGCACTATCAGAACCTTCCGGGATTCCAGACTAGCCAAAACACAAAAGCTGCTTAGTTCACACTTCACAGCATAATTACATTAGTTTGTTCAAACATCACACAGATACTCAAGTGCACTAAGTCTTCAAGGTTCAACAAGCAACAAAAACGCTTCAAGGAGAGACTAGAACCTACCATCGATTCTGAGTTGTTTTATCCGAACTCGGAAACACTCCTGAAGCTGAAAGCTATTGATTGAAACCAACTCGAATATAGACTCAGCTTAAGGTTTCAAGAATTTTCGAAATCAGCGAATTCGCACTGAAATTTTGCAAATCGCAGCTATAGAATAAGAATGATATGAATGATGTATTAATGAATGATGTATTTCATATCTGTGCTGAACACATATATATACAAGGAGAGGATGATTACAAATTACAAGATCATGAACAGAGCAAAATACAGGGATTATAATATGAGAAATTACACTGATTGAGATGAGACAAAATCAAGGATTGAAATATCAATGCTCATTCCTTAAATGATTCCAATGCAAAGATAGAAGAATAAAGAAACAAGAAAAGTGGAATTGGAAGAAAAAGGAAACCTGTTGAGCACGAAGAGGAACACAAGAGGAGGATCTGGCGAGTCTATGGAGGTTAAACGTAGAGAGCCCCCGTTGAACTGCGGAGGAAGGGAAAGGCTGGAGGGAAAGAAGTCCTTCCATTTTCTGAGATTCCTTGGCTGCTCTCGCCGGAAAATGCTTATACGTGGAGCAGAGAGTGGAGGAGAGAGACTTCTGTGCGGCGGATAATCACTTGCAAAGACAAGTCTGGGCCCCACTTCAATGAAATGACGATAATAACCATAAGATATTTGACGAGAAACATAATTGTTGGTTTTGGGCCTCGTGTTGGGTCAAAAGTCGAGACCGATTCAGTAGAAGCCTGAAATTGGCCCATTAAAGTTCGTTGGAACGGACTTCTGTTATGTTAAAAAAAAAGGGCACTGAGAGCTCCCCAACTAAAACCATTATGATACTCATCTATTTAAATCAAGATTCTGTATTCATAATCTGTCTTATTCATAAAGCATGTTCACTTTTGCGGTTATAATTTGTTACTCGTTAAAAAGTTCAAGACCCAACATTTTCGATCATTTGTCTGACCCACTTGAAATATATTGTTGGGAAGCATTTGTGCGAAAAAAAATCTCGTATACTTTTTTTCGATATTTTTTACTAGTTATGTATAAAGGGGAACAACAGAGACATAATTTTCATCGAGCAAGACTTGTTCATGAGTGTATTACTAACATTAGCCATGTGTTATGTGTATATCCTTTAGATCTTTGTTTAGGAAGAGTTTATGCTTATCTTCTAGATCTTAGTTTTTGGTCAAACAACTGTATACCGCAAGACGTTTCTAAATGGTAATATGAATAAAGATAGTCAGAGTGTTTACATATAAATTACAACTTATATTAGTGATTTCTATAGCGAGAGAGTTCTTAATCAAAGCAGAAACATAACGCTGTTATTATTAGCACATACATTTATAACCTAAAACATGTAGAGTAATAAACTTCTTGGCAAAGACTCCAAAAGGAATATGGCACAATTAATCTTGGGAACAGTGATCCCTTAGAGTCGGAGGGAAAAAAGGAGCGAAAATGAACATTTGAGTGGCACATTCCTCATCAATACGCAAAAAGGCATGGCAGCAAGAGGGACCAACATTCCCGATTTGTCCATTTATGATGGATCGGAAAATCTCAGGGACACAGTCGGGAATAGCTTCCAGCGATGACAAACAATCTGCTTCGTCCTGTTCAGGGATAGGTTGTGAAGGCAACGTTTGAGCTGTACCTAACACAGCGATGCATACAATTACTGGAAGAATGAAAAAGAACTTGTTGATCCACATTTTGATCAGAAAAATTTGGAATGAGTTATTGATCAGTTATATCTCTGATGTGAGTATTAATAGTAGTACGTACGTATATAGTCAGTGATTGGATTTATATAAGATGAAAGATATGTGAAAATTGTTAAGTTGCATATTGTGAACTAAGGTAGGCACTCTTGGGATGACCCCAAATAAAAGGTTGATAGGTTGTTTAGTGGTACCTAACTTCCTATTATTTATTTATATATTTCCTTTTTGATAATTTATTACCAGTTCTACTTTTCTTTTTTACGAAGTTTTGATTTTATAAATAAAAAAACAAAACTATTTCAAAATTGTTCTCTTCTAACTATAATTTTTATAATTATAATTAGAAGATGTTGCGAATAAATGTCTTACTTATCGTAGAAAATAGTGTTGGGGATAAATGGTCTTACTTGTCGTATTTTAATTTATTTGTTATTCCAATAATTGTACATTGACAATTTTCTCAAGGAATCGCTGTGACCACGTCACGACAATTATGATCCAAGACTTTCAAATATCCTAAGTTATTATTCTTACAATCAAGAGAAAACAATGTAGTATTCTTTTTGTTCTCTTGTTGATAACCAACGAAAAAACTTAAAAGAGGTTTTCATTTCCAAACTTTTTGGTACTTTATAGATTTAGATTTAAATAAATTGAGATCAAAAGCAACATTGTTCAAATTAAGCACTAAATCAGCATCAAATAGAGGATTGATGGAAATGAGAACGTTATGGGATGATGCCGTTATTCAAAAAATAAAGACAAACTCTAATATACAGATTGTTTATGATTTTTATTAATTAGGGGAGAGGAAGGATGTTGTTGCGATTTTTACAATTTAAATGTTATTCCACACTATCTATTATTATGATTATCTATAATTGAAACACTATTTTCATATTTTGTAATGTTTGTTCAGCACTCAGCAGTAACTGCAAATATTCATTTCATCATTTGTATCATTCAATCCGTTTGATATGCATTGTCCATTCCACGGTGAATATTCGAAGCTTTAGAATTCTTAGATCCTCCCAAGTTAGAGGTCATATATTATTTAAGCATTAAAGAAACAATAATTAATCGATGTCATGAATAAGAGACGAGAGAATCCTTATAGGGAATCGAGAGTTAGATGTTCAAGATTATGGCTTATAAGAAAACGCTAAAAGTGCGAAACTGCAAAATCTGTCCCGAATGTAGCATGTTGCCAAGATTGTTGACCAGATTCCTGTTAACATTGTCCACGTTCATCTCATGAGACATCTCTCCTTTTCCTCTCTTTTTTAATCTTGTACCTTAAAGCTTTTGCTCTCTCTCTGTTTGTTTTCGAAAGGAAAAAAGTCGCATGTGACCCTCACCTCTGATTTCGAAGTGGAGCCATGAAGATAAGGCACGCCACGTGACTCGTGAGTCACCGTAAAGATATCATATCATCTTATTATCAAATACTCAATATGCATATTAATAATTTATACCTCTTATAAGAATTTGCGAAGAAGCAATTACAAAACATGAATGTGCAAGACTTTATTATAGGAAAAAAAGTTTGACTTTCTTTCTCTTCAAAAATTGCTGTCAAATCTTCGTTGGTTCTTATCCAAAACTATGACTACTATACTTAATTTTCCTTTTCTATTCATCTATTTAAATTAATTTTTAGCTGTGAAAGTATTATGTGGAAATTAATTCACCTGAAAAGGAAAAAAAAAACTATGATTATTTCTATTTTTTTATTTCAAAAACAACTATGTCTACGATATTTGACTTTTTGTTTCTTTTTGGCTCAGAATATATGGCAAATATATGTCTATGATAATTATGACAGCTATGATAGGAAATAAATTTTGCTAAATTTAGAAATCAAATATTTCCTTAGTTAATAAGAAACAAATTAGCATGCATTGCTGTATTCCCTTAACCAATAAGAATGCATTGCAGTATGGCACTTGCGTAATCAGATTTTTTTCCTCAAAATGATTCTCGAAACTGTTACAATAAACAAAAAGTAATAGTATTATAGATGGTAACGTATCTCCATGTTTTATTGGCATCAATGGAATGTGTCTTAAGAAATCTTAATTTACTTTGAATTTTAACTCTTAACTTGTGGTGATTGTGATACCACATTTGCCTATAAGTACACGCAACACCAACAACAATAGACACTCACAATTCTTTTACCTTTAATCAACAAAAAAAGAAAAACTTTATTCCCTGAAATCTTTTCTTTGCGTTTAACGAAATTGCCAGTATGAGTCCTGTGGCTGAGAACAAATGGGTTAAGGTAAAAATTCTCCCTTTTTATCAATTTGCTTCTTAATCCTCAAAATGCGATTTGTCTAATCGGAAGGGCCAATGAAATTTTCAATTTTGATTTTGTTGATCAGGTGTCGCAAAAAGGAGCAGGTCCTGGACCGAGAAGCTCACACGCACTCGCCGTCGTGGGGAACAAAGTCTATTGCTTTGGCGGTGAGCTAAAGCCGACGATCCCAATCGACAACGATCTGTACGTTTTCGATCTCGAAACCCAAGAATGGTCCATTGCCCCAGCAACAGGAGACGCTCCTTTCCCCTGTTTCGGAGTCTCAATGGTCCCAATCGGATCCACGATCTACGTCTACGGTGGCCGCGACGACTCTCGGAGATACAACGGCCTCTATTCCTACGAGACTCTCACGAACAAATGGGAATTGCTATCTCCCGTTGAGGAAGGTCTTCCCGGTCGTAGCTACCACTCCATGGCCGGTGATGATCGGAAAGTTTACGTCTTTGGTGGGGTTACTGCCAAAGGCCGCGTGAACACGCTACACGCTTACGATGTGGTTGATCGGAAATGGGTTGAGTATCCGGCGGCTGGTGAAGCGTGTAAAGGGAGAGGAGCACCTGGGCTTGTGGTTGTGCAAGGGAAAGTTTGGGTTTTGTTTGGATTTGACGGCAACGAATTGGGTGATATCCATTGCTTTGATTTGGCTAGTGGGGAATGGACCGCCGTGGAGACGACCGGGGATGTACCTCCGGCGAGAAGCGTGTTTCCGGCGGTTTCTTCCGGGAAATATGTTGTGATATATGGTGGGGAGGAAGAGCCGCATGAGCTGATGCATATGGGAGCTGGGAAGTTATCTGGAGATCTTTACAAGTTTGATACAGAGACATTGGTTTGGGAGAAGATTGTGGATGGGACTGAGGAGGAGAAGAAGCCGAGCCCACGCGGGTGGTGTGCGTTTGCGGCCGTGGTCAAGAATGGTGAGGAAGGCTTGCTTGTTCACGGTGGGAATTCTCCGACCAACGAGCGGCTTGATGATTTGGTGTTTTGGAGTTTCTCGTCTTAATTTCAATCAATAAGTTACTTGGTGTCTTTTCGTTTGTAAACTGCTTAGTGTGCCAGTGTGTGTTAAGGAGGTATGTGGTGATGATATGTAGTTGCTAAGTGTCTCTGGTTAAGGAGGTGTGTGGTGAGAATTTGCTACCTATTCCAAATATTTTATCAAGTTTGGTTGTTTTGGTAATTTAATAAAGATCTTGTTGAAAACTAAAGTGGGCGATAGTAGCAATGCTTAGCTCACATACTATTCTCGAAGTTCATACCTACGAGCTGACTATGAAAAATTTGCCTAGAACTTTCGGTTTTATAATTGGTCACGGAGTGATCACGGACGTCTCTATTAGCCATTACGGCAACGAAAATCTAAGGCTAGATGACTACATATAGCCACGACATCTACAAGTGGTTAGTGGCTTCAAATTAAGAACAAACAGTAGCTATTCCTGATGAAATAGCCAAGAAGATAGACACGATAAAATATTTTACTCTTAGCTACGAACTTGTATATTTTCAAATCGTACCATAACCAAAGACATTCCGTGGAAAGCCCGAACAAGGAAGATGGACTGGCCACGGGCCACGGCTACTATCCCTTGCTAAATAGCAACGGAATAGCCACACACTAGCCACATATTTTAGAAACAGTTTTCCTTTGCCGATACGAAAACAATTTCCTGATTTTTTGCACGGAAAATCCTTAGCTCTAACACATATTTGTTTTGATGTCTACTGAATTTAGTTTCCAGTTATTGCGATTTACACAAGATTCAAGTTGTGCCCCTCATCATAACATCGCAAGTGCAATTCATGTTAAGCTACGATCGCCTCAACCTTGGAAAAAAATGTCTGCCGAATTGTTATTTGGGCTTCTATATAGTTATTTGGTAGTGTTGCTCATAAGAATTGTTAACATAATTGCCAAGAATAAAAAACCTAAATATAACATTACAGCTACTTCTAAATGCTTAAATCTAGTATCAAAGATAATCATTACTAGAGACACTATAAAACGAAGCATACATCGAGACATGCTCATAGACGTTTTGAAGTTTGTTGACCATACGCATTTGTCTGTTAAAGATGTATTGTAATAATGTCTTTGTAGACTTCGACATGTATCTGATCTAAGATTTTGGTTTCATGGAAAGAACAAATACAGATGGGATATAGCTGCTTCATAAGAAAGTTATTTCTACAACGAAAAAAAAGTAAGGACCGAAAAACTTTGAATGATACACCAACCGAAGACCTGATGGCTAATTTGACCTTTGATGCCACCCGTCTTGATATCTCTTATGCTCAAGGGTTGCCCTATAGTACCATACTTCGTTTTCTAGAACAAAAACTGTTACATCATATTAGTTGTGTTCTTCTTATGCTATGTAAAGCAAAGTCTCCACAAAAATGCATTACATAGTAGAAAATGTTGTTCATGCCATAATTCAAAATATGTCACTTAATCCCTGCAATTAAGAACAACAAACTTACTGTTTAGAGCCTTATTATCTTGTGGAGATGCTTTTATAATTGTTGTCTCTGATATATGCTCATCTCTATTTAACTTAATCGTTTACTTAAGTCAATTCTGAACCCATATGGTCATTTTTCAGTACTGAGCCGGTCTCTTGAGTAAAAATGGAAAAGATGACAAGGGTGTATATATATAGTTCGTGGGCTTTTATATTATGAGTGACCAACAATAATCTTAAATGTTTGGTTTTCAACTACACTGTAGTTTTAGCCATGTTAATTCAACAATTGACGTCAGTTTATACGCGAGGGACAAATTAATATCTCATTTATATTGAAACATAAAGAATACAGTACAAATTATAATAAGCATGATTGAAAAAAGCCTGGATATATATGGGGTATGTGTAAGTATATGTGAAGGTGAGATGGGATTTGGACAAATGTGGCAGTGAATGTGATTGTTTGTTTGTTTATCGGAGGGGATGTTTGTGTTCACCATTTTTCTTCTTTGTTTTCTTTATCATTGTACTTAAGCTTTTATCTCATTATCCCTCCTTAAGCTTCATTACTCCTTTAATCATTATCAAATCCTTCTTTATTATCTTTTAGATAATATTGTATTCAGTTACTAATGTACACATGAGTACTTTCAAGTCTATAACGTTATCAGAGATTTGATGGAGGGCCTATGTGCCTTTCTTCTTTTCTTCGCTCCTTTTTTTTATTTACTTCTTGTTTTAGCGTTAGGGTTGACAAATTGTTTGCCTTGAGTTCTGCGCTTTACCTCTCGATCTCAGTGTATTCTTATTATATTTCAATATTGAAAATTTATATCAGAAAGTCCAGCTAGCTGATTTGGAACTAATTATACATTGGATACCAGTTCCTTAAATTGGCATAGTATTCTTTATTTGCTCTTTTTCGTGTGTCAACTGTTGCTTTTTTTTTGGGGTCAATTATATGCTTCTTTTTTGTTCCTTCTAAATTTTAATGTGATCGTAAGTTAATATACTGTATCTATAACCGGTTGTTGATAGTAGATGTTAAAGTGAAAATTGTAAGAAATCTTGTTCAAGTATTTTCATACAAGAAATTAGAATCTTTTATGAAAAGTGGAATTTTAAGTTTTCTCAATTTAATTAGTATTTTGTTAACTTCTTTACAAAGTCTAAGCGGCTTCCATATATATTCGTAGGATGGGGATGACTTATGAGGTTTACAAATACCTACAATGTCTTCTATAGTTTTTTCGTAATCTCGGGTGTTTTCTGTTCATAACCCCCGTCAAAACCAACATTTTTTTTGTTTGTTGCTAACATGAAGATTGTTGTTTAGTAATTTTACAAGTTTTGTCTGGATCCCGACTTTTATCTCAAACGAATCAATCTTGCAAAACGAGGAGAGAGACGTTAGTGTTATTTCTCAAATTAAATAAAATTTGTATTGTATTTCCCCTTTGTCCAGGGAAAAATTTATTAATAAATCTGAGTCAATACGATAATTATATAAGGTTGACCAATTCGATGCCGCACATGTCACGTATTTTACAAAGTACAAACGCTAGTCGTCGAAAGAGTAAGTAAATATTTGAAAGAAGTTAAATGAAAGAGTATCAAAGGTCTCAATTATTTGATATGTTGATATTTCATAATTCTGCTTCTTGTTATGTCATGGATTCAACATTCTCATCATTACGAAACAAGAGTTTGTAATGAGAAAATCAATTATACATAGAATAGATTGTCGACAGACCAAATGTGCTTAACAAACAAAGCTCCTTACTTAGAGGATTACAGCGACCGGACAAATAACATTTCCTCTCTTTCATTTCATTTCATTGTCAACATTTGATATTTATCTTCTTCGATAATTTGTTACAATGAATCCATTTTACATGTCTTTTATGCGTATATTTTCACATTGTAACATATGTGGAGGTTAGGACAGCTGAGTATCAAAACGAATTTTGGATTTTCTATTTTTGGCGAAATTCCAATGCCAAAAAGACAACTACTAAATAGTTGCTTATTGACCAAATGTTTGATAGATCCTTATTCTAGATTTGTTTTTTTTTTTTTTGCTTCACAAACAATTACCTCTTTTTTTTTGCTTATTTTTCATGTCGTCATTCTGTTTATTTCTGTTTGGGTGGCAGTCTTTTCTTCTTCTGTCTTTGCATTTGGATGGTAGTTTACGGCTATTGTTCGTTGAAAATGATACAAATATATGCGTTTCATTTTTTTTATTGAGACAGAGTATGGCGGTTCATCAATATATTCTAGAAATTTGCGGAAATTAAGATTTTGGACATAACGAATGTGGTTAGTGTATATAATGGGCAAAAACTAAAAACACAACTTTAACCCCCCCAAAAAAAACGAATCAAACCAACCAAAAGATTTTTAACTAATGGAAAATTACTCCGACTGCCATAGTAAAATATAATTATTCTCTAAAATAAAAGACGTAAAAATGTCAACTGCACTGCACTGCACTACACCTCCCTTTATAGTATGACCAAAAAACAAAATATTTTCAAAAATATGTTAACTTTTACATACGCGTGTACACATATACTTGCATAAATATACCATGTACATGTAGATAATTTCACAACGGTCCTGAAACAAGAAAGACGATAATGTAAATCATTATTATTTAAAAAAAAAAGAAGAAGAAAGACGATAATGTAAATCATTATTATTATTTTTTTTTTAAAGAAGAAGAAAGAAGAAGACATATGGAAGAACTCAAAAGTAAAAATAAAAGTATTAAAAAACAAGAAGAACGAACAACAATGTCTCTTTTACCTCGAGAAAGAAACCGTAGTAAATATATACACTAAGACACGCATATGTATATATACACATATGTAATGTAAATGTTTAGCTTTTTGATTAAAATAGAAGATTAAAAAAAAATGGGGAAGTTGTGTACATGCGTGTCTTTGTGTATATACAAGTTTTAGATATATAGGTATAGAAAAGGAGACATAATTTTTCTTTTTTATAAACGAAATTGGAAAGAGCATCGGATTTGCAGTTCTCTCTCGTGGATTCTTTCCCTTGGATACTTCCTCACTTAACCTCGATTCCCATTCACAAGTCACGACTCCTTTCTCTATATAGATGTTCACATGCATACAATAGATATATCTTTATCTATAAATATCCGTTTATTACACTCCCAATAATTTACTTAAATTTCGATTTCCATAATCCATTTATAAATATCGATGTATTCAGTATTTGTTAGAAACTACTTCCTCCGTTTGATAAAAGTTGTTACATGGGATTTTATATTTTTTGTTTTATGAATTTTTTTTTATATATTCTCATAACAAAATATTAAATAAAGTCCAACTTTATCTCTATTAAATTGGTATATTGATCTAAAGGAGAAAATTGTTTGATGTATTGATATAAGCTTATTTATCAATTTTTTGATGTGTGAAATGTATCAGAAACAGAAATAAAGATGTAAATGGTGCGAAGCCTTTGCTGTGGCCTGTGAGATGTAAGCTCTAAAACAGACTAGCACCCTATGGGATATAATCTCATAGACAAACACCATAATTTAATGTTCGTATACATTATTGTTATTTGTTTCAAATATTCAATTGTGAGTGATCATGTAGTGGAATGCAGTTTTCATGCAAAATGTAGGATCAAAAATCGATTCAGTAAAATGTCAAAAATAAAACTTCTTGGCTTGAATGGCAATAGTTTTTTTCATGAGTTTTTAGTTTTTGGATTTTAGTTTTTATTTTAGTTTATAATTGTTTGGGTTTTGTTGTGAATTTATTATTTTTTTCAACAAGATTTTATTTTCCTTTAAAAATGGAATTTGAGTGACATTTTGTCTGGCTAATACTCTATATCCTCTAGGAGAAAAGAAAATATGTTAGCTAGTAAATAAGACGTGTTATTTTAAAGGAAAATTTTGAGGACATTCTCGTCCACTCATGAACTGAATATGAGGTGACGTACTTAATTATACGTGGGTACTCTATGATCTAATAGTATCCTAACTATTTTTTTGTTGGTGTGTAATTTTGTTTGTTCAAAAATAGTCAGCGAGAGAGGTTTGACTAACGCTACTGTTCAGAAGGAGTCACGCACCATCCATTTTAAGCGTATAGGAAACAAATAAATTACTCCTAGTTCCAAATCTTTTAGCTTTCTACGTTACCCAATAGTACACACCAATATCCATTTAACCATAAGTTGGTTTTATTTCCACACGTAGTCACATTTAGTAATAGTATGATATTCACAATAATATAGTTAATTTTACATAGTAATAAACCACAAGATTAATTACCAATACATATTGATTAGGTTTGAAGTTTCAGGCCTCCTTCTAGCTCACTAAGACAATCAACTATCACCATTCACTAATATAATAACCAATTATATAATAGATATATATACACAATAACACAAATAAGTCTTGCATATTTCCAAGTGATTTCTCAATTAGTTGATTTTAGAGCGATCAAAATCGAGCACTAGTTGGTCTACATTAAGAAAAAACTTCAAATATCATTTTGAAACTACTTATATTTTCTTATACTGGTTTCACTCTTACCATATATGTCAATTACTATACACGTATTACTGTCCAATTCTGTTCAAACGATATTTGGATGATATATACATATAGTTTTGTATCGCGGTGTTAGGTATAATTCCATTGGTCATACTAGGATACAAACATATGTAAGATTAGTGAAGCAAAGAAGCAAATAGTTATATGTTCTACCAATAGCTTTTAAAACAAAAAGACAACAAGTAATGATATATAGACAAAGGTTTTAAAAGAAACAAGAACCACCCAACCAACATTAATTTTTATTCTTTTACAGATTGAATATAGACATCACACTCCCTCTCTGCTTCTCACTCACACACAGTATCATACATATATATATATATATATATATTTATATGCGCCCGTGTGATCTCAACAGCTGTACAAATTTTCTCTCCCTGAAACATAAACACCTCTCTCTCTCTATCTCTCACACACACACAATCTCTTTCTCTCTCTAATTTTACCATGTCGGAGAAACGAATTGGGATGGTCGAGAAAAGTAACAACAAGAGACAAAGAGTGAAACTTGTTCACGAGTTCTCCATCAACGACCACCACGACGTGCTCGTAGAAATCCTCCGGCGACTAGACGGTCCTTCTCTCTGCTCAGCCGCTTGCGTGTGCCGACTCTGGTCAGCCGTGGCTCGCAACGACTCAATATGGGAAGAGCTCTGTTTCCGACAAGTGTCACCACGACCTTCCCTTTCCCTTCGCTCCGTTGTGTCGGCTCTCGGTGGCTACCGATGTCTCTACTTCCTCTGCATCCGTCCCGTTCTTGCACGACTCCCCAAGATCCTCTGGAGCCGAGACCAGCTTCAGCTTTCGCTCTCCCTTTACTGCGTTCACTACTACGAGCGCCTCTACGTTGGCGCGTGGCTTGGAGACGCGCCACCTTCTTCGCTCATGTTCCTTCGGAAACCTGTCAACGTCGTCTGATGATTCGCCCTTTTTGCCGGAACGGCCATTAATAAATTATTAGTTTCCAAGATTGTATTCTTTATCATATATTATTATTTACTCCGATTTGTTACGGTTACGAAATTTCAATTTCATCAATTTGATTACAGGATTTTTTTATTAATAAACGTGGGATCCTCTCTCTTTTTTCACTCCGGTTTCTTTTCTCCCTAGATACTGCCAACGCGTAGCTGTTTTGTCTCTTCTACTTTTTTTTTTTTTTCTTTCTTTCTTACAGTTGCTTCTAATCTCTTACTTCATTAATTTCACTTTTTGGTTTAATGTGAAAAATATAATAAAGGAGAGTAATCTCCCACATCATTAGTTTCACTTTCTTGGTTTAATGTGAAATAAAGAAAAAAATTATTTAGAGAAATTCTACTCATTGGTTGAACTGAGAATGGAAGAAAAAAAAAATGATGTTCTAATCAACACAAATAAATGAAATTACTATACTAATTTTCGTTTGATGGAATCTTCTGATGTAGATATAGATACTAAAAACTGGATTTAGTTTTTGTAAGATGTCAATTTTTATCAACCATAATTTGGTTTGCTAGAATACCGTCTTATAAACACTTGTTCATCTGATGAGATGATCTCTATAGTTTCCAAACCACCATTGCATCGCTTGAATTTTCAAATTTTCTCTAATACATTGTGACCTGAAACTAGAGTTTTGAGAGTTTCAAAGAAGGTCGGGCATGCATAGGAGTTGCATGCTCTCAAGTGTACATAAAAGACTTTGTTTGGTTGCCCTCAAAACTTTTTAATTTAGCATCAATCTTGAAATTTGAATAGGTGATGTAAATTCTAAAGGACATTAGTAGATATTATTTCACGATCAAACAGCCCAAATGCAGTCATGCCATCATCTTCATCATATATTCTTGAATGTTAAAAACAAAAAAAATTGAATGTCGGTTTATTCAAGTCAGAGAATTGTAAGATCAAAATCTAACCCAATTAATCTTGATTTTCTTTGTACTTCGGTTCAGTTTGGTTGATCCATTTATTTGGTTCTCCCTTGTTCTATTCTGATATGTAATTAGGGTATAACTCGTACGTACTATAAGATTGAGTACCACAAAAACATGAAACAACGAATTGAAGAGTATATTGGCCAACAATTTAGAGTTTAATGATGATGTTGAATGTGAGAAAAAGTGAAGATATTTACATGCATACATATGCATGCTAGAGACTAGAGTCCAACGCTTTAAAGCAAGAAAATTAGTGTCTCAAATAAAAAGTATAGATTGTAATGAGATGAGCTAGGAATGGGAAGAATTGGATATCTTTGTATGTACTTTTGTTGTAGTTATAGATTCGTTAAAAGCGTCAAGCTAGGTGATGGACCACAATAACAAAGGCATTCAATATTTTTTTTTTTTTCAAGTATAGGAGTTGTCTTTGTTAATCCATATCAAAATATACCAAAGGCCCATTCATAAATAACAGCCTGCCTTGATATTGACATTCCCACATCTACATTGGCCCATATAATTCAATAATGGTGCTCTTTTTTTTCTTTTTTCTTTTTTATTCTTCTGTTAAATTAATAAAGCTATGGTGGTCTTATCAGCAGAAGACATACATGCTTGTAACATTTAAGACATTGACTTATTTGCATAACACGACACAACTCTTGATCTTTTCTTTTTCTGCATATAAATATCAACACACAGCTCATAATTCATAAACAACGCAAAATTTCAATGCATTGTATCAAAGATTTACTGAGTTTATCTGGTCAAATATTACTATATACAGGAAAAATGTAAGGGACTTTATAGTATGAAATAAAATACATACGCCTTGTTAGATTTTGAATTTAACCTTCAAAACGTTTGGGTTGTAAGAAAAAAGAAAAAAATTAAGGAAAGTGAAGTCAAAAGTCAAAGGTCACCGGCTTGTTGGGTTACCACTTCACATAAACTGTTTTCGTCAAAGCCCCAAAATTATTCCCTTTCTTTACTTTTTTCCTTAAAACAAAAAAAAAAGGAAATTTATTCTTCGCCTCACATTTTGTCTTTGCTCACTCTCTCCCTTGTTCCGCTCGTTCCTCGACGATAGCTCCCGGCGTCTCTTCCGTTCCGGTGAGTCCTTCTCCTTCTGCTAATCCCGGATCTGTTTCTCCCTCTATCTCATTCTTGTTCCCTTGAGTAAAAGTATAAAACTTTCATGATCGAGTTGTTGAAGTTCGAGGGCTGGTTTGTAAAATCGGTGCTAGAGGAGTCAAAATTTCAGTTATGATTGAGTTGGGTTTAGTTTGATTTAAGCTTGATCTAGTTGAAATTTATCTACTTTTGCTACGAATTTGTAAGATTCTCTGTTTTTTTATTTTTTCGTTTCGTGTTTGACTTGTGACTCGTTTAGTCATATGAATCAAATAGGTAGGTTCTCGGAACCATTTCCTGACTTGCTTTCTACTTTGAAAGTTCTCCTCTTTGAATCTGAAGTCACTGTGTTGCTTTCTACATTGAAAACAAAACAAAAAAAATTCTGGGATTTCTAGGGATTTTGACAAATAATTTGGGTTTTTTTCCTTTATGGGTAAAATGCAAAGTGAGATGAGTCTGATTACATTACTTTGAGGTCTTAGATTCATACTGTAATTGTAATTTTTTTTACTTTTGCTTTCGTTGTTGTGTTAGTATTTTGAAATGATTCTTCTTTTGATGCAGCCTTAAACTGGTTGTTTATCATTAATGGGCACATCATCTGGTTCCAACCATCCTCACCAGATGCTACCTCCGCGTCAGCAACTACGAAGTGGAGGCCTAGAAACAGCGCTTTCACTGGTATCTTCAGATCCCCATTTGTCACATGAAGGTCAGGAGCCACGGTCTAATTCTGATGTTGTGCGCGAGTCTCCAGCTGAGAGTGCGAGTTCTCAAGAAACATGGCCACTCGGAGATCCTGTTGTGGCAAAGAAGACGGTGAAGCAAAAGATGGAGCCTGATTCTCAGGAACAAACCGTGATGCATCATGTGTCTAACGCGGATAAAGTGTCTGTACGGGACATAGCTAGGGAAAGAGTCGATATTGTCGCAGAGAGAATGCACAGGTTACCGGATGAGTTTCTTGAGGAGTTAAAGAACGGGCTTAAATCTATCCTTGAAGGAAATGCAGCGCAGAGTGTTGATGAGTTCATGTTTTTGCAGAAGCTTGTTCAGAGCAGATCTGATTTGACCTCTACAACGCTTATCAGAGCCCACCGGGTGCAGCTTGAAGTTCTTGTAGCGATAAATACGGGAATCCAGGCGTTTCTGCACCCAAACATCAGTCTGTCTCAGTCATCTCTCATTGAGATTTTCGTATACAAGAGATGCAGAAACATAGCCTGCCAAAACCAACTACCAGCTGATGATTGCTACTGCGAAGTGTGCACCAACAGGAAAGGATTCTGCAACCTCTGCATGTGTGTGATCTGTAACAAGTTCGATTTTTCTGTCAATACCTGCCGCTGGATTGGATGCGACTTGTGTTCTCATTGGACTCATACAGATTGTGCTATACGGGACGGACAGATCACCACAGGATCCTCTGCTAAGAACACATCAGAAATGTTGTTCAAGTGCAGGGCATGCAACCGCACGTCTGAGCTGCTGGGTTGGGTTAAAGATGTGTTTCAACACTGTGCACCAAACTGGGATAGGGAATCTTTGATGAAGGAACTTGACTTTGTTAGTAGGATTTTCCGTGGAAGCGAAGATCCACGAGGTAGGAAACTGTTCTGGAAGTGCGAGGAGCTTAATGAGAAGATTAAGGGTGGTTTGGCAGAAACAACTGCTGCCAAATTAATACTAATGTTTTTCCAAGGTAATTAAGTGTACACATTTTATTTGTTTATCTATAAATAGACACTACTCTGTCTGTCTAGTCTAGTCTAACTCTGTTTCGTTACCACTGAAGAGATTGAATTAGACTCTGCGAAGAGCTTTGAAAATGGAGAAGGTGGACGTTTGATAGCACCTCAAGATGCTTGCAACCGAATTGCTGAAGTTGTACAGGAGACTCTGAGGAAAATGGAAATAGTGGCTGAGGAGAAGATGAGGATGTTCAAGAAGGCACGCATGGCTCTCGAGACTTGCGACAGAGAGCTCGAAGACAAAGCCAAAGAAGTAGCGGAACTGAAAGCAGAGAGGCAGAAGAAGAAACTTCAGATAGACGAGCTAGACAGAATCGTGAGGCTGAAGCAAGCAGAGGCAGACATGTTCCAGCTTAAAGCCAACGAAGCAAAGCGGGAGGCCGAGAGGCTGCAGAGGATTGTGCTAGCGAAAATGGATAAATCTGAAGAGGAATACGCAAGTAACTATCTGAAACAGAGGCTGAGCGAGGCCGAGGCAGAGAAGCAGTATCTGTTTGAGAAGATTAAGCTGCAGGAAAATTCGAGGGCAGCATCACAGAGCAGTGGTGGTGGAGGAGACCCGTCGCAGGTGTTGATGTACTCAAAGATCCGTGATCTGCTTCAAGGATACAATCTCTCGCCTAAGGTAGATCCTCAATCAAACGAGCGCCATCCTTTCAGATCCAATCCTTGATGCTTCCTCCCTTATAAATATGTAGTTTTCATTATCCTTCATCACTTTGTTTTGTAAAACGAGTGTTTGTAGCCTTTAACTATGTTTACTGATATTTTCTAATTTGTGTGTTGTCTTTTCGTTGATATGAATATGTTTTTCTTTATTGGTTGATTAGTGAAATGTAGAGAGAGAGAGTTGATCGTGCATTTTCTACAAATCTTACATTGGCTTCGAGATTGAGCTATGTAAAAGAACCTGAAAAGAAGAACTTTTAGTCCTTGTTTATTGTGTGTCTACGTAACAACTTGCAAACGTTGATTGTAGAGTCCTTGCTCATTCCCTCTACACATTATAACTGAGCTATCCAAACAAGCGAAATTTTTTTATACTCAAGATATAAATCAGTAAATGAGTGATGTATTTGTTTCACTTCCAGCAGTTAGTTCTATAAAATCCTATCTTGGCTTTGAAAATTAATGTCTGCGAGAGCTTGTTCACATTTGTGAATTTGTTTGTTCACATATGGTCGGTCGGTCATCGTTGTCAGGAACCATCATTAATACTTTGTAATGAAACATAGAAACCAAAAGTTTGCAGATTCCCTTCTTGGGTTTTGAACTCCGGGAACACCTTTCACTTTCATTTACATAAATGGCAATAGAGATGATTTTTTTTCTCTCGGCTTTTAGTTAAGAGCAAGTGTGACAATAAAGATGATCAATGTTTGTTAAAATAGGCAGTGAGTTTCTTTTAAAAAAAAAAAGAAGTAACAACAAAACGGAGAAAACATCATTTTGAACATTTTATCCACGAAGCTTAAACTTTTTAAACAGTTTAAATAATTCAAGTATGGATTGTAGTTCAATCAGTTATTCGATATACAAAACAGCAACTCTGATTTAAGAATGTTTTGACCGCCACATATATATTAGCATCATGTGTTAGAGCCATTATTAATGTATATTATTAATTATGAAATAAAATAAAAGGATAAAGGCAATTATGTAATGATAACCAATTGTGTGCATATATTTTTAGTTATTTCTAATTTGTGAATTAGAGGGTACTAATTCTTTTTTTCTTTTTGAAAAGCAAAGGGTACTAATTCTATTAACAGTGTGTTAGGAGAATCCCGAAAATTTATGCATTTCCATCACCAAAAAGATATAGTTTGAGATGGTGAAATTTCCTGAAGAAGTGGCTGATGGAGTTCAGCCAGGAAAGAGATGAATAAAAACAGAGTTAGCATTGGATTTTCTTTAGTTCACAAGTCATGGTCACATACATACACATTCACATTCATGGTACATGGATCCCTCTTTGTATGAATTTAAGAAACCGACAAAAATACAGATTTCATGTATATATATTTTAAACACGTTCCATATAAATATTTTGTCAAAACTGATCTCCAATTTAACAAAGAAAGAAATGGTGATATCTCCATATTATAATGGGAGGGTATAATCAAAAAGAAAAAAAAAAGAACGGCAAAGGGTGGGGGTTGTATTGTGGGGTCACAATGACACAACATTCGCTTAACAAAAAGAGAGTAAAAGTGAAAGCTGATATTCTATAAATTTCTTTGGAAATTTTTCTTGGTGTTTAGGAAAATTGAATCTCCACCTTTAACTGAATTTCCCTTAAAAAACATTTGGAATGATTGAACTAATAACTTGAAAGTGTTTTATCAGAAAAATCCAGAGATAATACTTTTGTAAATATGTTGGTTCATTTATCGCTCATTTTATAATAAATATCATATAATTTCACGTATATTTTTTTTTGTTTTAGAAAAATATCATGATATTTAGTCCAATACTGTCATATGTTATTTTAGGTTTTCAACACGTGCGATAAAACACCATTTCTTTTTAAAAATGCCTTGTGTGTGTGTGTAAATTTTGGCTCATGGCTATCTACTATCTACCAAAGAATTCAGCCTCAAGTATTTGTTTTAAGAAATTCTCAGAAGTTAATAATGTTGAAAGTTCAAATTGGGGAGTTTATATTTGACCACTTTATAGTTTTCTTTTGTTTGTATTATCTTACGAACCAACATGTTTCCGACCATGGATAAACGGTTCTGATTGAACGTTTCGGTTCGATCATTGAAGTGTTCTCCTGATGTTATTAGGGAATAATACCTGAAACATAAACAAAATTTCCTGGAAAACTGTAAACTTCTTACATACGCAAGAAACCGATCAAAATCAACCTAGTCGTGTTTACAATCGTGTGGCATGGAATCACAACAATTGAATTCAACATTGTAGTCTTTATCTACCCGGTCAACATTCTTTGACTTTGATTTTCTATGGTTTTTCCGTTCTGCTTATTGAAAAGCCAACTAATTGTTATTATTTTTCGTCTATATTATTATTATATGAAAACTAAATATATCTTTTCATAGCTTTTCCTTATAATAAAGATTCGAGATAGTGAAAGTTGAAAACGGATTGAGACAAATACTGGATCGGGGACATGTATCTTCGATAATTGAGGGTTTAAAATAAAATGAATTGTGGTGGTGGTGGAGACATGTTTAAGTGGTATAATCGTAAATAACACGCGCAATTGAGATTCTATATTCTCTCTCTCAGATAATAAGTAAGAAGAGAAGAGTGACTTCTCTCTGTTTTAAAGTCATTCGAGCCATTCCCATGTGCCTTGTCTCCGACAGCTTTCTCTCTCTTCTTGCTCTTGCTCTGGTTCACATGGTACTTCGATAAGATTCACTCTATTTTTAAGGTTTTTCATCTCAGAAAAGTCAGGTGGGTACTTCCAAAATTGGATTTTTTTTCTTCACTCGAACAATTCTGTTCGATCTCTAATTCCTCGGTTTTTTTTTTTTTTTTAAACTTTATCATGATCCCCTCGAACACATCAGATCGTAAATCCTCTCTCTCTCTCTCTCCTTCTTGATCCTGTCGGAAAATTCTTTTATCTGGAGTGTATATTGCTCAATTAACCCAGTCACATAGACCCAAAAAGGTATGAATTTTACTGCTCTGTTAATATCCCCTGTTTTTATGAGTAGCTGCAGGAGAACTAATAGTAGATTTGGTTTGCTTAAGGGTTTCACTAATCAATAACTCTGAAATTACTTGCATACAGTTAAATTACGTATCTTTCTTTATTGGTTTTCTTGCAAATAGAACGATCGGGTGGATCTGAGTTACAAAACTACATATGTTTAGCAATTAAGTCGACATGAGCTAGAGCTTCTCTAGTATGTATGAGTTGTCTGATTCTTTCTTATAGTTTTGCAGATCATTTAAGGTGTGAATCATCACAAGAAATGTACAAGCATCCTAGACAAGAGATTGAGGCTTACTATTTGCCTCCTTTTGAGCCTAACTCTGTTGAGAAGCTTATGTACTTACCGTTTCAAAACTCTCCTAAACGGTATCGCACGCGCGAGCCATCTCCCGATTCTCCTGCTTACAATGCTCTTTCATCCGCTACGGTTTTTGTACAACATAACAACAACTCTGCATATGATGATACCTCTGGCTCTTGTGTGACGGACGATTTGAATGATGAGTTCAAACACAAGATAAAGGAGCTCGAGACAGTGATGATGGGACCAGACTCCTTGGACCTATTCGTTGATGGCACGGACTCCTTTGATTCCACATCGTGTCATAACAGCTGGAGATCAACTCTAGAGGCACTCTCGAGACGTGATCTAAGAGCTGATCTTGTCTCATGTGCGAGAGCTATGTCTGAAAACGATCTAATGATGGCACATTCAATGATGGAGAAGCTACGCCTAATGGTCTCGGTTTCTGGTGAGCCTATTCAGAGGTTAGGAGCTTACTTACTTGAAGGCCTCGTGGCTCAACTAGCTTCATCAGGTAGTTCCATATATAAAGCACTTAACAAGTGCCCTGCACCTCCAAGCAACGACCTTCTCTCCTACATGCACATTCTCTATGAGGTCTGTCCTTACTTCAAGTTCGGTTACATGTCAGCAAACGGTGCCATTGCTGAAGCCATGAAGGAAGAAAACAGAGTTCACATCGTCGATTTCCAAATCGGTCAAGGGAGTCAATGGATCACTCTTATCCAGGCTTTTGCAGCTAGGCCCGGTGGGCCTCCTCGGATACGTATAACTGGTATTGACGATATGACTTCAGCGTATGCTCGTGGAGGTGGTTTAAGCATTGTAGGAAACAGACTCGCCAAGCTTGCTAAACAGTTCAATGTTCCGTTTGAGTTCAACTCGGTGTCAGTGTCAGTGTCCGAGGTTAAACCTAAAGATCTCGGAGTTCGAGCAGGTGAAGCTTTAGCTGTTAACTTTGCCTTTGTGCTTCATCATATGCCTGACGAAAGCGTTAGCACCGAGAATCACCGGTATAGTTTTTTGTTTCCAAAATTTGTTTTAAAAAACATAAAATGATCCTTGTGTGTTTTTTTCTTGAACTGAGTATATATATATATATTTGGCAGGGACCGGTTACTGCGAATGGTGAAGAGCTTGTGTCCTAAAGTAGTGACTCTAGTGGAGCAAGAATCAAACACAAACACGGCAGCTTTCTTACCGAGGTTCATGGAGACAATGAATTACTATGCTGCGATGTTCGAGTCTATTGATGTGACTCTCCCAAGGAATCACAAACAGAGGATTAATGTGGAGCAGCATTGTCTAGCAAGAGATGTTGTGAACATTATTGCGTGTGAAGGAGCTGATCGGGTGGAGAGGCACGAGCTTCTAGGGAAATGGAGGTCACGGTTTGAGATGGCAGGTTTCACACCTTACCCGTTGAGCCCGTTGGTGAATCTCACCATTAAAAGTCTGCTTGCGAACTATTCTGACAAATATAGGCTGGAAGAAAGAGATGGAGCCTTGTTTCTTGGTTGGATGCAACGAGATTTGGTCGCCTCGTGTGCCTGGAAATGAAGACGGAGACATTCTATATTGTAATCGCAATTAGAAGTGTTTTCTACATGTATGCAATTTAGTCGTTCATTTTAAATCTTCAAAACATTAGAAGAATCTTTATATCTACTACTAGTCTACTAGAGGACCAACAGAGATGCAGCAATAGCCCAAAAGTCTAAGTCAAAGCAGTTCTCAGTTAAACTTAACAAGTATAATTCAATCGAGTGAATCAAAAACAGAGATTATCGTCCTTGACTTCTTTTCTGTATAGTAAACGCCATAGGTTATGAAGTCTTCTTCTAGCAGGACTGGTCTTTAAATACTAGTTAAAGCGTTTTGTGGGCACATTACAAACGATTATTTTTTATAAGTGTACCCAAAGTCAAATATGACCTGAACAATTTTGAGCAAATATATGCAAATTAGTAAATTACCACAGGTTTAATATTAGACGGAACATCACAGTTGACATGATCCATCCAGTCTCTCCAACCTATTTTTATAGTTGCCTTATGACCCAAGCAAAAGAAAAGACCTCATGAGGTACTCCACAAAATTCCACAATCAATATTTAGAGTTTAAGACCTTGGTTTTCTAAAATTGAAATCCTTTTTTTGGAAAACAATGGAATTAGTGTTTAAGTCAGACAAATCCAATGTTTTCCAAAAATATCGGCTAGAAAAGCTGAAACGAACGGTGGAGAAGATAGTGAACGTTCATATCTCTCTCTCCTCCTAGAGGCTATATAATGGCAGCCAAACCAAGGAACAAAACAAAAATAAGAAAAAAAAATCAAAATATTAAATAAATAATAACTAGTGAATACCAAAAAAAAAAAAAAAAAACTGTACTCACTAGTTACTAAAATAAATCCCAAACATGGGTGTACATTTTGGAATATCCACATTATTTGTTTTTTGTTTGCTAGGCTTATCAGCAAATGCTAAAGTATTCAAAATCACTTCTCCTACAGGGTCTGATATCACTAGTGTAAGTTTTCTAATCTATATATTTAAGCAAAAGTGTAGAACCCATCTCGTTGATCTCGACATTAATATATATGATCTTATTGTGTTTCTTTGCGACGCATGCAGGCATTGTTGAAAACATTCAATGAGGCATGCCAGTTCCCAACGAAGGCCACCGTTATGATCCCAAAAGGTGAATACAAGCTTGGGGAAATAGAAATGGTTGGTCCATGCAAAGCTCCGATAAGGATTGCTCTTCAAGGCACCGTGAAAGCTGACGGAAACATTAAAGGAAAGGACTTTTGGGTCGCTTTCAAAAAGATTAATGGGTTTAAGTTGAACGGAGGTGGTGTCTTCGACGGTGAAGGCAACGCAGCATGGAGGGTTAATAATTGCCACAAGACATTCGAATGCAAGAAACTCCCCATCGTACGTATCTCTCTATCTATCTATATATAGTAACTCCCCATTTGGAATAGTGTTTGATGTTTTTGTGTCATTAATGTTGAGCAGAGCGTACGGTTTGATTTCGTGACTGACGCTAAGATAAGAGGCATAACCTCGTTAGATTCAAAGAACTTCCACATCAACGTGATAGGGGCAAAGAACATGACATTCGAAGACATCAAGATCGTGGCACCTGCTGGTAGTCCAAACACCGATGGAATCCACGTGGGAAGGAGTGATGGTATCAAGATTATCAACTCGTTCATCTCCACAGGAGATGACTGTATCTCTGTTGGAGACGGGATGAGAAACCTTCTTGTGGAAAGAGTTACATGCGGTCCAGGACATGGAATCAGTGTTGGAAGCCTTGGAAGGTACGGGCACGAGGAAGACGTTACTGGCATCAGGGTCGTGAACTGCACACTCCAAAATACTGACAATGGTGTAAGGATCAAGACATGGCCGTCTGCGAAATGCGCCACCACTGCCTCGGAAATCCATTTCGAGAATATTCTCCTCAAGAACGTTAGCAACCCTATCCTCATCGACCAAGAGTACTGCCCTTGGAACCAATGCAACAAGCAGGTGCGTAAAAAATATACATATACCAGTACTCCAAACCGCTTTAGGTGTTTAGGCTGTTGAAAAAAAAAAAAGATCGGTACTTCATGGGAACTACTTTGGTATTGGTTATGATTCCGAGACGTTTTGTTTTGTTTTGTAGAAACCATCAACTATCAAGCTGGTGAACATTAGCTTCAAGAAGATCAGAGGAACGTCAGGGAACAAAGACGCGGTGAAGCTTTTGTGCAGCAAAGGATATCCGTGTAAGAACGTGGAGATTGGTGACATTAACATTAAGTATACCGGAGCAGACGGTCCAGCGACGTTCAGTTGCTCCAACGTATCTCCGAAGCTGAAGGGAACTCAGGTTCCTAAAGCGTGTAGCAGCCCAGTGCCGAAGTTACCAGGCCAGAAATAGAAGCTTCTCGAGTGTATATAATACAAACTCGATCACACATAATCTAAATGTACACCCTAGTGTATGTTATAATTCTTTCAGCTGATATCTTTGTAAAGTAACCTATGTATTTTTTGGTGGCCGTATTGGCCCTAAAAAAGAATTTGCATTTTTTGCTAGCTATATATTGTAAGAAATGCATAGTTCTTGGAAACAAATACAGTATAATCTAATTGAACAATGAGTGACTAATTAATTCCTTACTGCATTGAATATAGTAGATGAGAAGAACGAAGCTATGGTTGGTCTGGTACGGGTTTGAGTTACGATTACTTCTTTTTTGCTTTCAAGATAGGGGTCGAGTCGAGGAGTTAGGAGGCTATAAAACTGTTTCTATAAGTAAAAATACACCAACCAAACGAGTTTGTGTTCGCATTAGACATACAAGCAGCTTGGGAACAAAGAATTTGCAAAGTTATAACAACTACAAAAAAAAGAAGCTAAAATGATAATAGAAACATCCTCTACTACAATCTGCTTCAAACACAAAGATAACCGAAGAAGAAACAATATTTTTTTTGGGTGAAAAAATATATGCATTTGCCACCTTGCCTTGGGGAGATAACATAATACATTCTTTTGAATCTATCCCCCAAACCCGATATGATCTCTCTAATGGAACCAAGGAAACAAGGAAAAGAAGAAAGCCAAGTTTAGAGAGAAGAAAACTACAGGATACTCTGGAAGCGATGAAGGGATTTTCATCCCATGGAGTTGTTATATAAGATTCGCCAAGAGAAACTAGTCTTCACCTTGTCTCAATATACAATTTCGCGGTAAGCCAAAATCATCTTATACTAAGTAACTATTCCTGCAACAGAGATATGAAAACTGTAATAAAGAACACATATATATATATATAGATGTAAGAATAGCTTGTTTTTATTGCAGATCAATCATAAATTGACTTGCCTCTGTGTGATTGTCTCCTGTTAACACTGTAATCGCCAACATATCCTGGAGTTGAGCTTTTAGCTGAAACAGAGGAAGCACCTCCAATCCCATAGGCAAACGAGCCAAGACCCTCTTTCTCGGGTGAAGAAGCTCTATAATTAGGATCACTATAAACCACACCATTCTCATGAAACTCTACAAGACCTACATCATAGCCAGTGTTTGCTCTCACCAAGGTAGAAGAAGATGGCGCTATTCTTACATATCCTCCTGTTCCCAACCCAAAGCTAGATTCACTATTATTTCCTCCATAACCAAACTTCACATCGTCAACACTAACATTGTTCCTTCCATTTTGTGCAGTGCTTCCAGGCCCCCAACTAACTCCGGAACTTCCAGATGGACGACTTATTAGAGTGTTCCCACCTGTTGATCCCACATATGAATTGGAATTTGAGTTTGTAGCGTTGCTATAGGTAAGATCTCTGTTTTCCCATAGGCTCCGCGTGACTGAACTGAAGAAAGACGAGTTCCCTCCATTGACTCCTTCATAGCCATACCTGTGCATGCTACCAATCTGGTACGGGCTCAATCCACGGCCATAAGAAACGTTTGCATCCCCAGTAAAACTATTTGGCACTCCCTCCTCAAAATTCACCTTCATCCTGTAGCCAGAAGCAAAAGGAGCATACCCGGTTCGTCCAGGATCAACAACTCGACTGAACCGACCTTCCATGCCAAGTCCATAGCCTCCTACTCCTACCCCAGCGAGATTGTATCCATTAAGGTGGTTACTGACCCTGTTAACTCCGTAGCTGTAACCTCCTCTTAATGGGCTGCTGCGAGATGGACCTGGCGATAACTCCTTAGGGACAGCTCGCTTGACCTCAACCATTTTACCGTGAAGCTCATGAAAAGTCTTTAGCAATACTTTTTCCACCGCCTCCTCAGAATCATAAGTTATAAATCCAAAACCTCTAGGTCTCTGTGTGTTCTGGTCAAACATTACAACGACATCTGTAGTTGTACCAAACTCCTCAAAATACATTTTAAAATCGCTTTCCGTTACTGATGAAGGTAATCCACCAACAAAAATCTTCTTTGTGCGGCCTGAACCCGGAGACCCTTGAATGCTATTACTGTTGCTGCTCCTATTTATAATGTTCAGGTCATCTCTAGGAACAGCTTTCTTTGCTTCAACCTGGCAAGATCAGTGAAAAACCTAAGCTTAAATTAGAAAAACTACTCCTTTTTTCTATACTCAATTCAAAACTTGACATGGGAATAACATCCAATTAAGTCAAACTCAGTTAGATTCAGTGAAACTTCAGAAACAAGTTACATTGTACCAATGAAAGCTGGAAACTTTAGAATCAAAGGATTTACCAATCTACCATCAATGTTATGCTTCTCCTTTACAACAGTCTCTGCAACAGCCGGATCAGCAAAAACCACAAACCCGAAACCACGGGCACGGCCTGTGGTACGATCCTTCATGATCACTGCCTCAATCACTTCTCCGAAGCTACTGAAATACTCCTTGAGAAGCTCCTCATTGGTGTCCCAAGATATCCCTCCGATGAACAGCTTGCCATTGTCAGATTGCATTTTTGCTCTGCGCAACAAAACAATCGGCAAATAGCATATCAAATCTACTCACACAAGGCGAATTAGATAAACGACCAAATTCAGAAGGCAACTAGTAATACATAGAACCAAAGGAAAATACCTTAAGAAATCGATAATCAACCAGAAAGGTAAAAAATTAGAGTCTGGCAACGAGTCAGAAACCTCTCGGAGGAACAAGAGATTCCTTCACCAATCGATATCTAAGCTAATCTTCCGGAGAATCGATTGGGAACAGAAGCAAAGGAAACGGCTTTCAGTCCCAGAATTCAATCAGCATTAACCGAAAAATCCCAGATCAAAGATTCAAAGCCAGATATATCCAACTCCCACTATTCAGATTGAAACCCAGATCCCAAATCCTGCCGATACATCACTAAGATCTGAAGAGGCCAACGATTTGTATTAGAGGACAGAATCTGGTTCTGCCCATTGTTCAGAAATACAGAAAGAAGAGCACAAGTTAATTTTAGGCAATCCGATTCAGTTTTAAGCTGATTTCAATGGAGTCAATACTAATAGGCGCACACTAGAATCTAGAGAGAGATAGAGAAACAAACAACATGTTGTAGAGATAGAGAAAAGAAGAAAGCTTCTGGTTTGGTGCAAAGGAGCAATACATCTCTATATATACATATTATCCTGTGGGTCTTACTCTCTAGTATTTACAATGGAAGAAATGTGCGCAATTGGGAAATGGAAAACGATTCATATTTAACGATTTATACACAGATTCAATTACTGTGGATTAGTATCATCAAAAATTTTTTTTTGTAAAAAAATTAGTTAATTTTTACATTGTCGGTGTTAGTTTAGACGTTACCGATTTGAAAAACACGTCGTTATGTACCGACATTGTTTTGGTTTGGTCGAATACTTCGAGTAGAAAAAATTCGTTCTGCTTGAACTTATTTCAGTCTTTTTCAACATTTACCAGTTTCTGAAAGTAATTTTTTTTTTCTTAAAAAAGAAAAAAAAAAAACAGTTGGCAATATGTCCTTAAAAATTTAGTATTAATTCGAGAATATTTTTGTGTTTTTTATTTTATTTTGGCTGATAAACTTACAATATTGTGCATTTTATTTTAATCAAAGGTAACTTATCAAAGGCCGCCGCAATCGGACTCTCCTCTCACGCACTCCCTCTTTACTCTGCAGTTCCGTCTACTGTGCCGCCATCGCCGCCGTGACCTGCTTCCGACTATTCTCTTTCTAGGTCACCGAGCCGCTCTAATTAAAATTTTCACACTCCTTGTAACACTTGCTTAGCTTGTATCAAAAATCCTCAAGTGTTTTGTTATCTGCTCTCCTTCCCCTCCAGGTCTTAAAGTGACATCCTTTGTTGCATTGAGAAAGATGGCAAATCAGCTCACTCAGCAAATTGAAACTTTTGTCGACGTTACTCGTTCTCCTACTCAGCAGGTACTTCTTTGTTTTGGTGGAAATCAATTTGACTTGGAACAGTTTCTTGCGTTATCACAAGTCTGAATTTGCTTTTCTTGACAATTTTTTTTTGTTTTGTTCCTGAAATTTTAGGCTGATAGTCTGAAAGCAATTGCTTCTGCCTTGGAGAAGGATTTGTTGTCTATGAACGAATTGGTAAACATATCCACTCTCTTTTCATCTTCCATAGTGGCTCATTTATGCTGTTAATTTTCTGTATTTCTGAAACCGTAGGTCGCGGAGCTGGAAATGTATTTGACGACAACTGATAATGTTGTCCGAGCACGAGGTACTTCTGTTCTCTCTGTATTATTTTAGTGAGTATGTTTCTCTCAATCTGAATGGAATATGTGAAGGACGACAATAAGCATACCGGGACATGTCTTGTGTTTGTAGGTATTCTCCTGCTTGCGGAGATCCTTAATTTCCTAAAAGCAAAGCCATTAGACAATGCAATTGTCCATAGTCTCATTGGATTCTTTACCGAAAAGATGGTGAGTTGATACTTTGAGTCTTATATATATTGTAATTCATGCCAATGTGTGTTACAGTTTCTATTCAGTTTCTTAAAAATAGAAAAGAACAAAAAAACGGATGTTGGACTTGTATCAGGCAGACTGGAGAGTGATGCGTGGGGCACTTGTTGGTTGCTTGGCCTTGATTAAGAGGACAGACGTAGCTGGTGTGGTCACTGCTACCGATGCAGAAGCTGTTGCAAGGTCAATGATAGATAATGTGCAAGTGCAGTCTTTATCACTTCATGAGCGTAAGGTATAAAACTATTGCTACTAGTATTTTGTTATCTTAATGACTGTGTTATCTCAATGTTTTTTTATTATTGTTGTTACATTATCTTTTTACAAATGACATTGCAGCTCTCTTTTGAACTTCTAGAGGGCCTTCTACAGCAATACTCTGAAGCTATTATGACTTTGGTATGTTAATGCTCTCTACGTGCGGATACATATTTCAGAATTAGAAAGTTCAATCTAGTGTATGAGGAATGTTTTCGTGCAAAGCTATTTGCGTCAGCTTGGTGGGAAGATGAATATTTATTTAAATATTCTAATATGTAATATGTGCTCTCAGTTCGCCAAAAGCTTCATGTTCAAGTTATCCTAGTTCTCGTAATTTTATTAGTCTGTACAAACAAAATGCAGGCAAACTCATCTTAGTTTTCTGTTTTTGTCTTCTTCCTTGTTTCGATTTACTGATGGCCCTTCCTCTTTTTTTCTTATCCTATTGACTAAACGACCATTTCCCAGGGTAAATTACTTGTTTATGCTACATGTGAAGCCATCGATGGAGAAAAAGACCCTCCGTGCTTGATGGTAGCTTTTCATATAGTAGAGCTTTTGGCTCAATTGTTTCCCAGTCCATCCGGTCCAGTTGCTTCTGCTGCGTCTGATCTTTTTGAGATTGTTAGCTGCTACTTCCCTCTTCATTTTACGCATGTGAGTTTAAAGCCTATCCTTTTTTCAGATAGTGATTTATTGGTGGATTATTTTTTCTTTCGTTAAACGGTTTATTGTTCTCTTTTGTGGGTTTTTAGACAAAAGGTGGTGGAGCTAATATTTCAAGAGACAACCTCTCAAGGGGACTATTGGTGAGTATTTACTCAACATTTACGATTTGCATAAGTTCTTGCTGTCTTTTTGTGGGTCAAGGGTTTTTTTTTTATGTACTTCATTCGATTTTGCAGTTGGCATTCTCTTCGACGCCTTTTTTTGAACCGTATGCTATTCCATTGCTTCTTGAAAAGCTTTCTTCTTCTCTACCAGTCGCAAAGGTTTGTTTAACATGTAACTTTGTATTCTAATACCTCTAGCTTATATGCCACTCTGAATGTTGGACAAGTGTAATTATTTTTGTCCCTCTAAAATCTGTCTAGGTTGATTCTTTGAAATGTCTGAAAGATTGCGCTATTAAATATGGAGTAAACAGAATGAAGAAGCACTATAAAAGTCTTTGGTCCGCTTTAAAAGATGCATTTTATTCTTCTACGGGGACACATTTGTCCTTTGGTATAGAATCCCTCACTACAGCCGGGTTTGAAATGGATGAGATCCACAGAGAAGCTGTTAATCTTCTTCAGACGCTTGTTAAGGAAGATATCTCGTTTTTAGGATTGGTTGTTGATGATTTAAGTGTAAACTCGGTCTTTAATTCCATTTCTAGATACTCTCAGTATAAAGAAATGCCTGACACGAGCAAACTGGAGGTTCTTGTTATTAGTCAGATACTGTCTGTGTCTGCCAAAGCTTCGGTTGAGTCATGCAATATAATCTTTCAAACCTTTTTCTTCCGCCTTATGAATAGTCTTGGGATTGTAGAGAAACCTTCAACTGGCGATCTTGTTCATAAGGAAAACTCTACAGTCTCTATCAGACTCTACCATGGAGGTCTTCATCTCTGCATCGAACTTCTTACAGCATCGAAAGATCTTATTCTGAGTTCCGAGGAATGTTCTTCAGCACCTAGTTGCGCACAAGAATCATGGTGCTCTATGGTTAACAGGTTCTCAGTTTCATTGATCGAGGTGTTCACTTCTGCAGTACGAAGCTTAAATGACGATTGTGGTGCGGATGTATATCTTGGAGGTGAATGCATGTGCTTACTTAACAGATTTGTTACATCTTATAATTTCTTGCCCTTTTTTTGTCTTGCATTGATCCTAATATAATACTGAACTCTTGCTACATATCTTTCCAGGTCTCTTTTTTCTTATTCCTATTTTCTAATTTTTTTTTCTTAATCAATATCCAGTTAAGGGTTTGCTGACTATGGGTATGTTCTGTGGTGGCTCTTCTCCTGTATCGAGATCCGAATTCGAGAAGATTTTGACGACCTTAACATCAATCATCACAGCCAAGAGTGTAAAAACAGTAGTATGGGAACTGGCATTGAAAGCGCTGGTCTGCATTGGCTCATTTATTAATCGGTATCATGAGAGTGACAAGGCTATGAGCTACATGGGTATAGTTGTCGAAAATCTGGTCTCATTGGCGTGCTCTAGCCATTGTGGTCTTCCATATCCGATGATATTAGAAGCAACTTCAGAAGTTTGCTCCACTGGGCCAAAGTATATGGAGAAAATGGTTCAAGGATTTGAAGAAGCTTTCCGTTCCAGTTTGTCTGATTTTTATGTATGTCTTGCCCCCGTGACTCTAGATCGTTAAGTTTTCAGTATATTTGAGCTAACAGTTTCTATCTCCATCACGATCCTAAGATCTTGTTATTTTCGTGAACTGGTTTCTATCTCCAACAAGCAATGGATCGAGAGCTATCTAACTACTATCTGGAAATTACATGTCAGGTCAATGGAAACTTCAAGTCAATCGAAAATTGTTCTCAGCTCCTGGAGTGTTTGACCAATAAACTGCTTCCACGGTACCCAAACTTTTCTTGAGTTTCTTACATCTTGTAGACAAACTAGCTTTTCTAGCGTGAGTATGTAGACTCTCAGTTGAAAGAGCCAACTCTCTTGGATGATACAACTTGTTGATTGCCTTTCTTGTTGGTTTCCATAGAGTATCTAGGTTTTCTCGTTTAATGTTCAATATCCCCTATTGTCAGCCCTCCTAACCCTGTAGCCTCCGTCAAGATGTTATAATAGACATATATAAACAACTATATGTCACTTATAAGCCTAACAGAGAGAATGTTTCTAATACACATTTATAAAAGAGAGAGAAACTAGATACTCTAGTTAGAGATTCACATGAAAACCAACAAGGAAGGCAATAACACGAGTGTCTTTTCTATTATGTTTTGACTCCTGGTTATTTTGTTTTAACCTCAAATAGTGTGGCAGAGATCGATGGTCTCGAGAAAATCTTGGTGCATTTCGCTACCAGTATGTGGAATCAAATTGAATCCTCTGGTGTTTTTAGTTATGATTTCAGTAGTAGGGTAAGTGCTCGGATAAACTTTATACCCATTTTTTTCTCTTCAAAGTAGATTTGATTCATCTGTTGTTGACGATATGAAGTTATTGATCTTCTACTACAGGAGTTTGTTGAGGCAGCAATGAAAACAATGGGACAGATTGTAGGAGTTGCTTTGGTTGATTCACAGAACAGTATAATCCAAAAAGCATACAATGTGGTCTCATCAAGCACGCTTCCAGCTATGGAATCTATTCCTTTGACCTTTGATGCATTTGAGGGTCTGCAAAATGACCTGTCCACTAGGGATGAATTGATACTTTCACTATTTGCATCAGTTATCATAGCTGCATCTCCCGTGGCATCCATTCCAGATGTGAAATCACTTATACATCTGTTTTTGGTATCCCTTCTTAAGGGCTATATCCCAGCAGCTCAAGCTTTGGGTTCAATCGTTAACAAATTGGGGTCGGGTTCTGGTGGAACAAATATCTCAAGCGATTGTTCCTTGGAAGAAGCATGTGATATAATATTTCACGAAACTTTATCTGGAAAAATTATTTCTTCTGATGACTCTGGTAATATTCTTTGTGGAAGTGAGACAGTTTTGTCAAAGATATGTTTAGGTTTCTATGGTTCACTGGACCTTCAAACCAGCGCTATTACTGGACTTGCATGGATTGGGAAAGGTTTACTCATGCGGGGTGATAGAAGAGTTAATGAAATAGCTCTGGTACTAATGGAATGCTTAAAATCCACCAACTGTTCAGGGAATGCTCTGCATCCGTCTGCCATGAGACATGCAGCAGATGCATTCTGCATACTAATGTCTGATTCGGAAGTGTGTCTGAATAGAAAATTTCATGCAGTTATACGGCCACTCTATAAGCAACGGTTTTTCTCTTTAACAGCTCCTATTTTGGAGTCTTTGATTATGAATTCCCAGACTCCACTCTCGAGGTATACTTATCTTTAACTATATTTATAGTTACTGCTTTATATGCTATATGTTTCAGTTACTTTTCAGTCAACTTGCGTGGAATATACAAGATTTTGTAGTCATCGTTTGATTCTGAGAATTTGGTTAGATCTGATTGCTTCTACCAGCATGTTCTACTACTCTTTTATAGAAAAAAGTTTTCTATTTGTCTTCTCTTGCTTCACCATGTAGTCCTTCTATGTCATATCCCTAGGAAGGATGCAACTGCACCCACACAAACCTTTTCAATGTCCCTTTTTGGAACAGTTAGAAGACATCCTGAAGATTGCTAGTTTAATTTGGGTTAGGTGTAGCTAGCAAATAAAGTCATAATAGTTTAGGCTTCTTTGTTGTTGCACCAAGTTTTAAATTGCCCAGCATAAATAGACAAGTCATTAAAGTGACAGCCAATTCCAGTTTCTTAGCTGACTAGTTTCGTCATGGTTTCAGAACAATGTTACATGTGGCTCTCGCGCATGTTATATCCAATGTTCCAGTAACGGTCATATTGGACAATACCAAAAAGGTTAGCCTCAAGATAGACTTTGTATTTTGTACCTTTGTAAACACACTCTTAGAAGACTTCTGTCTGTGCAGCTACACCCGATGATACTGGAAGGCTTGTCTGTTTTAAGCGTTGACTCTGTGGATAAAGAAACTCTCTTCAGTCTATTACTGGTTTTATCTGGAACACTTACTGATATTAAAGGTAAGAAAATTTTAGATGCTGGATTGCGAAAGCTGTTGCATCATATAAAATCTAGCTTCATTTGAATAACGATCTACAATTCTTGATGGATTTTCATTCGTTTGCGCCGACACTTAACGAAATGATATGGGTTTTGATTAGATGGTTGAGTCAATTCAGTGGTTGCAAAATCTCACAACGTTTTATTCAATGCCTACTAACCTTTTGCTCTGTTTGCAGGACACCAATCTGCCAGTGATAATGCACATATAATCATCGAATGCCTGGTCAAGCTTGCATCATATCCACATCTAATGGTAACAAATCTCTCCCTCTCTCTCTCTCTGCAATAGCATCTTCTACATCTTCTTTTTCTAATGGTATTGATTCTTGGATCTTCGAATGAGATTTTGTCCATGTTTATGCAGGTTGTTAGGGAGACGGCCATTCAGTGTCTTGTTGCGCTGTTGGAATTGCCTCATGGAAGGATTTATCCTTTCAGAAGACAGGTTAGTTAAAATGTCTAAAATGCAGGTTTTAGTACGTAGAGTAAGAAACACGTCTCATGAGTTTGTAATTTCATTTAAGGTTTTACAAGCAATAACAAAGGCACTCGATGATCCAAAGCGGAGAGTTCGGGAAGAAGCGGTTAGGTGCAGGCAGGCTTGGTTAGCACGTTAACAATATTTGTGACCAGTCCGGGTTAACCCATTGCGAATGGGACGACCCCTTGGTCTAACACCCTTTTTTTTTTTCGTTTAATGTTTCAAAATTTGAGTTAAAAAAACCCATGATCTATTATCATTTTTGTAAAGAAATTCCTGATAGCATTATTCAAATACTGATTAGTAAAAATAAAACAAATTTTGAATATATTTGAGATTTTAGAATGCAAAAAATTCTACACTGAAATATGATCTAATAAGAATTAAGTGTTTGTTTCATCATCCAACGCCATCACAGTGATGCAAATATATATTGTTTGTTTTTATTGTTTTTAGTAAAATACATTTGGATGCAAAAATGGATGCACAATGAATTGCATCAATACATCTGAAGTTGTTAAAAGTATAAAAAATACTCAAATTGCATGATATTGAATTTACGTGGAACAGAGTAACAAAAAAAAAAAAACAAGACTCAAATTGGAGGTGAAGACTTGTAACAAAATTCAAAATGTTCATATTATGTTCCGGTCATAAAAGATCTCCCAAGTATAGAGGAAAAGTTTCTTTCGAAGATAGCGTATTCAAGTTTCTCGTAACTGATTAGAGATCGACATTTCACCAGTCACCGTTTTAGAATTTTCAGATTTAAAGTCATATTCTGATATACGTTAACTTGGACACATATTCGCAAAGATAACTCTAAAACATTCTTTCGGTATAAGGTGTTAGCAATAAATAAACATTTTCTTTGTAATAAAACAAAAATAAACATCTCTTTCGTAAGAAATCTTAGGTGGACTGGTAGCTCACGGATATCGACTTAGATGATAACTCCTTTTCGTTGAATTCAGTGTCACAATATTAATTGAACACGCTTAGGAAATTTTAAATTATTAATCTAAAAAAACGTCAAACCATGCACATTGCACGTAAAAACTAAATCAACACAAAAGGTAACGAGTTTCAGGATATTCTGGTTTTGGTTTTTAAATAAAGGAAGAAGAAGGAAAGCTTCACCTGACCAAACTAATAAGCGATGTTATTTACTAAAGTTAGAGTTGTCCATTTAGGGACATGTTTCTGGTCTTGACCCGATCCAACCCTAACAATATGAAAATGGGTTTGACATTGGAACAGAGTGCCACACTTTTGGAATTATTGTTAAAATATCCAAAAATACTCGAAAAGAAAATGCTTTGAACTTTCCAAATCACCTGAAATACTTTAGTATTGGATTTAACCATTATCTAAATTAATGAAATTTGATATTAGCTATCAAAATTATCGGAATTCGATGAGTTATATGAATTTATGTCCCATATATTATTTAGTATACGCTGAATAATAAATTTAAATATATGAACTACTACTCGCTCCAGAAATAGTGGAGTGGTGTCTTGTTTTCTATATACTGTTTTCGTTAAGCTGAAAGTTTCGTTTGACCTAGAGATGTAGTTACATATCTGTTGGACAATCTGAACCCATAAGTCAAAATTGGACCAAAGTGTTTTTCGACCAAAACCTTATTTAATCATAAAATGCTTTCGTAAAATATTTCAAAAATACTGTACTTAAATTTAATAAACTAAATTAGTTTAAAATTACTTTTTTATGCACTACATACTTTTAAAATTTCTATAAAAAAGTACCACAATATTTATAACTATGCAGTAAACATCTTATTTTCAAAATTTAAGGTAATAAACAGGATTTGTGTATGAACATTGATAATACGACATAACTTGTAAATCTGTGGTTCTTAATCCGAAATAAACTAATTTAAGAAAAACATCGTATATAAATACACATCTGCCTCTATTTGTCTTTGATTAACCTCTGTCAGAACAATTAATTCACTAAAACTCCACCCAAATGGCACATTATTCCTTCTTACATTACTTGGTAATCTCTCTGTTCCTCCACAACATTTGCATTGCTGATCACTACACATTTACGGTCAGTTTTAAATTTATTAAGTAATTTAGTCATGCGTGAATAAACTAACTTAAACATGAAAAGTATTCAATCTCACCAAATCAAGAGTTAATTAACGTCAGGTTAAGGAAGTTCCATACAAGAAACTGTGTAGCACGAAGAAGATTTTAACCGTAAACGGTCAGTTTCCTGGACCAGTTTTAAAGGTTTACAAAGGTGACACCATTTACGTTAACGTTCGTAACCGAGCTAGTGAAAATATCACAATGCATTGGTAATTATCTAAGACACTTTTGTTTTTGTTTATTATGTAAATCATTCATACCAGTTAATTACAAGCTTATAACAATATTTAATTTTCGATGGTCGAATAATGAACACAGGCATGGTGTAGAGCAGCCGAGAAACCCGTGGTCAGATGGACCCGAATACATCACTCAATGCCCGATTCGACCCGGGTCGGATTTTATGTACAAAGTCATATTTTCCATCGAAGACGCGACTGTTTGGTGGCATGCACATAGCTCTTGGACACGTGCCACTGTACACGGCCCGATTTTCGTATATCCTCGACCCCCGAAAGCCCTCCCTTTTCCAAAGCCGGACCACGAAGTCTCCTTAGTTCTTGGTATACATCTACGTACTTTTTTTTTTTTTTTTAACTGAACAAAATATTAAACCTTTTTGATTTGTATATTTCTACATGGTTTGGAAAACTACGATAATTGTATTAAATTAATCTCATAAAATTGGACAGGAGAGTGGTGGAAGAAGGATGTGAGAGAGGTAGTGGAACTGTTCACGAGGACCGGAGGTGATCCTAATGTGTCCGATGCTTTGACCATCAATGGCCATCCTGGTTTCTTATACCCTTGCTCTAAATCAGGTACTTTCTTCATTTGTTTTCATTTTATTACATCTTGTGGAATAAAAACATTATGTAGAGATGAAAATTAAATTTAGGGATGTATATTTCACGAGTATACGATTGAGTTATAAAATCATTGAAACAATATTAGTATATTACATATTGTGATGGAATAGATTATAAGAAACTAAGTAAAATGATTCAAATGAGCTTTTTGTAGGTCAAAATTTTTTAAATTGTTGTTATTCCTTGCTTTTTTTCTATTTTATTTCGTTATTTTACATGCATATATGTTTAACAGATACATTCAAGTTGGTGGTAGAGAAGGGCAAAACCTACCGCATTCGAATGGTAAACGCGGCAATGAACCTAATTCTCTTCTTCGCAATCGCAAAACACAGCCTCACCGTGGTCGCAGCCGATGGCCACTACACCAAACCACTAAACGCTGCTTACATAACCATATCTCCAGGCCAAACGCTAGACGCGTTATTACACGCCGACCAAAACCCAAAACGCACTTATCACATGGCGGCCAGAGCTTACCATAGCAACCCCGTGATCAATTTCAACAACTCCACAACCGTCGGGATCTTACATTATAACGACGACGCCAAAACGTCATCGTCTTCAAAACGCTACCCAAACCTTCCTCGTTACAATGATACGCGAGCAGCTTTCAGTTTCTTTGCCAATATCAAAAGCTTATACTCGGGACAAGTCCCCGTAAAACTCTCACGTAAGATATTCACGACGGTTTCGATAAACCTTCTCTCGTGTCCCAATAACTCGTGTGAAGGTCCAAACGGGTCGAGATTAGCGGCGAGTATGAGCAACATATCGTTCGTTACACCTAGCCACGTGGACATACTAAAGGCTTATTACCTTCACCTTAAGGGCGTTTACGGAACGCGGTTTCCGGATTTCCCACCGCTGTTTTTCAACTTCACCGCGCAGAACCAACCGATGTTTTTGCAGACGCCGAGACTAGCGACCGAGGTGAAGAAGATTGAGTTTGGTGAAGCGGTTGAGATTGTTATTCAAGGGACGAGTTTGACAGGTGGTGGGATCGATCATCCTATGCATCTCCATGGTTTTAGCTTCTATGTGGTTGGTGTTGGCTTTGGGAATTTTAACGCGAGTGAAGATCCGTCTAGCTATAATCTCTACGATCCTCCGTATAGAAATACGGCGACTGTCCCCATCAACGGTTGGATCACTATCAGATTCGTAGCTGACAATCCAGGTACGTACCTTGCATATATAAACTTTTTTAAAGAAAAAAAAATATATACATACGTAAGCATAAATGTCTAACTTTGGCGTGGTTAAAAATGTCTTTGTGAAAATGTGGTGTTGTAACTAACCATACTATACTTTTATCCTAAAAATCAAAAATCCGCACTAAGAAATTTCTTTAAAACAAAATAAAAAAAAACATAACTAAGAAATTTGGACACGAATTTTGTTTATATACACACAAATCGATGAAACCAAACTGAAAAAACAAACATTTATTCGAAACTCATAAAGTACTTTTGTTTTTGAGATTTAATGAAACCTAAAAAAAATTAAAGTTATATAACATTAATTAGAAACACTGATATATATTTACAAAAGAAAACTAAAACCGAATAAAAAAGTAAATTAAATTGAATTGAATTGAACGCAATCGTATCCAACTGATAATTTTAGTTGGGTCATCAAATAAAATAGACCTAAAATAAAACAAAAATAATGAATGGAATGGAACCAAGCCAAATAATCTAATGTATAACTCTCGTTATCACTTTTGAAAATGATGGTTAAAAAATCACCGTTGTTATAATTGCGTTTGTAGGGGTTTGGTTCATGCACTGTCACTTTGATAGACATCTTACGTGGGGTATGAATGTTGTCTTTATTGTCAAGAATGGAAGAGCACCAAATCAGCAGATTCTGCCTCCACCACCTGACTTGCCTCCTTGTTATTAAATAATTCAACCAACAGTTTGATTATCTATTCAAATTGTTTCCAATTTTAGTATATGTAATTCTATCATGCTGTGTTATGTTGATGTCATAAACTGGATTTATTGTTTTTTTTTTCTTAATAATATTCACAAGTTTTTCCACGGTAGTAATAATAACTTAAGGAAGACTCCCAAGGCCCAAAGACAAATGGTGCTACTATACAAAACAGGGTCTCAAGACAGTGATTTGTCTCAATGAGTTAACTAACAGGAGATATGTCCATGTCTTGTACCATACCATTGTCATCATCCTCATCTTGAGGGATCGGTGCGTGATGGAGACCCTCTGTGTAAGTGGAGTGATGCATCTGTGTTATGTGACCTTGTTGAAGTGCTATAGTCTTGTGGTATCCACTCCAATCCCTTCGGCTCCAAAGGTACAGAGGTGGTGGTAAATTGTTCCACTGCTCTATTGTTTTATCATTAACATCTATCGATCCGGGCAAGTAGAACGACTGCAGAGTAAAAAGAATGTGATTGAATGATATTGGTATGATAAAACGAGAGTTGGATTCATTTCTAAACGTACTTACCATGCCACGAAGCATATTGGTGTCCTTCCAAATCAAGTCATAATCAGCTATCTCATCGACCCTAATTGTAGACGAAAACAGAGTTATGAAAAGTTTGTAATTGAGACTCAGTACAGTATTTGCTATTTACCTTTTTGTTTCACTTGGTACGATGAGGATTAAAATCTTCGGTTTAAACTCGAGGGCCTTCTTGATGAAACGGTTAGCAAGACTGGATTTGTAACCGAAAGGCGGGTTTAACCCCATTATCTGTTTTTATCAATGACACATAAAAAAGATTTTAGTTAGTGATTCAAGAAGTGCATCTCACCTTCAAGATGTTAGTTGTTGTATTACTAGTTGAGAGCCGTCGGGTAACTCTTCTTTCTTCACACTCAACCAATCTCTCTTTTCAAAGTTGAAGTTATTCTGCCATGGAACCATAATGTTTCAGAAACAGCTTCAAACACAAAAGTTAAAAAAAGGAGGTGATGTACCTTAGGTGGAATGAGATCAAAATTTTTGAAAAAGCATAATTTTCCCATTTTCCCGAGCTTTTCGTTCATCATGCAACTGAAGTCATTTGAGCCACAACAAAAGTCGACTACCTAAAACCAACGAGAATGTTATATGACATACATTTACATAATAGAGGAGTGGTTGCCTGGTAAGTTGAGGAATAAGCAACTTTACCGTATCTCCACTCTGCACATACAAGTGGAGCCTCTCTACTATCTGCATCATTAATTTCAAATTCATCGGTTTCTAATAATCATCTCTAAACACGTAGACTTCAATGGATCAAGCTAAACATAAGTAAATATAACAAAAGAGACAAATATTTTACCTCTGTTAGTTTCTCTGGTTTTGTGAAGTGTCGGCCAAACGATGTATAGCGCATACCATGGAGAAAAGGCGAAAGATAAATTTCAAGCTTCGTCTGCAGTTAAAAAACACAAATGTTTCATATTGTGTAACATTTTTCCTGAATGGTAATTTTTTCACGTGTAGGAATTTTCGTATCAAGAAGATAGTAGGAATTCTATTTGAGAATAATCTTAAGTGATAAAAGCATTATGATAACTAAAAAAAAATTTTAAAACCTTATGCTTCATGAGTTGGAGTAGGTCATCTGGACCAAATATAGCTCTTGCATCTTCCTCGCGCCCTTCCTCAAACATCTTTAACGCAGCTCGAGCGGCCTGCAGAACAGTCATTAAAGATCCATGGAGACAACTCTGCTAACTAAATAACAAACCTTTGTTTCACATAAAAAACCAGAGTGACATACATTGACATGAGTCTTAACCAATCCTGTGGTGATGTTTTTGACGATATCATTTCCTGAATGGTAGGATTTTACATGGGTTGCCCCACGAGACTTCATGTACTCATCAAAGTTAAACGAAGATTCCACTTCCTCGATTATAGACATCACCCTGTGTAAACTGTAAACCCCAAAAAATAAAACGATTAGTTGAAACTATCAATAATGTAATTGTTATTTTGTATTATTGTTGAGTGGCCAAAAGAATATCACCTCGGCTCCTCATCCTCGTCTTCTCTGATAGGCTCAGCAAAGGCGGAAGGACCTTCTTCTTTCAACAACTTTTGACCAATGCTATCCATCTTCCGTTTCATAAGATTATTATTGAAACTTAAATTCATCCTTGGTTTCCTAGATTCATTAATACCAAGACGATCAGGTAGACCCCCATGATGCTTAAAATCCGTCATCCTACCCGAAACATCCACTTTGACAGGTGCAAGCCCGTGACTCTGTGTTCTTAGGCCAGCTTTATCAGGAAAGATTAAGTGGTCTCTAGCGGGAGTAGCAAGATGACCTATTATCTCATGGTTCCTGGTCAAAAGAATATGAAAAGCTATATACATAATGCAGATCATGACAGAAAAAATGCTTTAAAATGCACACAAAACCAATCAGAGTATTCAAAAACTTACAAACAGTACATCAGAATGCGATTGTATGGAAGCAGTCTCTCCCAGGTCCTTTGAGGTGTTTCCTTGTCACAGTTGAGTTCAGAAGTAATCTCCCTGAGTACAAAAAAAAAGAAGCAACAATCTGAAGCTGATATATATAGCCACTAGAATGAGGAAAAGAAGTAAAATGACAAATGGTTTACCAAGGTAAACATTTTCTGTGGTAAGCGGTTGGGCAGCGTCTGCATACAGCAAAATGCAACGCATATACATTCTTGTTTTCACTTGTCTTACAGAGTTTACATATGTGTAGAGGACAACAGAAGGAATCTCTAGCAGCAATCTTGGCTTGAAGTTCTTCCGACTTGTTTTGATCACCAGCATAAAGATGTTTTGCAACACATATTGGATGATAGAAATGACCGCAATTTGAGGCGGAACAAGGGAAGACCTTCAGAGAAGTAAACAGTTGAATCCTTAATTGAAGATTTCAAGTACTCGATACAGATAAAGTAGCCTAGTATCCATAAGAAGAAGAATTTGGTACCTCTTGAGAGGAATTTTCATCAGATGATCCCAGTTGACCACAAGCATAGCATTGATGCTGTTTGTAGAGACAGTTATCACACAAATACGTCCCGAGTGCCTACATATGTGAGCAAACTAACTTTAGCATGAAGCCTCACCATAATAGCATATTAAACAGAAACTCTAAAGCCGATTCACTGTACATGAACTTGAGTCCCATCAGGGAATCCTAGTGATTGGCATGATGAGTCAATTCCATCAGCTATAGTTGCATGGAAAGATCTCAAGCAGCTTCCTTCACAACTGAGTTCAAAACAATGAAAATAAATGAAATCATTGCAGCTTGTGAGGAGCTCTAGAAATAGCATCAAAAATCTTCAGAAACTATGAGACGCTTGACATACCACAGAATGTAACCACCATTGTCACAAAAAGAACAGACTGTATCAAACTGCAGGTTCATCGCAGAATCATCATCACTGCTGTTTTCCTCGTCTGTCATATTATCAACAGTGAAATTCTCTTCTTTTGGTGTCTGCTCATCTTGTTGATGGTGCGTTGGAAGTTCCTTAATAAGAGAAAAAAAGAATTAACCTCGTTAGTATGAGAGCAAGAAAAGCAGCAGAGAACATGGAATCCACTTCTAACTAGGTCTCACCACTTCGATAGATGTTGTTTGTGAAGTCATCTCCAGAAATCTACGCAAGCACTGCACACAAGAAATTTTATAACCACAAAGAAATAACTAGTCAGCCTAATCAAATCTTTCCAACGAAGATAGAAAAAAACAAAGAGAAAACAGACCTTTGATTTTGTTAAATCTTCATCCCTTTTCATAGCTTGACACAGCAAAGCAACATGATCTGATAAGTCATGCTCTGAAGGTTGGATCCTGAGTAAACAACAAGCTTGATTCAAAGATGACATAAAAAGGAAAACACATCAAGATAAACTTCATGGACATCTAAAGCATACCCATCAGCTTTGTGTAAACTGTTCCACACATCGACGCTTGATGCCTCCGGATTCCTTTTAACAAAGTGAAGACACTGAAGGGTGGCCAGAATTGTTCTAACTAAAGCTTCATAACTCTTTGCTGGGTTCTGTAGAGTTATCCAGTGCATCCCATATAGAAGCACTTCGATCTTGGGATGTTCATCAGAGAGATCAAACTTCCACGCTTTGGCGAGCTTATAAAGTGACTCGTATCCACAGTAAGTGCTGCCACGCAAATACACGGGCAGTCCCGAGCTGGCAGCTGAATCTTCGTTGTCCCATTTGACTGGTAGTTCACAAAAGCTGATAGGTGTGTCACTTTGATCAACGAAATAGTAATCATCGACAAATTCAGGTAGAATCTCTCCTTCTTCGTCTGACCAATCCATTAGATTAGCTGGAAAAGAAAAAACACCATGTTTTACAATTTTTAGCTCCTTGACTCACTAACAGAACCAATCCACATAACAAAACACTAAATAAACCAAATCCGAGAAACTATACAGTTGATTAACCTTAGATGACAAAGGAATCGTGCATTTTAAGGAGAAATTAGCATTAAATCATGGGATAGTCAAAAAGATTATACAAAGCAGAGCATCAATCATATAAAAACTGATTATAAATAGATATATGGTCTGCGCTGAGATTCAAAAGCAATTTCTGGGATGCCCAAAATAAGCAACCAAAAGATCTCAAACGAACAAAGCAAAGATACAGAGCAGAAAATTTTCAAAAAAGAAGGAACAACAGTGTGAACGCACCGTGATCCTGCTTGAGCTGAAGATACCGTACGGACACTTAAGCCGTGTAGTTAAACCCTAAAACCCTTTGTATTCTAAAAACCAAAGGAAGAAGAAGAAGAAAAGTGTGTGTGTGAGAGAGAGAGAGTTTTTTCCTTGAATAGGAAGAAGACGAAGAAAATGGTGGGAGTGTGACTGACGTTGTTGCTTCGTACGAATTAAACCCGTTTTAGGCAAAAAGTAAAGTATTTTCTTGTTTTATTTAGTGATAGATAAATGACCAAAAACCCCATTACATCAATTACGGGCTTTCCACGGGCTCCTAATTAGGCCCGAGAATAATGACACGATGTGCAACAAGACCAACCCTACAGTGATATCGCTCTGAAGTTGATGCCTGCCCTTTTTTTCAAAAGTTCAGCTATGAATAAACAGTGCTTAATAGATTATTTATGTTTATATCAACTTTGATGCTAGAATAGGAAGTAGTCATTCTTAATTTTATTAATCCTTGGTTTGTTTTCATACTTGAATAAGTAACGCTTTATTCAAAGAAAAGATGGGTAAACGTTTCAAATCCATAGTTTCTTAAGCTAAATTTGACCATGTTGTGAAAACAAAAAGTTAGTGAGAGTCTTTATGATTATTGCGAATGGAGAGCATTAGAACTTGGAAGAAAAAAGTCTTAACAAATACATATATTGTAATGCTTGTTTAAGAAAGTGTTTAGGTCAAAGAAGACTGTCTATGCGAGACGGCAATCTCTTGAAGAAGTTACTTGGCAAAGAAGGTAACTTGCTTCTAAACTTTGGGTGCCTTAGATAGTATAGCCCACCAGCCAGTGTTATTGCTTTGAATGGCATTACGTAAAGAACCACGGATGCAGCCAAGCAGAACAAGATGAAGAGGCTTGTAGCCCTGGGGTCTCGCCAGCTCATAAGTGACTGAATTCTCTCTCCCTGAGCAGCAATGTCTCCAACAACAGTCTGAATCCTACCTGCCACGCTTCTGAGCCGGTCATACCTAAGCCGCACCAAGTCTTGTGACCGAGAAGTTGGGAATGTGTCAAACTCTTCATCAAGCTCATCAGGACCAACAGCCTCGGCCCACGAGAGCTTCATATCCATGTGAGGAGGGTGTCTTGGCCTGGACTTGAAGTTCCACAATCCGATGAAGAACATGTAGAGAAACATTGTGGGCAAAATAAGTTCAGGGTACATGACCAAAATGAAGAACAAGACATGAACCAGAACCGAAGTAACTGGGTATCTCCAGTTGCAGACATCCTCAAGCCATTTCCCGACTAAGAAATAACCCGAGAGAAGCGACATTATGCGAAAAAAGTTGGCTTTGCTTCTTCTCATGCTCCACAGGTGAGAGTCTACATCTAACATGTACTCGACGACCTCTTTCCTAAGTGGCGGCTCAGCTCGGCCGAGGCGGGTTGCAACGATGTTCATGGCTTGATACCTTAAACCATCTACTTGGTTAACTGTGAAAGGGAAAAGATAGTGCATTTTGGGGAGAAGCGGGTGGCCATAATTGTAGATGATGTTGGCTAAAGAGAGGGTTGTAAAACGGACTGATAACTGGAGGTCACCAGTTTTCTTGAGGCCGTGCGGTTGAAGAACAAGAAGCGGGAATGAGTGTGTATAGATCTTGTGAGCCTCTAGTGTAGACAACCTGATTCGAACCTGTTACAAGAGTCAAAATTTAAAATGGAACTAAAGGAAAAAAAGCTATTGGCCACTCTAACATTATAGAGAGTCAGAAACAAAGAGATTTCACCTTTCCGATTCTTGCATCTCTAGAAACGTCATGTCCAGACTGTACAGTACCCAAATGACAATTGTCGAAAATTCCAAGAGTGACAACAGTACAAGGATCATAGACTTCCCATGTGTACTGCTCGTTCCATCTCGGACTCAGTGAGTCAAGAATGGTTCTGGTTCTCACCCATTTTTGCCCAAACTTAGCCACACAATAAGCGTCTGTGCTTCCTCTACCGTCTTTCAACTTCATAGGCACCAACCCTTTTGCTCCAAGAATCCCAATCTCCAGCATACCAACCGGCTGCTTCCATAGCTGTCTAGCCGTCGGTCTTGTGTCACTAATGTACATTGTTGACTCGTCCATCACATGGTAGCCTCCTTCAAGACAGATTCGCAGGTGAATCCGGCTTGAGAACTTATGTTCTTTCCTCCTTGAGTCTCCGTCAAGAACTCCGGTACCGTACTTATCAAGATTGAACCACCGAGAATGAACAGGACGGTGGTCTAACCGCTTCTCGAGCATGTTCATTGGCAAGCTGATCTTGCCAATCACTTCATCTTTTGACGTGTGAACGCGGTCTTCTACTGAGATCACTAGCTGCTCTTCAAATGGTTCAGCAACCACAAAGACAAGATCTTCATTCCAGAGAGGATTTGTGGTCTTCATGGGACAGATCTTGGTCTTGAGGGTTTGCATCCCGACATTGGCTTTAACGAAAACATCAGGAAGCCGAGTTCTGTCACTCGGGATCATGTCTTGAGCTTCGATAACATTGACTCTTAAGTACCATAGCTTAGGAGATACATATACCTTGGATCTGATGTTGAACACGCCTTCTCCATGAACAGAAGCAGAGTCGGCATGCCATGCTTCAGGAAAAGCTTCATCGGCTTGAGTTCCCATCCAGACAGCAAGCATTATCTCTCCCCGTACTACTCTGCCTTCTCCTCTCCAATCCTCTAATCGGTACCACTGTGGAGCTAAAGGACTGTTTGGTGGAACCCTTGTAGGGATCTCGTTAAGATCAAACACTACCTTTCCAAGAAAATCATCTCTGCCTAACGTTTCCTTGTCCTTCACAAAGACTTCAAGAACCGATGATTGAATCCGTTCTTTGGTAAATGCGAAAACTTGGTTCCATTCAGGGACAGTTGTCTTTCTATCAAAGTGTTTCGTTCTTCCCTTGTAGTTCCCAAGCTTCACCTCCACGTAAGGATCACATCCGCCAGTGATTGAACCTTGAGGAAGTTCCTTGGCTCTGACAACTCGAACGTAAAGATAAAACATCTGCTCCACAAGATCGTATGTGCCTGTGAATCTTTCTCCAACGTTTGTGTTTGGCCATCTCTCTCCAAGTTCCAGATTCATGTCTTTCACTTTAAAGTCATCTGGGTCAGTGTCACCATATGATTGCAAGTGGTTTGTCTTGTGAGAGGGAAGCTGGTTAGCTCCACGTGGCTGCTGAGGATGAAGATGGTTAGCTCCACGAGACGGTGGTTTGTTGGCTTCTTGCGGGTTTTCACGAGACCGCAGGCGAATGGAATGCATTGGTGCAGGCCGTGCAAAGACTTCTTGTCTATGTAGTTTTTGAACAGCTTCTTTAACTTGTTCAGTTCCTCCTGCTGTCTTCTTTCCTTCTACACACTCGCTGGAGGATTCAGCAAAATCTTCTTGCTCTGCTGATGCAAAACTCTCCCGAGAATCTTCTGTTTCAGAATCAGTAATATTTTCTTCTATTCCAGAAGCAGCAAGAAGGGAGGCTTGCGTTGGGCTGGTGTAAGGTTTGGAAGGAAAAGGAAGAGGAACGGTTTGGTCTGGTTCGGATAATGAGATGTAGAATTTGAGGCCAATCTCACCTTTAACAGAAGATAGAAGCGATTTCTTCTCCAACGTGAAGCGCTGGTACACTTGGTCGCCTTCGTAAACAATGTTAGAGAACGAAATCTTGACTCTACCGAGGAAACTTCTACCGGGAACTGGTCTTCGTTCGTGGTAAACAGAGACTTCAATGTGTTGGTTGTGATGGTTTATTACCTTGCGGTCGTAATCGAAGTAGAGTTTCTGGTTCCAAACAGGGTTAAGACTTTTGGGTACGGTTCTGGTTTTGCTCAACTGATTAAGGTAATCAACTTCTACAAAAGGACTTGCTGAGCCTTGGCCATCTCTGGGCATAAGGTTTTGAGCATCCACCACATGTACGACCAGTTTGGTGGTGTTTCTCATGGTGGGTTTCTTTGGTTTCTTGGGGTCCAAGGGAGGTTTTAAAAGGGAAAGAATCTAAAGGAGAGAAACCCAATTGGGGAAGAAAAGTATTTATTCTGATTAAACTACCACGAAAGAAGCTTGTTTGTTGGTTGAAGTAAAGAATGGGATTATGAAGAAACTGCTTTTTGTCTCTGATTGTGCTACAAGCTTTTGTAAGATTCTCTCTAGGAAGATGTATTTGGAGGAAAAGTATAAAACTTTTGCCAAGTGTAAAGTCTTTGGGACTCTGCAAATGATTACAAATCGTGCAAATTCAGATAATGACCGATGACTTGTTTCATTTCCAACTTTTCATTTTTTTAACACCGACTTGTGTGGCAAATTAACTTCGGCTGATTCTGGACACTTTTGACATGAAATGTGAATATTCTTTTACCACACACAGATCAAACTGTATAATTCATGTAAAAATTTCATTATTGCGTTTCTCAGAAGTTTATAACAAATAAATACGTGCTGATCGTTTCTATTCAAAGCTCAGAGCAAACAATCCTTTTAATTTCATAAATATGTATTTATTAGATTTTTGACATCAATGGTAAATTATATTTCTGGAATGGGAAATAAAAAAGTTCTATGTTGAGAGACCGAGTCAAATGAGCATATGGACTAACTTCACAGTCACAATGAAAGATCCAATGTGTACCTCAAACCAATAACCTGTCTTCAGGAAAGCACAATGTCATGACTCGGATTGACTAAAGGTGCGTGCTCGCATCAAACAGTCAAACATGGCAAGTCCTAAGTAATTTCCCATTCTTCTTTCTGCAATGCTATGTCCTCGTGACGCTGAGCTTTTGGAGAGCCAGCACCAATAAACCAGCTTTTGTTCGCTTGCAACGAAGATGCTAAAAGCTAACCTGAGAATGTCGTCTGTAAATTCCATTGAATGAAATTTACGTTTCTGGTCTGAGACGGGAATGACATTAATGGGGGCAAAAGCAAGATCAGATTCAATTGAATGAATTCCTATGGAAAACACCATCCATGTCAGAAGCACAGGCTGCTAAAGTCAGATACAGAATGTGGCCTTTAACTCTCACATTCTCTTCGCAATGTCTTGATTTGGCTCTACTGTAGCAAAAATTGCAGCCGACTATCTACTAAAACGACTGTTTATGTCCTTCAACTACAGGACAGCCAGAGTCTTATCCAGATATCAGATTATTGTCCGACTCTTCTTCTTCTTCTGACCAAACCGGATAAATAGCCTTGATACTGTTGTTCCCCAAATCAGCCTCAAAAGATTTCTGATACAGTCCCCTACTTCTATCAAGAAACCCTTCATTCATCATGTTTGCAAATTTTTCCCTGATTTCAACGAGCGGGTGCTTTTCAAGGAGATGCCGCCTATCATATGCTTCTCTAAGGATCACTGTCTGTGTATCACACTTCATAGAAATGTAGAAAATACCTGGGTGGCGCTCAAACACTTTGGTGAACTTCTGAGGAAGTGCAAACGGTTTACGAAGATTGCTCACGTTTCTCCTCTCCAACTTTTTCCCAATCGTTAGATGAAGAAGCTCGTGAAACAGTCCTACGTTTCTCTTCTCAGATATATCAGTTCTTGGATCCAAATGAGATGCATCGACATAAGGTGACGTATAAGGGAGTCTCTGCCATTCTTGGAGCCACTCCATGCTCTTCCTCTTCAGTCCAAAACCCCTCGTAAACTTAACCGGGAAGGCTGTACGATTATCATTTCTCAGGTCTTGTTTCAACTGCAGTTGGGAAACAGCTAAGCGTTCATCCCAATGTATCAGTTTCAAACCCACAAGATCGCTGGACAACTTTACAAAACAGAATAAATCAGGGTGATTAGGAATCAACGAGGCTTGATAATCATATGGCAAACCCATATCCCATCTGAGATGGTCAATGGAGTGCAGAGGAAGTGTTCTTTGGACCGTAAGCATAAGAAGTTTGCATAACCTCACAAGAACATCCTCCTTGTTCACCCGTAGAACATCAGCTTCTTCACGGTGAATATCTACTGCTTCAGGGGTTAAACCGAAACAAGGGACACGAGTACCCGCACTGTCACGATAACAATGCTCCACAAAAATGTTGGGATATCTCCGGATAAAAGCGGCGAGCTTAAGATCTTGAGGCAGACCAAGCTGACCACGGTGAGTGTTTAGGTGGAAGATTGGTAATCTTGAATCAGGAGCTGAGGAGATAACTGAAACAAGGTTGCAAACTGCTCTAAGATGCTTTTCACGAACCACAACAGCATCGAGTTCCTTATCTTTCACCCATTTCAACTTAACATTAACTAGACCACATTTCTGCATAAAATCGAATCCTTGTCTGCATTTGCACAAAGTAGTAGAGAGACTAACCCTTCGCTGCAGCAACCACCGCATTAGAAACCCGATTTATCGATTACGAGCAGGCTCCATGAGATTACGACAAACAGCCCAGCCTCTGAGAAATCCAAGCACAGATTTTAGTAACTCACAGCTAAATTGGTCATAATTTTCAACTTTCCTGTAACAACAGCAGTTTTGGGTATGGAAATAAGCAGCAAAAAACAAAACTTGAAATACCAGGACGATGAACAATTGAAATTAGATGATTGAGCAGAATAGTATCAATCTACTGCATCAAACTCATGTTGACTGTGAACTTTGAATGAAGGGTGAATTTACCTGCAACCACGAGGTTTTCAAGGGCAAAAGGAAGTGACTTTTGATTCACAGCTTTGCCGTTATTTCTCTGTCAGACGAACACAGTCGAGCGCAACGACGGCAAGTTAAAGAGATGACGGCAAGTTAAAGAGATGACGGCTTCTGATTTTCTTTTTTTTTTTCTTTTTTTTGGGTAGTGGACTGGTTGACCCATTAAATGGTAATATGGGCGGGTCAAGTCGGGTCAGGGTTAGCGGGTTATAAAGGAAATGGTCAAACCCGGTATTGTGTGGCGAACAACAGAAACTGCGTCTTCTACACAGTTCTCAAGCATCATCAAAACAGGGTTTTGCTAGGGTTTTAAGTTGGCTGCTCTGTCTGATGCACTTGACCCTTATTATTCCCACTCATTAAATCTCCATAGAATTCGAGCAGAAGCTATACATCTAATCTCGAAAGCCTCGCGAAAATGGTCCCTACCAATGGCGCAAAGGTTCTTCGCTTGTTGACTCGTCGATGTCTCTCCTCAACGCTTCTTCAAGATTGTGCCAATCAGGTTGGTCCTTCTCTCTCGCTCTCTCTCTCTTTCTCTCCCTCTCCTCTCTCTCAATTTCAAATTGTGTCTATGGGAATCTGCAGAAACTCAGGGGAGTAGCTGTTGGGAGTTTTAGGAGATTGAATACGGGTGCTGGCAATCCTGCGAAAGTGCTTGGAGATTACGCTTCAAAATCTGGTATAATTGCTGCATAATCGCTATACGAAAATGTAAAAATTATGAATTGTTGAGTCATTTCGAGTATTGCCAGAGAATTAACATTATGATCTTCTGATGCAGGGCATGATCGGAAATGGATCAACTTTGGAGCTTTTAATTCTAAATTTGGTTCAACAAGGTCTATCCATGGAACAGGTAGGATCGGAGCTTCCTTAATTTCTGACAGTTGTTTTATAATTGAAACTCGTTACAATATGTTTTCTGTTTTCGAATACTAGGTTCTTCATGTATGTCTTCTAAAGACTATTATGAACTTCTTGGAGTGAGCAAGAATGCTCCAGAAGGTGAAATCAAGAAGGCTTATTATGGGGTAGGGACAATGTGGCTGAGTGCTTGCATCTTTATGTTGTTCGTGTATGGGATCAATTATGTTCATCTGCTGGTTTCTCACTGATTGATGCTAATGTTTATATCTTTTTTCCAGCTTGCGAAGAAACTCCATCCTGATATGAATAAAGATGACCCAGAAGCTGAGAAGAAGTTCCAGGAGGTCTCAAAAGCTTATGAAGTGAGTTTGACATCTTAGACGAAATTGTTTGGTATGATCTGTTAATAATCTTATATACTGAAGAGAATTGTGGTTTGGGACTTTTTTTGGATCAGATTTTGAAAGATAAGGAGAAGCGTGACCTTTATGACCAGGTACATACACCTCATCATATTTCTTGGATTTCGTTATTGCAAGCTTGCATGTTTTTGCATTGTTCCCTCGATTACCTATTACCGATGATCTAAGTCTGTTGTAATGTCTGCAGGTTGGGCATGAAGCATTTGAGCAAAATGCTACTGGTGGATTTTCAAATGATGCAGGAGCAGGAGGCTTCGAAGGGTTTAACCCCTTTGACATCTTTGGACGGGGCTTTAGCGATGTAATATTTTTTCTTTCTTGGTTTTCATCTAATGTGTTCCACTCAAAAGAATATTGTCTACAGTTCATAGTTGATATTTTGATAAGGATAGCCAAGTTATACTTCCTTTTGAATGAAAATGGTTTAACTTATCAGCATCAATGGTTTACACGCTAATTCTTTCAATAATCAGATCTTCAACCAAAGGCAAGATTTCGGAGGTCAAGATGTCAAGGTATTACGATCTGCTTATTTTCAAATTTATGTGCTCCTAGACTAATCCGTTTTTCTTTTTTCTCCTTCTATACTTTTGTAAGGTTTTGCTTGATCTTTCTTTTATGGAAGCTGTTCAAGGATGCTCCAAAACTGTGACCTTTCAAACCGATCTGTCTTGCAATACTTGTGGTATGCTTATATTCTTACGATCAATGTGCTCGTGTGCGTTATATATTGTTATTGTCTCAATCTCAAGTTACTGATCGTTGTTTTCTTTCTTCCTCTCACATTCAGGTGGACAAGGTGTTCCTCCTGGTACCAAACGTGAAAAATGCAAAGCCTGTAATGGCTCTGGGATGGTCAGTATCATGTTACAAAACTCTAGTTTGAACACTGTAATTATGGTTTTTTAATTTTTATGATGGTTTAAGGTGAGACACTTACGTTTTTCAGACAACAATGAGAAGTGGTATATTAAGCATCCAACGATCTTGCCAAAAGTGTGGTGGAGCTGGTCAAACGTTCTCAGTATGTCATATATCTGGCCATCTTCTGTTAGATTCATCCCAAATGTTCGGTCTTTAAGTAGGTTTCTATAACGATTGGATTGCTCACAACTTCTTGTGTTGGGGTATTACTAGAGTATTTGCAAATCCTGTAGAGGGGCTAGAGTGGTTCGAGGACAGAAGTCAGTGAAAGTCAATATTGATCCAGGTAATTTCTCTTTGCATATCTTTAGGTAATAATTAAAAACAAACTATAATCTTTATCCCTTGAACCTCTTCAATTGTACATATTTGTTAAACTTTTCAGGGGTTGACAATAGCGATACATTAAAAGTAGCAAGGGCGGGTGGGGCTGATCCTGAAGGTGACCAACCTGGAGATCTCTATGTTATTTTCAAGGTGACTTTACTTAAGTCAACTTTTTAATGGACAGCCATAGTTAATAATTTCATTGCGTTCTCAATATCTCAGCTGTATTCCTTTTCAGGTTCGTGAAGATCCTGTGTTCCGCAGAGATGGATCAGATATTCATGTGGATTCGGTTCTCAATGTTACCCAGGTGAAATAACATGCTCTTGTCAATCCTGTATCTAAAAGTTCATAGGTGCTTTAGCCTTTATTATTTGTTTCGAACTTCTGATGCAGTATCCTTGAGCTCTTTTGCCAATTTTTGTTTTGTTCCTGATAACCAAGTATATTCTTCATGTTTTCCCAGGCCATTCTTGGAGGAACCATTCAAGTTCCAACCCTCACCGGTGATGTGGTCGTCAAGGTTTCTAAATGCTTCACTATTTTACATGTTTTAAAATCTTACCCTAGTTATATTGAACGGCCAAAAATGCTTGCCGGCTAAGTGAACAAATTCTCAACGTGAAATAGCATTCGCCAGCCAGATTCTGAACTTCAGTCAGAGTATCTTATTCTTTGATGGAAAAGAGGATCATATTTTTGTTTGCTAGCAATGATAGTTTCGGGTTTCCCCACTTGGTGTAGTTTAGGGCTGGGCTTGGAACTTCTCCAGCAATCTAACTTGGAAACTCTTTTGTTGCAGGTCCGTCCTGGAACCCAACCTGGTCAGAAAGTAGTGCTAAGAAATAAAGGTGAGCTGTTTTTTTTGGTGTTGATAAGTTCAGGTGTAGAATACCTGAAAGGTGATATAAACTCTTGAGCAAGATAGAGAAAGAAAAAGTTCTTGAAACCCATATGGAAGCTGGGGACAGATTGAGAAAACCAAGTATTAATTAGATTCTTATTCGTTTGCTTTTCAATTCACATGGTTTTTGTTTACGATACAAACAGGTATTAGAGCAAGAAAGTCGACTAAATTTGGGGATCAATACGTCCATTTCAACGTCAGCATCCCTGTGTAAGTCCCATAAAGCGACCAAGTAAATTTTGTAGTATGTCAGGTTACACATCGTGATCTCTTATGTTTTGTTTATGTTCTTTGGCAGTAATATAACGCAGAGACAGCGTGAACTGCTTGAGGAATTCATTAAAGAAGAACAAGGTGAATATGAGCGGCGCACGGCTTCTGGATCGTCCCAGTGAAAACTTCAAATGCCATAGCTGAAAAAAAGAAGTATTAATCACCCTTCTTAATGAATATATCAATCAGACATGATTGAGATTATATTGGCTAGGATTAGTGAAAGTATTGGTTTGGTTGTTTCTTTTAACTAACTCTACAATGCTAGAAGATAAAAGAAGAAGAAACTTGCCCTGTTATTTGCCAGTTTTTTTGCTTCTCGAAATTTCGAGGTTTATAGATGTGGTTCATCTTTTCATTATCGTCTGTTCCATTTTTCATACTTGTTCTGAAGTTTAATAAGAATCGTGTTTTCCCTGTGAACGTTACATGCTGTTTTCAAACATTTTGCAGCTTACTTCTTCTGTAAAGTGTTTTTGGGTTAATAACATTGATGGTAGTAATATCACGGACAATAACAACAACAAAAATAACAGTATCATGAAGCATCACAGTAATAAATAGCCCTTTGCCCAGAATTTTTTATTTTTTAAAAATGATTTGAAAAGAGAATGGGCAATAGAACGATTTTTCAAATATTACTTTCTAAAAGTAAGAAGATTTTTTGGGAAGTATTTTCACTGGATACAATGAACATGGAAGGTCGAATACGGACATCAAATCTACTCTATCTCCCGCCATATCACAGCAGCAACACCAAAGAGAAACGGAAAGTAAAAGGAGACGTGTTTCTCTCTTCCTCTCCTTTGTCGGAAGAATCGTTATGGAGTTGCCGGTTGTAGATCTGTCGCGTTACTTACAATTCTCGGATGATGGGTCGGTTTCTCAACTGGGTACTGATCTTCTCGACTCTTGCCGAGAGGTGAGTCGGATCCTGAAGGAAACCGGAGCTCTTCTGGTCAAAGATCCGAGATGCTCCGCTCAAGACAACGATCGATTCATCGATATGATGGAGACTTATTTCCAGATGCCCGATGATTTCAAGCGATTGCAAGAGAGACCTAATCTACACTACCAGGTTCATAGATCTTCCTTTCTTATCGATTCTTTGATTTACAGATTCACAATCCATTTTAAGCTTTTTTCTCTCCCTTTGGATTGGGTTTTGCACCAAGCCAAACTCAATCTTCACTATGGATGATCCAGACTAGACACTGGGCAATGATTAGGGTTCGAAATCACTAGTCCTCTCCATTGAAATCTAATTTGGGCATTATCACTATTGCTCAATTGCACTTGTGTTCAATTGCACTTGTGTTGGTTAAAAATTCAATCTTTGCTATGTAAATAGGGAAAAAAAATTAATTGGCTATGGTGGATTCAACAGGTTGGTGTGACACCGGAAGGAGTTGAAGTTCCAAGAAGCTTGGTTGATGAAGAGATGCAAGAAAAATTCAAGACAATGCCCGAAGAATACAAACCACACACTCCTAAGGGACCAGATCACAAGTGGAGATACATGTGGAGAGTAGGTCCTCGGCCATCAGACACACGCTTTAAGGTATGGTCTCGATACATCTCACTAGATTGGTAGCTATATGTTTTTATAATAAAATTGTTTTAAGTGTTGATTATTACGAGATACCATGTTTAGGAGCTCAACTCTGAGCCTGTCATACCAGAAGGTTTTCCAGAATGGAAAGAAATAATGGACTCATGGGGTTACAAGATGATATCAGCTGTTGAAGTGAGACACTTTTACAGAGTTGGCATCTGATGATTGTTCAGTTTTAGTTAACTACGAGGTGATGATTTTTTTTCTTAAATTGTTCAGGTTGTTGCTGAGATGGCAGCAATCGGGTTTGGTTTGCCCAAGGATGCATTTACATCACTCATGAAGCAGGTAAATTCTTAGGCCTTCTAATATGAGCCTTTTTTTTTATATTCAGCTGTGTTTGGATTATTGTGGAAACAAAAGGAAAAATTTAGTGTTCAAAACAGTCCACATTTAGCTTAAGTTTTGGATGAATGGTTAAAGTGGAAACTTGGGTCATGCGTGGATTGTGATTTCTTTTAACTTGAAGAGTATCCTTCTTGTGAATCTCAGGGCCCTCATCTTCTTGCTCCAACGGGAAGTGATCTTAGCTGTTACAACGAGGAGGGCACGATATTTGCAGGATATCACTATGACCTCAATTTCCTAACAATTCATGGAAAAAGTAGGTTCCCTGGTCTATATATCTGGTTAAGGAATGGGGAAAAAGTTGCGGTTAAAGTTCCTGTAGGCTGCCTCTTGATTCAAGCTGGAAAGCAGGTATGAAAAGGTTACCACATTTGTTTACTTGATATTGAGTAAACTAGGGGAAGAAACTATGTAATGAATTGAGATTCTACTACATTAGCTAAATTGTTGGTTACTCATGTGTTTAGATAGAATGGTTGACTGCTGGAGAATGCATTGCCGGAATGCATGAAGTCGTTGTCACAAGCAAGACTATGGATGCAATCAAATTAGCAAAAGAACAAAACCGAAGCCTATGGAGAGTTTCCTCGACTGTAAGTCTTCTGAACCAGTTTCCTTAAAAGTTTTCCAACAGACACAACATTTAGGCTTATCTGAAAGATTTCTTTTTGTCCATCTTGCAGTTGTTTGCCCACATTGCCTCTGATGCTGAGCTGAAACCTTTGGGACATTTCGCAGAATCATCTCTAGCAAGTAACTATCCGGCGATACCCGCAGGAGAGTATGTGGAACAAGAGCTCTCTGTCATCAATCTAAAAGGAAAGAAGGGATTTTCTTAACTTTTCTGTTCAACCAACTAGTTGCATTCGTGGGTGGAAAACATATTCTACTTCCTCCTGATTCAGAAGATTTGAAACCTCTGCTTTTGTGGAAGCAGTTGGTTTTGATAAGTCAGATGTCGATCAAAATTGGGACTTCTACTTGTTGATTTTAAACGTTTCAAACGTTTCTTTATCTATTGCGTTTTAAATATGTTGGCTAGCCATATCTGTTATAACCAGAAGTCCTATTAGACACATGATATCACAATTTGTTGAAGTATATCCCTAACAAGGTGTAGCTTCAATTGTCAAAAAAAAAAAAAAAAAAACTTTTGTGTATCTGAATCAACAGAACTCAATTCAGTGTATATAATGTTTAATTTTTTAAAAATCTACCAACAACAGCTTACATACAAAGTAGACACATTGTTTTATTCAGTCAAAAGAGAGGAGGAAAAGAAATCACAACAAAAAAGAAGAGAGAAAGAAAATGATTTCTATGATGTTCCACAACAACCCTTTCCTTTAGATTCAGTATCTTCTCCAGGAACAACAATCTTAGTTCCTTGCAGGAGTGAGGAGTCCCCTCCAGATTCTCCTTCCTCATTGGCAACAAGATTCTTTTTGCTCACAATTCGGTAGATTTCAGTAAGAACGGTGAGAAAAGACGGCTCGACATTGCTGGAATCAAGAGCTGAAGTCTCCATGAAGAAGAGGTTTTCTCTTTGAGCAAATTCTTTAGCATCCTCGGTTGGTACAGCTCGAAGTGTGCCGAGATCAGTCTTGTTTCCTATGAGCATAATCACAATGTTTTTGTCTGCGTGTCCTCTCAACTCTTCCAACCACCTCGCTACATGATCAAATGTCTGTCGTTTTGTTATGTCATAAACAAGCATTGCCCCTACTGCACCTCTGTAGTATGCACTCGTCACCGCTCGATACCTGAATAAAAGAACTCCACAAATCAGAGAGATTAACATATACAGTTTGAGATAGCGGGAAAAATATTTGATCTCCAAATATATAAAAGATTAAAATCAGCATGAAGATTTTAAAAGGGTTCTTGATTTCATAAACAAAATCATCCAATCAAGATCTCAAAATCGTCCACTATTCAGAGAGGCCTATTAAGAAGTTTTAAGGAAGTGTTGTTATAGATATCCAACAAGATTGATCTAAGATCATTTCCGATGGAAGGAAGAAATTACCGTTCTTGACCAGCAGTGTCCCATATCTGAGCTTTGACAGTTTTTTTGTCGATGGTAAGAGTCCTGGTCTGGAACTCGACACCGATCGTTGCCTTGGACTCGATACTGAACTCGTTCCTAGAGAATCTAGCGAGAAGCTGAGATTTGCCAACCGCAGAGTCGCCAATCAAGACTACCTTGAACACATAATCGATCTTCTGATTGAAGTTGCTCTGCAAATTTGACATCTTTCTGATGCTAGACAAATAATCTTCTGATGAAAATTAGAACACAGAGGTCAAAAGAGAGAATTTAGCGCAGGATATCTTGAATCATCATCTGATGATAGTCAGAGATCTAGATTGGTTCAGCACGTTAAGAGAGAATGACCGGGAAAAAAGAATTGACCAATTATAAAGAAGAAAGTGGGTTGCGAGCATCGGTAAGAACGTGAGGGGAAGAAACGAGGAGGGAACGGCAACTTCTATGTGGGTCCCGCCTTGTGCCTTTTTAACTACTCTTTTTATGTACATTATCACGGAGATTAGTAGTAATATTAAGAGGAGATAATTACACGAGTCGTTTACACTATATCGCTCTTTTTGAGTTTTTATTTATATATTATAGCACTTTAATTTGAAGTAGCTCTTTCTTTAAGTTTAGGAGAAGGAAATTATTTTGCTGTCCTTATCCATTCTAAATGAGAATATATTGGTTTACTTTTTGTAAAATAAACCGGTTCAGCTTCTCATTTTTTCTCCAAACCTGTTTTCTCTTTCTCACTCAAATCCTCTTCTTCATTTTCTCCAGCACGTTCTTTTTCTCTCAGATTTCTCTCTATCAAATCTCTATTTTTCCTCTTCTCTATTTTTCCTCTTCTCTATTTTTTCTCTTCCTTTTGAATCTCCCTTTCTCTTTCTCGGATCTCTCTTCTTCCTCTTAACCATTTTGTTCTCTTCTTCTTCTTCTTTAATTAAAGGTGGCCACAAATTTTCCCACCACCACTCTTCATCTTCAGCTGTTAAACCCAGAGATAACTCGACAACACCAGATGAGCATGCCAAAATTCGTATTTCTCCAGATCTGGATAGTTGCAGACAATTAAAATTAATTGTCCATGTAAACTTGTACACCACACAATCCTTATTTGTTCGTCTCCATGTGTTCTTACCACAGTGGACATAAATTATATTTAAAAAACGACCATTGGACAACAACCCTACGGTATTGTATATTGTTTCTTGTTTTAATTTGCTTGTTGAGACTTGACCATTAACTATGTTCCATATGGTTATCTTTATATAGACAAGATATTCATCTTGAAAGTTTTAGAGAGAAAGCTCTCATGTTTTAATATAAGTGAATAAGTAAGATAATATGGACGCTTGTAGAATGTTGCTCAATCTGGTGTAAGTAAAAATGTGAGTAACTTGGTGTTATGGTTGTTGTGCTATGTTCAATAAACCATATACATTAATGGTGTCCATATAGACCTGTCCATATCTCCTATGTTGAGATTATGGACAAATCCACAAATTCATCCGATATCTCGTTTTAGAAAAATTAGCATCAGACTCCACCTAATCTGGATGTATCCACCGACCATGATGGTCACGTCCATGATTTATTGGTCACATATGGTTGCGTCCATGATTTATTTGTCACATTGCATCTCAAATATGGATATGTATATATACTCACAATCTAGATCCATCTGGTTCTCACCATCCATGTCCTCAGCGGGTGCTATGATGACCACGTCCACGATTTATGGGTTATATTATATCTCAAATATGGATATGTATATAGATTCACCATCCACGTCCATCTGGTTCTCATCTTCTACGTCCTCGGCGGATACTATGATAATCTGTCCATGATTTATTGGTCATATTGCATCTTAAATATGGATATGTATATAGACTCACTGTCCACGTCAATCTGGTTCTCAACATCCAAAACCAGATAAAAAAAATCTGTGACCATATTATGTTCACACTAAGCAAAAAATATATAATTTTTTTAATAACATCTACTTGTACACGTCCATATGGACATATCTTTTACATAAGTTTTTTGAGCATTATAGTCCCTACGTATAGAAGAGAACAAATAGGGAATGTGTACATGGACAAGTGGGCGTGGACATATCGCTATTCAAAGCGAAAACAGCAAAACAGATCTAGAAAATAACAAGCTAGATTAAAAAAAAAACAGATGAATTGATAAATTAGTTTCATGGTTAAGCTCCTTTTAATCCCAGAATCTGTAGAGACATACACATAAAGAATACTATTTGTAAGAGGGAGGAGAGGAAGATACTCGTAGGAAGAAGAAGATTCATAAAGTGGGAGTGAGATACAATATTTTTACGTGTAGGAGAGAGAGAAAAGAGATATAAGTAATTGAATTGGTTTAAATTATTTTTTTGGTTTAAGATGGTTAATTTTGGTTTGGTTAATAATAAATGAATGACAGGATTAAACTGTCTTTTCGCAGACCATTTTATTATAGAAAGTGCTACTTCAAACAAAAGAGTTATAGAATGTAAATATTCTGAAAAAAGAGCCATATAGAGTGTAATTATCTCATATTAAGAGTGTGACTAATTTGGGTTAGGTTAGAGAAGAAGACCCAAGAAAAAAAAATCTAAACTAAGTTTGGATACGAATTTCTATAATAAAAAAACGGCTCAGATATGAACGGACATATCCACTAGAGCTGAGTATTCTTTCTTAAATTCATTCATTATGCAGATGTGTAGTAAAAACCCCATTATTATTATTATGTTCACCACCACCATTCACAAAGATACCAATTCAACATTTTTTGGGCCTTTTGGCCAAGTCATATTGGATTTTGGTAAAACATAGATAACATTTCTATTTTTAACAAAGATAGTATAGAAAAAATACTGTATGCCATTGCATAGCACGAATCATAAAATCATCATAAAAACTAATTTTAATCCACGATCCGATCATTTAATGATGAAAAACATTATAAAAAAAAACCTTCTCGGTCCAAACTCCGGTTCGGTTTAAAGAACATTGATTATAACAAACCCAAAGACCGTAATAGAACCAATCGCGACGACAAAAACTTAAAATCCAATTTCAGCCTCGGTCGCGTGCTCTTCACCTCCACTCGTCTCGCCGTATTCGTCGTCTCGACCACCGTGAGTCCTCTTTCGATGCTTCTCTGCATTAGAAGCTAGTCCTCTTCCTTTTTTTCTATGTTCTTCTTCCTTAGATACTTTCTCGCCGTCGTCGCTCTACCCAGCCGACGCAGAAGACATTCTCGTTACAATTACCGCTAAAATTTGTGCTTAATTCATGTTTAATTCTATGGTTTCTCTCCTGTTATAGGATTTTGCTTAACTCGATATACTTATGTAATAGGTGTTGTTTTTGGAGTTTGGCTGTTGTTAAATGAACTTGAAAAAAACTTAAGATTCAAAATTTGCTTATTTCGGTCTGCAATTGATGTTTTATAGTTTACTTTATACTTGTTTGAACACTGTTTTGTATCAGGGAAGATATTTAGACATCTTCTGGGTTTAAATTCTGCCGTCAATTTTTCAGCATTGCGATTAGTTTGAGTTAGATAAACCTGCTGAATTGTTATTTTGATTTACAATTACAAATGCTCTTTGATTTGATTCTTATCAGTCCATCAGAATGAACCTGAAACTCAAAACTATTGTAGCATGTTAAGGATACATATATGGTGAAGTAGTATATGAGTGAGAGATTAAAAGACAATTGTTGTTTCACAATAATGTATCTTATTCTCTTATGGTAGTAAAAATCGTTGTAATTTGTTGTGAAGCTAATGCTTACATTTTCTTTTCTGTATAGTTCATTATCTGGACAAGCCATGACAGTTTCAGATGTTTATCGTCCTCCTCTGTTCAGGTATGTGCCTGAGGTTTCTGCTTTTCTCTTTTCGATGATTATGTTCATATGCAGCGAATGATCTTACACTTCTTTTCTTTTTATTTCTATTCATATTCAGTATAGCCCCGATGATGGGATGGACAGACAATCACTACAGAACCCTAGCACGTCTTATATCAAAACACGCATGGCTCTACACGGAAATGCTAGCTGCTGAAACCATTGTCTATCAAGAAGCAAACCTGGTAATCAATGAATAAGGGTTTCTGTTTCTTCTTCTTCTTTTTTTTGGCTTAACTCTGCAGATACTTCTTGAGTTTATGACGCATTGATTTGTGTGTTTATTCTTGTACTGCACAGGACAGTTTTTTGGCGTATTCTCCAGACCAGCATCCCATCGTACTTCAAATTGGTGGAAGAAACTTGGAAAATGTGGCAAAAGCAACCAGGCTTGCTAACGCTTACGGCTATGATGAAATTAATTTCAAGTACGAGCCTCTTTTCATAACTCTCTTTTCCACTGAGTTATTATACCAACTGGTGCCATTTCCATCCAACTATGATTTTGTTTACTGACATGCTGGGTCGTTGTGTAGCTGTGGATGTCCAAGCCCAAAAGTAAGTGGACGAGGTTGTTTTGGTGCTGTTCATATGCTTAACCCAAAGTTTGTTGGCGAGGCTATGTCTGTCATTGCTGCCAATACCAATGCATCTGTCACTGTTAAATGTCGAATAGGTGTTGATGATCACGATTCATATAATGAGCTTTGTAAGTCTTTCCGTACGCCTACCTTTCAAGTTATATGTGTACTAAAGTGAGTTTGATGATACTCTGCGCTCACATATGCTCAGATATTTTTCGTGTTTAGTTTTAAACAATGGCAAATAACAATTTTTGGAGAGTACATTTATGGCATATCTGATTGACTTCCCTTACCTTTTCAATTCTTTATTTGTATTCAGGTGATTTTATTCATATAGTTTCTTCATTATCTCCAACTAAGCATTTCATCATACATTCACGAAAGGCATTGTTGTCTGGACTTAGCCCGTCAGATAACCGTCGAATCCCGCCCTTAAAGTACGTGCTGGATTATGTTTCTCTTATGGTTTTCTATTTGGAAGATATTTTTCTTTAACACCGCTTGTTGCCAAAGAGTGGCTCACGTTTTCATCTGCACTTCTGCTTTTCAATTACAGATACGAGTATTTCTTTGCCCTTTTGCGTGATTTCCCGGACTTGAAGTTCACAATAAACGGAGGCATAAACTCTGTGGTTGAGGTGACCTTTATAAAACGGATCTTTATTTTGACTGCAACTTGCGTTTAGAAGGTCAAATCTTTACTCTTCCATTAACCTGTAGGCAGATGCTGCATTAAGGTCTGGAGCTCATGGTGTTATGCTTGGTCGTGCTGCATACTACAAGTATGTCAAAGCCTTTTCTTCAATGTTTTAAATTTTTTGTTAAACATCATATAAGGTTTGTTTCTGTTTTTCTCTTTTGACTGTTTTATGGAATTCCATGTAACAGTCCCTGGCACGTTTTGGGTCACGTCGATACTGTAATCTATGGATCTCCAAGCAGTGGGATTACAAGGCGACAGGTTTTGAGGAATACTGATTCTCTGAAATAGATTCCTCCAAAGTTTTGATTGATATCTGATTTTTAAAATATGTGGCGTGTTTTGTTGTCTCGAAATGATTGATATTTAGGTTCTTGAAAAATATCAAGTCTATGGGGAGTCGGTTCTGGGGAAATATGGAAAAGGCCGACCAAATCTTCGTGATATAGTGAGGGTAATACTGTTTCCAAGCCTCTATTTCTTCACGTTATTATATATCCGATGACACAAGCGTTATAACACAAGCAAAACCTATTTTTGCAGCCATTGATCAATCTGTTCCACTCGGAGCCTGGAAATGGCCAGTGGAAGCGTAGAACCGATGCTGCTCTCTTGCATTGCACCGTTAGTCAATTCGCTGACACTCTTCTTTATTACTTGCTACCAAAAAAACTTGTCACCTTGTTATTAACTAACCTTTTTATGTTGCAGACAATGAAATCGTTTTTGGACGAAGTGTTACCATCAATACCGGACTTTGTCCTCGACTCGTCTGTTGTCAAAGAGGCGACTGGACGCGAAGATCTCTTTGCGGACGTACGACGTTTTTTGCCTCCTCCTTACGAAAGAGAGTCACAGATTCATCAGTCCAAAGAGTTGAAAAGAGTGCCAAAAGACTGTGATTCTTGATGAGGAATGACAAATCTCAATTTTTGTTGTATACATTTGTCCTCAAATTGGGACAACTTTATTTGTATCAAATCGTGAGATAGATGCTTAATGTATAGGCCATTACAAAGAATATTAGCCACAACTTTCATTACAAATTCTTTCAGTTTCTTCATCTTATGAATCACTTCTTTGCTGTGTTAGTGCAATCAACATGTTATCAACGTTATAAACACAATCGTAAACAACACTGTCTTGTCATTTTGTTCTTTGAAGTTGATATTTCTCTCATTCTCTGCACTGTTGTTGATATTTGCAATTTCAACCAAAATTACCATGTATTTCAATTTGGGTCCAAAAAGGAAGAGATATATTAGAAAGGTACAGTGATCTCGCTTCATTTTATTTCAATTTTGGATCCAAAATCTTCCCTCAAAATAAAACCCGAATCAGAGCGAGAAAGAGTGATGGATGCGACCAACCACGACGACGTTATCAATTCTACTACTAACTGGAGACTCGCCGGCGGTTCCCTCACTGACTCCATCTCCTTTGAGTCTTCCTTCTCGACTACCACCGCAAACCTCGAATCTGACGACGGCGCCGCCGTCGATCATGCGGTCAAGTCACCGCTGCTTCTGCTCCCTCCGATCACTGATGCCGAGCCGTGTGAAATTACCAGTACGGTGCTTTTAGTCTTCCCCTCTTTATTTACTTTCATATTCTTTTGTTTCTCCTTATTCTTCATGATTCTGAAATCCGATTCGGTTATAAACCTCTAATTTCTTAGTTTGAAGTAGATCGATAGAGTAATACAAGGACATGAAATTGGTTGGAATTATATGTACTTGTGGATGTCTAGCGTCGGTGATGTTTTCGTAAAATGTGATTTTGCTTGCAGTTGCATTTGCACAAGAACATGAATTAAGGCAAGTCTATATCCGAAGTACTGCACGGGTATACGAAGTGTATTACACAAAAAAGCTGGGAGATGACAAAGAATACCTGTGTACAGTTCGATGTGGCATTGCAATGAGAGCAGAAGAAGTGCTTCAGATCATCCCTCTCACTGAGTCAGCTGCTTCTAAGAATCAGGTGGAACCGCTCAAGGATGATTCGATAGAGAGGAAGGTAAAAGATAATGGCAATGGACGGACGAACGAAGATGGTTGGGTTGAAGTGAAAGCTGGTGATGCTTCTCTGCTCAATAATGAAAAAGATCTGCTTTCAATGCCACAGTTAGGAAAACAGGTAATTCGTTTTTGAGGAAGTCGACTTTAAGATCCCTTTACTAATTGTTTTGGAGTAAAATCACATGGAATTAAAAAGAACTTCGAATCCTGAAAACCCTTGAGATATAAGAAAGTAGGAACTGATGAAATTTATGTGAATCTCAGGAACATCTTTATTGTTCTGTTTGTCGTTTCTTTGTTTTTTCTTCCCTTATGTAATAATTGGTGTTAACGAGGAAATACTTTTCAGGATTTTTATGAAGCTACTGCAGAGATCAATGATGCTGAACCTTGCATATCAGTTACACTCCGTCTTCTCTCCCTTCAGGATAAAAGATGTCCACTTGTTGATGAAGTTTATGTATTTGCTGATCCTATTGATCCAAGTGAGTCAGAGCAGGAAGAAGCAAGTGGAACAGGAAATTCATCCAGTAGTGCGCTGATGGCTATGTTTATGCCCACTCTTTTACAGCTATCTCGAGGAAGAGATGTCAGAAAAGAACAGGAGAGGCAAGTTTCCGACAAGTCCAATAGCACGAATCTAGGAACTTTGGGAAATTCCAATGAGTCAAGTAAGATTATGAATGCAATTGAGCAGGAGACAAGTTTGAGTAAACCTGATCACATAGGAGCGAGCTCACCAGTTTTAGTCGATACTCTTGCAAAGCGGGTCGATGCAGCAACGGGAGTATCTGAAGCAGAAATCAAGCCTGCTATATCTTGCAGTAATGTGGAGACTATCCTGCATCATCTTGTTAACAAGGTAAGCAGAATGGAAACTATCTTGACAAGATTTGAAGATCAGATGTTGAAACCTATCAATAGTATTGATGCACGGCTCCAGCTAGTAGAGAAGAAACTCGAACATCTAGGCAAGAAATCATTTGAATCTGAATTGCGTGTTGAAACAACGATACCCAATCCAAGTTCTCTGGGTAGTGATACAGATAAACCTCCTGAAACCGATGAGTTGGATAAAAACAGAGATAATCCACAATTGTCCCCTTGTACTAAAACAGTTGTCCCCGACTCCTGTAGTATAGAGAAATGTGAAGATTATGCTGTTGTGCTACCGAAGAACAGGCTGGATAGTAGTTTTACAAAGTTTGAAGAACCGGGGAGTGAAAATAACTCAATCTCAAGAAATGAGATGATTTCGGCTGAATCTGAGATCAGTGATAAGGAGGTTGGTCATTCTCTTGGGAGAGAATCTTTTGAAGAAAAGCCAAAACGTTCAGTGTCTATAAATGATGCTTTAGCATCTGCACTTGCTGGGTTACTGTCTTCAACTTCAACCACGGACGGAAAATACAGCCAAGCCCTTGTAGTTACAGCCCCTGAATTTTCAAATGAAGATGACATGGAGATGGAAGAGAAACCTCCGACTGGTACCCGTCCAGACAAAAGCCAAGTTGCAGCAGAGGAGTTGGGAAACACATACTCCGCTTCGGAGAGCCCAACTTCTTCACAGAAAGAGCCTGGGATTACTCTATGTGATGTAGACGATTCTCAGGAAATGAATAATGGAGTTTCTGGAAAGTTTGGTGATAATGCGGGAGGATATGCCGATGCTGAGACAGTGGTTAGCGTTAGGAATGTTGATTTAGATGAAGAAACAGTTTCATTTAGCACAAAAGCTGATGGTCACACAGAAAGGGAGAGCCTCAGTTATGAGCCCAGAAATCCCGATACTTTGGTACACGAGCTCGAGAATCCAAACGTAACTACTGATTGTGGAAGTTCTAAGATCTTTGCCACAAAAGAATGCGAAGAAGAGCCTGAAAAAACTGATGACGTTTTGAAGAGCGTTCTCGGTTTTCAACCTGCAACTTCTTCGGTCGATTTCCAAACTCCTGTCCTGGATGTGAAATTCAATTCAGAGGAAAAAGTTTCAGACAACAAGTGTTTCTTTGAGGCACTCTTCACAGAAGAATGTAAGAATGTTGTAGATTGCAACAACAAAGGTTTTGATGATAACTTGGTGTCAGTAGAAGATGAAGAACTAAAAGGCCCACCAACAGATACTCTTTCGTCTGTGGAGATGGATCACTACGAGATGGACAACGAGTTGCATCTACAGTTGAATGCTGAAATGTCAACAGCAAGTCTGATATAAAAAATGGAAAAACTAGAAAGTCCGCTTACGATTTCCGTCAAGGTTTTTGCTCCTAAGTTCTTAGTGTCATATCTATCACTCCTTGGTGTTTACAATGGTTAGCTTGTGAATGATGATAGAAGGTGTAACTTATTAATGATATATATTAGTCATATATGCAAATATAATTACAGTAGATCATCATTCAACTACTTTTTTCCGCTAAAAAAGATTTTACCACTCTGTGTCACCCAATTAAACTCAAATGTTTTTTTTTTGGTTTTTATAGTTTTGTCACCACAAGCTTTGTTAATTTTTTTACAAATAAACCCCCAATATCTTGTAAATTTACCGTTTTGTCACAAAGACATATAGTTCCTCCTCCCTTCAGTAATTCTGCGCAGCCGCATGGTAGAATAAGTTAGGCTGAATTCTCCGTCTCGTTGCTTCTAAGATTTCACCAAGTCGTCGTCATCTTCGTCGCGTTTCCGCAAGCAATCATGGTGAAGTTTCCCTGGCTTTTGTTTTGTTGGCATTGTTTGTGATTTTTGATCTCTCTCTTTTGTTCCTCTGAAATTTCTGAGTATTGTTTTGTCTTTTTGGATCTGTGGATCAGGTTCTCCAAAACGACATCGATCTGCTCAGTCCTCCTGCTGAGCTCGAGAAGAGAAAGCACAAGCTCAAGCGTCTCGTGCAATCTCCTAACTCCTTCTTCATGGTACTTTCTTCTTCTTTATTTTCCCCTCGGAAATCCGTAAAGACACACTTGGAATGCGATGCAACGAGTCTGATCCCGTTTTCTGTTTCGTGTGTTTCAGGACGTTAAGTGCCAAGGATGCTTCAACATGTGAGTTGTCTAACTTGATTGTTTGGTATTGATCTGAATATTGTTCCATTGAAATTGTAGATATGGTTATTTGTTTATTACATATACTAGAAAGAAACTGTCCAGTGTTTAAAAATCAGTGGCGATGTAGTCTAGATTCTTGGTTTTCCTCAATACGTAAGTTGTCTTCTACAGAGTCGAATAATGTTGAATGTTGTTTTACTAACGTTAGTCTATAATCTATATATTGGTATTAGGAAGAAATTGTCCTCTTCTTTTAAATCAGCAATGATGTGAATTAAATTGTCGGTGTTTCTCAGTACTAATTATACTCTGCAGAGATGGATGATGTTAATTGAATACTGATTTATTACCTATAGATTGGTATTAGGAAGATGGTTCAGCTTTTACAGTTTCAAGTAACGCATTGTTTGTGGGATATTTGCAGAACCACTGTGTTCAGCCATTCTCAAACAGTTGTAGTGTGTGGAAACTGTCAGACAGTTCTGTGCCAGCCCACCGGTGGTAAAGCGAGGCTCACAGAGGGATGCTCTTTCAGGAAGAAGTGAGGGTAAGATTCCATCAAATCATCATCTTTCCACAGATTTTGCTGCGAGAGAAATGAGATCTTCATTCAGTTTGATTTTCTTGTTTAGTAATTAGTATAATGTCAATTACGTTTGTTTTTCTTTGCTTATGAGAAAGATTTTGAAGGAACGAAACTATTGCATCAGTTGTCTTGTTTCTTGTTCATGTTTGCATATAAATTGTTGTCATTCGCTGAATAGAAGGAAAATTACTACTCTATATTACACTTTTGAATTGGCTTGTGCAAAGGCATTGTAATATGGTTATGTCTAGAATAAACTCACAAACATGTCTTGAAGAAGTTAAGTTGTTCATGTCTTGGGAATGAATAAATCAGTTTTTGCATCTTCAAATTTTCTGTCACCATTGATTTGTCCGCCTTTTTCCCCCTTGGTAACTATAGTGTTTCATAGTTCACATATTAGAAAGAAGTCAAGAGCAGATGCAATATTTTTCTTTTGAAGTAAAAGAGAGAGAAGCTACATTTGGATTTTTTTTTCTTTTTTTAAGCTTGAAAATTAGCGCAATTATCGATTATCATTATTTCCTTAATCTGAAAATCTCAATTGGTTGTGTGCAAATTTGGATACTGAGACGTGAAACTATATCAAGAAATATCCTTTAACATCTTATCAAATGTGAAGTTTAAATTTGGAATCACACTTCCACTGATGTTGATAAACGACGAGACAAAGTATAATGTCTAAAATCCAAAATATCTAGAAATCTAGAGTAAGAATCAAAGAGTGGCTATAAGCGGAAGAGAATCTTAAAAAGCTATATGTGTGATGACCAAAAGATTTCGCGGCGCCTTGAAATAAATGTAAGACCAAGTGCGTAAACACTTTCCAATTATACAAAACCATCACATGCTTTCATTTTCCATCTCTTCTTTTATCTCCGGTTTGTAGAAAAGTAAATAAAGAATACTTTATAACTAAACAAAAATTGAAAAGCAATTGTTAAAGCGGTTTTAAGAGAAGTACAATGAATTTACGTCGCCGCTGGATCTCGTCAGCTGTCTGTAACTTTACCGAAGCATCTTCCCCGAAACTGATCTTTTTTTTTTCTTTTTAACTTGTATCTTTCACACAAAATTTGATGAAACTTTTTTTAGGTAACTAATGACACTTTTGTTTCGATAATTTAGTTGTACAGTTGCTTTCGTAGGTAAAGTTAATAACATTTAACAACAAAAGTCGCTATTCAATCAAATCTTTAGAAGAAGTGGAAGATGCTTTGTAGTTTGTACTACTTGTTGATTATATGTCTGTCCTTTACAAATTATGTGATATCACTCCCAAGTGCTCTGATTACTATTTTAATATAGTTTATCCTGAATTAAAATTAAAATACTTATGAATCAAAAAAAAAAAGATAGCTTCATGCGCTTCTGCATATTATGACGTACTACCGAACATGAATTCTAATCGAAAATGACAAACATTTTATTCGTTTTGAATTAATAGTAGGTTTGATACTTTATAAGAGAAAAAAACATACCCGACTCATCGTCAAAGTAACCAGTTAGGTCACATTTATATACTAAATTAACCTAAAAACTTAGTATCTTGAGATTCTTTAACAAATAAAAGAAATTTCAAATGCATACGTTCGTAAAATGTAGGCACGATGCAATTTGATGAAAGGGAACGTGACATAAAGCCATAAAGCTTAAACAGAAAAAGTAAGTGATCCACTACATCAAATGGTGTATCTCCACGTGTCGAACTGTGGGGAGATTGCTCCGTCATTAAGTAAACCGTATAGCCGTTAATTAAGCAATACGACAAGATTAATAAAGCCATGACTCGTGACCGTACCTTTTGAGTACACCTACTATATAAACCCCTCAAGGCGCTCACCACCAATGTTCCTTTCCATGCTAATTAAGCAACATCCTCTTACTTATATCTGTATATATTACATTTTCACCGTAGAAGAAACACCATTAACATCAATTGATTCAAGTTTATAGCTCTTACAAAGAGAAAAAAAATGAAGAAAGCTACGGCATTGATGAAACAGATCGTTGCGTTGTTGAGCTCCATGGCAAAAGCTAAATCTATAGCCATAAAGGACAAAACAAGTGCCTTCAAAACACGACTCCTCATGTTGTCCCTCGTCAAACACAAGAAGCTCGGGTTCCGTTCACTTTCCAACAAGATCCACAACCTCCTAGGGCATGCAGATCAAGACCACGACCAAGACGAATGTAAGGCTATAGTCCTCTACAATAGCGGGGAATCTACAGTGGCTCATCATGAGAGTTACGACGTACAAGAGGAGGAGAACGACAAGTATCCTGATCTGAGGCACACGTTGTTTGAAGGAGATGAGGATTTTGAGGACTTGGAGGAAGGTCAAGGAAGTTCTGTGATAGATATGGTGAGAAACTCTAAGGAGGAAGAAGGAGAGAGTTTCAAGCTAGAAGATGAGATCGACCATGTCGCAGATCTCTTCATTTCAAGGTTTCATAAGCAGATGAAGCTTCAAAAACTCTTGTCCTTCAAGAGGTATCAAGAAATGCTAGCCCGAGGCACCTAAATTCATATCCATATTTATACTGCTGGCGATAGATATGAAGGATAGATTCATATTTATGATCTTTGCAAACGTAACGTTCATATTTTGTGTTGTCGATCACAAATCCTTCGAGCCTCTTATTTTCTAGGATCATATATTATGATCACCTCAATGTGTCCTCATTATCAACTTGAAGGAAGGATCTATTTTGCAATATATGTTTTCTAGTTCCTTTGAGGTCGTATACTATATATTTCTAAGATCTTTAATGTGTTATAATAATGGGCATTTTTCTTTGTTTGGTTCATATATATACTTTACTTATTCAAGCTCACAATATTATATCATTGGACAACTCGTTTCATTTACTCGACTCAACAGTACTCATGATCAATTATATTTGTTCTTTTTTCTTGGTATGCCTCAGTCACTTTGAATTTAAATTTTATGTTAATTAATTTAATTAGATTCGTTTGCTAATTAAAAATACATATTTATGTTTTTTAGTTGTCAACAAACGTAATTTATTTAAACTAAAAATAAAATAAAAATCCAATCCAGAATTAAGTAATTAACAAAAGAAAAGATACGACCTACCCAAGCAAATCTGTTTTAAAGGTTACCGAGTTCCGGAAGGTGATTCACGAGTAAAGGGCGAAAATGATTGTAAGTTTGGAATATATATGGCCAAGTGTAGGAGCCAAGTGTTTCATACCAAAAAAAAAAAAAAAGGCCAAGTGTTGGATCAAGTTTTAGTCCGTTAATCAAGACGAAGTTCGGCAAGCAAGATGAGTGGCCCATCAGTTAAGAGAAGTAGTCAATAGTCATCCATGTTTGGGATGAGTTTAAGAAAGACCGGGAACAATCGGTCGGGATCCAATCATGGAAAAGAACGATTTCTTGGATAAACAATTTATACCGCAGAACTTGAGAGGTACATATTCCTAAATATATAGTTTAAACAAATTAAAATTGGCTGTACTATATGAAGTGTTTGTGATTGGAAAATTAGATCAATATAACAATGTAACACTTCATACTACACATGAAAACTATAAAAAAAAAAAAGTGCACGTAAAATTAACTAGATAGCGTAAAAACATGATAATAACATGATATACGGTAACATTAATGTTTTATTTATCTAGAAAAACATAAATGCAGTTCCGTTTTTTGCCCAGACTTTAAGGAAATTTAATGTATTTTATCATAATATCATGTAATTCTGAATGTAAATCACAGTTATCATGTAAATAGTTTTTTTTTTTTTTAAATGAAAAAAAAAATGAATAGCTTCTTGGTTCAATTCAGAAACAACGTTTAATTTATTTTATAAACTTTTGTCTGTTTCCAACATGCGTGAAATCGGAAACGGGTTTTGGTGGGGTGTGGACCCCAGTGAACGGCGTTGAAACAAGAAATGTCTATAGCCCCGTTGGGGCGTGGGTAAATGCTTCTTGACACGCCACTTCTCTCTCATAGACATAAACTAAACAAGTGGCCTTTTCCTTCTAGAACATCCACCACCTTTTCTTTTTTATTCTCTGTAAACAATGTAATTTCTTTTTTTTTTTCATTTTTTTTTAAAGAAAATATATATTTTATTTATCAACCCGAACCGGGAATTGGTAATGGTTTACAAAAATAAAACCAGGCAAAATAACCTAATTAAACCGAATAACCCTGGTTAGTCGTCTGTGATTCACAGTTGGAGAAGCGGTCCTCAAACTTCACCAAAAGGTCGACAGCGGCAAGCCGGAAAAACCATTTGCCATTGGTAAACTCTGACCCTAGACCTCGATCCGGTCAAGGAAAGAAACGCTGGAAACCGAGCGCCTTGAACTCACCTCGACTCGCCGTGCAACCCACCGAGCCGCCACAACGATTTCCGCTAGGGAGCTGCTTCTAGTAATTTCTTTTTTGAAAGAAAGTGTATAATATTGCATGTTCATGATACTAGTATATAGGTTGTAAACACAATGTGCATGCACAAATAAACTACAATCAACTGATCAAGATATATATATATATATATATATATCATGCTGCTGATATCTCTATAAAAATATGTCGAAGGGAGTAATGGTATTCTAGTATAACAATCAAAACTATATTTACTCGTTAAAGACACGATTACGAGTAGGAAATAATGTTGCAGTAACTCCATAATTACATGTTTACAATACCACATAGCTGCAACTATACTTCTACTATCTTATACTTAATGTGGCGGCATTAAACTAACTTCCGTAATTAAAAGTAAACAAAAAGAAAAGAAACGAAAGAATACAGCTCATATGATTTTTTTTTATAAATGAAGAAAAAATCAAAATCAATATCTATCTGCAAATTTTCTTGTTTTATTTTTCTAATTCAACTTTTAGGTAATTGTGATTAGAAGTTCTCTTTGTGGAAGTCAAACTTGGTGGTCGTCTTTCGAGAGAAATCCAAAGCCAGATTTTTTAGTTCCTTTGTCAATCCTGGTGCCCCACAATAGAAGACTCCTGCAATCATCAAATTCATATTAGTTTTCAATTACAAAAATTCACTAATTAATTATATAAATATCACGTAATAACAAGATTAAATTAACGATATCAAGATTATTAGTTAGTTACCGATTCGTTTGCCGGGATACTGAACAGCGATCTTCTTGTAGACTTGTCTCCAGTTGGGTTTGGCGAAGTGGGACTTGACACGTGTCCCCGAGACGACATCAACACCGTTCTTAGCGTGTTGCAACGACTGAAGCATGGCAATAAGAGCCACCCTAGCATCGCCTTCCTCGTACACGCTCGTGCAATAGTTGTGAAGCTCTATCACTCCTTCCTCGTCCAGCTCCGAAACCTCGTCCATTATCCCCTTGAACCACTCGAAAGATCCTTGTTCCCGAGTCACCCAGTAGAAATAAGCTTTGGTCGTCTTGAACCCTTTACTATTCCCATTACTATTGGTGTTGCTCTCGATGTCACTATCATGAGACTTCATGTTGTTTATGATGTCCTTGACGATGCTGATCATAGGCGTGGCTCCAATGCCGAGACCCACAAGAAGTACCACGTCGTACTTCTTGTAGTCTTGTGCTGGAGCACCATAGGGACCGTCGATGAGGACCTTTGGGAACGCAATGTTGTCTTCTCCATCTGCTCTGAGCAGACCACTTTTACCGGCCATAGGAGGTTTGCATACCTCGGAAAACACGGTCCTGAGCTTACGTGTCCAGTCACCGAGCGTGCGGATGTGTACGCTCAGGTAATCATCTCCGGGAGCGGATGTGATAGAGAAAGGATGCCATTCGAAGGGAGAGACGGCTCTACAATTCACGAACATGTATTGTCCACTTTTGTATTTGAATCCTTGTGGCTTCGTCATGTGTAGAGACAAAACGTTCCCGGGGTAAACAGCTACCTGTTGTTACATTTATAATTCAAGTCTTTAAAATAAGTTCAAAATAAACTACTTTCTTACTCTTATCAAAGACGTTCTAAAGATAATATGGTTTAATTCATAGTATTATTTGGAAGACTTATTTACATTTTCATATTTTATAAACAAGAAATGTATACCTTGAGCATCTTAACCGGTTTGATGCTTGATCTGAAAGCACGGATCAGCCTCTCAGAAGCATACAGAAGGATGGGTACAGCGAGATACATCCATGTCTGCAAGAGTCACACACAAATACAAAGTGTTAATTAACTAACCAAAAAAAAAAAAAAGAAAAAAAGAAAACAAGAAACAGAAACGATCAAGTTTGAAGAGCATATATACATACCGTTTTCTGATACCAAATCTTTGTGAGGTAGAGCTTGATACCATGGACAATGAGAAGAGCATAAACAATGATGAACAAATGGTGGGAGTACCAAAAGGCATTGAAACCCGTAAGCTTCTTGAGGAATTTAGGTAAGTTAAGCTTGTTACGTCGGAACCAAGGCGTAGCGAGTGTAAAGGCTATAGCCATTAGCACAACCATCACAATACCAGTCCAGCCTTCCACACCTTTCACGAACCACCAGTAACTCTCCGGTTGCTCCCCAAAGTATTTTTCCATTGGCTCATAGGTATCCTCATCCGCAGCAAGTAAACGAGGGAAATCACACGTTAAATGAGAAACCGCATGGAGCAAAACCCCAACACCAATCCCACTTGCAATAACCTTGTGGAAGTTGAGATTATCATCGAACGGAACGACAACACCTAGCTTGGTCTTGTTCCTTAGCCAAGTGATGGTATTGCGACAAACAGGCAGTAATATGAGAGCCATGTTGAATTTGAGAGTCTCTGCGCCTCCTTTGGCGATACAAACGCAATAACCCATCACTTTGTAGGCTTCTCTGTTTCTGTACTGAATGAATTTGTAGGTGAATAGGCCGGCGCAGATGCCAAGCCATAGCATCATGATCCATAGTCTCTGCCAGTTGTCAAGTACGAAATATTTGATTTTCTCTGACCATCTCATTAGTGCGTTGCTCTCTTGTGCCGGTTTAAGCTTCTGGCTTAGCATTTGGCTTAGTATCCTGCTGTCTCCGATCCGCACTGACTGGTTTGGTGCTTGTAACAGCAGCATTTCCAAGTTTTCAATCTGTTAAACCAGTTTCCATTTCATATTATTAACAATAATAATATCAGGATACAACATTAACGTTACTAAATGGTTATTTTGATATTTTACGTAGGTTTATCCTATGTTTTTGAAGAAATATTGTAGATTCGGATGCCACCTAATGTCTAGGTTCCACTAGTTCTAAGATTGTTTTATTATATAAGAAAATTTTAGGTAGACGCCTACATCTATTAATAAGCCTCTTAAACACCAATTTAGACTTGTCGACCTTTTGTTGATTGATTTGGTCAAAAATCAAGATGTCCAGATAATTTCGACCACCTTAGATTTTTAGATAACCTTTGATTTTCGGTTGTTTATAGTATTTTAAACGTGGTGAATTTTATGATATATACCATTAGTGATTGAGTGGTTAAAGGTGGACCATACATACCATAATGTACCCAGCATTGTCTGGGTCCAACTCTTCCATTATCAGCGCTGCATATTCTTTGGCTTGCTTTTGAATATTCGAAAGCTTGTTCGCTGAAGCACTAAGACTAATAATCTGCAATTAATCACCCAAAAAAAGTACATGAAATTAATAACCTAAACAAAATATTAAATACTACTAACTCTATCAA